GTAAATATGAACCCTGGACCGGGACGGAAATATCAAACCCTGAATCCCTACAAAATATCAAACCTTGAACCGGGACGGAAATATCAAACCCTGAATCCCTACGAAATATCAACCCCTAAACCGGGATGGATCGAAACAAAAACTAAAATCGATGATGGAAAATACAATATAAATATAACCTGGTGAATATAATGCCGCCATTCGATGCGGGATATATGATTATACGGAATATGCGGAATGGAATTCGGGCTGTGAATGGATTGGAATATCTATCCTATGGATGAATATATATAATTCGATCACGGGAATACATAATACCCGCAATGAATGATCGGATCTATAAAACGCTGGAATTGCTGGTTGAACGGCTGGGGACAATCCGCTGGCGTACAACGGACTTTTCAGTCATGACTAATGGATGGGAAGCTCTGTGATCCTTCGAATATGAAGTTAAATGATCTGACTATAATTGATGGGTGTATGATTATTCTAAACGACCCTGTTATCGACCGTTAAAACAGTAATTTGGGGTGGAATGGAATACAGCCTGTACTCAGTAAATATATATATATATATACTACGGTATCTTATAATCCTCCGGGTGGTGTTCTGGAATCCAGCGTATATTGAATATGGATATATATATATCTACATGGATATAAACCTGACTACTAACCTTCTATCTTCGGAAATATCTCCTACTATCAGTTATATATATTCACTAACGATACTGGGACGGCCTAATGAACTCGAAAAACATTCGAACTGGATTGGGAGTTGAATCTACTTCTTTTCCTATATATTAATCGGCTAAACCTGCCTGCCGGCCTATCTATCTGCCTGCTGAATGATCTACTTGGGGGTTTATCTGGGGATCTATTGGACGGCCTGTTAAATACTCTGTTCTGGGACCTGCTGCGTGGCTAATCGGCTTATTTTAATATATCTTTACTAATCAGTCTATATATTTATTAATCTATTTATTAACTAATCTATCTAACGGTCTATATATCTGCCTGCTTGCCTGCTTGCCTGCTTGCCTGCTTGCCTGCTTGCCTGCTTGCCTGCTTGCTTAATGGCCTGCCGGGGGGCCTGTGCTATAGCTCTCTTTATAATCTATATATGGGCCTTCTGGGTGGCCTTAGCTGTACGGTCTATACTATGCAATTACTTGCTGACTGCTGGGTCTCTTTATCTATAAATCTACCGGTCTATTGATTCTGGTATCTGCTTTCTGGTCTGCTTTCTGGTCTGCTTTCTGGTCTGCTTTCTGGTCTGCTTTCTGGTCTGCTTTCTGGTCTGCTTTCTGGTCTGCTTTCTGGTCGGCTTTCTGGTCGGCTTTCTGGTCGGCTTTCTGGTCGGCCTGTATTGTACTCTCTTGGTCTTCCTAACAACACTATCACTAGCTTATCTATCTACCTATCTACCTAATATCTTACTTATTGGCTATGTTTACCTGCTGTAATATCTGCTCGGTGACGTATTGGATAATTAATGTTATTGCCTGTTCTATCGCCGGCTTCACGCCTACTTCGGGGCCGGCCGTCCGATTGGTTTGGACGGCCTGCTGCATGGCTGGGGGCCTGTCTGCTTAATGGCTGGTTATTCTTTCTAATTCGACCTGACCTGACCGAACATAACTTACCCGACCTGCCTACCGGCCTATCTACCTACCGGCTGGTTAATTCGTCTACTTTAGATTTCGGTCGTGACTGATAAGCTCTCGCGGCGGTCATGACCGAAATATGCGCTGCTCGGCCGCTTGCTCAGCCGAATCTCCCTTTGACGGACCGAAACAATCGCATTCAAACGGGCTGGAATGAACGATGGATCTAAACATGTATGTCGGATTACCCGGTGGGAATGGAATGAATAATGCGAATGGGACTGGTTCTGCGTTACGGTCTATTCTACTGGCTGCTGGACTTACTATTCCGCTGGGAATTGGGTTGGTCTTTAATCGGGCTTTGCATCTGCCTGTTTATATTCTGTCTGCCTGGCTTAATAGCTGGCTTGCCTGCTCGATGTTCCTAACCTTTCTGACCTACCGGATCTACTGGACCTGCCGACCTTAAAACCTATCAACTAATCTGCCGAGTAATTGATCGACCTAACCGCTAGTTGGCTAAATATCTGAATTACTCAATACGGTAAGCGGAATGGGAATCATGGAACGGCCCTATATCGGTTCCACTGACCCTAAACTACCGCGTTATATAAACCCTAAATAAGTTCGGGTTGGGGGGGGTACGGGGGGCGAGTGATACTAAATATATATATTACTATCTCTCTAATATATTCCTTTAATATATTCTCTTGATATACAGTAAGATACTGCAACTATTATATATATACATCTTAATCGATCGTGGGATTATCTCTCTATCGCCTGAGATATCTCCTGGAACCAGCAATATCTATCGAATATCGGACGATGCTGGGATGATCCGACCTACCGGCCTGTTCGACCTGGCGATGTTAATCTTTCGGTCGTGACTGATCTATTCTCGCGGCGGTCATGACCGAAATATATTCTGCTCTCCTGGATTCCCTGACCGATCTCCGAACCGATGTCCGGGCTGGTCAACGGCTCGATCTCCCGGCCGGCCGGCTCTAAGCATCTGAGCTGTTGGATTGCTAATATCAAGTTCATTCTACACAACAGCTTGATGGCAATAATAATTCTCAACGGCCGCGCTATCGAATCTCTCAACAGTAATCCGGGGTGGAATGGTATCTAGCTCGGACTTGGTATGGACATATATATATCTCAACGTATGGGGCGATATTCACCGCGGTATACACTGTTACCCTTTCGATTGATGTCAGCATCTATGGGTCATGGATCTATATATCTATATTAATAACAACCCCCCTACCGACGTTCGATCTCCCGATATATCTCCCGTAACCAGCAATATATATCAAATAACTGACTATGTCGGGATGGTCCGATCTGCCCTAAAAACGTCGTGACCGCATCTAAATCCTGATCATCCACCCCAGCCTCCGCCAATCGATCTTGCCACAGCGGCTGGATGGGCCGGGCCTGCGGGCCGTACACCATCGCCGCCACCATGGGGATCAAAAGCCCGCGGTACGCACACTGCGTGCGGTCCTCCCACCCGGGACATACCGCCTGGGGCATCCCACACTGGAAACACGCGCTGTATCGGGCGTACTGGATCTGCCGCCGCACCTGGAGCATCCACTGCCGCGCTGCCTGGCTGTCGGGGGCCCGGCACCCGTACAGATCGTGGCGCGTCCCGTCCCGGTCCTGCTGCGTACAGATATAACAGTGGTCCAGCCACCGCGGGCATTCGGCAATGATGGCCTCCTCCGTCAGCGCGGCCTGCATCCCTCGCTGCCGCGCCTGGATGTCGGCCTGCGCCCACTGGGGGGGCTCGCGGGGGGACGGGGGGGTCGCCGGCCGGGATGGCCATGGCCGATGGAGCGAGCTGGCTTGGGATGCGAACGATGTACTGCGGGAGCGGGATGGACGGGATGGGGGGGTCTGAATGGGGTCTGCTGGACGGCCTGCGTCCTCGCCTGCCTGGGGGCCTGCCTGCGGATCTGCCTGCGGACCTGCCGGCTGGCTGATCGGCCGGCCGCTCGCCTGGTCCGCACCATGGCCTTCGACCGCTATCTCCCTCTGATGCATCCGTTCAACCGCCTCCTCAATCCGAATCGGCCGACATTGATCGCACGGGGCCTCGCCGGCCATACACCCAGCCCGCGGATGCCCATCTAAATACGGATCGAGCCCCTGCCGCCGACACGGCGCGGCGATATATTGCTGCATCCGCTCGATCTCGGGGACGGGGGTGTCGGCCATCCACGGCGCGGGCTCGTCCCACCCGGCGGGCTGGATGATCACGGCCACACTGGTCTGTCCGTCGCGGCCGGCGCGGCCACTCTCCTGCGCATAATCGAGCAACGTCCGCGGGCGTGCCCACGTGGATAATCAGTCGAATATCGGGGATGTCGACCCCCATGCCCAGCGCGCTCGTGGCCGCGATGATCGGACGCCGGCCATCGACGAATCGCGCCAGTATCCCGGTTCGATCCACCGCCTGGCTGGTGTACGCCTCGCAGCCGATCTGCTCCGCCAGCGCCACGACCTGGCTTACCACGTTGGCGTATATCACAGTCTTCCCCTGGTGGATGGCTTGGATGAGCCAGCGGATCCCGGCCTGGACGATCTCACTGTCCATCCATGCGTCCGCGGGGCCACGACGAACCGGCACCGCCGGCCGCCATACGAGATATCGAATATTCGACCGCGTGGTGGGCGCGCGGAATACACGCACCGCCGCCCGCGCGTGGCCGATCCGCTCGAACAGCGCCGGCTCCAGCGTCGGCGGCAACGTGGCCGTCAGCAACACCAGCTGCGTCCGCGCCTGAATCAGCTCGCCGAGCCGCCGCATGGCGGGCCGGAAATCGGCCGATCCGGGCAACATGACATGGCACTCGTCGATGACAATGCGGTCTAGCCGCCGCACCATCCGCAGTCGGTTTAAAAATGAATGGAACTCGGGGGTGATGGCCGATTCGGGTGTCACGAGCACGATGGACGCCTCGTCGGGGGGCCGCCGCCGCTCCCACACCGCGCACGAGATGTTGAGCTGCTGGCACCGCCGCTGGAAGTCCTGGCGCAGCGCGATCAGTGGGATCACCACCACTGTCGTCCCGCTGGGCTCGACGTACGCCGGCAACATAAACAGCATGCTCTTCCCGCCGCCGGTGGGCATCACCGCGACGATGGGGCTCTCGCCGTGCTGGATCGCGTGCAGCGCCGGCCCCTGGACGCCACGCAGCTCGAGCTCGGCCTGCTGGGTCATCCGCCGCGCCGCCTGCGTCAGGTTCGCCTGCTGCAGCCGGTGGCGCCGCCAGATCTGCTGCTCGGCCACCGCGTCCGCCCACGGCGCCCGCTTGCGCTTGCCGAGCACCGACGGTGGCTCGCCCTGGGCCGACGCGAACCCTAAAAAGCGGTGCCAGTCGGTGCTGGATGCGCGGAACATGGCCTGCCGGTGCGCCGTCGTGCCCGCCTGCTCCATCAGCCCGCGGCCGTAAATCATGCCGGCGACGTGCGACGAATGCGCCGCCTGCAAGTCGGCGATATGCCCGGGCCACTGCTCGTCGTCCATGGCCGCTTCATTGTCGGGGTCGGTGATGGCTGGCTCGCGCGGATGTCGCTCGTCTGCGCTCTGCGGGAACTGGCTGCTGGCCCGTAAAACCGCCGGCTGATGCCGATGGCGATGTCGCGATACGCAGCGGGGTGGACGGGCTTCTTCTTGGTCAACCGGCTCTGGGTCTCCCGCTTGAACACCTCGCGGAACCGGTCGGACGACCACACGCGGCGCGTGCCGGGGTCAGGTCCCCACAGCAATGCGCGTTCCTGCGTGGATGGGGGCTCGCGCGGCGCGGGCGACTGCCGCTCCAGCCAGGTATCCAGCTGGTCGACGAATGGCCGTACCAGCCACAGGTAATATATAATCAGCTCCCCGATCTCCCGCGGGACGTATCGATGGATAATCTTAGCATCGTTACTGGCGTAAAATCCTTTGTGGTACGCCGTGACCAATGTGACCATGCCATTGTCGATATATATATTCCGGCGGACGTTCGTATCGGTATTGACATGCTGAATGCTGAGTAGCTCGGGCGCGCGACTGGGTTGGCCGCCGCAAATATGCGTCAGGACCGCCAGCTTCTCTTTAAATGCAACGACCTGCTGGAAGTACGCCCGGATCTTGGGGGGGGTGGCAGCGGTGGGTCCGAATAAACTGCGCCTGCAGCGTCGGCTCGGCCCGCACGCGGTCGATCAGCCACCGCTGCCCGTCCACGGGCCACGTCGTCCGACTATCGCATACAAAGCTCCAGCCGGCCTTCCCCTCAACGGGATTGTCGTACAGCCGACCCCATGGGATCGCGGGGGGCGGCTGGTCGGCGGCGCCCAACAGCAGCTGGTCCAGCAGCCCCCGCGTCGTCTCGACCAGCCCGTGGATAAAGCCGCGAAAGTCGCCCATCGTAAAGCGCAGTTCCTTGTACAGTAGCTCGTCGGTCCCCTGCCACGTGATATGGCCGGGCGTGGTGCTGTTGTAATGCACCCGCAGCCCGTACGTGCGCCAGTCCAGCAACGTCTGCATGGGGCCGTGGCTGCCGCGCACCAGGAACCGCCGCACCATGCGCTCTAACTGGTCCTGGAACGTGCGGCCGGCCCACGGGCCATAATCCGGGCGGTGGGAACGGCCTGGGCGGACCGGGCTTGTCTCGCTCCGCGGAATAATGGGGCTGCTACGCACCGGGTGGACGGGGGTGCCAAAACCCTCGCTCGATCGTTCGCTCGACGCCTCGCGCGATAGCCGCGCCTGCCTATAATCCACGGCCCTATTTCGGTCATGACTAAACTCTGGACATGACCGAAATCCCTCTTCCGAGCCATCGAGCTCCATGGACGACGGGACGGGGCTGCTGGCGGTGGACCCGCTCGCGTACCCCTCGTCGAGATCCTCGAGCTCGTCGTCCGCGCTCTGCAGCGCCCACGGGACCGCCGTCTGCTTCTGCTGCCACATCCCCACAATCTGCATGGCCGCGGGATCCAGCCACAGCGCCTTCTCGACGACGAAAAACCGCGCAATCTTGATGACCCGCGATAAGATGGGCGGGTAGCTGTCGGCGTCGCGCCAGCCGTCCACGCCGCGGCCCAGCACCGCCATCGCGCACACCAGCGCGCTCTCGTACTCGTGCGTGCGGTGGCGCTGGTTCAGCAGCTCGACACAAAACTCCAAGCACGCCCGCTCCCGCCGCTCCAGCAGCCACGGCTGCAGCGCCTCATCGACGTCCTGCAGCTCCGGCGGCGGCTCGGGGTGCTGCACCAGCTGCCACAGCCGCGCCCACTTCTGCTGCTGCCGCGCGGTGAACTGATATACGGGACATTTCCATGCCTGCGGATGCTGGGTGCGCGCAAAGAACCCCAACATCTGCTGCCACGGCTGCACGTGCTTCCGCACGCTGTTCGCATCCATGTACGCCAGCAGCGGCTGGTGCGGCAGCTCCCCGGCCTGCGTGCGCACCGCCTCCATGCGGATCGCCTGCCCGCAGTGCATGACCGTCCGCTGGCTCTTCCGCGCCAGCTGGTCGACCGTGTGGTACAGGATGAGCACCCCCTGCTCCACGGGGTCGGCCGTGTCGGGGTCGGGGGCCTCCACGCTGCGCAGCAAGTCGGCCGGCGGGATCTCCTTCAGATACTCGGTCCACTGCGTCATCCGCAGCCACGGGTTCGCGTCGTGGAGCTGCGTGGGCTCGACGGGGGCCTGTCGACGGGCGGCCTCGGCCTGCTCCCACGCCTGCACCACCGCATCGATCGCCTGCTGGGCCTGACTGGGTCGGGGGGGTGGCGGCGCCCGGCCGTGCGGGAACCGGATGTGGATGTAGTGCGAGCCCGCGCGCGAGGGAAACAGCTGCTGGTACGACACGATCTCGTACGACCGCTGCAGCTCGGCCTCGCGCGCCGCCCGCTGGGACTGCGGGGCGCGGCCACGCTCGGGGTACTGGGACCACTGATGGACGATCCGCCAGTGTTTTCGCATGGACTTCCATGTCGACGCGACGAACAGGCACGGCTCCGACCCCCGCCGGCATCGCAGCCCTTTCGAATAACAGGGGAGAATCGGCAACGGCTCGTCCAGAACCGGGGGGATAATGCAACTCTCGCGCGACGGAGCGAGGTCAGTCCATGTCTGGACAGCCTGAATAATCGGCTGTGCGGTACGATGGTCCAGCCGATGCTGCTGCTTGAGATGGGTTTCGACTTCGGCCGGCCAGACCCCATGATGGCACTGGCGGCAGATCATGACCTTTAACGGGGGGACTTTCTGAAATAACTGGTCGGCCATGGTAGTGGTGTAATCGGTATTAGGTTGTAGAATCCTGACAACGCGGATTGGGAGAAGAAGCAGCTATGTGAGAGGTATGCTTGAGATATAGGAAGAGCGATTGTGCAGCCGGGGGGAGGCACGTTGGAAAAGGGGCCTTGTCTTAGCCCGTAGAGAGATATAGAGACGTATATCACCATCTATTATAATTGAGAGATCACCGCGACCGCCGCGCGCCAGCCAGCCGTACCCCATCAAAAAAATCCGCCCGTGCCAACCCGCCCACTTTGACCAGACCGAACAGCGGCATTTCACGCAATCAAGAGCGTCCGACGCAACGGGAGAGGACGAAAATGGCGGCCGAACAAACAGGCGAGGTTTCGGCGCGCGGCGGGCCCGGACAGCCGATATGCACCACACTCGGACCCGAAAAAACGCACCCTTCTCGGGACCCCAAACCCTAGCCCCCTACCAAGCCGCCCAACCCGAAACGCACCCGACCAACCGCCCCGGGGGGCTGCTGGGGTAGGGCATTGTTGTGGTATTTTTGACAGGCTAAGGCCCCAGGATGACCGTTTAAGATCCTAGAGACTGATATAAAGTAAGACAGAATTAAGGTTTGCGGGAGATCTATAGAGGTGGGGCTCTGCGTTAGTGAATAGGGACCCGCATCCGCCTATGGAAAACGTCTGCAGTTCTGTCCCTATCAAAGTAATGTAGGAGTTCGGTTAGCATATCTAAATAGAATAACCGTCCTACTGGCGATTATTCGGTCATGTCTAATTTCCAGTCATGACTGAAAAGTGCCCTAGGATTCCACCGGCCGGTTCACTTCTGAGATAGTCATATAATCGCTATGCTGGGGGTACTGCGCGCCTACAATAAAGTAAAAAACCAGAACTAGCACGGAAAAGAGAATAAATTGCTAATGCCTGCCTTACTTCGGAATCGAATATTACAAGGGGCGGATCCATGCGTATGGCTTTTGTCGTTTCCGGTTCTCTTTTTCCTCTTTGATTACCTCTGCAGGAATCTGCAGTAATAGTAAGAGTGAAAAATCATGTGCAGGCAGTCGGCGTAATTGAGGAGCAAAAGCCTTAATCGTGCCTTCGTCCAGGCGAGGTCGATTATATTTGCTTACGATCGCGACAGATGAGTTCGTACATCCGCTTCTCGATCTGCTGAATATACTGGATCAGCCGGGCTTTCTGCGGTTCGATTCCCTCTTCATCGGAGGTTTGCTCATCATTTTCGGCCGGAGGCTCGGGCTCAGTGTCAGAGTAATAGTCCGGGTAGGAGGAGGGATGGCGACGACGCTGGACGCACTGCCGACGGTGGTGAAGAATCTCATATTTATATAGAGCGGGATGGAGCTTCCGGCTACACGCGGAGATCGACCATGTCTCAACCGGACCAGTGATCGGATCAAATGGATTCTGGATCCGCTCCTGATTCTCAAAAATTACTCGCGAAGATTGGTGTACCGGTCGTTGGGGCGGCCTATTTAGCGACGTCCATTGGCTCTGTAGATCGCGTAGGGTCTGATAGAGCTCGGGATCTGATAGATGCAGAAGGCGCTGTTCAGGTTCAATTGTATAGTCAAGATGGGCGAGAGAGGGCTGCGATGGGCTCCAACCGGTCGTCGGATGATGCTTGATATAGGACGCCGGAAAGGGGCGGTCAAACACATTCAGCTCGTGGTAGTACAGATCCATCCCGCGATGCACGCTGGACCACCACATCACCTGGCCACTCTCCTTCGACTTTCGCATGAAGCTATTGTTCTGAGGATAGGGGAGCATCCAATGGCTCTGAATAAAGGAATCTTTCAGACCCTGTTTCCACTGACGAGCGGCGTCCTTGCCTTGGATAAGGGTAATCACCTCGAAGCTCTTTTGATAAAGAAGTCGGTAGGGCTTGTGATCCCATCCTTTTCGTTCGAATCGGCCATCGCGCCACTCCCATAGCCAGGTAAAAAGGACATTGATATGTTTGACCGCCATGCGGTTCCCCGACGCAATATAGGGCGGACAGTGTTGGGCCTGCAGCGCGCCTTCAAGACTCGGCCAGCAGAGCGGGGTCTCTCCCGCTAACGCTACGGTGACGGATTCGGGCTTTAGAAGCCGTTTGATCTGCGTAAAAACATCCTTGCGAAAGGCCCGCAAACACAGCTGCCGCAGATATTTCTGCAGATAGTCTTGGCAGGTAGGAATACTGCTAAACTCGGTCATCCACTGGTGGATCTGGCTGATGCGAATGAAGTCCGTGCGAACATCCCGCACCTGGGGATAACGCGCGTGGTACGCGGCTTGGAGCGACGGGTTGTTGAATTGGATGTATTGCGTGGCCGGCTGTCGGAACACCATCATCTCCCAATCTATCTTCTCCAGGAACCAGCCGTACCCAAATTGCTGCATATTCCGCTGGAAGCCCAGCCCCTCGCACCGCCGAAGACCGTCCGGCTGGGTGGGATCCGGGCGAAACCAGACATCGCGCCAACAGCCGGAGACCCGCTCCAAAAGGCCGCCGGAGTAGGAGAATGGAAGGCAGCGGAGGAACATTAACATGACCCGGGTATGCTCCCAGGTCACAAAATGCCGGTCATTTAAGCTGTACACCATTTCAAACCCAACACAAAACTTGTTGATATTCCATCGGAACCAGCGAAGAAGCGTCAAGGTCGGCAAAGCGTAGTAACTCTCGACCCGATCTCCAGAACCCAGAAATCGGGTGGTAGACTGTTGCCGGGTCTGAAATTCGTGCAGAATCTGACAAAATAAAGCGTGAGAGACCCGGTGCTCTTCGCGCAGGCCAAAGACCTTAGGGACCGATCCTTGTAACGCAGCATGGCACCGTTGCTTTGTGGTGAGATAGGCCCGGTTGAGCGCGATCGGATTATGGCTAAGACCACCGCCAACGGTCTGCCACGTCTTGCGAAGCTGGGGATCCAGCGCCAAGGTCTCCGTTGCAGTATTGGTAAATGGATATGTATTGCCGGCGGCGAAGACCTCTTTCACACTGGCGTAGAATTGACTATAATAGAGACCGGCCCGCCGCTGCGGTGATGTTCGCCGGGTCTCTAACGTCAGGCTGCCGGTGTCTTCTAGCATACTGATCGGGTAGAAGTGCTGCAGAGCATGGGGCGCGTCCGCTGGCTGCTTGCTATGGATCCACTGGCTATACGCGTTCAGGCAACAACGCCGCCCAGAGTAAAGATTGCGGCGGCCTCTCTTGCTCGCTCGCCGTGGTTGGGCAGGTTTCCTTACCGAGATCGTAGAAGAACGGCTCGGCAAGAACGTCCTCGTTAACAGCATTCTGCCAGTGTTGTTGAAAGCCCGTCATGAGATCGGCCAATGTGTCTGCCTTAGTCAAGGTCTTTAGGTTTTTCCCCTCGATTAGAATCTTAAGATCCTGAAACTGGTGGAATCCGGGGCGGTGGGTCGCCTCTAGAATCTGTTCCCAGATCGTGGGAAGCGCCTCGGGAGGAAGAAAGTAGGAAAGCAACTGCTCGCGGGGGATGGGATCCACTCGCTGGGACCGCATTTCCACTCCCCGGGCGGTCGCGTTCAGCCGGCTATGGTCGAAGCTAGAGGGGTAGTGCTGGATCAGGTCGCCGGAATAACACCGATTGATGATTGGGAGGAGGATTTCGTCCGTCCATTGCTGGAAATCCTGGTCTAGCAGACGGGCTGGATTGCTGATCTTCCCGGTACAGTCGGGGAAAGAGCAGATACAGAGAGATATCTTCGAATCCAATTAGACGACCAAAGGTATAGTGCGGCACTTGATGGACCGGCCGGCGAACATGGTGGGCCTGCCCGGTTGAGTCGAAATACTGGACTGAAACCGGATCTATATGCAGGCTGGACTGGAGGTCGGACACCGCCATCTGCGTAGGATGCCATCGGATCCCCCGACGAGCTACCGCCAGACTACTGACAAACCCACCCACGCTATCGATATCAACAGTCACGCCCAAGGAAGGATCGGGACGATGGTCGGGCTGCCACGCAGAGATGCGTTGGGGATTCATCGGGCTTGTGAGGATCGATGCCGCAGTAGATCTGTTGTTTTCGTGCCTTGGTGACTTGCTGGGCGAGATTGGACTCGCGGGCCGCGATCGTAGCCGAGCCCAACACATCTGGGAAGTCGCCATCAATGTTAATCTGGTCCACATACTCCCCCAGCCCGGTATGAACCGAATGCGTCTCGTGGTGCGCCACACGGGCCTGCTCATGGCACTCCCGACAACAGCCGTGATGCTGATACAGCTGGTCGGCCAGCGCGCGTGCCAGCGTGCAAATATCCTCGCGATCCTCGGCAGCCGCTGGGGCAGGGCTTCCGGTTTCTAAATTTGATAGATCACCCTCGAGGGGCTCACTGTGCGTTGGTCGGGACTGTTCGGGAAGGTTAGGGGTAGGACTAGCGGCAGGTTCGAGACTGTTGAGCTCTAGAGGCGGCTCGTCAATTAGGATAGAGCTATCTTCGAGCTCCAGAGGAGCTGGATTGGGGCTTAACGGCGGGAGCAACTCTTCCAGTTCATGGGTCACCGACGACGCCGCTATGCCAGGAAGAGAAGCGATCGGGCGTTCACCAGTTGCAGATGGACCGGCCGAGTAGTATTCATCAAAGAAGGTGTTGCGTTTAGCCGCTTGGGCGGCTTGTCGCTGATTTCGTTGTCGTGTTATCTTCGCGGCCTGTCGCTCTTCTGCAGACTGATACTTGGGGGGCCGACCGCGCTTTCGGGTGGAAGTAGAGTTAAGGGGAGACATAATAACGGAAGAATCACTAGAACCGAAGCCTAAGAGAGGGGAGAGAAAGTAGGCGGCGCTATAAGATAGAGAGATTTCAAGTGCCTTGGTCGTCGAAAGTTGAAATAAGAAAAAGGGGTAACAGGATGAATAGGTCGGTTTCTATTCTGTCTCGAAGATGATCTTAAAACAACGCATTATTACAACCTTCCCTAGCCAGGCAACCGATAGCAAGGTTTTCGGACATGACCGAAAGTCTTACACTTCCCTTATAAGTAAACCAGTGTCAGAATGTGCAAAGCATAGCGGTTGAAAGAAGCAGTGTACAGTATGCCAGGAAGTAGAGGTGATTAGAATATAAAACCAAAATAGGTCTAGTGTTGAGGACAAATCTGAAAGTAGTTTAGTGTTGAGGAATTTAATCGAAAAAGGCTTAGTTTTGAGACGTTAAGTCGAGCGGGATGATTAAGTAATCTTCCACCCGGAAAACCTCAAAAGTTGCCAACTTTGGCTAACGATTCCACGCGAACGGAAGAAGATATTAAAATTCTGATTGAAGGGCAGGATTGTGCATTAGCTACTCTATACCTCAGCGAATTTTTACATGGCATCGACGTTGTTGGGACTCTAAGTCTAGTCGGGCAAACACCCTATGGCGGAGCGGAGGTCAGTCCATATCTGGGACAGCCTGAATAATCGGGCTTGTGCGGTTACGAATGGTCCAGCCCGATGCTGGCTGCTTTGAGATGGGTTTTCGACTTTCGGCCCGGCCAGACCCCCATGATGGGCACTGGCGGCAGAATCATGACCTTTAAACGGGGGGACTTTTCTGAAATAACTGGTCGGGCCATGGGTAGTGGGTGTAATCGGTATTTAGGGTTGTAGAATTCCTGACAAAGCGGGATTGGGAGGGAAGAAGCAGCTATGTGGAGAGGTATGCTTGAGATCATAGGAAGAGCGATTGTGCAGCCTGGGGGAGGCACGTTGGAAAAGGGGCCTTGTCTTAGCCCGCCGAGATATATATATATATTACCATATGTTATAGTCGATAGATCACCTCCACCGCCGCGCGCCAGCCAGCCGTACCCCATCAAAAATCCGCCCGTCTCAACCCGCCGACTTTGACCGGACAGAACAGCGGCAATTCACGCAAGAGAGAGCTTCCGAAGCGACGGGATGGGAATGAAATGGCGGCCGAACGAACAGGCGAAGTTTCAGCGCGCGGCGAGCCCGGGCAGCCCCTATGCACCGGACCCCGATCCGAAAAACGCACCCTTCTCGGGACCCCAAACCCTAGCCCCCTACCAAGCCGCCCAACCCGAAACGCACCCGACCAACCGCCCCGGGGGGCTGCTGGGGTAGGGTAAGATTAATATACTATAATAGATAGTAAGACTTTATTAATAGTATTAATATGGAAAGATAGAAAAGAGAAATTTTTAGGGGATATAATATTAAATAAGTTAATAAACAGAATGCGTCGCGTTACTTTTAAAATATAATAGATTTAATAGAGATTAGTGGTAGTTAGAATAGAACCCGTGATAATCTAGCTACTATTAGTATTTATTACTATAAGAATATTAGAAATAAGGAATATTTTATAAGAAATATAGTATTTCTATTAATAATAAAGATATAGATAAGAATACTATTATTCTAAATAATTAGTATAATAGCTATAATAGAGATAATTTTTAAAATCTACTATTAATGCTAGTAATAGGAAATAAGATATATATTAATATATATTTCCATGCCGTATCTCTAGATAATACTAATTTTTATAGAAAAATAAGAATTCTGCTAGCTATACTAGAGTTTAGATATTTTTATAAAGATAATTTAAATAAGAGATATAGTTATTTATTTTTAATATTTTTTTAAAAATTAAATAACGCTTTTATTATAGATTTTTAGAAGATTAGTTAGAAACAGTAAGGTTAATACAGTTAATCTAACCGGAATCTTAACTGGACTAGATTTAAATAGATAAGATATATTATTTTTAGCGCTAAGAACGGTTAATCAGGTTAATCTAATTTTTTTTTTTATACCGCGGTTAAGTAAAAATAAGATATTTAATCTTACTGTTAACCTGCGGTTAGGTTATGCTGGAGGGCTTTAACCTCCCCTTACCTGGCTATTACCTACTCTAATCTAGAAAAATACTAAGAAAGACTTTCTTAGCTTTTTTTTAGTTATAACTAAAAAGGTTACTTAGATCTAGTTACCTAGAAAAATACTAAGAAAGATTTTTTTAGCTTTTTTTTAGTTATAACTAAAAAGATTACTTAGATCTAGCTATCTAAGAAGATACTAAGAAAATTTTTCTTAATTTTCTTCTAAATAGCTTAAATAAATATCTAATATTTACTAATATTTATTATATTTTTAGATTCGAAAAATTACTAAATTTATAAATACTAGCCTTTAATATTGTAAAAAATTTTAACTTATTTAGTATTTAAAATCTAGATCTATATACTATATATTTTTTAACTATAAAATCTGTTAGAATTTTTTTTATTTAATAATTTAACGCGCACTAAAGCTCTGCTAACTAATTAAAAGCTTTATTTAGTATTAGAATAATTAGAAGCTTAACTATCTACGGCCCATACTAGTAAAATAAAAATAGTTAGAATATTTTCTAAAGCTTCTATATCTATTTTATATCTTTATATTCTGTTTTTTAGAAAATACTGGCTTTACTGTCTATAAAGTATATAATATTTATAATAATCTGTTTAACTATCTAAATTTTATTATTAATTATCTTCGGAATAAATAAGTCTTATAGAAATAACAGATTTTTAAAGACTTAGAAGAAGCCTATAAGAAATTTTAGAAATACTATTAGTAAATATACTAGATAAAGAGTTATATCTATACTATTATAATAATTCTTAGTTCTATCTTTAAACTTAAAAAGTTTAAAATAACTATATAACTTAACAATAATATTAATTAGTATTAAAAATATTATACTATTTTTAAGAAGATATTCTATTTTTACTGTAGTTAGAATCTAAGTATTAATATACTATTAACTATTTTAAATCTATTATCTAGACTAAATAAAATATTTTATTATTTTTTAAAATAATAAAGACTTACTATTTTATTAGAAATTTTTAAGAAGCTTAAGACCTATTTTAATATAGAAAATAAGTTATACTTTAAATAGGCCTATATTTTACTTACTATTAATAAGATACTATTAGTTAATCTAATATTCTTACTTACTAGAAATTTTATTATAACTAATTTCTAATTCTCTATTTTATAGCAAAAAACTTTCTTATAATTATAACTAATAATATTAGTATTAAATATCTTTTTAACAGCTTCTAAAATATCTATTACTATTGTTAGAATCGGTTATATTCTAATATTATTAAAATAATTATACTGTAGATATATACCGATCGCTTTACTATTAATAAGAAATATTAGTAAATTTTTAATAAAATTAATCTTAACTCTATTATCTTTATATATAAAGAAGAAAATAATAATATAATTAAAGCGTCTTTGTATATTAGTAATAATAAAAATATAGATAATATAGATAAAAATCTAGAGAATAGATTATTATTAGAATTTATATATACTATCCGGACTATTAAAAAGATATAATTTCTTTAATATTATTAATAATATTTAGAATAGTATAAAGAATAGAAAATAGATAATAAATATTTTTTTTAATATATTCTTAAAGTAGAATATTTTAATTAGTTTATTCTAAGTAGTAAATTATATTATAAAATTACAAGAATATTAATACTAAAATAAAAAAATACAGTAAATTATAAAGGTAATTAAAATATATTAATTATTATTTAATTTACAGTTAGTATTTTTATTAAATTAATCTTCTTTATCTTACTAGCTAGTTAATCTAGTAAAATAGAATCTTTAATCTTAATCTAACTATATCTCTCTAGTTATTAGATTTTTTATACTTTAATTTAATCTAGCCGGTTATAGTTAGGTTATAGTAAGGTACAACGGTGAGGTTAACCCACTCTATGCTGGAGGTCCTTAACCTCCCCTCACCTGGCCATTGCCCACTCTACCGGAGATAGATAATAAAAATAATAGAGAAAACTATATACTGGCAGGAAGATATAGTATAGATTTAGATTTTATAGATTAAATTATAAAAAAAGAGATCTATCGTTAATTCTAGATTTTTAAATAAAAGCACCTAAAAAATTAAGAATAAAAAAAAGATAGATCTCTATAGGAAGCTATTTCCTATCTAATATTTATTTTTTTTTAAGAGATATGTTGATAGCGCGTCTAATACGCGTAATTAAAAATAGAAAAAAATAAATTTATGTCTGCTACTGTTGATCTCTAAAGATAAAATATAGATATAATCTTGCTAGATTCCTCTTTTAAGAGAGTAGACCTGTCCGTTCGGGGCACGCACGCGAAGCGACGGGAGCACGGCGAAACATCAAATCTTAACCAATCAGCGTTCGAGAAAATAGATCGAAGGTTGGGTGAACTCGGGCCTAGGGAATAGGATAATTAGATTATTTTCTACCCGGCAAATTTTAAAACTTACCAACTTTAGCTAACGATCTAATATAAACAGAAGAAAATATTAAAATTCTAATTAAAATATAGGATTATGTATTAGCTACTCTATATCTTAGCGAATTATCTTAGAGTGCTGATGTTGTTAGGGCTCTAAGTCTAGTCGGCAAACACCCTATGGCCGGACATTTCTAATCAGCTGAGTTGCTAGTTACCATTAGTTATCTGAATTTTACTAATTATTACTATAGTAATCCTGTACTATAGGTATACCGAGCTAATTAAGCAAACTTTTTTTTTAAGAATTTTTTTTAGAAAGATATAATAGTTATATTACATTCTGTAGCATGTGAAGCAACAGCTGCGCACAGATAAATGTGGAAACATAGAGAGCAGAGCTGAGATCAGTCCACTGCCGCGAAAATCATCCACCCAATCCAGTCCAGACACCCTGCCTAGGCAGGCATGAATTGAAATAGAGTAACACGGCCCGAGGCATGCCCTAGGACAAGAAAATCATCACCGAAACACATGCATGTCGCCGAATAACCTGGTGGTAGCCTAAGGAGATACTGTCCGTCCCAAATTATCCATTCGCCTCTAACATATGGACTTCGATCATGACCAAAAGGCATGTCGGATTCCAAAAGGCTTAACAGACCCCCATCGGTTCTGATATATCGGACATCTCCTGAAAACGTTAAGCTCCTTACCGGTAGTTCCACCCTAAGCAAGCGAGTGCATTCGCCAGTTGCAGTTATAGGGTCAATATTCCAAATCCGAACACTTCCATCATCAGAACAAGACGCAAGCATCCTGTTATCAAGTGAGAAGGTAAGGGCGTTGACACTCTTTCTATGTCCGGCAAGTGTCTGTCTGGATCTCGCGGCACCTGTCGAAGCGTCGATGGACCAAAGCCGGACCGTCGTATCAGTTGAACCTGATGCAAGTATGGTACCGTCCGTTGAGAATGCAGCAGTTGAGACCGAACCTTTGTGGCCTATAAGTTTCTGGGATTCGTTGCCAAGTATCCTAAGTCCATGGGCCGACGAACTGATGTTCCATAGATATATAATTTGATCCGACGAAGCAGAAGCAAGCATTTTGCCGTTGAAGGACCAGACGACAGCATTGACTGAATCACTGGGGTCAAGCCAGTCCTCTGACACTATCTCTGCGCATTCAGGTACAATTTCATAAAGCACAACTCCCCAAGTCGTACCGGTGGCAAGCAATTTGCTATCGGGGGAGAAAGCGACAGTGGTAGCCCAACTTTTAAGGTACAGGCTCTGTTTGAAGATAGAGGTTCCGGTTGTAGGATCGATGGAGCACAGGCGAACAGTCGCATCCGATGAAGCTGACGCCAACATCCTGTCATCAGGCGATAGAGCAACAGCGGTGACCATGCCTTTATGGCATGTTTCTGGACAATGGCTTACTCCAGTATTGGTTGCGGAATCGATGTCCCAGAGACGGACTGTCGCATCATTTGAAGCTGATGCAAAAATGTTACCGTCTGATGAGAATGCAACACTTCTAACACAATTTTCATGACCAGTAAGTCTCGCGATGCAGGTGTCAGATATGGAAGTATTGACATCCCAGAGACAAACTGTGGCATCTGATGATGCAGATGCGAACTTGGTGCCATCCGGTGAAAATGCAACAGCATGGATTGAATCAACGCTGTGGTATAATAGTTTTACTGCTCTAGTGGTTGCAAGCTCTGGGCCAATGCTCCAGAGGATAAGCTCTCCATTTGACGAACCAGAAACTAGCATCTCGCCATTGGGTGAGAAGGCAATGGCATTGACCTCATTTGGGAGACTCTTAAATTCAGAATTGGCAGTCCCTGGATGATCGAGGGACCATAGGGCAATGGTTTTATCCGAAGAAGCGGATGCAAGTTGTTTGCCATCAGGTGAGATGGTAACAGCATTCACGCGGCCTCCGTGGCCCGTAAACATGTGGCTGGTAAGTTCTGGAGATCCTAGGTACCACAGCCTAATTGTCTTGTCTGATGAAGCAGATGCAAGCAAGAGGCCATCGGGCGAAAAGGCAACGGCATTGACTAGATCTGTATGACCTCCAATGGTCTGCTTTGGTTCAATAGTAGCGGTCGCTGAATCAACGGTCCAGAGTCGCAACGTCTGATCATCTGAAGCGGACGCCAGTATTTGGCCGTTAGGTGAAAAAGCAACGGCTTTCACCATATCTGTGTGGCCTGAAAGCGTTTGTGTAGGGGTGCCGCTAGCTGTCGCAGCATCTATAGCCCAGAGACAGACTTTCGTATCCGAGGAGCCAGATGCAAGTATTTTGCCATTTGGAGAGAACGCAACAGCGCTGACAACACCATTATGGCCCGAAAGAACCTGTCTGTATAGATCCCAGGACTCCTTAATGCCCGATATGTTCTTGACATATGGCAGTTTCTCTCCCCAAAATCCCTTACGTATCTCACTCTGCGTCGGACAGAATGCGATGGCAGTGCCATATACCTGCAGGGGAAAACGTTCAATCGTTGACCTATGATAAACTGTGAAAACTTCCGCTTCCTTCAGAAAGGCTACCAGTTCAGGATAAGCATCAAAATGTGACTATGCTTCATGAGTATTGAAAACGGCCTGGAATGTGGGAACATACCCGGAGGATATCTAGGAGCTTTTTTATTGACGAAATTCCATCCGCAATTCGACGTAACAAGCTCAATGCTTCGATCCAGTGGAGAAAGTGAAGCTTCAAGAAACTGAGCGCAAGATGACAGAGCGGACCACTTGTTTCATTGCCTTCCTCAATTGCGTTGCGTAAATGGTCGAGCCAGAAGACACAGGAGTACCTCTTAGAAAGTAATGGGTCCTCCTCAGATAGATTTATCTCGTTTGACGGAATATCCCAGCGTCCCAGATTGTACATGTCTCTTTTCAGGTCCATCATTGCCTTGATTGAGTTTCCAAGGATGTCCCCATGACCGCGGATATTCCCGTGAAAACCTTGTCGATGTTCGTCTAAATACTCCTTGGCTGACTGATGGACCACGTTGATGGCCTCGTCCTTGGTGGTCAAAAAAGATCCACATTCACGAACGATAGTAAACGGGTCGACCGAGTTGGACCAGGGAACAAGCTGGGCAAGCTCAGAAAGAAAGAGCGGAAGGTTATATGCAAGCGAAATGACCATTAGAACATCCCAACAACGCTGGCGAAGTGTTGGATTCGCTGCCATAATCTTTGACATCTTCTGATCGTATAACAGTTCCAAACCAGAAGGAAAGTTCTTAATGCTTCGAACCGCCCAGTTTCCGCGCATACGTCGGAGCTCATTGAAAACAAGGGACAACCAAAGGAACTGGTCTTTCCCTCGCTCGCGGACGGCCTCGCCCACTTTGGCCAATATATTATCAGTGTACGAGAAACCGATCTCAGGGACCATTCTCAAGTCCGACAGCTTGTGATCGATATACTTCTCAACACAGTCTCGTTGACCTTGAACATCGAGCTCGGCAAGATGCGGCGCATTGTTCGGGCTCATTTGTTTCAAACGCTTTCCGACGTCAACACCAGGGCGACTAGATACTAACCACCTCACAGTACTAGAAGCAGTAAGGGAATACGAAATGACATCGAGAAGGTCATCCAATCCTTGCTCGCACTCATCAAGAGCGTCAACAACGAAATAAACCGGGCGAGTATCCTTAATGATGGCCTTAAATGCTCGTGATAGGGCAATCGATGCATTCATATCTGTGTAAAGTGTCCCGCCCGAAGCCTTGTAATCCGGCTGCAAATGCGAAATGAGATGAGGTTGTTGAATAACCAGCATCCAAATGAGGGATCTCATGATGGAGCTTGCATTGTTCAGGTCAGAGTTCGTACCCTGGCAAAAAAAATACGAGAGCGTTCGTGCGACAATGGCTGGCTGGTCGGAGAGTTCACGGATGATACCAATTAAGAGCATTGTCTTACCTGTGCCTGCAGGTCCATGTACCCACAGCAGGCGTCGTGCTTGAAAATTGGACTCATCCCAGTTCGTGAGCTTAACGTATTCCTCGTCCTCCAAGATCCACTCATATACCTCCTTCAGGACCTTCTCCTTTTCGTTTTCAATCCTTCTCATGTCATCTTGCGGGTTGACTATTCGAAGATCCCTGACGCACGTGAAGTTCTCATCTTCCGTTCGATGTTTCACTTGTTTCTCAGTGAAATTCCAGAGAGTTTCACGAATGTCCCCAAGCAAGTCCCTTATATCTGTGTCGACCCTGAGGAGGTCACTAGTCATTTTTTGGGCTTTTAGTCTGTCGTACGTGGCCCAGTCTCCCATAAGAGCTTTCTCGGCAGTAATTACTTCCTGTACATCTCCATCCCAGTCATCAAGTCTCACAAGGGACCGAAGAAAAACCAGCCCTTGGTGCCTATAATAAGAGCAGACACTCTTTATTTGGTAAAGAAGAATGCTTTTATAGAGTGCGAGGACTTTCTGTTGCAGCTGCTGCAACGTTGAGCCGAAATAGCCCTCATTCTTATCCTGGTCGAGAAGATGCCCTGTAAGGGCATAATACCAGTCCATTCTAGTAGTGACGTGGGTAATACCCATTAAATTAGCCTTCGTCGTTTTTGCTGGATTTGAAAGAATCTGAATGGTATCAGCTGAAGGAGCTCAAAATAGGATGGCGGATAAGACCATACTTGTAGAATAAAACAAACACCGGCCCAAGGCAGCGCAGCGGGCGCTGCATGTGGCACGTTGTTGATGACGCTATCAACTATTGGCTTGAAGAAGAGGATTGCTTCAGAAATGGCACCAACGGCCTTCGAGACCTCCGATGCTTTCGCAACTTTGGCCTGGCCTGTTAGTACCAGCTCTTTCATGTATAATTGCCTCTTAGCCCGATAATTATGATTAGTTAAAATCCTTGCTTCTCCTGCTCCACCGGAGGCGCTATGGTCCAGGACATCGATAGCATTAGTTTCGGCGGAGGTGCCGCTTGCTTTAGCAGCATAAGTGTGTCGCTCAGAATCATGCTCCAGGATATCCAGAAGGGTGTGTAAGTAAGCCTCAACAAATTCTGAGGTATCTTCATTGTTTGCAAGGCTCTCAAAAGCATCATCCCAGAGTTCCTGTGAGAGCACCTCTTCCGAGGGCGGACGTGGAATTTGATTCTGCGGAGCAAACGCTTTGTCCCGGAGTAGGCGCCCTCCAATTTGGGCCTCAGCTGTCCCCAAATCTATCTGTTCACCACCAGATGCCTCCGGGCGTAGCATCGGACCGCAGTTTAAATCCGCCGCGGCGACGTCACTTGGCCTATGTGGATTCTTTTGTGACAGAACTCCATCGGTATTGCTTCGCCCACCGTGTCCTTTTTTAGATGACCTTCCCGGGCCTTTCTCACGGCTGCAACGGAAAAAATTCTTGAATTTCGTTCGGGCTGGATGTTTTTCTGAACGGACAGCTAAGATCTATAAGTACCCGAGCTTCAGTTTTTAGTGTAAAAAGGAAAATCCCTTACATTGTGGGGTTTCCGGCTCAGGTGGTGAAGCCATGCTGTGCTGATTTACAGGGGGTTTTCCAGCGACCCCGCTTGCCCTTTGGTATTTATTTTCAAGTGGCATTCCAGAGGGTATTAGAGGAATAGCCCGCAAACAGGAGAATTATGGTGGGAAAGAAACTTTCTTAGGGTATTTTTTCATATGCTTCTTCCAAGAACCAAGGGTTACAGTAGTGGGCTTATTGTGTACTAAATAGTAGTCACTATATGCTCTTGTTAAGGGTTTGGGCGAGATATCAATTGGCTATTGAGGCAAATAACTGAGTAAATGACGTATGTGATCCTATTATCATTTTAAACTTCTGGTTCTGCCATCATATACAACGATAGAGACTGTTCGAGAATGTTGGCTTAGCGTTACCACGGAATGGTACTAAGAATAGCGGGGCAGCTGGAAAGCCTAGATGTGTCCAGATATCCTTAGGGCCTAGGCCCGACCGACCCTACTCCCTAGGAGCAAAGACATCGTACCCTAACCAACTAGTATTGAACAACCAAGCCCTTGGTCGGTTTGGGGCCCCGCGCAGGAAGGCCACTGATTAGCTGAAATTTTCTATAGTTTATTGTACTTATGGTTGGTTTACTAGAAGAGGCTTAGTTAGTTTAATTTTAATTCCGTCTTTTGTTCGCTATAGCGCAGCTACAAATTTCTAATTTTACTAGTTGGTAGATTGGCTATTCAACTCTAACTCTGTATTATTCTAATATATTAGTTTGATCATATATTACATAATAGTAGTATAAAATTAGAGAGTAATTAGAATAGATTTTAATAGAATACTGCCTGTTAGATCTAATCTATATGCGCTTTTTTATATAAATATTTATATATATATTTTTTAGGGGGTATAACTATAGGCTCTGCCAAGAAATTATTACTATGCCACCTTTGCTTGGTACCGTCGCGACCCTACTTAGGAGATACAGGATTATGCCGCTGCTGCAACTTTTCCATCGCCTGAATGGATCAATTCGCTTGTTGGGCGAGTACAGGAGGCCATGAGAGAGTCAATATTTATTTAGTATCTAGCTGGCCGTGCGCCCTTCCGCGGATGCTAACTTGATGGACCACTATCTTTGTTCGGTTGGAAGAGAGCGGTGATGATCGCTCGAGTCACCTTTATCTGCTGAACAGATGGACCGGCCGATCCAGATGACTTCCAACCTCTTATTGGCTGTCTGAGATGCGAGTTCACTAGACTCTCTCAATATATCCCCTTGCTTGGTAGAGCCACCACCCCTTTTCTTCTGTCCTTCTGTGCTTCTGTGCCTATATCTCCGCGGCCCGCCAGAGACGGTGGAATAAATGTCAAACGAACTCTCTGGTTCCGAAAAGTTGACGGTACTACGTTTATTATACTAGACAGTGGTAAGCAGAAGTCGTATCAGTGTAAATTGATGAATTCCAGAAAAGGTGACTAGGGCCGCTCTAGGCCCGGTATGCAGGTGAACCTCGTTCAGCAGCCGGTCTAGGTGCGCGGAAAGCCCCATGGAGAATTGAATTGATACAAAGGACAAAGACCACTATTAGTACAGGAATGGTGTCACGCGTGACAGAGGCGGATACATTTCGAATTAGATTGGGGTTTCATCTTCATGGCCATTGCTTTAAAGAGCATACCCCTTGACCGGTGGCTCTTCGGATGTCCAGGATGCAAAGTTCAAGACGTTTAGGACGGCCGCAACATTGGTAGCTTCGACACTGAGGAAGTCGTCAACTGTCAGCCCCGGAGGCAAAAATTAGCCGCAGACAGTGTCGAGATCGATCCGCAATACTTGACCAGGCCCGTCATGCGTTAGTGCGTCAACCACCAATGCCTATATGACGGGGTTCACCAGCATGCTTTCGTGGGTATAAATACTTCCGGCAATCTAGCCCGGACAAACTAATTACATCTAATTGTTGGTTACGCCAACAGCGCGGATACCTTAAAGATAGGCGGATACTTCCGTGCCGATCTAAGGTTGAATAATTTTATCTAGACTTGAGTACAGGGTCGTAGTAGAAATGTATACGGAATTACCGTCGTGGCTCCGAAGCGCATGGATTAAGTTAGTATTATAGGCTTGCTGCAGGATCGCCGGGGTGTAAGATAAGGAGGCAAATCCCGGACAGGCCCTGTCTATTAGCAAACTATGAAAGTCAGAGCTCACTGGCATGAAATCCTAAACAGCGTCGCGAGTAGATGGCCAATATTTAAAGGCCTATTGTGTATCGAGCCCACCCTATAACCACGAAATCACTCCAATTTTACTACCGTTACATATTCCGGAGAGATAATTTATAGCGTACGCAACGTACTCAAAATTCATCTGCACATCGTCAAGAGAGTTCCCAGGTATATTTAACCAAACCGGATCGGCGAAGTCGGTAGCTAATAGAAGTTTTGCAAAGTTGAAATAGTAGGTTAGGCCGGCCTGGACGCCAGTTCCCGGTACAAGCAGAACAGGGATTTTTCCGTTAGCCCCATATTCGAAGCCTTAGGGGATATATAGGGCCGATCGGAGCGTACTTTCCTCAACCAAATAAAGAGCATCTTCAGTGGTCTTCTGAGGGTAGATAGAGGTTTTGGGAGATTTGGGATTATTGTTCGCCGAGGAGTTTATCTCGTCGTCTATAATCCCCTGCAGTAGATCGATGATATTCGATGGGAGTAAGCCCCGGGTCACCAATTCCAGATTATATCTAATATGGTCGACGGTGTCGTTAAGGATATTAAGACCGGATAATGCCCCTATAGCCCCCTCTACCGATGTGACGGACGTCTTCCTGCCTTCGGAGAGGTCGAGTAGATGAGAGACAAGCAGGTTCACTTCTTGCACTGCGCCCTAACCCAAGAAGTCTAACGCCTTGAGATTGTTCGTTAATATGGACAGCGTTGCCGAAAGACTGCGGCGCTTCTCCGAGGGCGAAGCGACAGTTAAACTGGCCCACCCAAGGAGGACGCCGCCAAGGATAGTTAGGGGCTTCTGCAGATACGTCCTAGTCGTTTTGAGGAGACTGCGCGGAGTGTGGTGTGGTATGGGGTGGGAATAAGACCATTCTTATATAAACATACCAGGTGTGTTCCTGGATCCGGGAGTAAATTTTTCTCCTCCCCTTTGGAGATGTTGCGCTGATCAGGTCTCCACTATCACGAACCCTGGAGGTTTTTTGCAACTAGCCCACGCACCCGGGCTCGTCCTTGCACCCGACATGTTGGTCCACGTCGCCGGGGTCCCTCTAATTGTCGTGAGGAACAGCCGTAGAGCAGACAGATCCAATGGAGCGGTATCTAGCTCCCCGCGAAAATCAGCATGGGATCAGTACCAGGGTTGGATAGGCTTTGACTTTCGTGGTCCGCCCACCCCTGAATTAGCCTGATCGACGGGCCAATCGCTGGGAGTTCTCCCCCATGTCCTCCTCCATCCCTGTCCGATCTATCGAATCTTATTTCGTCTATGACTAGTAACATTAATCAATGAAGGAGCAGGAATAAGAGTAGTAGGAGCGCGGCGCTTTATTCACCCTAGAGTGGCCCATTTCCTACTTTAGTAATAATCAACACATAGCGGAGAATCTCCGCTTTGAGGCTGGCCGAACAGCGATAGTAATATCACGAATAGGACTGTGTTGCTGAAGGGGAGATGACACCAGCTGTGAGACTCGTGGTCTGTTGAGCTAGGTACCCGAAGTCCCCAAACCCCCCCCCCCCCCCCCTTCTTCAAACTTGAAAAACATCTTATGACGGCATGAGCCGCTCTTTATGGCCGATGCTGCTATACTGAGTCCAAAGTCGCGTTTCCACGGGGCCAGGCTTTATCGGTGATGCTGTCCAGAGCTCAGAAGCGACGTTTGATTCTTCCCTAGCACGTGTATGGCCTGGGTGCTTTCCATCGGATACATCGTTAACAGAGATCTCTGTGTTGAAGAAGACGCACACAAGCGAGCAGAACTGTTTATTTTAGCATGAGATTAGGGGCTTTCTCGACGCTGTTTAGGAATTCGCGGCCATTTCCGGAAAAGTTCGGCAGTACCTGGACAATTAAGCGGTAAAATGTCACGGTAGTAACCCGATCGATGTGCCTAAGGTTTATTGATGAGTCTATCTGTGGATAAATCACACTTACCCGCAGCATATGAGCTGACCAGCCAAGACAATAACACGGGTCCCTCAGCTGAACTACACAAACACACCGCTTTCATCAGGCTGTGCCCTGGGAAATAGAGAGCAACTGCTTGGTGAAGTGTTTATGTCCAACTGGAGAATAGCACAAGTGTGTCAAACCCTGGGATTCGCCTAAGCCGCGCGACCTGCTAGTGTAGTAGTTCAAGCACGAGGGTGCCTCGAATCCACTAGTCCGGCGTGGTACTGATAGTCATCCTCGGAGCGGTACGGCTCCTGAGAACTGAGTCGAGGTTCTTGAGGACTGACAAGATGATCCTAAGATCTGAAGCAAGGAAGGTAGAAGTAAGGCCAGAATACACATATCCACTTGTGATAAGAGTATAGACGAAGCGTACTAGCAGTGACAACGATTTAATTATCAATGACAGTTGTATTGAACGCGAAGAACTAAAACAAGATCTTCCTAAGTACATGGTAATGTGTGTCCTTGTATCCTTTCGATCCTGTGGTGTGGTATATCGATGGGATAGGTGTGGTAAATGGGTGGTATGTGGCGATGGTCGGTTCTACCATTTGGGTGATTTCCTGTATACCATGACCTCTGATTGGTGGATGTCGGGTAGTAGGTAACCAAGTCTGTTGATGTGCAAGTGCTGTATCAGCCAGGACCCACACTAGGATACTGCCAGGCCCTTCACCCAACCCGCACCGCGTGCATCCCTACTATCTAATTTAGCTAACTAGTTATCTATTAGTTGACTTGCATCCCTGCCGGCGCGGAAGCGCCGGCTTGTAATTCTTATCATAATATACTTCACTAATATATCCCCCAAGTTCCTGTTAATTTACTCCGTACAACGTCTACATACTCATCCTAATCAAAACCCCAATTACTCAACATCTCACCCACTGCAGCGCCCGCATAGAACATCATCCCCGGACTCCTAGGATGAAACGTTTTAATCTGCCTGGTAGGCAACCACCAAGAGACATCCTGGCTACTATAGTCCCTATTGGCAATGGCCTGATTCGCTCGGTCCAAGCTCTGCGCAATCAAACTCGACGAGTTCGCCTTGACGTGGACCGCAACGTCACACATGAAAACCGCATAGGGATCCGGGTCCGATCCCAGCGCATCCTGGCACGTATCCGCATCGGGCAGCTGGATCGATCCGGAGTTCATAAGCGCGGTAATTTCGTCTGTCTCGGTCGCGTTCGTGCTCTCGGCTGTCGTGTCTCCAACAATCGCGATATCGGGCCATGCGGATAGGAAGAAGTAAGTGTTTGGGTTGTCGGGGTCTGGTTCTTGGGTTCCGGGCTCGCACCAGCGGTGGCCGTCAAATCGCGCGTCCATATCGATGTAATGGATCTGCTCCGTATTTCGGGCGGTGTTGATGTCGGAAATGGTGGATTGGATTAGCGAGTTGAGCATGCGGACGAGGTCGTTGAGTTCCTTGCGTAGGTCGGTCGTGAGCCATACATAGTTGCCGGATTGCTGCGGGTCGTAGTGTGGGCTTTCGTACCAGAAGGTGGTTGAGTCGCAGTCGGTGGTGTCTTCGTTGAAGAAGGTGACATAGCCAGGGACGTAGAGGTTGAACGACTGAAGTAAAGTCAGCGCGACGAAGGACAGCACGACAGGAATAAATAAGGATGACAGGGAGATATACGCTAGAGCCAGATCCGTCCAAGATCTTTTCATATGCAGCCCTAAGTTTCGCGCCGAGCCCGTCAGACCCTGTATCCTGCATCAGGTTGCGGGCTTTCTCTTCAGTCTCCAGACACCACTGGCGGTATTGTTCGAGCGAGTACCACCACATTGTTAGCACACAGTTGGAAACCAGATCGCTGAAGAACACATCGTTCCCTCCAATTGTCAGGGTTGCCATGGTAGTCCCCGTGGGGTTCTGTCCTAGCCATTGGTCAATCTTTTTATTCAGTCCAACCGTTGTATCCCCCGAGCATGCATAGTTGGTATAAGTAAAATCCTCAGTATCAAACCACTCCTGGACAAGCTCGCCGTAGCTGTTACTTCCCACGCGGCAACTGTCACCGGTTGTGGTTCCTGTACCCATCCCGGCCGCGTAGGAGTCACCAAAGTGAACATAATCATTGACACCGTACACAGCGTCAGCATCATAAGATGAATCTTCGTAGGCCGGACAGCTGTAGTCATCCGCCGCCGAAGAGGACTCCTCAGGAAGGGGAATCTGTCGACCACATATTTTGGTATAGTACCCGCCAACTACGACAAGAGCCCATGAATCCGCATTGTAGGCGGACAACTTGCTGTCACAGATGCCTTCTTGCCCGAGGTTATTTGGGTCTGGGCAAAGCAACCTGCGTTGCCAGTTAGCATCGCCGGCTGTACGGAGCTTATTGGCGGCTCTTTCAGCCGTTCTGCCTCTTTCGGTACAGTGTCGATTCAAGGTCCCTGCGGCAAGATCTCGAGCTCCTTTCCATCCGTAGACATAATCGCGGGTCCTCCTAAGGTGAAAGAATCAGTATCGGCCTGGTAATGAGAAAAAAGATGTGAAACCCACCCCTTATCCCCATTAACAAGCTTCATAACATAATTGGTATGCGTTACTTCGTGCAAAATCGCTGCAGCTCGAGTGAGATAGGCATCATGGAGATTAATTGAGTCGCACCTCGCGAGCGCTGACCTGGAACTCTTCAGGTAGACATCTGTGAAGAACCTTGGGCAGAAATTAAGCCGATTCTTATTGTTCATCATGGCAAACCAGCCGTTCTCGTCACATCCCCGAAGGTTTTTGCAAGTGATCGTGAACTTTGCGTCGTCGAATTCCGAAGACCCAGAAACCATGGTGACCATCCGGTCGAACGTATGCCCTATATTCGTAATGAAGACCGAGCTGTCGGTGAGTGATTCGGCAAAGAAGATGTCCCTATATGGGTAGTATGCGCCCTCGCTGAAGTACGCAACTTCCGACGCAGCATCAAGTGCATATTGCATTTCTTCAAAGATCGTCTGGACCTGGGCCCTAGTGCACTCGCTGTTGTCTTGATAATGAGGGGTGAGCTCGATGGGGGCTGTTTCAGGAGATACAGGTAGATTGGGGTCAGTTATCGGGCCGTCATCGCCTGTGTGATCTTTGGTGGCACATTCGTTGTACCATGTCTGCGCTGTGTTGTTTATGGAGTTCCAGATGCTGTGCATGTCTGCACGACCGTCGCCGTTCAGATCAGGGAAATAAGTGCATGAGCCTTCAACCGCGCCTCGGTACTTGGGACCCTGCGGTCCCCATTCGTATCGCGATCCCTTGATATCACGTCGGCCAAGGTTGTACCACACCGACCCGTCTCCCGAGAACTTGTCTGTCCAGATCATATCGGCCTTTCCGTCGCCATTAACATCGGCCCAGTGCAGATTCGCCCTGTCCTTCTCCTCGGAGTACTTGAATTGATCAATGTACTCCCATCCATCGTCCCCATTGACCCAGCCCCAGGTGCGGCCGTCCTTCTCAACGCACAGGTAATCGGCCTTGCCGTTGCCAGAAACATCAGCAAAATGGACCGGCCGGTCAAAGAAACCAAGCCCTCGGTGCTCGGGGCAGTAAAGCTCATCTGCAGCATTGATATTGTACTCCCAGTCAAAACTCCCCGTGTCTTTGATCTTGTTCCGCCAAACTTGGACCCTGTTCAGATTGTCGGGATCCGTCCAGATTATATCGCAGGCTCCGTCGCCGTCCCAGTCTGCGAGATGCAGATCGCGCCGGTCAAGCTTCATGCCAATCTGCTCTTGGGGGTCGAAGATAATCTCATTCGCTCCCCAGAAGCTCGACCCGTCGGTGGGGACTTCAACCAGGCCCCGATTCGGATAAAGACGCATATGGCCGGTTGAATGGATCCAAACGTAGTCCATCATACCATTGTCGTGGCCCATCATATTGCAATACCTGTCTCCGTCGGCTATAACAATTAGCAATCAACCTCTCTATGAGAACTTCCTTCCATACCTTTGATCTTAGCCCCTCCTGCGCCCTTGCTCTTCCACACATGAACGTAATACAGCGGCCCAAAATACTTGTCAGAGGTATCCTTCTTGATGAACACATAGTCCTGTCTCCCGAGCTCTCCAAAATCCGCCACCTCGCCATAGAGTCGCGCAAAGTAGACCTGATCCCGTAATCCGGATGTCCCGAATATCCCTCCCATTCCGGGATGCGACGGGCCAGAGTTAGCATCCTGGTAGAACCCCTGGCGCCACACGACGTTCAACCCGTCACCAGACTCTCCTTTGATGCAGCTCCGGGAGTTGGTGTATGTTGTCGTAGCGCCATCGTCATCAACCCACATCCAGTCATCGCGCCCGTCGCCGTTGATATCCTCGAATCGCACGCCGCGCAGGTCCCCCATGCCTTTCCCCGTGAAGCGCTTGCCCAGCGGCTGCCAGTATGCGGGGATGTCTTCGATCCATCCATTTCGCCAGCATGTGACGTCGCCGTTGTCAGCCAAACCGCAGTAGTCGGCGCGGCCGTCGCCGTCGATATCAGCAAGGCGTACATGTGCCTGATCGTATCCTTCGGGAGTCTTCCATAGTCCGATATCGGTGAAGGATGGAGGCTTGTTGCTCTTGGCGTCGCCGTCTCCATTGTTGATGCTTGCGTAGGTAGTCCCGTCCAAGGCGATGCAGATGTAGTCATCAAGTCCGTCGCCTATCATTTATCACACAGAAATCAGTCCCAGATGGTTCCTCGGCAGACAGACACAGTGCTTACCGTTGATGTCGATAAAATGCACACCCCCCGGGTTACAATTATTATGAGTCGAGAACGTCCCACCCTTCGTAAACTCCTGCTCCTCAGTGTGGACATTATTCGTGTAAGAAAGAAACGTCACCGCGCCGGAGTCGTTATCCTTGTGGAAGATCATCATGTCATCATACGCCCTAGTATAAAGCCTCCCGAAGAAAAAGTGCAGCTCGTCGTCATCCTTGTATGGATCTGCTGCACCCTTGCCGGCGCGGACAGTAAACAACGCCCCGCTATACTCGCTGTCGTGTCGATAGATTCCGTCATCCTCACCACTCCCTTGCTGCGTGAACCCGCCAGCGTAGACTCCGCTCCCATACTCTTTGTCACAGGTCCCCGTGGATGAGATGTCAAGGTCCGCCGGCTTGACAATGAGCTCCGCCACCGCAGCGTTGTAGATCGCGTTATACCAGATGTCTGCCATCTGGGAGTACCCGTAGTCGTTGGGGTGCTTGTTATCGGCGAAGTTATCAGGGTACGCGATCCAGTTGTTTCCGGGGCTGGGAGCCGGCGGATCCATATCGGCCAGGACGATGGAGACATTCTGCGCCTCGCGCATGTCAAGGACCAGCTCGCGGAACTGTGCGTTGACGGAGGGCCTGTTAGCTTCGAGGGTTGTGGAGCCCGAGGGGATCAGGGTCGACAGGACGATGAGCGTGTTGGCCATATCCGGGGCGCCGATTAGGGTTTCGATCAGGGAGCGCATGCGCTCGCCGGCGTTCGCAGGGTCGACGTTGTAGTCGCAGTCGTTGGTGCCGGCGTTGATCAGCACGACATTCGGCTTGTAGGCGAGCGAGTTTGCGGCCGCGGTTTGCACTTGCGTTATCACGTCGCCGCTGTGGGCTTCTACATCCTTTTCCCGCGTTTATATGTCAATTGGTCTGTCTATCTGTCGGAGGGGTGGGGGAAGAGAGATGCGTACATTGTCTACCATGTCACCGTTGGACTTACTGCCCACCATGTCCACTTCCCAGCCTTCAAAGCGGAGTTTGTCACGGAGAGGCTTGCGATATCCATTGCCGGTTGAGGATAGGTATCCCCAGGTGATGGATGCGCCAAGAGGGAGGATCCGTAGAGGGACTTTCGGGGCATCATCTCGTTTTGCTTTTGGACGCCATTCAGCAGCGTCGAAATCTATATATCTCGAATCGTCTGTGGGTCGCGAGACAGGGACAGCTGCTCCTGTGGCAGTAGATGATAGAAGAGCCAGTGTTAGGTTCAACACCGTAAAGAAAAGTAGAGACGCCATTATCGATGCTGACTCTCTGCACCTTTCACTCCTCTTCCATACTGCGACTCGTTTTTATACTTTCACAGCCCTCCAGTCATTTCATGTGTAAGATGCCTCGGCGTATGTGCCGTTCTGAAACAAGTGTACTTCCAAGAATCGCGAGTTCGAGTATGGTACCGGGATAAACCTGGATACTTAGGTATCAAAGAATGAGACCCTGGCATTTTTCATGGCAAGTTTGGGGGCCGTAATCCTGTGGCAGAGGCTCATATGCGGCGGTCGAGTCATGCAATGGGTTTATTTGGCGTAGTTTACGGAGCAACCAATCACTGGCCTGAATATGGTACCAGGATGAACCAGAATAGTACCAAAGGATGAGACTGGCATCCTTCATAGCCATAACTGTTGGGGGCCACCATCTGTGATAGGGAGATATGCAGTGATTGAGTGGTGCAACGGGCTTAATTGTAATCGGTGTTTGCTACTACGCGGAGTGCTAGGGAGGCGGCTGATTGGCATGATAAGCAAAGGCTTAGCTGAGACATGGCACTAGCTAGTTAGTTAACTAGAGGCTAGGACCTGCGTAAGCATCCATTCCGATGCTCTATTGGATAAGTTATTTACAATCTCCACATTAGGCGGCAATCCTTATTATAGAATACTAGTATAGAGCACTATGGACACTCCGACGTTCATTTAATATCTCCACCCGTGTTACCCCTCTTTCTGCCTTTGATGTCTATCAAGCTGGCCCTTCTGGCATTTATCCTTGCACTGAACATGACTCTACCAACACTTCCTAACTGGATAAGGATGTGCGTGCATTCGTCCCTTACACGTCTCCATCAGCACCGTTCCCCGAAATACGAGTCTATACCTATTAAAAGTATCCAGGCTAATTCACACAGAATCCTCATCATCCTAACCACAGCCTCCTTCTACCCGCAGATCCGGTGCATCCAACTTCGAAACTCCACACACGGCATCTCCACTGCCTACATCCTCTTCAACCTAATCAGCGCAACAGAACACTTCGCCATCCTATTCGCATTGCTGGTAAACAGCGGCGGAGATGTCTTCATCCATGAGCCCCCTACGACCGGGGACTGGTTGAACCTGTACCAGCTTTTCGCAGTGTGGATGGGATGCTTAGTCCTCTTCTGCCAAGCAATCCATAGCCTCCACACCAATCCACGCCGCAAACTCATCCTACTAACCATATACATTCAATACCTATGCATTTCTATCTTACCCGAGGTCATCGACGCAATCACCACTCCCGAGGAAACGAGAAAACAAAGGCCGCCAACGGGCGAGAGGAACTGGCTGATCGGACTCTTTCTTTCCGCGCACGCGATGACCGTCCTGCCACTATCGGCCGTGCTCCGCATCGCAGGATTCATAGATCAGTCGCGACTGATCTTGCGGCGCAGACGGGAGCAGCCATCGGTCTTAAGCCTGACAGGCCTGGCGTGTCAGGCCGTGGTCTTTGCTCTAGTATCTGGACTCTGGGTACTCAGGGTTCAGCAGCCTGTTCCTCGGATGCCGATGAGAAAACCTGTGGATTGGATGTATTGGTACCATGTAATTGGGTGGCCGGTTGTCGACGATGCGGTTTATGCGCTGGGACAATGGGTTTTGTTTTGGTATGCGGTTTGTTGGCGTTCTAGGGGCGATGCTAGGGATGAGGCAGTCCATTCTGGGGAGACTGATGACCTGTTAGGAGAGGATGAAGGGCATGGGTACGGCGGAAACGGGACTTCTTAGATTGTATGTATATCATTGTGCCACGATATCGCGTGTAACACCAAGATGTGGAAGGTATACTCATCGCCATGGATTTTTTGACAAGCTTGCTATAATAGCTCTTGATTAACTCTTTTGCCTTTTGTTATTCTGCCATACGGTCTCATTCAGAGCACGATCTGCAGGGGAAAGAGAACAGCTATACCGTCGCATGATTTCAACCTTCCAAACTCTTATTATCAAACTGGTAATAGCACCGTGAATGGGATGGCTTAGGCTTTAGATGAAGGAGTTAGAGCCTGGCTGCAAGCCCTAAGCACCTGTCTAGTCCACGTTATAATTTAGCAAGTCTCCCGAGCTCTCGCAAGCCTACCACTAGCTTATAGTCAATAGATTGTGGTATATCCAGGGCCTTTTAAGTATTTACGGCTCATACAAAAAGTAATATGAGACAACTCTACTCTTTTTACATCATCCACATCTATCGCCTAGATTGGTAGCTCGCAGTGGGTCATCCCTATCTGTTACCATAGGACTTCCCGTGGTCGCAATTCAACCTAATGCAGGACTTTCTCGTGGGCCGATTTATTACTAGACCTATTGATCTTTGATTGTGGCTTCATCCGGTCGCTATTACTTACAGCCACAGGGATCATAGTATTCGAATTACAATGTTGAACCTCTGCCACGATTACTATCAGGTCCTTCTAGTTGAACCTCTCTCTCCACCAGCGTTGAAGTATAATCCCGTAGACTCAAAAACCAACCCGACCCAATCCAATACCAAGTCTAATTATAATCAGAAAAATTATATTTTAAAAATTAAAATTTATATAGATATCTGCTAATCCTCGCAGACTATATATAAGAAATCCGTAATCTGCGCGGACTATAGTAGTATAGATTTTAGGATCCGCTCCGCGCGGAGCGGAGCGGACTGTGGATCTGCGGAGCGGATATGACACCCAATCTGCGGCCCAATACTAAGTCTGTTAGTTACTAAAGCTTTAGGCTTTAGAACATAGTTTTGGGATGTCACTATTACATCTATTTTCCCTAGTAGACTAAGAAGGCTGGCACGCCATAGATAAGAGGGTTCTACAGAATCTATTGAATACTATGCCTTATCGTATGTAGGCCATACTATCTGCGGAGAGCTAGTATACAAAATACTAGAGGCGGCGAGGTCGAGTTAGCGCAGTCTAGTACTAAATAGGAAAGCGGTTATTTTAGCGCGAAAACAGGGTACTAATATTTTTGGACCCCCACTGTACCTTCACGGATAGTACCACACAACTACATTATGATTATATATCATCTTTCCTCCTCCCATGGTTTTCCCAAGCACCTTACACGTGGCCGCCCTCAACTACCTAGTTTATTGACAGAGGTGCAGTAACAGTGACCTAACTGAGTGTAGTTTAGAGATATATATTTTACTATAGGGGGCTAAACTGTGGTGGATTACGCAGACTTTTTGCTAAAAAGCATAATAGCTACGATAGGCAGAATATAACTATAGATAAGGTAGATTAGGGTAGGTACGACTGCGGCGGCTTGATTATTCCTTAAAAATGACGGGCTCTTCTGGGGTAGACTACTGCTATAGTGAACCAGGAAGGCGGATATCCTCGTCGCGCCGGCGCATCATGAGCTTCGTGGTGGGATGAATGCGCACGCTGAAAGAATGGCGGTAGTACTGCAACGGTTCGTTGGGGACCACCTTCCAGTCGTATCGTATGAGCAAGTAGGCTAACATCATCTTGATCTCCTTAGAGGCAAAGAACCGGCCGGGGCAAGCCCGTGGATGCCAACCGAAGCCGATGTGGTCCCCGTTGGTGTTCTCCAGTTGGGCACTGAACGCTTTAGCCGGGTCCTCTCGCAGGCGCATATACCGGTAAGGATCGTATTTTGCTGGCTCTGGCCAGACCTCAGGGTTGCTCATGCGGTCGGCAGCTACCGCCACCAGCTCTCCTTTTGGGATAAAGGTTCCATTGGAGAAAGTCACATCCTGCAATGCATAGCTGCGCATGGTGGCACATTCGACGGGCTTGACTCGCTGTGACTCCTTGAGACAACTATCCAGCAGTTTGAGCTTGTAAAGCGAGGCAGGTGTCCAACCCCCTTGGCCGATGACCGTCCGGATCTCATCACGGAGGGGCTCAAGGAGATGGGGATGTCGGACGATGTCCACCAACCCACCGATCAGCAGGTCGGAGGTTCCGTAGATACCAGCAAAGTCCATGGCCAGTTGGGCCCCGGCTGCATCGTACCATTTCCCCTTGGCAGTATCCTCGAACCACTGGATCGAGTCTACGTAGCGAGGAGGCTCAATGCCCTTTGCCAGGCAGGAATCTCTTTCCGCACGTCGCTCCTGGATAATGGGATCGAGAAGTTGCCGGGCTCGTCGAACCTGCGCTCGGAGCTTTGCTCCCTGGGGCTCGAGCCAATGTACAAGGGGGCGCAGAATGACGGGCCAGAGGCGCAGCTGGCGCGCTTGAATTGCCATCGTCACCGCGTGGTGCTTGGCGATGTCAAGCCACTCCTCATTATGGGCTAACTTGCTCCCGACCATAATAAAAGTCACTGTTCGGGTCACTAAGTCCAGACACTGGTTATAGACTGGCACTGTGTGCCATTCTGAAAGCAAAAGCACATCCCTCTTCATCAGCTAACGGCCTAAAAACAAAAAAACTCATCATGATCACTTACCATTGCTGTCGCCAAAAATATCCGTGATAATCCCGCTGGCTTCATTGGCAAGAGGCTTGACGTACTTGGGAGCTTGGGTCTGGAACTGGTTCATGACCACTTTGGTGATGAGATGTGCATCCCTCGTGACTTCCTTGAATCCATCGAATCCAGGAAGATGAGAGTGAAAGTCCTGATGAGAGCACAAAGATCAGTAAGTCGGGTCCTCACAGCGGAAGCAGTTGCAAAGAACGGTGGACTCCTTACCGTGCCCAAGAACTTGTACATACAGAGCTCTTTCATCTTGCGGAACTCGTCGGCCATCGAGGAGGGAAGGATGGTGCAGTACCCAGAGTCGACTATGAACCGAATGGGCTTATCATTTTGCGAGAACCAGCTCTCAATCCATGACGGTGCATTCGCATCAAAGTCCCGTTTGGCCCTCATGGTCGTCAGTTCCCACCATGTTTTCGGATTGAACACCGGCAGCTCAGATCTCCGGCCACTCGAGCACAGGTAAAGAAGAAGGCACAGTAGCCCCGCACTGGTAGTGACCAAGGGCGCAAACCACGAGCCATGTTGCTGCGTGTCATTCCAAGCCAGCGACAGAAGGTGGTGCGGCTGTGTGAGCGCGTCGACAGTCATGGCTAGGAGACCAGGTATGGTTGATGGATAAGATATCGAGAGTAATGCGAGCAAAAGATCCGGGAAAGATCGCGAAGGAAAGGGCGTCTCTCTTACCAAGAAAGACCGTTCCCTATCATGCAATCACCGCTTGCTGTACGGTGGTGATGATGCTGGGATGGTGGTGGGTCCCCACCGAATAACGCCGGACAGCTGTTGAAGCCGAATGACGCCGGCAGGCCAAAAGAACCCTACCTTCACTCACTCAATCGGCGCTTCCCCTCCTATCACCAAATCGGATGTAAATGGACGGGCGTTAATAGCGGCCGGCCGGGCCGGGAATCCCCAAACGTAGATAGATAGGCATAGACCCGAAATCTTTGGCCCGGCATACATGAGCACAGGAAGTTTCACGCGACGGCGCCTTTCCTGCCTCAGCTTCAATCCACGCTCACGAGTTCTGTCGCCTCTATCAGTCGTGCAATTGTCCTATTGTAAACAGCATGGCTCAATCTATGTATCCTAATGAGCCTATTGTCGTGGTCGGCAGTGGTTGTCGCTTCCCTGGTGACGCCAACACACCCTCGAAGCTCTGGGAGCTACTCCAGCATCCTCGCGATGTGCAGAGTCGAATCCCCAAAGAACGATTTGACGTCGACACATTTTATCACCCGGACGGGAAGCACCACGGGCGAACAAATGCACCCTACGCCTATGTCCTCCAAGACGATCTGGGCGCCTTCGATGCCGCCTTCTTCAATATCCAGGCTGGAGAGGCCGAGAGTATGGACCCCCAGCACCGGCTGTTGCTGGAGACGGTGTACGAGGCCGTAACGAATGCTGGAATGCGTATCCAGGATCTGCAAGGAACTTCGACTGCTGTTTACGTCGGGGTGATGACGCACGACTATGAGACCGTCTCAACCCGCGACCTGGAGAACATCCCCACCTACTCGGCGACGGGTGTCGCGGTCAGTGTTGCGTCTAACCGCATCTCGTATTTTTTTGACTGGCATGGACCAAGTGTAAGTCACCCAATATCGTGTAGCAGTCCAATCATGCTCTAACGGACCGGGATGGTTGAAAGATGACGATCGATACGGCATGCAGCTCGTCGTTGGTTGCCGTTCATCTGGCGGTGCAACAGCTACGGACGGGTCAAAGCTCCATGGCAATTGCTGCGGGTGCGAATCTGATTCTGGGGCCCATGACATTCGTCCTTGAAAGCAAATTGAGCATGCTATCCCCCTCGGGTCGATCCCGCATGTGGGACGCCGGAGCTGACGGCTATGCCAGAGGCGTGAGTGTTTCTTGAGCCCGTAGATGACAGTTCCCATCGCTGACCGTGATCAGGAAGCTGTTTGCTCTGTAGTGTTGAAGACATTGAGTCAAGCCTTGCGCGATGGGGACACGATTGAATGTGTCATCCGAGAAACTGGGGTGAATCAAGATGGCCGAACGACGGGAATCACGATGCCGAACCATAGTGCTCAGGAGGCACTCATCAAGGCTACCTACGCCCAGGCTGGCCTCGACATCACCAAGGCCGAGGACAGGTGCCAATTCTTCGAGGCTCATGGTTAGCAAAGAGAACCTGTTCTGTTGGCGCCCTGCAGCTGACATTCGTATGATAGGGACTGGTACCCCGGCCGGAGATCCCCAGGAGGCGGAGGCCATTGCAACAGCCTTCTTCGGCCACGAGCAGGTAGCACGCAGCGACGGAAACGAGAGGGCCCCTCTGTTCGTGGGCAGTGCGAAAACTGTTGTCGGTCACACCGAGGGCACGGCCGGTCTGGCTGGTCTCATGAAGGCGTCGTTCGCTGTCCGCCATGGGGTCATCCCCCCCAACCTGCTGTTCGACAAAATTAGCCCGCGAGTCGCCCCATTCTATAAAAACCTCAGGATTCCGACAGAAGCTACCCAATGGCCAGCTCTCCCGCCCGGACAACCGCGCCGCGCCAGTGTCAACTCCTTTGGTAAGCGAGGATTGCCCGGAGGGACCCTCACAAGTACTCAAATTAATGCTAACTGAACCGCGTCGATGGTCAGGATTCGGCGGCACGAATGCGCATGCCATTATTGAGGAATACATGGAGCCAGAGCAAAACCAGCTGCGAGTCTCGAATAATGAGGACTGCCCACCCATGACTGGTGTCCTGAGTTTACCCTTAGTCCTCTCGGCGAAGTCCCAGCGCTCCTTAAAGATAATGATGGAGGAGATGCTGCAATTCCTTGAGACCCACCCCGAGATACACTTGCACGACCTCACCTGGTCCTTACTGCGCAAGCGGTCAGTTCTACCCTTCCGCCGGGCTATTGTCGGCCATAGTCATGAAACCATCCGCCGGGCTCTGGAGGATGCCATCGAGGATGGTATTGTTTCGAGCGACTTCACTACGGAGGTCAGAGGCCAGCCATCGGTGTTGGGAATCTTCACCGGGCAGGGGGCGCAGTGGCCGGGGATGTTAAAGAATCTGATAGAGGCATCGCCATATGTGCGGAGCATAGTGAGGGAGCTGGACGACTCCCTGCAGAGCTTGCCGGAAAAATACCGCCCCTCGTGGACGCTACTGGACCAATTCATGCTAGAAGGAGAGGCCTCCAACGTCCAATATGCTAGTTTCTCCCAGCCATTATGCTGCGCGGTGCAAATCGTTCTGGTCCGTCTCCTTGAAGCCGCGAGAATCCGATTCACAGCTGTTGTTGGACATAGCTCGGGCGAAATTGCTTGCGCCTTTGCTGCCGGGCTCATCAGTGCCTCGGTGGCGATTCGGATTGCTTACTTACGTGGAGTCGTCTCGGCAGGGGGCGCCAGAGGCACACCGGGAGCCATGTTGGCCGCCGGAATGTCCTTTGAGGAAGCACAAGAGATCTGCGAGTTGGATGCCTTTGAGGGCCGCATCTGCGTGGCTGCCAGCAATTCCCCAGACAGTGTAACTTTCTCTGGCGACGCGAACGCAATTGATCACCTGAAGAGCATGTTGGAGGATGAATCCACATTTGCGAGACTGCTCAGGGTCGATACAGCGTACCACTCGCATCATATGCTTCCATGTGCAGACCCATATATGCAAGCCCTAGAAGAGTGTGGTTGTGCTGTTGCCGACGCAGGTTCCCCAGCCGGAAGTGTACCCTGGTATTCGTCCGTGAACGCCGAGAACAGGCAAATGGCAGCAAGAGACGTGACCGCCGAGTACTGGAAAGATAACCTAGTGTCTCCGGTGCTATTCTCCCACGCAGTGCAGCGGGCAGTCGTCACGCACAAGGCGCTGGATATCGGGATTGAAGTGGGCTGTCACCCAGCTCTCAAGAGCCCATGCGTCGCCACCATCAAGGATGTCCTATCTGGGGTTGACCTGGCGTATACAGGTTGTTTGGAGCGAGGAAAGAATGATCTCGATACATTCTCTCGAGCACTGGCATATCTCTGGGAAAGGTTTGGTGCCTCCAGTTTCGATGCGGACGAGTTCATGCGTGCAGTCGCGCCTGATCGGCCCTGTATGAGTGTGTCGAAACTCCTACCGGCCTATCCATGGGACCACTCTCGTCGCTACTGGGTGGAATCCCGAGCAACTCGCCACCATCTTCGAGGGCCCAAGCCCCATCTTTTATTAGGAAAGCTCTCCGAATACAGCACTCCGCTAAGCTTCCAGTGGTTGAATTTTGTGCGCCCACGAGACATTGAATGGCTTGATGGACATGCATTGCAAGGGCAGACTGTCTTCCCTGCGGCCGGCTATATCGTCATGGCAATGGAAGCCGCCTTAATGATTGCTGGCACCCACGCAAAGCAGGTCCAGTTACTGGAGATCCTGGATATGAGCATTGACAAGGCAGTGATATTTGACGACGAAGACAGCTTGGTTGAGCTCAACCTGACAGCTGACGTGTCTCGCAACGCCGGCGAAGCAGGTTCGATGACCATAAGCTTCAAGATCGATTCCTGTCTATCGAAGGAGGGTAACCTATCCTTATCAGCCAAGGGCCAACTCGCCCTAATGATAGGAGATGTCAATTCCAGGACGACTTCCGCTAGCGACCAGCACCATCTTCCCCCGCCAGAAGAGGAACATCCTCATATGAACCGTGTCAACATCAAGGCTTTCTACCACGAGCTGGGACTGATGGGGTACAACTACAGTAAGGATTTCCGGCGTCTCCATAACATGCAACGAGCAGATCTTCGAGCCAGCGGGACCATAGACTTCATTCCTCTGATGGACGAGGGTAATGGCTGTCCTCTCTTGCTGCATCCTGCTTCCTTGGACGTCGCCTTCCAGACAGTCATCGGCGCATACTCCTCCCCAGGTGATCGGCGTCTACGCTGTCTGTATGTACCCACTCACGTTGATCGCATCACACTTGTCCCATCCCTTTGCCTGGCAACGGCTGAGTCCGGATGCGAGAAGGTTGCCTTCAATACTATCAATACTTACGATAAGGGAGACTACTTGAGCGGTGACATTGCGGTGTTTGACGCGGAGCAGACCACTTTGTTCCAGGTTGAAAATATTACTTTTAAGCCCTTTTCACCCCCGGATGCTTCAACTGACCATGCGATGTTTGCCCGATGGAGCTGGGGTCCGTTGACTCCGGACTCGCTGCTGGATAACCCGGAGTATTGGGCCACCGCGCAGGACAAGGAGGCGATTCCTATTATCGAACGCATCGTCTATTTCTATATCCGATCGTTCCTCAATCAGCTTACACTGGAAGAGCGTCAGAAGGCGGCCTTCCATTTGCAAAAGCAGATTGAGTGGCTTGAACAAGTCCTGGCCAGCGCCAAGGAGGGTCGTCACCTATGGTACGACCCCGGGTGGGAGAATGATACTGAGGCCCAGATTGAGCACCTTTGTACTGCTAACTCCTACCATCCTCATGTTCGCCTGGTTCAGCGAGTCGGCCAACACCTGCTCCCCACCGTAAGATCGAACGGCAACCCATTCGACCTTCTGGACCACGATGGGCTCCTGACGGAGTTCTATACCAACACACTCAGCTTCGGACCCGCACTACACTACGCCCGGGAATTGGTGGCGCAGATCGCCCATCGCTATCAGTCAATGGATATTCTGGAGATTGGAGCAGGGACCGGCGGCGCTACCAAGTACGTGTTGGCCACGCCCCAGCTGGGGTTCAACAGCTACACATACACCGATATCTCTACCGGATTCTTCGAGCAAGCGCGGGAGCAATTTGCCCCCTTCGAGGACCGGATGGTGTTTGAACCCCTCGATATCCGCCGCAGTCCCGCCGAGCAGGGCTTCGAGACGCATGCCTATGATCTGATCATTGCCTCCAATGTGCTACATGCGACACCCGACCTAGAGAAAACCATGGCTCACGCCCGCTCTCTGCTCAAGCCTGGAGGCCAGATGGTTATTCTAGAGATTACCCACAAAGAACACACACGGCTCGGGTTTATCTTTGGTCTGTTCGCCGACTGGTGGGCTGGGGTTGATGATGGTCGCTGCACTGAGCCGTTTGTCTCGTTCGACCGCTGGGATGCGATCCTAAAGCGTGTCGGGTTTTCCGGTGTGGACAGTCGCACCACGGATCGGGACGCAAATCTATTCCCGACCTCTGTGTTTAGTACCCATGCAATTGACGCCACCGTGGAGTACTTAGACGCGCCGCTTGCCAGCAGCGGCACCGTCAAGGACTCTTACCCTCCTTTGGTGGTGGTAGGAGGGCAGACCCCAAAATCTCAGCGTCTCCTGAACGATATAAAAGCGATCATGCCTCCTCGTCCGCTCCAGACATACAAGCGCCTCGTGGATTTGCTAGACGCAGAGGAGCTGCCGATGAAGTCCACGTTTGTCATGCTCACGGAGCTAGACGAGGAATTATTCGCCGGGCTCACTGAAGAGACCTTCGAGGCAACCAAGCTGCTACTCACGTACTCCAGCAATACGGTCTGGCTAACAGAAAATGCCTGGGTCCAACATCCTCACCAGGCGAGCACGATCGGCATGCTACGCTCCATCCGCCGGGAGCATCCTGACTTGGGAGTTCATGTTCTGGACGTCGACGCGGTTGAAACCTTCGATGCAACCTTCCTGGTTGAACAGGTGCTTCGGCTTGAGGAGCATACGGATGAGCTGGCCAGTTCAACTACATGGACTCAAGAACCCGAGGTCTCCTGGTGTAAAGGCCGCCCGTGGATTCCTCGTCTGAAGCGCGATCTGGCTCGCAATAACCGAATGAACTCCTCGCGCCGTCCCATATACGAGATGATCGATTCGTCGCGGGCTCCTGTGGCATTACAGACGGCTCCGGATTCATCATCCTACTTCTTGGAGTCCGCTGAAACCTGGTTTGTGCCTGAGAGTGTTCGGCAGATGGAGACAAAGACGGTCTATGTCCACTTTAGCTGTCCCCATGCGCTTAGGGTCGGACAGCTCGGGTTTTTCTATCTTGTGCAGGGTCACGTCCAGGAGGGCAATCGCGAAGTGCCCGTCGTGGCCTTAGCAGAGCGTAACGCATCCATTGTGCACGTTCGTCCCGATTATATATATACTGAGGCAGATAACAATCTGTCCGAGGGTGGTGGCAGCCTTATTGTAACCGTCCTCGCCGCGGCGGTGTTGGCGGAGACGGTGATCAGTACCGCCAAGAGCCTGGGGGTAACTGACTCAATCCTCGTTCTGAATCCCCCCAGCATATGTGGGCAGATGTTGCTTCATGCTGGCGAAGAGATCGGTCTTCAAGTCCATCTGGCCACCACTTCTGGCAACAGGAGTTCGGTTTCTGCTGGAGACGCCAAGTCCTGGCTAACATTGCATGCTCGCGACACGGACTGGCACCTGCGACGGGTTCTGCCCCGGGGTGTCCAGGCTTTTGTCGACTTATCAGCCGACCAGAGCTGTGAATGTTTGACTCAGAGGATGATGAAAGTTCTGATGCCTGGCTGTGCCCATTACCGTGCGGCAGACCTGTTCACAGACACCGTTTCCACTGAATTGCATCGCGGATTGCGGCATCAAGCTTCACTGCCCGCCGCATATTGGGAGCATGTGGTATCTTTAGCCCGCCAGGGACTTTCTAGTGTCAGCGAGGGGTGGGAGGTGATGCCGTGCACTCAATTTGCAGCGCATGCCGACAAGACGCGCCCGGATCTCTCGACAGTTATTTCCTGGCCCCGGGAGTCGGACAAGGCGACGCTTCCTACCAGGGTTCGCTCCATTGACGCTGAGACACTCTTTGCGGCCGACAAAACATATCTCCTGGTCGGACTGACTGGAGATCTTGGACGATCACTAGGTCGTTGGATGGTCCAGCATGGGGCCTGCCACATTGTACTTACGAGCAGAAATCCGCAGGTGAACCCCAAGTGGCTGGCGCATGTTGAAGAACTGGGTGGTCGAGTCACTGTTCTTTCCATGTAAGAGGAGTCCTTCCTTCTGCAATTCCTCCTTATGATCCCGACTAACGCAGCTGGCTTCAGGGACGTGACAAGCGAAAACTCAGTGGATGCTGGCCTGGCTAAAATCAAGGATCTGCATCTGCCACCAGTGGGGGGTATTGCCTTTGGCCCTCTGGTTCTGCAGGATGTGATGCTAAAGAATATGGAACTGCCAATGATGGAGATGGTGCTCAACCCCAAGGTCGAAGGCGTCCGCATCTTGCACGAGAAGTTCTCCGATCCGACCAGTAGCAACCCTCTCGACTTCTTCGTGATGTTCTCCTCGATTGTGGCCGTCATGGGCAACCCGGGTCAGGCTAACTACAGTGCCGCTAACTGCTACCTTCAAGCGCTGGCGCAGCAGCGAGTTGCATCCGGATTAGCAGTGCGTTTTCTCTCCATCCTTTGCTAACGATTCCTATGTGTCTTTACTAAACCGGGCAGGCGTCCACCATCGACATCGGTGCCGTGTACGGCGTTGGGTTCGTCACTCGGGCGGAGCTGGAGGAGGACTTTAATGCAATTCGGTTCATGTTCGATTCGGTTGAGGAACATGAGCTGCACACACTGTTTGCTGAGGCAGTGGTGGCCGGTCGACGAGCCGTGCACCAGCAAGAGCAGCAGCGGAAATTCGCGACAGTGCTCGACATGGCTGATCTGGAACTGACAACCGGAATTCCGCCCCTGGATCCAGCCCTCAAAGATCGGATCACCTTCTTCGACGACCCCCGCATAGGCAACTTAAAAATTCCGGAGTACCGAGGGGCCAAAGCAGGCGAAGGGGCAGCCGGCTCCAAGGGCTCGGTCAAAGAACAGCTCTTGCAGGCGACGAACCTGGACCAGGTCCGTCAGATCGTCATCGGTAAGTTGAGCGAATCCGGGGAATATTCTCCCCTTCCTCACTCAGCGGACTGGAGGCTAACCGCTTCTTTTCCTTTGGCGCAGATGGACTCTCCGCGAAGCTGCAGGTGACCCTGCAGATCCCCGATGGGGAAAGCGTGCATCCCACCATCTCACTGATCGATCAGGGGGTGGACTCTCTGGGTGCGGTCACCGTGGGAACCTGGTTCTCCAAGCAGCTGTACCTTGATTTGCCACTCCTGAAAGTGCTTGGAGGTGCTTCGATCGCCGATCTCGCTGATGAGGCTGCTGCGCGACTGCCACCTAGCTCCATTCCCCTCGTCGCAGCCACCGATGGGGGTGCAGAGAGCACTGACAATACTTCCGAGAATGAAGTTTCGGGACGCGAGGATACTGACCTTAGTGCCGCCGCCACCATCACTGAGCCCTCTTCTGCCGACGAAGACGATACAGAGCCGGGAGACGAGGACGTCCCGCGTTCCCACCATCCACTGTCTCTCGGCCAAGAATACTCCTGGAGAATCCAGCAGGGAGCCGAAGACCCTACCGTCTTTAACAACACCATTGGTATGTTCATGAAGGGCCCTATTGACCTTAAACGGCTATACAAGGCGTTGAGGGCGGTCTTGCGCCGCCACGAGATCTTCCGCACGGGGTTTGCCAACGTGGATGAGAACGGGATGGCCCAGCTGGTGTTTGGTCAAACCAAAAACAAAGTCCAGACCATCCAAGTGTCTGACCGAGCCGGCGCCGAAGAGGGCTACCGACAACTGGTGCAGACACGGTATAACCCTGCCGCAGGAGACACCTTGCGGCTGGTGGACTTTTTCTGGGGCCAGGACGACCATCTGCTGGTTGTGGCTTACCACCGACTCGTCGGGGATGGATCTACTACAGAGAACATCTTCGTCGAAGCGGGCCAGCTCTACGACGGCAGGTCGTTAAGTCCACGTGTCCCTCAGTTTGCGGACCTGGCGGCACGGCAACGCGCAATGCTCGAGGATGGGAGAATGGAGGAGGATCTCGCGTACTGGAAGGAAATGCATCAGCGACCGTCCTCAATTCCAGTGCTCCCACTGATGCGGCCCCTGGTAGGTAACAGTAGTACGTCCAATACTCCCAATTTCCAGCACTGTGGTTCCTGGCAGCAGCACGAAGCCGTGGCGCGACTTGATCCGATGGTGGCCTTCCGCATCAAGGAGCGCAGTCGCAAGCACAAGGCGACGCCGATGCAGTTCTATCTGGCGGCGTATCAGGTGCTGTTGGCGCGCCTCACCGACAGCACCGATCTCACCGTCGGCCTCGCCGACACCAACCGTGCGACTGTCGACGAGATGGCGGCCATGGGGTTCTTCGCCAACCTCCTTCCCCTGCGCTTCCGGGATTTCCGCCCCCATATCACGTTTGGCGAGCACCTTATCGCCACCCGTGACCTGGTGCGCGAGGCCCTGCAGCACGCCCGCGTACCCTACGGAGTCCTCCTCGATCAACTGGGGCTGGAGGTCCCGGTCCCGACCAGCAATCAACCTGCGCCTTTGCTCCAGGCCGTCTTCGATTACAAGCAGGGCCAGGCGGAAAGTGGAACGATCGGGGGTGCCAAGATTACCGAGGTGATTGCCACGCGCGAGCGCACCCCTTACGATGTAGTGCTGGAGATGTCGGATGATCCCACCAAGGATCCGCTGCTCACGGCCAAGTTACAGAGCTCCCGCTACGAAGCTCATCACCCCCAAGCCTTCTTGGAGAGCTACATGTCTCTTCTCTCTATGTTCTCGATGAATCCCGCCCTGAAGCTGGCATGATGGCGCAAACATAGAACATGATAGCGCAGCAGGGACGATGTAGATAGAGCTTTGCTTCTGCGGGTGGATCTATAATTATATAGTATATATAAATATGGTGAGTCGAACGAAGAGGGGAGAATGCCACAATTATTTACTGTTTTGCGCCGTACACGAGGAGAAGACGTCCAGAACAACATAAATATATCACTCTAATGAGACACCATATATTCGGAGAGACTAAAAATATACATCTACTCCAATGTCTGGACCGTCACACACAGCTTACGAAAACGATTAATAACCTCCAACACGTCGCGCGGTCGATTGGGAAACTGATGCTGCCCAGCAAACTCCAATACCTGCGCCTCTCGGGGGGAGAAATGGCGCGCCACCAGCATCTTCGATCCTGCGAGCGCAAAATCATCGCGACCCTGCAGATGTAATGTCGGTATCCGAATGACCAGTTCCTCCTGCCACTCGGTATCTTTGCTGTCGTGGTCGTCGTCATGGTTCTCCATCACTTCGTTCCTCATATACTGGCTTGCCTCGTCTTGATACCAGGGGCAGATCAACATCGCGACACTCATCCGGGGCAACCAGGGCAGGCGACCCATCTGCTGCTGCCAGAGGAGCAAGGTCGTCACCAGGGCACCTTCGGAGAAACCGATAGCACCCACGATAGGGATGTGGGGGTGTTGAGTCTGCCAGTCGACAATGGTGCGGCGGATGGGGTCGTGGACGGCGGCGAGGCGTTCGCCCACGGAGGGCCCATTATTATTGTTGCCGCTGCTGCTTTCAAACCATGAGTAATATGGCCCCAGGTCGGCGAAGACGGGGAGAATCCCAGGCCCTGCAGAGGAAGGGAACGGGGCTGTCACGTAGACGAATTCAAAGTCTTCGCGCAGCGCAGCCCGGAGCTTAGACAATTGCACGCGGAAGATGGCGGGAGAGCAGCCAGCCCCATGGATGCAAAGAAGCGCTCGGGGCGCCTTCGCCAGTGCTGGAGATGCTTGGTAGCGCATGGAGGATGGTACAATGGGACTATATCCTGGGTGCAAGACGGGGATGAGGGAGTGTCGAGCTTACACGTTCACCAGCGATGAACCGCTATTATTGCAACGGGATATCCTGTCCAACATTCTGCGTCCACTTCAGGTGGACGGGACAAGCCAGCGATGCCGATTACATCCATAGGAACAGCAGTTTGTTCGGAACTTCCGCTTCATCCCCTCGATATCGGGCTTTGGATGCCAGCGCCGAATAACGCCGCACAAACCCGAACGGGTCTGCAGGTGATCCCGAAGCCCTAATCCAAGGATCGTCCGTCTTTCTGTCTATGTCTTTCCGCATATGTAGGCCGCAGGGTACCAGATACGTCAGTCAACAGGTAACCAGAGAAGACGACCGTGACAGACTGCCATGGGCGATCAGCCATTCATTCCACCACCGCAGCAAACGGCGCTGACGGTGAATGACCATGATGAAGTCACCGTCTGGAATGCCGCTCCCTGCCCCATTCTGCCCCGCGACCAGGTATACGTCCGCGTCGAGGCCGTGGCGATCAATCCCAGTGACACGAAGATGCGCGGACAGTTTGCCACGCCCTGGGCGTTTCTCGGAACGGACTATGCCGGCACGGTCGTCGCAGTGGGTTCGGACGTGACTCATATCCAAGTGGGTGACCGGGTCTACGGGGCACAGAACGAGATGTGCCCACGCACTCCGGATCAGGGGGCATTCTCGCAGTACACGGTCACGCGAGGCCGTGTTTGGGCCAAGATCCCCAAAGGCTTGTCGTTCGAGCAGGCTGCCGCGCTACCTGCGGGCATCAGTACCGCTGGGTTGGCCATGAAGTTGCTTGGGCTGCCCTTGCCATCGCCTTCGGCAGACCAGCCACCGGCCCACTCCAAGCCGGTGTATGTGTTGGTCTATGGGGGCAGTACGGCCACTGCCACTGTCACTATGCAAATGCTACGCCTGTAATGCTTCCCTTGTCACGAGTCTTTTCTGTCCGTTGGTCGTGGGCGATACAAGCGATGGGTATACTAAGATCCGCTGGCAGGTCCGGATACATTCCAATTGCAACATGCTCCCCCCACAATTTCGACCTGGCCAAGTCGCGCGGCGCAGAGGAGGTCTTTGACTATCGGGCCCCGAATCTCGCGCAGACGATTGTCTGTGAACCCCCGCCACCCCTCCACCCCTCCCAGTCCACTTTTTCCTTACAGAACAGACTATTGACACTCTTTTAGCGTACCTACACCAAGAACAATCTCCGCTATTCCCTCGACTGTATCACCAACGTCGAGTCCACCACGTTCTGCTTCGCAGCCATCGGCCGCGCGGGGGGCCACTACGTCTCCCTGAACCCGTTCCCTGAACACGCGGCCACGCGTAAGATGGTCACGACCGACTGGACCCTGGGGCCGACCATCTTTGGCGAGGGATCCACCTGGCCCGCCCCCTATGGGCGTCCCGGCAGTGAGGAAGAGCGGCAGTTCGGCGAGGATCTGTGGCGCATCGCGGGACAGCTCGTCGAAGATGGACGCCTCGCCCATCATCCGCTGCGCGTGGTGCAGGGCGGCTTCGATCAGATTAAGCAAGGCATGGAGCTCGTCCGGAAGGGAGAGCTGTCGGGGGAAAAACTCGTGGTTCGGCTGGAGGGGCCGTAAACTGGATTGCGCGTTACGTCGAGGGAGCAAGAAAGCTCCAATTTTCTATCAACCAATCCCTAGACGCTAAAACGTACATGGGATATTGCTGCGTAGATTGGGATAAATCACGAGTGATACACAGGATGGGGGTTCAAGAATGCACTGAATACATACTCAGACAACTCTTTATGAACTGATATAAACTAGTTGCTCTCTGGGAAGATCCATGTTTCCCGTATATCATAGCTCAAGAAAAAAAAACATTCATGTCATATACCTATAACTATCACTATATATATAGATATATATATATATTAGCAAGCTCATTGTCTTCTACAGAACTAAATAATCGAAATACGAATAGCCCATATCATCCCCGGCATGGCTGCTATGCGGATTATCCCTGCTGGTACTGCGCATAGATGGCATGTTCGAATGTGCGTGTCAGATCACGACAGACCGGGTCATTCCAGGGTTCCAGTTGGAAGAACGCAAGGGTGCACAGGCCGGCCTTGGGGTCGATTTGCTATTTACAATATCACTTAGTAGGCTGGATCAACATTGAAGGTGACATAAACCAAAGGAATCTAGGAACCGAGCTTACCCACACAATGTTTGGACCACCCCCAAAGGTCAAGGAACCTTTTCGGCGCCAGTCCTCGCCGTCCAGATCCTCCAAGGCGATGATCCCCCCCAGCCCAAAGCTGCGACGAAGGACCATGGGCATCGGCCCACCGTAGTTGATGTGCGGGCTGGCGTCCATGTGCTGGTTCATCTGCTCTTCGAGTCGCGGCTCGAGGGCAGGCTGAAACATCATGTCCACGGTCTGTGGCTGCAGCAGGAGCCCGTCTCGCTTCAACAGCGAGTGGAGCACCTTCATATAGGACCCAGGCCCCGAGAACACCCCCTGGCCGCCGAAGCACTCCTCGCCATCGGCCCGGAAGTAGACCGAGTCGTCGTAGCGCAGGCGCCCATCCGCCGAGTTGCGGTGGGTTTGGTCGGCCCGGCGCGCAAGCATATCCGGCCGTTGCTGCAGCTTAAAGGTCATGTCGGTGATGCCCAGCGGCGCACAGATATTCTCCTGCAGGTACTGCTCCAGGTCGAGGCCGGTGGCCCGCTCGACGAGCTTACCCGCCCAGTCCAGGTTGGCGCCGTAGATCCACTCCGCCCCAGGGTCGTTGACGGCCGGCGGCGCCAGGCGACTCTGGATGCCAAACTTTTCTGCCGACTGGAGGTGGCCCTGGGCCATGTATTCCCGGAGCAACGGATGGAGGAAGACATACGACAGTCCCGATGTATGCGTCAGCAGGTGCCGCAGCGTGATCTTCCCCCGACGCTCTCGCAATCTTGCATTTCCCGCGTCGTCAAAACCCTCCAGCACGGGCATCGCACTCAAATCCGGAAGCAGCCGATCCACCGTCTCATCCAAGTCCACGAGACCGCGCTCCATGCATTGTAGGGCCATGATCGTGGTCAGCAGCTTAGTCGCACTGGCGAGCCGGCAGGGGGTGTCGACCTGTAGCGGCGGCAGCTGATTGCACTCGTCCCGTCGCACTGTCCGAGCCCCGAAGCAGCGCGTATAATTTAGATTGCCTAGGTATGTCCCGCTGTCATTCGTCTCGGTGTGCTTGTAATTGTCGCAAAGGGGTCTGATTGGGGTCTCTCACCACTGCAATCTCGAGCCATGATGACCGCCCCGGGGATCTGCCTGGATTTCACGGCCTTGCGGAAGGCGGTTTCCATCAGAACAACCGGATCCGCTGCCGCAGCAGCATCAATGATGGATCCCATTCTGAATTGTTTTATTTTTTTTCCCTTTTTACTAATAAATAATAGCTGAAATAAGGGAATAAAAATAAAACCAAAACAAAGAAAGAAAATCGGGCGCTTATTTTGTCTGCGGCTGGGGCTATAGAATCGGATATTACCTATCTAAGGGCGATCATCGCATCGGATCGGGCCGGCGGATCGTTGCATCAGGCCGGTCCCCGAATAAGACCGACTCGGCGACTTTCGGTGTTATGCGCCGCTAAGAACGGTATTGTCTTATACTCGGTATTGTGAAAGCTACATCACTAAGGTAGGTAAGGTAGGTACCTAGGTACCAGTACCCTCCAGCTGTAAGGTATCTTACGTACAGGTCCATGGTACTACCTTACCTAGCAAAGTTACATGACATGGCAGGTACTTTTCTACGTAGGTATTTTTATATTCGATTTGCACGAAATGGATGTCTCCCGCATGTTCTAAGATTACCAGATATACCGTTGTTCTAATTGCTCCGTACTCTGTACCGGAGATAGCGTCCGTTCAAGCTGCCCCGAGAATCAATCACAGCGATCCCTTCATTTCTTGACTGTGGCACCCGCACTGCGATTGTGTTGCATATGGGCATTGACCAAGTGACCCGCCGCAAGAGCCGCGCAGGTACTTAACTCGCCAGCCAGCACGGCCGCGGCGACAATGCGGGCCAAGCGGCGCGCATTGGCGCCAGGCTCGGTGGCATGTGCGCCCCGGACACCTAGCAAGTCCAACATGGCCCCCTGGGCCTCAAGAATGGTGCCTCCGCCAATCGTCCCGACCTCCATCGAGGGCATCGAGACAGCGATGTGCAGGTTTCCATCGATGCTAGAAACCCACCGTTAGCAAACACACCCACGTGAATATATATACCCGGGAGAAGAAAATCAAAACGTAGAGAAGATACCTACTTTTTCATGGTCGTAATGCAACTGCTGCTCTCCACATTCTGCGCAGGGTCCTGGCCAGTGGCCAAAAACACCGCCTGGACGAGGTTGGAGGCATGGGCGTTGAAGCCGCCCAGGCTGCCCGCCATGGCACTCCCGACCAGGTTCTTGGCCGTATTGAGCTCGACCAGCGCATCAACGTCGGTCTTTAGGACCTGTCGGACAGTCTCCGCGGGGATCGTGGCTTCGGCGATGACGGACTTGCCGCGACCGCCGATCCAGTTAATGGCGGCAGATTTCTTGTCGGAGCAGAAATTGCCCGATAAGGTAACGGTATGCATGTCGGGAAATCCACCCTCGGCGGCCATTGCCTCCAGGGCTTTTTCAACACCCTTCGAAATCATATTCATGCCCATCGCGTCGCCTGTGGTGGTGCGGAACCGGATGTAGAGATAAATGCCCGCCTGGGCCACCGTCAGGGTTTGGAGCCGCGCAAACCGGCTGGTCGCGTTGAAGGCGGCCGCCAGAACCTCGTGCCCGAGAGGAGACTCAACCCAGCGCTGGGCTTCAGCTGCACGTTGGGCCGAGGGGAACCGCAGACAGGGACCACGCGTCATACCATCACCTTTGAGCATGGTAGTGGCACCGCCGCCAGCATTGATCGCTTTGCATCCTCGACTGGCGCTCGCAACGAGCACGCCCTCCGTCGTGGCCATGGGAATGAACAACGCCTGTCCATCGATCACCATGGGTCCGGCCACTCCCAGGGGCAGAGGCAGGTACCCGACCACGTTCTCACAGCAGGCGCCATGCACAAGCTCGTAGTTATAGTCGCGATAAGGGAGCAATGACTCCGCCAGGCCGCTGCAGAGGTTCTGAGTGGAGGGCGTTTTCGACACAGCGGCACGGCGAATCCGCACGGCACGCGTAAATGCGTCCAGCCGGGTCACCGAGCAGGATGATCCCGCTGCAATGCGCTCCAGAGTCTTCTCTAAACTGTACCCCGCGATCTTACCCCGGAGACACAGTTCCACCAGCTCGTCGTCCGTCAGAGATTCTGCTTGGTTCGATTTGAGGAGGGCCTCTGTTTCTTCTGGGGGGCGGGTACAGACTTCAGGGGCAGTGGCAGAGCATGGCACCGACAAGGAGGAGCCATCAGGGACGGCGGACTCTCTCGCTTGGGGCCAAGCATGCCAGCGAGCAGCGTGGATCAGGTGGTTATTGAGGACCAGGCTAACGACCAATGCGCCCATGAGACATAGTCGACCCAGCGGGCTTTCCAATCCATCGAGCACACCGTCAAATGTAGAACGTTTAGTGGCTGATATATTGAACCCAGCTGATTCCAAGGCGTACTGCAGTGGCGGCAGAACGGTTACGCGCGTCTCAAATCCCTCGACGCGCGCCGTTAGGTAGATCTCGTTGAGTCCGTTGGCCGCTTCTTTAAAAGGACTGACAGCAGTAGGGGGCAGAGTACCATTAGCCATATATTCTCCCATGACCCGATAGAAGAAGGGCGACAATTGGAGGAAGTGACATAGAACAAAGCCGCCCACCGTCAATAGCTTCCACCAGGTGATGTTTGTCGACTTGACCTTGTGCCCAAAAATCCCCGAAGGATGCTTGGCATTAACTTGACCAAGCCCTCCCGGGCTCCGGATTCGCGTGATCTCTAATTTCACGCAAAGAATGGTGGCATAGAAGGTAAAAAGTAGAATGGCATCAATCAGGAGTGTCCATGCCGCCAGGAAGCAAAAATGGCCAAGACTATCATTTGGCCGAAGGACCGCCCCTAATGCCAACGCGCCGATTTCCAGGAGGTAAGATCGCACAATATACCAGCCCTCTCGATCAACAGCGAGTTGGATGATGTTAGGAATCAATTGGCTTTGCCGGCTATCATCACTGCTGGCACCATTGGGAACTGGCCGCTGCCACCCGCCCCGCAGTTCTTCCGACACGCAGAGAACAGCACGGGTTAGTTGGATCGGCTTCTCAAAGCCCACTGTCAAAACGAGGTACGGGATTCCTTCGAAAAGAAGAAGCATGTCGACAGGCACGTCGCATGTAGTCGTGATTCCAAGCCCGAGCACAAAAGCAAAGGCACCAGACAGCAGGACCGAGGTTGCCAACCAGAAGCGCGAGCCGAGTTGGCGCATCACCCGAAAGAGAGAGACCACGGTCATGTTCATGGCTAGGTAACTGAGCCCTATGATCACCAAGTCGACTGTCTCCGCATGCTTGACACGATGAAGGAATGAGAGCCATGAGCTTCCGACCCAGTGTCCCAGTGAGGTGGGACTTCCTTCTTCGCGAGGAGACCTCAGTCTCCAACTATCATCCTCTTTTTCCGAGGGTATAATTTCGACAGCCTGTAGAAAGCCATCTAGTTGGGAGTAGGGAACTCGAAACGTCAACGCGGAATGATCGGGCGAGGGGGATGAATCGGGGGTGGGCGTGATCTGTTCCGCACCGAGGAACTCTGAGAGTGTGTTTGATAGGAAGGGGATACTGGCGTCGACAGACGCACCCGGTAGATCGAGGGTGACAAGAGCCCAGTGAAAGTCAGACTAATTGAGAGTAGCACAGGGACGGTCCGGTCAGCACGCAGAATTTCTCGGACCAATGGAGCACAGGAGATCTATCATACCTGGCCATCCTCCGACACCTTAGGTCGGTCGTCTATCTGCCATCTCCATGCGCTAGCCTCTCCCAGGGTAACAGTGCGGCTTCCACAGAGGAATGACTGGACGTTCAAGGGGGTTTCCTTGGCCCAGGGGGCCAGACCTCTGTGAGCAGCCTGATATGTCCCTTCCAGCACATGAAGATGGGTCGTTGCCGCGGTCAGCGCCGTGACCAGCAGAGTGTGAATGGGATGTCGACACGCGTGTCCCACAATGGCACGCAGTCCTTTGGTCACTCGATGCTGCACCCCGCCAGGACTCGGCTTTTTAACCACCGGATCCATTGCGATGACTCTCTTGGTGCGCGGGAGAGGGGTGTGAGTGCTTGTGGATGATGAAAGGACAAGTACGATATTCGCAGAAAGGCCAAAGAGACTAAAAAAAAAATATATAAAGTAAAAAATTAAAATAAAATAAAAACCCCCTAAAGAACAGGAAAAGAAGAGAGATAGAAAGAGAGAGAGAGAGAACCAAGCCTCAGGAAAGGAAGGAAATAAGCCAAGGCAACTCGCTTGGTGCGACCAATGCTAGGAGGTCCATGAGACTCCGGTACTTCCTGGTAATGTTGAGACAAATATACTTATTCTAGGTAGGCGGTAGGGATTTTAATGCGTATGCCTATGATACAATAATGGTACATGAAGGCGACTGCACAAACAATCTTACGCCGTTTGGCTCGCTGGCTAGAAGAGTAAGCACTAAACAAGGCCAGGGTTGGGGAAATCTTCTCCACTGTCAGAGGTCCTTCGTACGTTAGGTACTAGGTACCTTACCGGGGTCAGGTACTTTTATCTGAACACGGAATTACACCCTTTTGCCACGAATTTTCAGATCTCCCAATTTTGTAGGTTATGAAATATTGAAATTTATTGACCTGCCCCCTTCGATTGGCTAGATATTACACGTGGCCGTATCTCTATCTCATAGAGTGGTACCTAGTAGGCTCTTTTCGATATTACCAAAGGGGATTTTTCAGAAAATTTGGAAATATCCAGTGGGAGGAGGGTGTACGTACTCTGGTAGGTAAGGTACCTACCTCCTGGAGTCCTGGTGACATTGTTTGTGTAATCAATCAATCAGCGTAGTGCGCTAACATTCAGTCACCCCGTAGCAACATAACAATAGTTCCTTTCTTCAGCCCCTACCAAATTAGGTGTTCAAATCCAAGGAGTAATACATACCGTCATTATTTCTAGGTTGGCAGGAGGAATTTTGATTCTGTCACCCTTGGCGCATCATGCACGACTCATGAAACAGACTGCACTAACCGTCTTACGCGCCTTAGCGCCGCGGCCGGACGAGTAAGCACTCAGCCAAGGAGCCCACCCCCTCCCGGCCCCACCCCCTGGCAGGGCTGTCAAAGCGGGTCGAGTCTCATTGGGTTTTGCTTATCAAAATCGGTTGATCATCCAGGTAGCAGTAGCATCTGGATGTAAACTAAAAAAAAAGGCAGACTGTCGGGACCTTAAAAGGCCACAGAGGTACCCATGCCCGGGTTCTTCGGTCGCCAGACCTGCAATGTATCAAATGTCTTATGCTCATAAACCAGGACACAGCACAGTACAGGGGGGCAATGGCTGCAGATCAAGGTACATTCACGACCTCGGTCACTCTCTCGCCAGTGGAGGGTTCACGCACCGGTGGAATATTACCCCGCCGTGCATTCCGACGCTCTTGTGATCGGTGTCATGCACAAAAGATCAAATGTACAGGAAATAAGGAGGTTACTGCCCGTGCTCCCTGTCAACGTTGCCAGCAGGCTGGACTTCGGTGCGTCTACAGTGAGCGATGTCCCAAGCGCAAGCTACGCCCATCCAGGGCAGCGGATCTCGTCTCTGCTGACCCAGATCCCTGCTTGCACATGTCCTCGCCCCCAGTGCCCTCACAGAGCTTGCCGCTAGACGTATCCGAGTCGCATTCCTCAAATACCTCCCGGCAATTCCTTGATCCACCGGACAGCTACGACTGGTCGTGGACCTCGATTGGCACGGACGAGGCTATTGACACTGACTGCTGGGGGCTATCCCAATGTGATGGAGGCTTCAGCTGTCAGTTAGAGCCAACGCTGCCGGATCTACCTTCGCCCTTCGAGTCTACGGTTGAAAAAGCTCCGTTGCCACCGGTATCGAGCGACATTGCTCGTGCTGCCAGTGCGCAACGAGAGCTTTTCGATGACCTGTCAGCGGTGTCGCAGGAACTGGAAGCAATCCTTCTGGCCGTGACGGTAGAATGGCCGAAGCAGGAAATCTGGACCCGTGCGTCGCCGCATTCCCCAACTGCTTTCCCTGAGAGGATAACACAGCGCCGACACAACATGTGGGCAAACTGGCTAACAGACTTGCATGTATTCTCACTAGATCCCATTGGAATGTTTTTCAACGCGTCCCGACGGCTTCTTACAGTCCTGCGCCAACAAGCGCACGCCGACTGCCATCAAGGCACGCTAGACGAATGTTTACGGACCAAGAACCTCTTTACGGCAGTACACTGTTACATATTGAATGTGCGGATTTTGACCTCGATATCGGAGTTGCTCCTGTCGCAAATTAGGCGGACCCAGAACAGCCATATGAACCCATGGGAGGGGAGCCGATCTGAGTCGCCGAGCAGAGACGACACCAGCAGCACCAGTGGCCATAGCAGTGTTGACACCATACCCGACTTTAGCGAGGACCTCCCTATTGGTGAGCTGTTCTCCTATGTTGACCCCCTGACACACGCCCTATTCTCGGCTTGCACTACGTTACATGTTGGGGTACAATTGCTGCGTGAGAATGAAATTACTCTGGGGGTACACTCCGCCCAGGGCATTGCAGCTTCCATCAGCATGAGCGGGGGACCAGGTGAGGATATAGCCAGGACAGGGGCAACCAATTCTGCAAGATGCGAGGAGCAGCCGACCACTCCAGCTGCTCGGGTTTTGTTCATGTTCTTGAGTGATGAAGGGGCTTCCCAGGAGGTAAAGTCTGCTGGTTCACGAGGTCGAACCATCGCAGCACTGCGACGATGCTATGAGGATATTTTTTCCCTCGCCCGCAAGCACAAATATGGCATGCTCAGAGACCTCAACAATATTCCTCCATGAATCATCCGGCCTTCTGAAGTGTGTGCAACCACTGCGTAACGCCCTGTCATTCGGTGCCGGACAGAGTCCCTCAGCGGGGTGGGAAGATATAGGAAATCAGACATCGCCAACTCGACTCTTTGATTCATACCGGAATAGGATCGTCGTGATCGACTCTTACACCCACCTACCACGAAACTTGAAATTTTCCGATTTCGCAGACTTTAGAATATTGAAATCCGTTGACTTTTCCCTATTTCTGTGAGGCTATATGTGTGGCAGTATCTCCCTCCTATAGTTGGCAGGCTCTTCTCTATATTATATATAGAAGTGGCCTTTTCTTAGAAATTGGAATTTCTTGGAGAGAGGGCGTCGTCTGAGACTCTAGTCACTTCCCACTATTGCAGCTACATGGAGAGATATCTGTTGACTAAGTTGTACTCTGTGATTCGTTTGACAAAGACCCAATAGGGTTCTGGTGCGCTCCAGTCATAGCTAAGCACTCAACTAGCCAACGGTTGAGAACATTGAAGCGTCAATTCTTTTCCGCGGAATACTTTTAACAGCTATGTATGGTTATTTGGGACTGGGGAAGGAAATACATCACGCAGGGCTTCTTCTTCATTCCCATGCGGCCTACTCACATTGTGATCAAAAGTACGGACGTGTCTGGATCAATGGCTCCGGCAGATGGCCAAGAAAACCAATGCATCTGCCAAGAACACAAATGGCTACGTACTAGTCGAGTAGGGCGCGGTCCTGCTTGCCGCCTCCAAAGGAAAACGGGCATTTACTAGATTTGTTTGTTGCAGGTATTGTACTCGGATAGTCCAGCCCAGGGATCAATTGACTTTTGAGACAAGCAGCGGACCCTGGCGGCCAATCGGCTTTAAGGCGGGTAGGGGTCGGGTGGTCTACTGTATGCGGTTCCTCCCGCTCACCACATTACGTCTTAGGTACATTGCATACCTACCTAGTACCTGATCTTATGGTACTGTATACAAAATATTGGTGAAAGTTACCAGTAAAAAGAAAATGGAAAAACTAGAAAAGCAGAAATTTTACCGGTAAGATAAGTGAATTTAGTATTATTCCCAAGGCATGATTTACGAAAACTTGACCTCTCATGATAATACGGTACCAGTGACAGCTTAGGCGCCCCTTCATCCCCTTCGTATCGTACTCCATAGAGAAAAGCTTGTATGGTTGGCGGGACCTGATGCCACGAGTCGGCCTCATCCGTGTTACTAGGTACTTGTATATCATGTATATCAGAGCCGCTTTATAAGGTTTTGGTTCGCCTCGGTTTTGCGATCCCATATTGGGGTCTTTCAGGATACGGAAACCCATGTAAACAATACCAGCTGAAGTACCTACTAGGTACCACCTAGGCACTAAGGTACCTAAGTACATCTTCATCTCAAAAACAAAGATAAAGGAGTTCTAAATTACGTTAGATTCCGCATTGCTGCAGCGACACACGTGATTTTAGGCTTCCCATCACCAGCAAGCTCACCTCCAGGCGGCCCCTTTCCCTTGGACCTGACTAAGGCATCGTGTTCGCCGGCAACCTTACCATAAGGTAGAATGACATCCCACCACAGTGAATCAGAGAAGCCACAGAGCAACACAGCTCAAATGCAGATCAATTATGTCACTGGCCTCAGGCTAGGCCTGGTTGTGGTTTCGGTCACTCTGGTGGCGTTTCTGATGCTCTTGGATATGTCCATCATTGTCACGGTCAGCATGGCATCAGCCTGGAGATTGCTCCGAACCTTGGAGACAACTGACTCTTCGCATTCGCAGGCGATTCCTCATATTACCGCCCAGTTTCATTCACTGGGCGATGTCGGATGGTACGGAAGTGCGTATCTTCTATCAAGGTGATTGATTTTTCAACCCATGCCCTCTTCCTTTTCTCCAGCCGGGTTTCTATTGACTCCACGACACGCTCTAGCTGTGCCCTCCAACCCTTGGCAGGCAAACTATACACTCTGTTGACCCTGAAATCCACCTTCCTCGCTTTTCTTGGGTTGTTTGAGATCGGTTCGGTTCTTTGCGGCACTGCTCGTTCATCAACCATGTTGATTTTAGGGCGAGCAGTGGCCGGAATGGGAGGGTCGGGTCTCACCAATGGTGCAATCACCATTCTGTCGGCGGCAGCTCCAAAGCAACAGCAACCGCGTAAGTACTGATAGCCAGCCCTATCTTAACTGTTGTTATGCTATGCTGACCCGGATATATACACATAGTCTTGATTGGGATCATGATGGGCCGTCAGTTCGCCAACTCATTGGGATCCCCGGAAATCATCGAGCATAGTTTCTGACTCCCTTCCCAGTAAGCCAAATTGCCATTGTATGTGGACCGTTGCTTGGGGGTGCTTTCACGCAGCACGCAAGTTGGCGGTGGTGTATGTATCCCCATTGGATTTATCGGTTCATTGCTTGCTTTCTCAAAGAACCTTCGCTGCGACTCCGCCACGTCAAGATCTTTCGCTCATGATGATTCTGTTCCAGGCTTTTACATCAACCTTCCCATTGGGGCGTTTGCCACATTTCTCCTTCTCGTCATCCAGATCCCCAACAGACTGCCATCCACGTCGGATTCAACCACAGACGGCACAAACCCCCAGAGAAAAGGGGCTCGGGGTGTCTTGAACCAACTGGATTTCCTTGGATTCGTGCTCTTCGCCGGTTTTGCGATCATGATATCTCTTGCTTTGGAGTGGGGTGGGTCTGCTTATGCGTGGAATAGTTCCGTGATTATCGGCTTGTTCTGTGCGGCGGGCGTGTCGCTGGTGCTGTTCGGATGCTGGGAACGGCATGTCGGCGGTGCAGTGGCCATGATTCCTATTTCCGTGGCCAGTCATCGCCAAGTCTGGTGCTCCTGCTTCTTCCTCGGCTTGTTTTCCGGGGCCCTACTTATTTTCTCCTACTACCTACCTATCTACTTCCAGGCAGTCAAGAATGTTTCTCCCACCATGAGTGGAGTGTATATGCTGCCGGGCATTGGTGGACAGATCGTCATGGCGATTGTGACGGGTGCAATCAGTTGAGTTGCCACCATTCCACCACCTTTCTTCGCTTATAGCCTATGGCATTACTGACGACCTGAGGGTGGCAGTCGGTAAAACAGGCTATTACGTTCCGTGGGCGCTCGCAAGCGGGATCCTTGTGTCCATATCCGCCGGACTGGTATCGACCTTCCAGCCACAAACCTCGACTGCAGCATGGGTCATGTATCAGTTCCTGGGAGGCATCGGTCGAGGATGCGGAATGCAAACCGTAGGTGACCTGGATCGTTTCCATCTGTTTGCGCCGCACTCTTATGCGAATGCTCACTGACTCGGTTGTCCCTCTTTTAGCCTGTCGTCGCCATTCAAAATGCGCTGCCTCCTCAAACAAGCCCCATCGGCATTTCGCTAGCCATGTTCGGACAGACCTTCGGCGGCTCGCTTTTTCTCACCTTGACCAAATTGGTTTTTAGCAATGGTTTGTACTCTGGTCTGCACCAATATGCGCCAACCCTCAATGCACAGGAGGTAACAGCCGCAGGGGCCACCGGCTTCCGCCAAGTGGTCCCGGCTCCTCTCATCTCTCGGGTCCTCTTAGCATACAGTAAAGGAGTGGACCATGCATTCTACGTTGCGGTCGGTGCGTCTGGAGCTACCTTCATATTCGCCTGGGGTATGGGCCGGCTTACCTGGAGAGGCTGGCGGATGCAGGAGAAAGGACGGAGCGAATGAATTTAATCCCTCGCCAAAGAAATATTAATATTTCTATGGAGATAACCATGTAGCGTTTGGCAACTCATACACTCTACCTACTCTTCTCAAACCAAACGAACCTTTATTATTACAGGGAGAGCAATAATTCATCACGAACCGGTTGTGACGACAGACCGGTCCAACTGCGGCCTTTTTTGGCGCTTTATGGGTAAACACTTTAGTGTCGATAAGATTCCTAGCTTGACCTGAGCAGACCTAAACCTGCATTAGTCATGGAAATGTGCATTCGAGTACCCGACAGGTTGTGTTACGAATCCACCGCATCAGCATATTCAATGGACATGGCCTCCCAGTATTTGCTTCTCTTAAAGAAAGTTCCATGGTTCCATGGTTAACTCACGGCTTCCAGTAGGGAAGTTGTGCTCCTCGTAGCCTACATGTACACATTGGCCATCACGGGTGATTGAGCAAGACAGTCGAGGCGATCAACATTGATATTCGGTCTTAGCACTGATACCACACAGAACTGGCGGGTATGAAGCAGTCCGTCTAGGTAGTGTGGCAGAGAAATCGTGGCGTGTAGCATCTACGCTTCAGAGCAACTATCGCAACCCTCAGGTCGGCAGACCAACTGGAGTACCGGACTCGGCGTTTTGGTCGGCGTTATCAACCGGGGTTATTGAGCACCGCCAACCCGTGCAGCTACCTAGCTCACTGTGGAGAATGGTAATGCTAGGCTTCGGTCTGACGATGTCATTCTATTGCTGATGACGTTCCTGAGCACCCGTTTCTCTACCATCCTGGCGAGGTCGAATCAGCCCGCGTCCGTCATACTCCAGGTGTGCGCAGTAAGGAAGGCTCATCCATCAAACATCAAACTAGAAGACATTGGCCACGATGACACCATTAGATGCGCCCGGTGCGCCTGCTCCCATAGCTGTGGTTGGCATGGGCTGCAGGTTTGGCGGAGGCGCAACAGATCCCCAGAAACTGTGGAAATTGCTGGAGGAAGGAGGGAGCGCCTGGTCTAAGATTCCTCCTTCACGATTCAATGTCGGCGGGGTCTACCACCCCAATGGCCAGAGAGTAGGATCGGTGAGTATGAGGGATGCTGGGTTGAGCATTTTTGAGGCCCATATCTTCCTGTTCAGAACGATAGGCGTTGACTGCGAGTAGATGCACGTTCGCGGTGGCCACTTTCTCGACGAAGACCCGGCTCTTTTTGATGCCTCATTTTTCAATATGAGCAGTGAAGTCGCCAGTGTACGTCCCGCGATCATTTTCCAGTTGTGTATGGATCGGAAGCGGGAGAAACCCATGCTAAGACCGCCGAACAGTGTATGGACCCCCAGTACCGACTCATACTTGAGGTCGTTTATGAGGCTCTCGAAGCTGGTATGTATTATATTCCTTGGTTTCACACATGGGTATTAACTCTCCATGGCTCCGCAGCGGGAATTCCTCTCGAACAGGTCTCTGGCTCCAAGACTGGGGTCTTTGCAGGAACCATGTATCACGACTACCAAGGCTCCTTCCAGCGCCAACCAGAAGCTCTTCCACGGTATTTCATAACAGGAAATGCTGGCACCATGCTCGCGAATCGCGTCTCCCACTTCTATGACCTTCGTGGGCCCAGTGTGTCCATCGACACTGCCTGTTCCACAACTTTAACAGCCTTGCATCTTGCTATTCAGAGCTTGCGAGCTGGTGAGTCTGATATGGCAATTGTCGCTGGCGCGAACCTGCTACTTAATCCTGACGTCTTTACTACCATGTCCAACCTTGGGTGAGTCTGGTGTTTCATTCCAATCCATTTAGTCATGAGCATTCTTGTTGCACAGACAATATGTGATGTTGACTGTGATGTGCTGCGACCAGCTTCCTTTCGCCCGATGGGATTTCCTACTCATTTGATTCGAGAGCGGATGGCTATGGTCGCGGAGAAGGAGTGGCTGCGATCGTCTTGAAGACTCTGCCCCATGCGGTGCGAGACGGAGACCCGATCCGCCTCATAGTGCGCGAAACGGCGATAAACCAAGACGGCCGGACCCTGGCCATCAGCACGCCGAGCGGCGAGGCACAAGAGCGCCTAATCCGAGATTGCTATCAGAAGGCCCGGTTGGACCCAAAACAGACCTCGTACGTGGAGGCTCACGGGACGGGAACTGGAGCAGGAGATCCGCTGGAGCTTGGAGTCATCTCGGCCGCGTTTCCGAGACAGCAGATACAGGTGGGCTCCGTGAAAGCCAATATCGGGCATACAGAGGCTGTCAGTGGTCTGGCGAGTGTGATAAAGGTGGCTCTGGCTGTTGAAAAGGGGGTTATCCCGCCTAATGCAAGGTTCCTCCAGCCGAGCAAGAAGTTGCTCAAGGACACTCATATCCAGGTAGCATTATCTTCACGATTCTTTTCCTCTCATTCTATTCTTTCTATTCCAGCTCCTCGCTGATTTACAAACAGATTCCACTGTCTAGCCAATCATGGATACCAACCGATGGTGTCTGTCGCGCATCAATAAACAACTTCGGTTTTGGAGGCGCAAATGCTCATGCAATCGTGGAGCGGTATGCCCCGTTTGCAGAAACATCGATGTGCTCACCTAATGGCTATCCTGGCAACTACGATGGCCATGTAGAAACGGATCAAGCGCATATATATGTGTTGAGTGCCAAGGACGAGAACAGTTGCATGCGAATGGTTTCAAGGCTGTGCGATTACGCTACCCACGCCAGAGAAGCCGACGATTGGCAATTGCTCGCGAATATGGCATACACGCTTGGTTCTCGTCGCTCAAACTTCCGATGGAAGGCAGTATGTACGGCACACAACCTCACGAGTCTTGCCCAGAATTTGGCGGGAGATGGAATGCGGCCAAGCAAGTCAGCCGAGCAAGTAAGACTGGGATGGGTGTTCACGGGCCAGGGAGCGCAATGGTTTGCAATGGGTCGTGAGTTGATTGAGATGTATCCTGTCTTTAAAGAGGCCCTGCTGGAATGCGATGGATATATCAAGGAAATGGGGTCAACCTGGTCCATTATAGGTAAAGACCCGCAACAAGTCCCCGGCCAAGGCCATGGAAAGCGCTCACTCATGTCATCATTGCAGAGGAACTCAGTCGCCCTGAAACGGAAAGTCGCGTTGATCAGGCAGAATTCAGTCTGCCATTGTCTACGGCTCTTCAAATTGCGCTTGTTCGTCTGCTCTGGTCGTGGAACATCCAACCAGTAGCCGTCACTAGTCACTCCAGCGGAGAGGCAGCTGCAGCGTACGCTATCGGGGCACTAACAGCCCGCTCGGCCATTGGAATAAGCTATATACGCGGTGCATTGACAGCAAGAGACCGCCTGGCGTCGGTACATAAGGGGGCCATGTTGGCTGTCGGATTGAGCCGCAGTGAAGTGGGTATATACATCAGACAGGTTCCATTACAGAGTGAAGAATGCTTGGTGGTGGGGTGTATCAACAGCCCGTCGAGTGTGACGGTCTCGGGAGATTTGTCCGCCATTGCCAAGTTGGAGGAATTGCTCCATGCTGATCGTATATTCGCGAGACGGCTCAAAGTCACCCAAGCCTTTCACTCCAGCCACATGAACTCGATGACAGATGCTTTCCGAGCCGGTCTTACAGAACTCTTCGGAGCAGACCCCAGTGATGCAGCAAATGCCAATAAAGACGTGATCTACGCTTCTCCCAGAACCGGGGACCGCATGCACGACTTCAATAGTCTTCGGGATCCTATGCACTGGGTCGAATGCATGCTTTACCCGGTTGAGTTCGAATCAGCATTCCGTCAAATGTGCCTGGACGAAAACGACCACATGCCAAAGGTCGATAGGATCATTGAGATTGGACCTCACGGGGCGCTTGGAGGCCCGATCAAGCAGATCATGCAGCTTCCAGAGCTTGCCCCGTGTGACATTCCTTATCTGTCCTGTCTTTCTCGTGGGAAGAGCTCTCTGAGCACCCTTCGCCTTCTCGCATCAGAACTTATCCGGGCCGGATTTCCTGTTGACTTGAATGCGATCAACTTTCCCCGCGGATGTGAAGCAGCTCGGGTCCAAGTGTTGTCTGATCTACCGCCCTATCCTTGGAACCACGAGACCAGATACTGGAAAGAGCCGCGCATCAGTCAATCTGCCCGGCAGCGGAAGGGCCCAGTCCACGATCTGATCGGATTGCAAGAGCCGTTGAACCTGCCGTTGGCGCGGTCATGGCACAATGTGCTTCGAGTGTCAGATTTGCCATGGCTACGCGACCACGTCGTCGGCTCGCATATTGTTTTCCCTGGGGCTGGGTTCGTTTGTATGGCAGTGATAGGAATCAGCACTCTTTGCTCATCTGACCATGAATCTGCCGACTTCAGTTACATCCTACGCGACGTGAACTTTGCGCAGGCCCTGATTCTACCCGCGGACGGGGAAGAAGGAATAGATCTGCGCCTCACGATTTGTGCACCCGATCAGAGTCTGGGTTCACAAGACTGGCAAAGATTCTTAGTCCATTCGATCACTGCTGACAAGAATGACTGGACGGAACACTGTACGGGACTTGTTCGAGTAGATATGGACCAGCCTGCCTCCAGTTTGTCGAACCCACAACGGGCAGACCCACGGCCATGGAGCCGTAAAACAGCGCCCCAGGACCTGTGGGACTCACTTCATCGAGTGGGGATTCGTCATGGGCCCCTTTTTCAAAACATTACGCGCATTGAAAGTGACGGGCGAGAGTCATGGTGTACATTTGCCATCGCGGATACGGCCTCCGCAATGCCACACGCCTACGAATCCCAGCACATTGTTCACCCAACCACGCTAGACTCTGCAATTCAGGCAGCCTATACTACTCTTCCATTCGCTGGGAGCCGGATCAAATCTGCCATGGTCCCCGCTCGCGTCGGCTGCATGAAGATTTCCTCCCGACTTGCAGATTTGGAGGCCAGGGACATGCTGCGCGCACAAGCGAAGATGCACAGCCAAAGTCATTGCGCGCTGGTAACCGATGTAGCAGTTTTTGATGAGGCAGATCCGTTTGGAGGGCCTGTTATGGAGCTCGAAGGGCTGGTCTTTCAGTCTCTGGGGGCAAGTCTGGGCACTTCTGGCCGGGACTCCACCGACACCGGGAATACCTGCAGCTCCTGGCATTGGGCTCCCGACATCAGCCTAGTTAACCCCGTCTGGCTTGAGAGAACCCTGGACACAGGTATTCAGAAGCACGAGATCGGCGTCATACTGGAGCTTCGACGGTGTTCGGTGCACTTCATTCAAGAGGCCATGGAAAGTTTGAGCGTAGGCGATGTCGCGAGGCTGAGTGGTCACCTCGCCAAATTCTATGCGTGGATGCAGGCTCAACTGGCGTGTGCCCAAAATGGCGAGCTAGGGCCAGAGAGCTCCAGCTGGACTCGAGATAACGAGCACGCAAGATGCAGCCTCCGCTCTAGAGTGGTTGCTGGTAGCACCAACGGCGAAATGATCTGTCGCCTGGGCTCCGTGCTCCCCGCCATCCTACGTCGGGAAGTTGATCCGTTGGAGGTGATGATGGATGGCCACCTGTTGTCCCGCTACTATGTCGATGCCCTCAAGTGGAGTCGGTCCAACGCGCAAGCCAGCGAGCTCGTGCGCCTCTGCTGCCACAAAAACCCGCGGGCTCGCATACTGGAAATCGGCGGAGGCACTGGGGGTTGCACCCAGCTGGTCGTGGACTCCTTGGGCCCAAATCCGCCGGTAGGCCGCTATGACTTTACTGACGTCTCTGCCGGCTTTTTTGAAGCAGCCCGCAAGCGGTTCGCGGGATGGCAGGATGTGATGGATTTTCGGAAGTTGGACATCGAGGACGATCCAGAAGCGCAGGGGTTTGTATGCGGATCCTACGACGTGGTGTTGGCTTGTCAGGTCCTGCATGCCACTTCTAACATGCAGCGCACATTGACTAATGTGCGCAAGCTGTTGAAGCCAGGAGGCAAACTCATTCTTGTCGAAACCACCAGAGACGAGCTTGACTTGTTCTTCACTTTCGGGCTTCTGCCCGGCTGGTGGCTCAGCGAAGAACCAGAAAGACAGTCGACTCCGTCACTAAGCCCTACGATGTGGCGCAGCATGCTGCACGCTACTGGATTCAATGGTGTGGAAGTTGAGGCTCGTGACTGCGATAGCGACGAGTTCTATATGATTAGCACCATGATGTCCACGGCCGTACAGGCGACTCCGACGTCATGCTCGGACAAATTACCTGAAGTGCTCTTGGTCTATGTTGACTCATCTACGCCCATGTCTTGGATATCAGATTTGCAGGGAGCGATTCGCTGCAGGAATTGTTCCGTCACTTCGCTACAGGCACTTCGTCAAGTTCCTCCTACCGAGGGCCAAATGTGCGTATTCCTCGGAGAGATGGAACACTCAATGCTTGGTTCAGTCACCAACGACGACTTCACACTTTTGACCTCAATGCTACAGCTGGCGGGGGGGGCTTTATGGGTCACCCGAGGAGCGACAATGAAGTCCGATGACCCCCTGAAGGCTCTACACCTCGGACTACTACGTACCATGCGTAATGAAAGCCATGGCAAGCGATTTGTCTCACTTGACCTCGACCCTTCGCGTAATCCATGGACAGGCGATTCGCGCGATGCCATTGTCAGTGTTCTGGATTTGGTAAGCATGTCAGATGAAAAGGAGTTTGACTACGCAGAGCGGGGTGGAGTTATCCATGTTCCTCGGGCATTTAGTGACTCCATCAATGGAGGCGAGGAAGACGGGTATGCCTTGGAGCCATTCCAGGACAGCCAGCATCTCCTGCGACTCGATATACGGACTCCTGGGCTCCTCGATTCCCTGTACTTCAGAAAGCGCAGTGTGGACCCATATGAACCAGATAAATTACCGGACGACTGGGTAGAGATCGAACCGAGGGCGTTTGGTCTTAACTTCCGTGACATCATGGTCGCGATGGGTCAATTGGAATCAAACGTCATGGGCTTCGAATGCGCCGGCGTGGTTACAAGTCTCAGCGAGACAGCAAGAACAATTGCACCCGGTCTTGCGGTCGGAGATCGGGTTTGCGCCCTCATGAACGGACACTGGGCGTCGAGGGTGACCACAAGCCGGACCAACGTGGTGCGCATTCCAGAGACTCTTAGTTTCCCGCATGCTGCTTCCATCCCTCTGGCCTTCACAACAGCCTACATTTCACTTTACACCGTTGCCCGCATTCTGCCAGGTGAGACGGTGTTGATACATGCCGGGGCAGGAGGCGTAGGCCAGGCGGCCATTATTCTTGCCCAATTAACCGGTGCTGAAGTCTTTACAACTGCTGGTAGTGAGGCCAAGCGCAACCATTTGATCGATAAATTCCACCTCGACCCTGATCATGTCTTCTCGAGCAGGGACTCCAGCTTCGTCGACGGTATCAAGACCCGCACGAGTGGCAAGGGGGTGGACGTGGTTTTAAACTCGCTAGCTGGGCCTCTCCTTCAGAAGAGCTTTGACTGTCTGGCTAGGTTTGGTCGGTTTGTGGAAATCGGCAAGAAGGATCTTGAGCAGAATAGCCGACTCGACATGTCGACGTTCGTCCGCAATGTCTCCTTCTCCTCCGTTGATATTCTCTACTGGCAGCAAGCGAAGTCCGCTGAAATCTTCCAGGCGTTGTCCGAGGTCATCTTGCTGTGGGGGCGAACGGCAATCGGCCTGATTCATCCAATATCAGAGTATCCTATGTCGGCCCTGGAGAAGGCCTTTCGCACTATGCAGAGCGGCCAGCACGTTGGGAAGATTGTTGTGACAGTAGCCCCCGATGACGCGGTCCTTGTTCGTCAGGAACGAATGCCACTATTTCTGAAGCCTAACGTGTCGTATCTTGTTGCTGGGGGGCTGGGTGGTATCGGACGACGGATCTGCGAGTGGCTGGTCGATCGCGGGGCGCGATATCTCATCATTCTGTCTCGAACTGCTCGCGTGGACCCGGTCGTGACGAGTCTCCAAGAGCGGGGTTGCACCGTTTCTGTACAGGCGTGTGATGTGGCCGATAAAAGCCAGCTTGAAGCGGCTCTCCAACAGTGTCGGGCGGAGAACCTGCCTCCGATTCGGGGCGTCATCCAAGGGGCGATGGTTCTCAAGGACGCCCTCGTCTCGCAAATGACGGCGGACGGGTTCCATGCCGCCCTGCGGCCCAAGGTTCAGGGAAGTTGGAATCTGCACCGAATTGCATCGGACGTGGATTTCTTCGTGATGCTCTCATCCTTGGTGGGTGTCATGGGAGGCGCAGGGCAAGCCAACTACGCGGCTGCCGGAGCATTTCAGGACGCGCTCGCCGAGCACCGCATGGCTCACAACCAGCCAGCGGTCACCATCGACCTCGGAATGGTCCAGTCGATTGGGTATGTGGCAGAGACAGATTCTGCTGTGGCGGAACGACTCCAACGGATCGGCTATCAACCCTTGCACGAAGAGGAGGTTCTGGCTGTCCTCGAGCAAGCTATGTCTCCTGTGTGTTCCCCTACCGCACCCACACGGCCTGCTGTCATCGTCACTGGCATCAACACCCGCCCAGGCCCTCACTGGGCACACGCCGACTGGATGCAAGAGGCTCGCTTCGCGGGGATCAAGTATCGTGATCCGTTGAGGGACAATAATGGAGCTTTGCCGCTGACCCTGGCTGAAGATGACAATCTTCACGCCAGGCTGAACCGTGCAACCAGCCAACAGGCGTCCATCGCTGTGATTATGGAGGCGATGGGCCGCAAACTCATTTCAATGTTCGGCCTGACGGATAGCGAGATGTCCGCCACTCAGACATTGGCGGGGATCGGCGTGGACTCCCTGGTCGCCATTGAGCTCCGGAACTGGATCACAGCTCGATTCAATGTTGATATCTCGGTTTTCGAGTTGATGGAGGGCCGAACGATCGCCAAAGTCGCGGAGGTGGTGCTGCAGCGATACAAACCTTAGATATATATATGTACATATTTCTCCCTATAGCCACATATATATTGACATGCTTCGACAGTGTCTGATTTTATTATCTTAGAGTTCCCTATCAGTAAGACCCTTAGCTGGGTCCGCAGGGTTAAGAGGCCACTGTCACAATCCAGGTTAATAGTCTCAACATCGTGGTGCTGCAACATCTGATTGACGATCGGTGCAACATTTATGGATGGTAAGGGAAATTGGTTGAAGAATATGTTGCATAGCCCTTTGAGATGTATGTAGAGTTGTCTGTGGCAGGTTCGGGTTTACGCTCTAGAATCTGCTGCAGATTACCGGTTTAAACCCCCTAGGCGTGCTGGGTTTAGTTAGTGTAGGTTAATTAGGATAGGCCTATGAACCCACTTACTACTTACTAAGGTTTGTAGTCTTGGGAGTAGCTGGGAATCCATGTTGTCGGGCCATACTTCGGGAAACACTTTAGAGACACGGTGCAACCCACCATACCGCCCGCACCCATCGTGGTGCAGCTGGAGGGTATAGAAGTAAAACAGAAGAGAAACGCAGATAAAGAACAACGGTGTTTCATTCCTGCAACAAGCCTTGTCCCACGCGACCTGCAGCGCCTCCCAATTTTCACATGGGTCCGGCGGGACGAACGTGAGACAAGATGCTGCCGCCGAGTGCGCAGCCGGAAGGGATTTGGGACACAGAGGCGTGCCTAACCCTGTGTTGGTTAGGTGTCTTTGGTGATGTTTATCGTCGGTTCGCACAAAGTTACACGATTATCCCCTTTTCCTGATATGATGTATATTTATATGTACGGTGCCATCCCCACATACATATATCCATCCATATATACACCCATCTTCACTCCGTACCTTGTCGCTTCAGCAGACAAGAATCCGGAGGAGACATCGCTTAAGAATTCCTCCGTCGCCATACCTCCCGTCAATATCACCACCACCACCGCAACTGCCCTCTCCGCCTACGCCCCCTCGCACGAACCCTCGGAGCCCACCCTCATCGAAGAAGAGAAACTCCTGACCCGCAAACGCACCTTCGAAATCTTATCAAGATGGGTCTACCGCCACATCGTCACCTCGCCACTGCCCATCATATCCCCGCGTCTGGCCGTTGTCGCCGTACGAGCTCTCCAACGCGCCGAGGCGGGTTTTTCTCTCCACGACAAGGGAGATACTACATACAATTCTGACTCGGAGGATCCGGCTCTATATACCGACACCGACGCAGACGAGGAGTTACTCGACTCGTATGCGGCAATTTGTGCGGCGTTTTCGGCGGGAGACGCAGAGTATCAACGTCACCACCGGATGGGCGTATATCCCATAAATTGGGCACGTATTACCGACATATATCCTTGCAACGCAACTCTACTGCTAATAAGTTAGCAGTGCTATTTTTAACTGATTGTGGGCTGCAAAGCTAGACACATACAAGAACCCCAAGGCACTCTCTAAACAGGCCTATCTAGTAGTCTCTTATATCGAATTATGTCCTCCTCCATAATAAGATCAAATTCGCTTTGGCTAGTCATGTCAATGCCAAGTGGAAAGTCAGGGAAGTTGTCAATGCCAAGTGAAAAGTCGGGGAAGTCAAGGCATTGGCCAGCCTCATTGCTCAGCAAATCCTGGGTTGCATCCTCAGAAGGAGTCGCAATTGTACCATCCATTGGTATCTCTCTCGGGTTGAAGTATATGTCCCAGACCTGGCCGTCTCCAGGTACGCCAAGAGGGCCGATATTCAAGTTATATGAAGAGCCGGTGCTAGTTGTGCTAGTGGACGCATTGGCGGCATCGTAATCCATGTAGGTTGGCTCGTTCCATGAGGGCGTTGGACTTCGTGATATCGTTGTCGGAATAAAACGCCTCTCCCTTAAGTTCTGGAGGAGGAGGGCAATATCGCTACAGCGACTGGCCACTTGGCTGAATTTGTACGGGATAGATGCAGCTGACCTATTGGATGCCAAGCGGTTCGTGTATATAGCGAAGAAAGTGAGTATCTCCATGTCCTGTGAATGGATCGGCTGGTCTTCCTCCACAATGTGGACATAGATTCCCATGAATGAGATCAAAGAATAGTTCAGGACAATGCTATGAAGTAAATCCCCAGGTTAGGATGCTGTGAAAAGGGTCGCACGGAAGACTTACCTGTCGAAATTGCTGAAGCCAGATTTACACCCATCGCATAATTGCTTGAACAGCATCAGACAATCCCGAGCGTGTTGTAGGCAGACTGTGCCCCTTTCCTGGCTCCAAATGCGTTTATGCAGAAGTACCCAACAGCTCGAGAGTGCAAATCTCAACTGCATTGCACAGATATACTCTTCGAGAGGCCTTTTCGAATCTCCGGTACGCAGTACATGCTCATGTTGCACGTGCCACTGGCTAAGTTTTCGAGCAATTCTGCGGATACGGCGGCGGACGCGACTCTGTTCCATTTTGCTGGATTTTGCTGAGTATAAGCACTGATATATCTCCTCAAGAATGAATGCCAAGCGTATGCGTGCCGCAAAAACATTGGGCAGTGGCGCAGCGGAGTCATATGGAGGCAATGGTACGCTGCAGTCATACGAGGGCAATAGGCAGGCCTTGCCCCCAATGATGGATACGTGCTTCTAAATCCGATAGTAAGCGAAATGCTCAGAAAACAAAGGAAAGTTTTTGACGAACATCGACGAGGAAGATGCTCCAGAACAAGTCTTTTGGCTGGTCGTCCACAGCCCCATCTTCCGTTGGCGGGGTCGTTGTCATTAAATGGAGTCCAATGAGCCTGGACAACTCGCAGACTTGAGCAAAGATAGTCTGAAAAATTGCGAAATCAAAATACTCCATTGCCACAAGTGCCTTAGTATAATAAAGTCAGGCCACGTTCCAAAGGTAGGGTTGTAAGACGTACCAAACAAAAGAGGGCCCGTATATTCGATAGCCGGGGTTTAACAAGAGTTTCCAATCGATTATAGCACTGCCTGATGTTACGCAGCAGGCTTATGATCATATAATCTAATGGTATGTCTTGTTCTGTGCCTCCCACGACTTTGTTCGCAATTGATGTTTGAGTAAGGGCCTGAAGCACAATGCAGTTGAAAGAGGTAATCCAAACCAGGTCCGGAGGCCCAGTTCTGATTGTGTACTGAGATTCCACTGCGTCCCTAATGGTCTGTCGACTAAATATAGGGAGTCGTGGATTCAGCTTCTTGAAATATTCATTGATAGACGGCTCCACTAGAGCGCGGGGTGGAAGAGACGGGAGAAAGGTATCGTCTTCGGATGCCGATAGCGTTGGGATATCATCAATAATCTGTTGAAGCGTTTCATTTGCCTCAGTTACCTTCGAGCGCACAGCTGACACAGCTTGGTGGTCAAATGCGACCATCTCTGCGACTTGGTGGCTGTTCATGTCGACCGGTAACCAAGAGGTTAGGTTGGCGTTAGCAGCCTGTGCCTCCATAACGAGTGAAACAAAAGAGCCATAACCGTGGAGAGGCCAGAATCCATCTTCCTCTGTGGGTGAAGTGTGTTTGCCTGAGTACAAGTTTACTTCACACTCTTCTGAGCTGGTTGAGCTTGTGTACCCGCTTTCTTGTGACTGTGGCCTTGATAGATCACGAAAGCCCTGATGGGCATCAATAAAGGACAGGCATCGTTGGAGGGCATGTTCGATATCTTCAACCCGACTCCCGAGCTTCTCGACATCTCGCGCCCTGACTGAGAGTCAGAAAGACAGGTATTTGATCCAAATATAGACCATCTTATCACGTACAATTTTGCTGTTTGGTTGACCCGTGTAACTTTGTTGGAGAATTCGCAGGGTAGGTTATATCGGAGGCAATGGGAGCACTTTGAACCCTCCTTACTGCATCGCACCTTGCGGATCCGACACTCATCACATGCGGGAAATGCCTGCCGCTTCGACGACAGCTCTGCACTCTCCATCATTCAACTCTATGTGAGATGGGACATGAGTGAACGATGAGGGAAGGCCCTGGTACTCAGATAAGTCCTTGATGTCGTTAAAGATGTGAACTGTGCAAGACGAAGACTGGTTTGAAGTAAGACCCACGGCTGAAGTGGCATGATAAGTCCTCCTGTTGGTTTTATACCTTATCTGTTGATGAAAGCCTGACCTTGGCCAAAGAAGGAAGCAGCTGAGTATCCGACATATTTGATAAGGACCAGAGGCAAGCTTGGGATCTGCTGCATACTCGGATTACGCGAAAAGGTAGTCGGAGTACATGAAAAGGTACTCGGAGTACGCGAAAAGGTTAGATTAAGCGCTACGGACGCCGGCAGTCCCTGAATGAAACTTTGCGGGGCCCACTTGCCGCTGACGTTGGCACGAGGAACCTTCTGGCCCCTACTCTACCTACTATAGCACAAGATACTCGAATAACAAAGCTTGTCGCCATCGTGGCGTTGACGCCAGCATGGGAGGCTCTGCATTTGCTGTAGTATACGGAAAGCTTAGTGGGGCCAGATGTATCCATACTATAGGTATGTTATGTGCCGATTTACGTACGGAATGGGAAAGATTTTGTATACGGCCGCAGGCCGAAAAGGGCCGAATTACAGACCTGCCATAATTATGTGCACCCCGATGATGCCTCAAGCGCAGCATTCAACAGGGGCAACATATCGTCACAGGTCAGATTTATTTCTGCATCGGGAAGACTTCGGAAATTGATTCCGAGGCACAGAGTGCCTCGGACTAGCGACGCCAAGTTTCTACTATCAGGAAAAGTGCTAGTTCCAGGTTGGAACTAGCCAATAAGTAGCCAACGGTAAGCTGAACAACTAATTTCTCAGTATTAGATGAACGAATGGGTAGTTCAGAGACACCATGCACGTTGTCCAATACTATGAGGCTTTAGCAAGACAAAGTGGAGCACACGCCACCTGGTAAAAGTGAACACTGTCTGCTGCAAAAGCATATGGAGTTTGATTTTGATTACTAGAAAGCACACCATCTCCTCCTTCTCCCAGAATATTGCAAATCAGGGGACATTTAATAAGTAAGCTGGGCCACTAATGCGTGCTAAGAACAGGGAGTCCACCAGAGCGAGGTAGATCCCTTCGTATTTCAACTGTGGCAGGACAGCGATCTGCGGAGCTCCGGCGGCTAGCCGTATGGCATTGACTGTGATGGAGATCCGGACCTCTATTGTACTCCAGAGTACATTCCGAAAAGCCATAATTATTCGGATGTACGGAATACGGGGGGATGATAAGCGCTAGAAGTAGGGTGGATCCTACTACAATTCGGATCCTTTAGCTTGTGCTAACGTGTCAAGCTGGGGCATCCTGTAGTCCGTGCTACTCCTATAGGTTTACTGGCTATATAAATCTGGTGGAGCCAGCGGCCCCTGCACCTCTTTAGGACACGCGGCCCCTTCAAAAAAGTCAAAATAGCAGTCAAGAGCAGTGAAAGAGACACATGCTGTCTCATAGAAAAGCAAGGAACCTCGAAATCCACATGAGATCGATCCACATGGTTCTACTTCGAGTGGGTCATTAATTGTTGTCACCTGAGACATGAGATACTTAGTAGCTAAGGTATGATACATGCTGTTGATCAAACGATATGAGTGTCATGTTGGGGGTGAATACTAAGGAACATTTCTACCAACAGTCTCGCGGTGAATAGAAAACTGACCTTTAAATTCCAGCACGGCGAACGAACAGCATCAATGTTTCAGTTTGGTTGCGTCAAGAACTTGTAGACTTTCTCGTAGCTGGGCGCTCTGTCAGTGTACAAGAATACCATGCCTGTAGATTACCCTAAACTTACACGGGAAACATGATGGCCGAGGTAAGGGAAAGTCTCCCTGTCCGAAACCAGACACCGGACCAGAAAACGCCAATGCCTTCACTGCGCAGGAGTGTTTTCACGCAGTTGAAGGTATTTCCGTACAGTTGTCTTGCCTGAAGAGATTGCATTCTGGTAACCCGAAGTCGCATCCAAGTCAGCATATACTTATCTGGGCGTGTTACTGTCGATCTGAGCACTACTTACCGTGTCTTGATCACGTCCAGTGGCTGTGTCGACCAGGCGCAGCAAACTCCAGTAACAGAACCGACCAAGGTGCTTGCCAGAGGGTGCACGTCTTCGCCATTCTTCGAGTATTTTCGGGCCAGCCCAATAAGTTCGTTATAAACAGTGAACTTCACTGCCGCATTGGAGGACTGCCGCAAAATTGTAGGACCAACCGCAGAGAAGAATCCAAGCGGTCCCCGATCTCGAAGGATCCCAGCTATCGCGCCAAAAGTCGTACTTAACTCTGCATTTCCAACCTTCCTTGCATCAATGCTAAGAGAACGAATTAAGAACTGGTCGGATAACGGGTGAGATGTTGCAACTTACATTTTTGTCTTGATCGCCTCCGCTGGGGTTACGGCTAAGACAGCCTCGGTCACGCCAGCCCCAAACCCAGCCAGGACGGAAGCTCCAGTTGAGAGCTCTCCATTTGGGCCCGAAAGGGCCGAGCGATAAATATTGAATGAGGCAAATTCTGTTTGTTATTGCAAACGGTCATTCCTTTTCGCTCCACGCTGGCTTAGAAGGGGATCGCTACATACGAACGGAGGCTTTCACTGTGGTTCCTACCAAGGTGGCTCCATACCCAGCATACCAGCCTCGGATTCCAGGTTTTATAGCTGCCACATCATGGTTTCGCCGCTTAAGCTGGGCGCGAGTTTTAGCCGCTACCAGCCGAAGCAATAGACTGTCAGTTGGCGGCCACGGTAAAGCAGAACTCTTAAACACAGGAAAGCTCACATTCGAAAGGGTAGGTGATGGAGATTTCAACTGCCCCAGCACAAGCACCCGCAACCAATGCAGGAATGCCTTTCGTCTGTACATATATTAAGAAAAGAGATTGTCAGTAACATGGCCCACGCGCGACCAAGAAGGAACACATACACGCTTCCCACGGGCTTTTTGGATAAGGGGTGCCTTTGGTAATGGAACATTTGTCTGGATTTTAGAGTCCATGACGGGGATGTGCTGAGTCCGAACAAGGCTTTTCTTCACAGAGATAGGGCTGCAGACTTTATTTCCAGTTTGCCTTCCCTATGTTCAGTATCGGGTCTTATATTGTATTATCTCCATGCTTATGACTCTCAGTGGAATATATTGGATATCAGTTTGTCACGGAGTCGGCACCCGATGGCTATCGCAATCGTCCCTGGTGGGTCTTGAAATCGCATGTCACACTCATTCCGGATGAAACACATTCCGGAGCACGCGTTGATATTGCTAAACAGTATAGACCCGAATGGTCTGCAGAAGCCCTAAATAGTAGGTCTCATTAGCCAGCATTTAGTTGTGATTGCAGATCATTGTCAGCCTAACATCAGTGTAGGTTACGGTGTGATATTTACTTGCATAGAAGGTTCCAGACCACACGGTTCTAGATCCTTTGACAGCAGCATGAATGGATTGCCCTCTAGGTGCCGGGCGCCGACGTGTGTGTTGCTCCGGGATTTGTAGGACGGAGCTCGGATACCTAGCCGCTATGGGCATCGGAGGTTGTAGCAGCGTACACACTTGGATAGTTAAATAATCGGGTGTACACCCACTGTTGGAAATGACGGGGGCCTAAAAACACGAGATTATCTGACCCAATTTCTGTTCGTTGGCATTCTATCATTCGCAGCGAAGATCGTCCTCTTAAATTGACCATGACCAAGCAATCTGCGGACAGCAACGCAAAGTCAGGAGTTACGGCCGAAATATGCCATTGGGCATCCAACCTGGCCACTGACGACATCCCTTCGGACGTATTAGAAAGAGCGAAATACCTGATTCTCGATGGTATTGCATGTGCCTGGGTTGGTGCAAGAGTGCCTTGGTCAGAGAAGTATGTGCAGGCAACAATGAGCTTTGAGCCGCCAGGAGCCTGCAGGGTGATTGGATATGGGCAGGTAAGCTTTATCCAATCTAGACAGTCTACAAAGTATACTGACGATTCTTTGTATAGAAACTGGGGCCTGTTGCAGCAGCCATGACCAATTCCGCTTTCATACAGGCCACAGAGCTTGACGACTACCACAGCGAAGCCCCCCTACACTCTGCAAGCATCGTCCTCCCTGCGGTCTTTGCAGCAAGTGAGGTCTTAGCCGAGCAAGGCAAAACAATTTCTGGTATAGATGTCATTCTAGCCGCCATTGTGGGGTTTGAATCTGGCCCGCGGATCGGCAAAGCAATTTACGGATCGGACCTCTTGAACAACGGCTGGCATTGTGGAGCCGTGTATGGTGCTCCAGCTGGTGCGCTGGCCACAGGAAAGCTCCTCGGTCTAACTCCAGACTCCATGGAAGATGCTCTCGGAATCGCGTGCACGCAAGCCTGTGGTTTAATGTCGGCGCAATACGGAGGCATGGTCAAGCGCGTGCAACATGGATTCGCAGCGCGTAATGGTCTTCTTGGGGGACTGTTGGCCTATGGTGGGTACGAGGCCATGAAGGGTGTCCTGGAGAGATCTTATGGCGGTTTCCTCAAAATGTTCACCAAGGGCAATGGCAGAGAGCCTCCCTACAAAGAGGAGGAAGTGGTGGCCGGTCTCGGTTCATTCTGGCATACCTTTACTATTCGCATCAAGCTCTATGCCTGCTGCGGACTTGTCCATGGTCCAGTCGAAGCTATCGAAAAGCTTCAGAGGAGATACCCCGAGCTCTTGAATAGAGCCAACCTCAGCAACATTCGCCATGTTTATGTACAGCTTTCAACAGCCTCGAACAGTCACTGTGGATGGATACCAGAGGAGAGGCCCATCAGTTCAATCGCAGGGCAGATGAGTGTCGCATACATCCTCGCCGTCCAGCTGGTCGACCAGCAATGTCTTCTGGCTCAGTTTTCTGAGTTTGATGACAACTTGGAGAGACCAGAAGTGTGGGATCTGGCCAGGAAGGTTACTCCATCTCATAGCGAAGAGTTTGATCAAGACGGCAACTGTCTCAGTGCGGGTCGCGTGAGGATTGAGTTCAACGATGGCTCTTCTGTTACGGAAACTGTCGAGAAGCCTCTTGGAGTCAAAGAGCCCATGCCAAACGAACGGATTCTCCACAAATACCGAACCCTTGCGGGTAGCGTGACGGACGAATCCCGGGTGAAAGAGATTGAGGATCTTGTCCTCAGCCTGGACAGGCTCACCGACATTACCCCATTGCTGGAGCTGCTTAATTGTCCCGTGAAATCGCCACTGGTATAAATGGGAGCGATTTCATGCCACGGACACAGATCCTAGAACATATCGTACCTGTGTGATGGAAGCCCCAGCGGTTTAGCAGATAGACGATAGGTTCCTTCTGCTCTGCGTTGCGTCTTGAATTTGGTTACTTCGCTGGCTTAAGAACTTAGAATGCAATGCAGTCTCTCTTATTCCTTATTAAACTCACGTACTCCCACATTCGGCGACTGGAGGATACGAAAGCAGTGTTGGCGATGTTCCCTGTAATGAATATGATTTTGCTGACTGAATTATTCTATGACCTTTCCCTCCAATGGCGTTCTTATCTCGACACTTTAGATGTTGACGCTGCCTTGAGGAACTAGCTTTGCGCTGCAAAGGCTATGAGCAGTAGAGCTGCACAATTCCAGATAGATATCCATTCTACATAGCTACAAGGCAAGGTTTCGTAAGAAGAATTCACGTTCACTGTATGTCTATGCAAGCGGAACGGCCGCTTAAACAAGTCTACACAATAAAACCTGCCTATAAGTAACCGCCTATATAAGGAATCCCGCGATATTAGCATCTAAAATCCGCGTCTGAATTGATTTTCTATATAAACGAGCAATGAACTGCTTGAAAAAGCCGTACTCTCCTATATAAAGCTACCTTAATTAGAAAATATAGGTTGGCTAGCTAAAAATGTACCTTACAATATTATATCATTATATAATAATTATATGACTACCGGAGGGAGGGTAGAAATATATATCGTAAAGAGATTACTCCTTAGTAAAAATATATATTTATATAGACCTGGCTGTAAGCAGTTTCTTATTATAAGTAGCTTTTTTGGTGAGCTGAATTCGTTGCTGATAGCCAGGTCTTGCTGTGATTGGTAAAAGGTGCCAATTCATCATAATCTCTCCCGCATCCGATGAATTGTTGACGACCCACACCATAAACTGCATTATGGTCTACATTTTCCTCATTGGTATCTATTGGGTAGGCATGTTGAAAGCCCTTTCTGCCCATCTTTGCATATTTATCCCCCACCTTGCGATGGCCGCCGTGATCAATCCAGCTATAGTCGAAGCAACCACACCTGCAGCAACTGTGAGCATGTACAATGAGAGGTAAGAAGAAAGGTACCATACATAGCGTGAACGTCCATCCAACTCCGAGGGCGTCTATGACGGGCACAACGAGCGCACTACTCCCTGCAGAAAAGGTGTATTGAATCATATACTTTCCTGCAATGACTGCAGACCGGTTCCGCGGCAAGGCTTCTACTTGCGGTTAGAGACAACATTATTGTGGGCATGTACACAAAGGGAATAGATAAATGAGGGTGTGGAACAAACCAGCCACGTAAGTGTTCAGGCAGTTAAAACTGCCCATGAGCCCCCAGCCCGCGAAGAACGCCGCGATTATGGGCACTACCATATCACCCTTATCCTCTTGGAGTGTCCACCCGTAAATGAGCGTTCCTGCGGGCAGCACGGCGAACAATGTGATGAGCCCGCTGTGGAGTCGATCCTGAGGGAGACGGAATCCGCGCTTTACTATGTATCTCCGAACGGTGCGATCCGAAAGTTTACCGCCGACGAGACTGCCTATCAGGAACCCGGCACCTGGAGCGAGGTAGAAGAGACCCGATACTAGGGCAGTCGTTAAATGAAATCGTGAGTTGAATATGGCACGAGCTGAAGTCAGGATCGAATATTGCGTGATTGCCAGGAGGCCACAGCATAAGTCCTTTGATTTGTGGCATGAGCATCTCGTTTTCCAGTAGATGCAGAGGGTATATGTCCCAGACACTTACGGCAAGAAAGACATTTGGATACACCCACTGCTTGAGCACATCCGTTGGGGAGAATTTCGATATGATTGTGACAAGTGTGGTCGGTTTAAACGCCGTTGAGACCTTCTCAGAATTTCCTTCGATTTTCGGGAAAAATAGCAGAGAAAGCACGAGCCCCAGCCCGCTCATACCTAGTTGAAGCCAGAAGATAACACGCCAACTCGTGAAAGTGACGATGACCCCTCCCACGCAGGGGCCTGCTCATACAATTAGTTCCTGTTGGGAGTTCTAGTACTTGCAGCAGGGTACGTACCTATTGCAGGGCCAGAAAGAGTCCCGGCCATGAAGAAACCTACGGCCGTCCCACGGTAAACCTGCGCACGAACGGATTAGTTTTCGCAATTGGGGAGACGAGGGCGTGTGATTCGTACAGGCTCAAAGATATCTGCAAGAACAGTTTGGCCTGAGACCATGAACGAGGTTCCGGTTAAGCCGCTCAACACTCTGAACGCTATGAACATTTCCTCGTTTATCGCCGCTGCCGTTCCAGCGGAGCATGCACAAAGCATTGAAATGGCCAGATTGTATGATGTCCGCCGGCCGACTAACTTGTTCATGGGACCCCATATGAGGGATGAATATCCCATGGCAACTAGGACACCAGCATTGGAGATGTTGATAGTCTCGACAGTCATATCAAATTCATTCGCGATTTCAGGGGCGGCAGGAAGAAGACAAGTACTGGAGAAAGTAACGACTAGAGTCATCCAACTAACAACAAACGTAATGACACATTTTCTCCATAATGGAATATCACGGCCCTTTTTCTCTGGCTCGTTTTGTCCGCTACCTTCCGTGGTCGTCGTTGGGTTCGGGGACTCAGTGTCACCGTGGCCCATTTCTGTAATGGGTGGCCTTCTCGTCACTGAGCGGACTCTTCAAATGAAAATATGGAACGTGGTCACCCAAAACACGGATGTCCCTGATTTACGGTTTATGTATACTCTATCATCGGCCTGCCACACATTTCGCCGAGACTACGTTGATAGTGTATTGGAGCGCCGCTAGACCTTCGGCCTTGCTGGCCGAGATGGGTACCTAATAAGGTACTCCGTAGATTGTGCCTTTCCGCAACAGTATTCATGTGGATCAGTCTAGCACGGCTGCAAGGCCCACTGACGTGACTAATGCAAGCCAACGCCAGGATAGTTATATAAAATCCAATGAGGGATCAACATCGGGATCGACATCGGGAACGGCACCCGGCATCCTCACGGACCGGATCCGAAAAGTACGGCCGGCCGAAAGGAAACCCATAGAAGGTGCATAGACCTTCACTGTACAGTACTCTGTGGACAATGATATTGGCCACCGTCTCACCCGTCCGGTAATCCATGTCATTGATGACTGTATTTCAAAATAGATTGGATATCTGAGAAGTGATCAAGTCTATAGTATGCTCTCTTCTGTATGAGGGATTTTGTTGGTTCAACAGGGTTTATTAGTTTGTCACTAACTTGCCTTCGCCGTACAGGAATGCACCGCATATGTTTGTACTCTCTGTGACTCCCTCGACACTAAGGACATACGGTACATATATTGGCTAACCACCATCTTAAAGAAGCGGTGGCCGAGTGAGTACCTTAATAAGGCTTGTATGCCCTCTTAGTAGTTGTCGGATAATTTCTCCAATAATAGGGTGGATACAGGGGTAACGGCGGAACGGAAAGAACTCCGGTCGGCCTGCAGCCTGCGACCCACCTGCACAACCTGGCTGGATTCTCTTGAACTCTCTTTTTGATACCGGAAAGGCGTGAGAAGGAGGGGAAATTCATCATCTTAACTGCTCATCTTATATCTGCTTGACGAATGCAGGTTACGCAGTGCGTTCACCGGAGCCCTAGCAAAGGGGCTAGAGCGGGTCTGGGTTACATAACGACAGTGCGACACCCTCTTCATGTAAAGATCTCGCCTTATTCACTTTCCAAACTTTGAACATCCCTGACTGCGCGGTACCCAGTCTTGTGAAGCTGGTAAAATGTCTAAATTCGCAGTAAAATGCCTTGATCATTTGGTCCTGACCGTGCGGTCTATTCCAAGAACGACTGCATTTTATACCAAGCATCTTGGTATGCGACATGAGATGTTCACCTCGCCACTTAATCGAACTATCCAGAGGTATTCGCGCAGAAGTTGTGATCTAGATTGTCGCGATTCTGCTTACTGAACAGTCAAACTAGGCATGCGCTCATCTTTGGTTCTCAGAAGATCAACCTCCATGAGCATACTAAGGAATTTGAACCAAAAGCACGTAATGTGCAACCGGGGAGTGCAGATCTGTGTTTCTTAACAGATACAGACGTCTGCCAAGTGCTCAAGGCATTTAGAGACGCAAAGATCGAGGTATGTGTAGCAAATGCTTCCAAAAGTGCAAGCACTGAAGGTTAGGTGCAGGTACTAGAAGATTCCAAAGTTGTGGATAGAACAGGGGCACAAGGCAAGATCCGGAGTGTTTATGTGCGGGACCCTGATGGAAATCTAGTTGAGTAAGTGTTCTTGTTATTAAACAGATATCCCTTGCTTCTAACCTGTGTTAAGAGTGTCAAATTATGTCTCATCTAGCCAGGCTGGCGGTCAATAAGCTTTACAAGGGTATATGACTTGTAACTGAGTTGCGCCTGTACCGTGATTAGAGACAACATTCATTGTGCCATGTTGGCCTCGTTCTGTTATCAGTTGGTTACGTACTGGCTTATAGACAACATTTTACGTAGGTTTAGGTAGTTATTTGCTCCGCAGTTCCGCTTGTAATCAAAGAAAACCGGGTTCTGGAGAATCTGTTTCATTTCAGAGCTCGGCCTGGACAGCGAGGGCTGGGGTTCTGGTGGGATATGCTGGGTTTAGTCTCCACATAGTCCACGTCTCAATGGCGTATTAGATAATATCGAAGGGGATCCTAGTTGCTAGTCCAACTTACACCTCAAGTAGTTTTCCAGGCTGTATAATATTCGACATAGCTATACCACTCCAGTGTTGAAAATCCATAACTTATGATTCTTCCAAATGAGCGTGTCCCTTTCGTGTAGATAAGTCCGGTTCATAAAATCCAATATACCTCAATAAAAGCTTCGTGAATCATCCTTGCATGAGAGCCCGCCCTTTGTTTCCCCACGCCTTACCGGCATACTCATGTAATCTACAACTCCTTTGTCCGCTCCTCACTCTCTGCAATCCACCTTCTCAAACTAGCCTCATCCCTCGGCTTAAAACCAACCTTGAATGGCTTCGGTTCCGTTGTCATCGACGTCGGAGTAGCGTTGCACTCAATAGCATCAAGCACTGGCATATCGGCCGGGTTTTGAGCTGGCTCTATGGTAAACGCCACGATAAACCGAAGAAAGACAGTGTACAGCTCGCGGCTCGCGAGGTGGGAGGCGGCGCACATGCGCGTCCCGGCGCCGAAGCTGTAGTGTGGCGTGCCGAAGCCTTCGCTCGGCTCGAGGTATCGCTCCGGGAGAAAGCGGTTGGGCATGTCGAAATGATCTTCGTCGTAGTTTGCTGCCCACGCATTCTGACAGATCAATTAGTCCAGGAATGACGGGATAACACGCCGGGGGTTAGGGCTTAGGGGGTTCGATTTTACCATGAAAAAGGTCGTTCCAGCAGGGATCCTCGCGCCATTATAGACGATCTCCTTGATATTCACACGCGGAATGCAGATAGGCATCACAGTCCAGAAGCGCAGGGTCTCTTTCACAAGTGCAGTGATATAAGGCACTTTTTCCTCCACAAGACACCGCTCCCAGGCGTCGCCATTCGGATACACGGACATAATTTCTTCGTAAGCCTTCTGCTGAATGCGTTGGCCGTCTTCCGAAGACAGGTACGCAATGCCCATGATCAAGTTGCCGGGAACGGTATCAAGTCCCGCAGAAACCATGGTCAGACAGATAGACTTGATTTCCGCTGAGAAAGGTTAGTATATATAATCAGATATCATATATGGTGCATCGCTCGTTATATAGACATACCATCTGTAAGCTTCGTCTCGGGATTCTTCAGAATATTCCCCGTAATGCACGGCTTATCTGTCCCCTTGGCCATGCGATCCTTCAGAATATCAAACAAAAAGGCCATGTATTTATCTCTCCGCCCACGGAGATGCTTCGCCTGATTGCTTCTGTCCGAGAACAACCTGAGCAGAGGAACGTAATCCTGCCAGTTGTTGCTGGTTGACCGGAGATTCGCCACGCCTCGCTGCACCTCGCAGATCTCTCTGAGAAGCTGGTCGTTCACATTGCCCTCGATGCGGTAGCCATAGTTCAGAGTTAAACTGGTGTTGAGAGCGAACCGCTGGAAGTAGGGAGTAGGGTTGATATCTATCTTCCCACCCTGTGAATCTTTCAGTAACTCCTTAATACTGGCCATACTCTCCAGGTCGATTATGGGCATATAGGACTGCACCGCGACGCGGTTGAGCGCTGTCGCAGCCGCCTTACGGCGCCGTTTACATGACTCATCCCACGGTGATGTCCCGATCGTAAAGCCCTGCGAGCTAGAGACAACACCGTGAAATGTGTGGAATGTAGGGCGCGATATCATCGAAGACTGCTCCTTAATCCACAGCTGACGGGTGGATTCGAAGGTGTTGGCGAAGATGACGCGCCTATTGCCCAGACGCGCCTGGAACACAGGCCCGAATTTCTTTGACCATTTGCGAGCGACTGTGGCGTGTTTGACACCCAGTTGTATCAGATTACCGAAGATGGGCACGCCTGGGATCTCGGGGATTCCCTTAATCTTAGGGATGTCGGTGCGGTTGAAGTAGCGGGTGAGGAAGTAGATAACCGCGGTAGCGGCGATGACGATGATTTGGAGGGTCATAGTGGCGAGATGCGAATGGTATTGAAGAATAGATAGGTAGATAATTCTGGCTCAGGTTGGCATGGATTGTGGCCCGGGCTTTATACTTCAACCCTCTATCGACATCAATGATAAATTCCTTAAAGACCAGGATATTCCCTCATAGCAATGGCGATAATGACGCGGCCGCGTTCTGTCAGCCCGCGATCAGCTCTGTCATATGGCCAATGTTCTGATCCACATTGGTTTCAGACTGATGGTCTGGCTCGAATAGAAGCTTCAAAGGGCTCTCACAACGCTGCGTTTCCGATTATCGGTCCTATCTTGGTGCCTACGGACACGGCGGCCGGCGACGATCGAGCGGACGGCCGGCACCCGGCGATGGATCTGATCTGCCGCACATCTTAATGACTGGTATTATGGACGGTTGATCTAACCTTATAAGCTATAACTCTTATGGAGAGACGAATGCAGAGTTGAAAGAGACGTTGGAAGACAAGCACTGTAGTATGGCCGCCCTTAACTAGTTCACTGACAAGGGTGCTGTAACAGGCATAGGCTGTTAGGGCGGATCAACCCGACCTAAGCGGACCCAACACCAAGTCTACGGGGTACTTTCTATAAAGAGGCTGGAGAACGCGACGTTCAATTATTCCAATCTGTTTCCACCACTATCTTAAATATATAAGTTGTCTTTACTCGGTTAGCTTGCTCTTCATGTTACATCTTGTCACTAATAGGCATTTGAATTTTGATTTGGCTATTGACTATTGACAGTACCTCCTATTAATTTCGCCCTTCAGTTGCCGTCGGTGGTTGCTGTCGGGCCGACTACTTGTTGCCACTGGTGATTGAATGCTACTTATATATATCCATGTCTTTTTGTGGGCTTTCATCACTCCAATGCGGCCGGATTTAGCCGGCAGACCATCTTATCCTGTCCTCAAAGCGGGGGAATGCGTCAAGATCTTCGGGGATGAAATTTCCCCGCATCCAGCTCCCTACCTATACTACACAGTTACCAACAATTGGCAATAAATAGACAAACATAACGAAAAAAAGGTAGCTATACCGGATATTACCGGGTAAAAGGGTTTGTAAATTAGACATACTAGCTCTATTCAGAGATACTTAAGGATTGTCTGTTGGGGCAGCTAAATGAGAAAGAGGTGCTGGTATAGCTTCCGAAGCGCGTTTCTCGATCCCTAGTCAATGCGCCTTTCAAATTGGGGCTACATGCTTCTTGAAGGTTTTATCAGGACCAACTTCGATCTGTCCGTTGCAAGAACCAAGAAATCTTTCCACCAACAAAGCGAAACTTGACCATGAAACCCGCAATCCTTATGAAATGCTGGCTCTTCGTCTCAACTGTGAGCGCGTCAACCCTGAACGGCAAACTCACATTGAGTGAGACAAAGGTGACGGGGGCCGTTCAGCTGGCTTCCACCAATAGTCCACCGGACATCTATATCGACCCCGACGATTCGGTCTCAGTGGTCCGCGCAGCCCAAGATCTGGCCCTGGACTTTGGGCGCGTCTTTGGTGAAAATGCCACAGTTCGCTTTACTAACGAGACTCATCCAACATCGATGGCCATCATTGCTGGTACCATAGATAAGTCAGCCTTCCTTCAGAGGTTGATAGCGGATCATAAGCTCGACGTTACCAGCATAAGTGGCCAGTGGGAATCCTATTCATCAGCACTGGTGTTGGGCCCAGCCAAAGGCATCCAGAATGCGCTAGTCATAGCTGGCAGTGACCGTCGTGGGGCCATCTATGGCTTATATGATATATCTGAACAGATTGGCGTCTCGCCATTGTTCTGGTGGACGGATGTAACCCCAACCAAACTTGATGCCATCTACGCGCTAGATGTTCAAAAAGTTGAAGGTCCGCCATCAGTGAAATATCGTGGAATTTTTATCAACGACGAAGCGCCCGCCTTGCATAACTGGATTCTTGCAAATTATGGCCAGGTTGAGAACGGGGACCCTGCCTTCATCTCACGTTTCTACGCCCATGTCTTCGAGCTGATCCTGCGCCTGAAAGGGAATTATCTCTGGCCGGCGATGTGGTCAAATATGTTTTATGTTGATGACACCAACAATGGGCCACTAGCGGAATACTACGGGGTGGTAATGGGAACTAGCCATACCGGTAGGATGATTGGGACTCCCAGCTCGAAAGCTCATGCTGACTACGAAAAGAACCGATGGCTCGAGCAACAAACGAGCAATCCCAGTTCCTGAACGGGACGTGGGACTGGATTAGCAATGAGGACAATGTTAAAGCATTTATGAGAGAGGGTGTAATTAGGAGCCAACACTGGGAGACCGCATACACTATGGGCATGCGGGGTCTAGGCGATGCTGCATCGCCGACACTTAACGCAACAGTGGAAGAAAGCATTGTTAGCTGGCAGGAATCCGTGTTATCGGACATCCTGAATACATCCAACCTGTCGAATGTGGTTCAACCATTTGTGCTATTCGATGTAAGGATCCATTCACCCTCAAATATATCGTTTGCTGACTGGTAGGTCTGTGACACAGGAACTGGGAACTTACTATGAGAGCGACATGACCGTACCAGACCAGGTCACATTGATATATCCTGATGACAATGCAGGCAATATGCTGCGTCTCCCATTGCAGAATGAAACTGGGCGTTCTGGGGGTGCAGGAATTTATTATCATTTTGACATGAACGCACCGCCGCGCTGTTACAAGTGGATCAACACAGCTCAACTGATCAGGACCTGGGATCAACTGCGCGCGGCATACAGCCACGGTGCTCAGACAGTATGGGTTGCCAATATTGGGGATATAAAGCCACTGGTACTACGCACCCAAATTTCTATCTTTAATGCAGCTTGTCTAAAGTGAAACAGGAAATCCCCATGAGTTTCTTCTTCGACATGGCGTACGATATCAATGGATTCAGCGACCCAGGGAGCACTTACAAGTGGCTCGAGTGGTGGGCCACTAAGCAATTCGGTGCCAACGTCGCTTCGCAAACTGCCTCGATTATGACCGAGTACGGCCAATTGATTATCCGTGCCAAATACGAAGAGCTGAGCAAAACCCCATATTTCTTCAGCGTCACTGATTATGGAGAGGCTCAGAGCAACCTGCAGCTGTGGGAGGATCTAGAAGACCGGGCACGGGCTGCCTACAGTCAGGTCCGCCCTGACCGCCAAGATGCGTTCTTCGAGTTGATTCTCCATCCAGTGCTAGCAGGCGGCAACGTGGAAAGGCTCTATGAACGTCTGGCTGAAAATACATTGAGTGCAAAGCAGTTACGTGCTAGTACCAATGACCGGGCGAACGAGGTCTTGGCCGCTTTCCAAACGGATAAGGACATCGAGACTCGCTGGAACAATCTCCAAGGAGGGAAATGGAATCATCTCATGGACCAGCCACACATTGGCTACACGGATTGGAGTGATCCACCAAGTAACATCGTTCCAAACGTCGCATTCATCACGGGTTCCACTGTCGACAAATCACCCTGCGGTGTGGGAGTGGCGGTAGAAGGCGGCGCCTGGACCATCACCAATTCATCCAAGGTCGCCGCTATGCCTGTGAATCCATACCTACCCCCCTCCGAACGTCGGTACCTTGATTTATATGCCACTCGCAACGGTTCTTTTGGGTACTCGGTTTCTTCCAATGTATCATATGTCAAGGTCAGCGCAAGCACTGGCAGACTCTCATCTCCTGGAACGTCCGATGTGCGCACCAACATCACTGTGGACTGGCACAACGCCCCTCCTGGGTTAACCTACGCGGGTTTAAGCGTCAAGTGCGTTGGCAAAGAAGTGCAGACGCTAGAAGTCCTGTTGCCAGTGAATCGTACCGCCGTCCCATCGGGATTCAAGGGTTTTGTGGAGTCCAACGGTGCGGTCTCCATCGAAGCGGAGCACTTCACCTCCGCTACCCAAAGCTCATCAGCCTCGTACGAGGTGCTCCCGGGTTATGGAAGGACTTTGTCCGGTGTGACCCTGACTCCCAACACCTGCCCTTCGCAGACCATTCATGATGGTCCCGTTCTAAATTATGATTTGTACACCTTCACGTCGAGTCCCAACGCCACGGTCAACTTATATCTCGGACCATCGTTGAACATCAACCGCCTACGCCCACTCCTGTTGGCCGTCAGTGTTGATGACTCAAACCCGGCGATGTTGCAACCTGTGGCAGATTATGTGCTTGGGCCCCCGGAGGGTGGCGAAAATGCCATTGAGGGGATCTGGATGCGGTCGGTAGCTGTTGGGCCAATATCTCCAGGTCGCCATACCTTGAGGTATTGGGCGCTGGAGCCTGGTCTTATCGTTGAGAAGCTTGTGTTGAATCTTGGTGGTGTGCGGCAGAGCTTCCTCGGTCCACCAGAGAGCCTGAGACTCTGAAAATGTGACTGTCTTTACCGGGGCTGTCAATCTGTTTACGCGCAGGGTAGTAGCCAAATATATCTACGGGATCATATTTGATTGAGTGATTGTGGATGACTTTCTAGAGCAGATCGCATGAAAATTCAAAACAGATATAAATTCTTTGTGCAATGAGGTTGAAACTAAAAGAAGAAACAAGGAGGTAAAGAGCAGACACGTTTTTGGTGTAGAAGGAGATTATGCCATTAGCTACTTATATTAAATTAAATGATAGTATCCCATTACTATGTTTCTGTCATGTTAGGACCTCCTCTTAGGGACAGTAACTCTCAACTCCAACAAAGAGCTGATCCGTGAAACGGGTGAAGGAATCTAAAAATTCATAGCTGTAGCCCTGAAATATCTGGTTAGCCGACGGCGTTTGAGCGGTAACAAGAGAAAGTCTAATATAAAGCACGCCCTTGAATTTACTGTATGGACACACATCTGCTCTCCGCCCACCAGATGGCCATCCGGGACCATTATTCGATACTTCCTATGGGGTTCAGTAGGGCTAAACTGTGGAAGCCCATGCTCAGAGCCAAAGGGCCATTTCGGCTATTTTGGTGCCAGTATGAACTTTGAATGTTTTGATAGTCGTAATGCCATAGCCGGGCAACCAATATCTCTCGCTTGAGCACAGGGAGAATGAGAAACCTAAGAGCGATCGATAAGGATATTGGCTAAAGTGAAAAGAGTTTTGAGGCTGGCGGCCGGAGTGGGAAAGCTATACATGCCATAAGTCTAAACAGGTGCATCCATGGATACTCTTGCAATGGATTGGGCTATACCTTTCTAAATACCCCAACAGGTAGATAAGGTTCCCCGACTTTCAAGCAGATCTCAACCGCATCTCATTATTATTTCTGTATATACCGCTAAGGTAGGAAAATTACTGTCTCATTTTCCTGAGCTAGCACTATCCTCTGATCCCTACTTGTTTTCAAGGTGAAAACAGCTCCGTGATACCATAATTCACATGACATCATGGAACACAATTTGGATTGTCCGGGGCCCCAGACGACTACATAGGCTGACCGTTGGGGAAATTGCCCCCCAAGCCCACTCAGATTCGGTCTGAGACTTGCGAAGTCTATTCACGACGCTCTACACGGTGACTGGATACCCGTTATGGGAAGCCGACGCTAGTCAAGCAATATTGGAGCGGGGGATGGGAGCGTGGGGGTGGGGACGGGGTTGGGGGGGAACCTTAACCAGGCGTTGGCGTTCAAAACTGACTAGCTAGGGTAGAATCAATGCGTTTTACTTGCGGGCGTCACTAGCGTGACCTGGGGGCAGGGAGGCATCTTTTCCGGCTACTGAACCAGTTGCCGACGATGCGCTTCAGGGCAGAGTCAAAACTCACGACTAGACACAAAATTCCCACGCTGGGAACATGATGCCAGACCACAAGGTGAGGGTACACTAGAGCTGAATGTTGTTTCCATCCCGGACGGATATCCAAATCTGGAGTATGGAAGGATACCATAACTTGAGTCATATCATCATAGTGATTTTGTTGTCGCTCATTTCCTGGCCTCCACTTCGTTAAGTACCCGATTACCCGACACTGCTGTTTCGATTTCAATCGGGATTCTCTCAAATAAATTAGTGTTAGCATAAATTTCCTTAAATCAGGCTAAATAGCAGTATCACCGCAATTGTTCCGGATCTGAATGCCAGGCATACAATGGTACAAAACATTTAAAAGGGTTTGTTGCAACTGTCAAAGTTCCCTAAAGACATCCGCTTCTCAAGATGGGCCATACTGGCAGATATTGCTCCATCATGCTGCGCACCATTATCTTCATCGCTCTCCTGGGCATCGTGTCGGCGGAGAATGGATCTGCTGGCTGGTTGCGTTATTCAAGATTACCCAGTTCTGTTGTCCACAAGTTCGACCCTCCCACCCGGATTGTCACTCTGAACGCAACTAGCTCCAGCCCTGTCTACAGTGCTGGAAAAGAGCTGGAGAATGGCTTCAAAGGTCTCTTTGGCAAAGATTTAACGCACCTATCAAGCGGTTGCGGCCGCTCGTCTTCCATCATCGTTGGCACTTTTGACTCGTTTACTGCTGCCTGTGGACCGCTTCCCAAAGAAGTAGTCCTTGAGGTTGATGGATTCTGGCTGAGCACCGAGGGCCACAGCGTACGTATCATTGGACAAAATGAGAGAGGGGCGCTGTATGGCACTTTCGAGTATCTCTCGATGCTGGCCAGGGGAAACTTCTCAAGTGTGTCCTACGTGTCCAATCCGAGCGCTCCAGTCCGATGGACCAACGAGTGGGATAATATGGATGGAACTATCGAGCGCGGTTATGGAGGACTCTCTTTCTTCTTCGCCAACGGATCCATTCTGCCAGACTTGACACGTGCTGCCGAGTACGCTCGTCTGTTAGCATCAGTCAAGATCAACGGAGTTATTCTCACCAACGTGAACGCGGACCCGGCTACTTTGAAGCCCGAAAATATCAAAGGATTGGGGAGAATTGGCGACGCCATGAGGCCATACGGCGTCCAGATTGGTATTGCCCTCAATTTTGCTTCCCCTCAAACGCTCGGCGGTCTTCCCACATTCGATCCGCTGGATGAAGATGTCATCTCATGGTGGCACAATGTCACGGCCGAGATCTATGGCGCTGTTCCGGATTTTGGGGGATTCCTCGTCAAAGCAAACTCCGAGGGCCAGCCAGGACCACTCACGTATAATCGAACGCTGGCGCAAGGGGCTAACCTGTTTGCCGATGCCGTCAAGCCGTACGGGGGCATCGTCATGTTTCGCGCGTTCGTGTACAGCCTCTTGAATATCAGCGACTGGCGGGCCGACCGTGCGAGTGCCGCATACGAAGCGTTCCAGGGCCTCGATGGCGCGTTCAAAGATAATGTCATCGTGCAAATCAAGGCCGGTCCTCTCGACTTTCAAGTACGGGAACCTGCGTCGCCGCTTTTCGGCTACCTTCGCAATACCAACGTTGCCATCGAACTACCTGTCACCCAAGAGTATCTAGGCCAACAGAGCCATACGGTTTACCTGGCCCCTCTTTGGAAATCGGTCCTCGACATGGATTTGCGCGTGGATAATGAATCTTCTCGTGTTAGCGAGATCGTCACCGGGAGGCGCTTTAAGCGTAAGCTCGGAGGCTTTGCAGGCGTGGCCAATGCCGGCAACAACGTCACCTGGATGGGAAGCCATTTATCCATGTCCAATCTGTACGCCTATGGGCGTCTGGCGTGGGACCCGACTGAGGATTCAGAGACCATCGTTCGGGATTGGAGCCACCTCACCTTCGGCCTCAACCCCAAGGTGACGGATGTTGTCACCCGCATCCACATGGAGTCTTGGCCTGCATATCTGAACTATAGCAGCGGAAACACCGGTCTGCCGACGCTGACGGATGTGACGAACAATCACTTCGGTCCTAATGTACGTGCGCAAGACGACAACGGGTATGGCATCTGGACACGATCCGACTCATTTTCCATTGGAATGGACCGCACCGTCCGGAATGGCACCGGGTTCTCCGGCCAGTACCCGCCTGAACTTGCTGTGAAGTTTGAACATATCGATACGACGCCAACGGAGCTTTTGCTGTGGTTCCATCATGTCAATTATACCCACACTCTTCCAACTGGGCAGACCGTCATCCAATATATGTACGACACGCACTATTCCGGCGCGGAGGTTGCTCAGACATTTCCAAGCATGTGGAAGGGCTTAGAGAAGGGAATCGATCAGCAGCGGTTCCGGGAAGTCTTGCACCAGCTGACCTTCCAAGCCGGCCATGCGATCGCCTGGAGAGACTCGATAGTGGACTACTACCATAACCTTACTCAAATTCCCGATGAGAAAGGACGGGTGGGGAAGCACGAGTGGCGTATCGAGGCCGAATCGATGACATTGAATGGTTACAAGATCATCAGCCCCGACCCGCCAGAATCCGCGTCGAACTTCTCGCTTGTAACGACAGTCACAAACACCACCCGTGCTACGGCGAAGACAAAGTTGCAGGTAAAATCCGGGCTTTACGACATTGTAGTCGTCTACTTTGATCTCGGTGGTGGAGTCGCAAAGTGGGAGACTCACCTGGACAATCGGTTACTCGGGAAATGGCAAGGGGATAACGAGTACACACTGAGCCATGCGGCCACGCAGGAACCGGACGGTGCTTCGAAGGCTAGGATTACTTTCAATGACGTGCATGTCAAGAAGGGCGATACACTCGAAATTGTCGGTGTTGGAGATGGCCTGGACACAGCTCCCCTTGATTACGTGGCTGTTTCCCCACGCGGTACAATGGACTAGATGTGTTCACCTGTTGTGAGTGTCTACTGTCATATTGGAATAAACAGTATCTGCTCGCTAGTAGCCGTTCAGAAACCTCAACTCCCACATTGTTTACCATGGCACCCCCACCGATTATTTAACTATGCTTATTGTGTATTCTCACCACACTTACCTACTAAGACTGGAAGGAAATCAACTGTTGCAATTTCCACCACACGTATAAACGTGACAATTTGGCACCTGGCTGATTCGGTTCCCAACAGTCAGCCTATGGAGCGCGCTGACCGTGACCAATTGGCAACAGAAAGACCCTAGGAACCTTGGCATGGCGTTAAGCCTAAGCATCCAAAAACTGTTAACTTCAGCTAGATCGTTTGTCATTTCTCAGCTAGCATTCAGTGGATGAATGGTTGAAGTCCCTTGCGTCGGAGACATTCACGCAGCAGAAAGAATTCCTCAGTAGCTAGTAACTGTGGAAGGCAACCTCTCGGGTTCCCCCCTTAGAATAAAACTTAAGGACCAGTTAATAATGTTTCCAAACATTCAGGTTTGGTTCTAATCTTATATAGTTGTTGTGGTTCCTACGCCTGTGTCCTGATAAACAACCCACTACATGATGTGATTCCTGCGTGAGTGAGCCACCCGGCTGTGCGGGCCACCCAAAACATCATACAAGATGAAATATTTTATCACTTTATATTTCAACAGCGAAAATATATTTGACTTCATAATCGGTATTGAATAATCTCGTAGTATTGAAAGTATTTCAATTCAACCGACATCTTCACAAACTAAGTATTCACGTGGTGACCAAACATTATGCGTCAATCAAGATATAGTTAAAGAGCCTAGTGTATATATCTAGCATGACGACACCCTAAAGCTATATATTAGCCCTAACTGTTGAGATATTAAATTATGAAATATTCCATGTTTTATGGCGTTTTTAGTGGCCCGCACGGCTGGGATGCTAACAACTGTCTTAGGTACTACCTAACGCGCTAGACTCTCACCTAACTATCTAGTCGCAAAAGTTGCCCTGTTTATCGGGCGTCAAGGGCTTCCAGGCTTCTGACTGTCTTATTTGACTGCGGAGTGACTCGGCCTACCTGCGTAGTATTATCGTGACGATCTCTTTTCCCAAGGCTGACCTGAAAACGATCACATGTTCGACCCACTGCAAGCCGAAACCGCGCCCACATTTCGGCAACCACGGCACCATGTTGTTCACAAACGTGGGTTACAAGGTCCTCGGCGAGTTCTGAAGTTGGCTGCCCTTGGTTGGGTGGTGCACAATGCTGCTGCTCGAGCTACGTTGACAATTGTCACTCTCACTCACTGGCCCCTGCACGCTCGGACTTGGTAATATATATGCGGGGAGAAAGTGGCGTCCAACTACCGACATGTCAATATACACTGCCGTACATTTGGGCTTCATTGATCATCAGCTGCATACTACATAATTCAACCGCTACAAAATTCAGGTGGCATGTGCATTCGTCTGTAGGGCGTGCCAGTGCCGATCCACCATGCATAATGCCTAGGGAGCCATAGACCCGTGGAACCTAACTACTGGGCCCTAAATGATCGGCGCTGGAAATCGCGTACTCCGTACGGAGTTTTGGAAAGAGTGGATCTTTGATCTTGTGCGCATCAGATGCTCAACTTGAGCCCTATACATGGACGACCGAGGTAAACCCCTTTGGAGTCATTCCACAGGGACGATCATTCTCGCATGACGAATCACCTCGACCTATTATGGTCCATCATGCAAGGACCACTTTTGTTTGAGCGAAGAACCATAGTGTCTAGGAATGCGTAGTGCTTGTGAATCCAAGACGAGCTAAATAAGGCATGTCTGCCTCGTAAGTGTTTGCATCGGCGAGTCTTTCTCGAAACATTCCGTGTCTAGGCTCAAGATGCGTCCCTCAACCTTGGCCCTACTGTACGCTACAGCTTCACTAGTCCAAGCAGCTCCTAGTCCCTTGCATACTCGAGGTCTGATATGGTTCCGCCAATAGATGTTGTCAATACTCATAGGGTCGCAGATATCCAACAAAGCGAGTTGTCGACGTTTGAATTCTGGGCTCAATATGCGGCAGCAGCCTACTGTCACGACAGCTACGCGTCCCAAACTCCGCACAAAATCACTTGCTGGGCTGGCAATTGCCCTCAGGTCGAGGCTGACGGCGCCACAATCGTTTTTGATTTCTCCAAGTTAGTCCAAGAGCCAACGGAACCTGGATCTACATATCTGACGGTCAAAGCTCCACCATTACGGATACCTCAGGCTACCTCGCCACAGACGACGTTAGGAAAGCTGTCGTCCTAGCCTTCCGCGGCTCGTACTCGGTCCGCAATTGGATCGCCGACGCCGAGTTCCCCTTCGCCGACCCAGGTCTCTGCGACGGCTGTTTGGCGGAACTCGGCTTCTGGACGTCGTGGACAAACGTGCGCGACTCTGTCATGAAGCATCTCAAAGAAACAATGGCTGCCAACCCCGATTACGAACTTGTAGTTGTCGGCCATAGCTTAGGCGCGGCTGTCGCTACCCTCGCAGCGGCTGACCTCCGAACCAAGGGCTACCCCTCGGCCACATTCTACGCGTTTGCGTCGCCTCGGGTGGCCAACCCAGCTCTAGCCAGATTTATCACAGACCAGGGAAGGAACTACCGCTTCACGCACACTAATGACCCCGTGCCTAAGCTGCCGCTGCTTGCGATGGGTTATGTTCATGTTTCTCCTGAGTACTGGATTACTGCACCCGACAACGACACCTCTGTTGCCCCAAATCAGGTGCAAGTGCTGGAGGGCGAGGTCAACTGGAACGGCAATACTGGAACTGGAGCACCCAATCCATTCGACTTCTCGCCTCATCATTGGTACTTTGAGAGGACTGACGGCTGTATCGGACCTGGTCTGCCCCTCAAGATCTGATCACGACGAATTTCGGATCCTTTGATAAGGCGACTGTCATGCAGAGCCTATACTACTGCGAGCTTTCCATGCGTCGCATGATGATGAGATGATTCCCAATGACACTCTGGCTGAGGGTATGAGCAGCATGCTGAGCAGGAGAGGTGGACATGGACTAGAGATACGGGGCCTGGGAAAGGGTTGTCTCATCTGATTGGTTGATCAGGACCCTCCACGGGGGTTACTTGATATCTAACTAGCACCTTCTCTCCTCTTCCTTTCTCTTTGCCTTTTGGTACTTGTCAAATTAGGGCGTCTGGTATCAACTACCAAGACTTTATCGCCCATACAAAATCGGCCTACTCAAACAGTCCTTCACCTCGGTCTAGGACACCAAGCTGGACCAGAAAGCTCCAAAAGAGGGATTAAGATTGGTTATAAATAGGATAATAATTTTGATAGATTCACGCAAATTTAGGTCCTTGCAAGCGTCCAGATATAGGGATACAATTCGAATTACTGATTAGCAAGATAGATAGCCAGGAAACAGGTAAAGAGCCGCTATATATTTCTACGGCGGCGCTATAGACTGAAGCCCCCATGCAGATATAGATAGTCAGAAGGATATGGAGTCTGAGGTAGGAGTGGCACCGGGCCTAAAGGATCTAACCGCCGTACTTTTGTTAGAATATGTCGAGGGAACCTGGTATGGCAAATCGCTTTATTGGAGATGACTGACTACTAACTACCTAGGAAAGGAGCGAGGCTCCATACAAACTGGTATGTTGGTGGCCTTTCCGCCTGGCGGGGCGCTAGGCCTATTTGGGCAACCGAGGTGCTGGTTGCCTCAGCACCGACAGAATATATCTTTTGTATGTGCCTGGATAGCTTCATTTCGGGCAAGGAGGAAACACCCGCACAGCAGACGCTAGGCCAGCTGTTTCAGGTATATGAATACTACTACCACTACTCTTTCAATTTGAAGAGAAGAGTAGATTTCTCCAGTAGAGGGATGCCATACAGAAGAAGTCGATATTAAGCTAGCCCGGCCTAGCTGCTAGGGCAAGAATCCTCGATTATCGGCAGGTGAAGGAGAATGGCTCCACCATCTTCCGCTCCTTACTTACATCTCTGCAAGCTGACAAGGGTCCTGAGTATTCTAATTACTGTGCGACGAGACGTCCTTCCACTGCGGACTAGCAACCCCACGACCAGCGATTGTAAGTCAACCAACTAACATTATGAACTCGGCTATTGGTCTCGGAGGATATAGTGCTCATCCTGCGTGGCCAGCAATCTATCTTACATATTCGTAACTTTGTGACACAACCACATCCTTCTGGATGCCGGCCGATTGTTCGGCCGTGTGACTCTCCCGCAAAGTTGACACCGACCCTTCCCGCCCCTCGGCCACCTCGATCGTAGAGAAGAGGTAGGCTTCGTCGCTGCGGCTGGCAGTGAATGAAGCCGCCGGATCCGTGCCCTTCTTCGATCTCGACAGGTTATTGTAGCTGCTCAGTTCGTGATTGCGCGGGTAGCTGCCGATCTTGCTGTTTTGGCTCTTCAGTCGCCGGGTGACGAAATATGAGGTGAGGGTGGGGAGACACGCGCAGATGAGGCCGATGCCTGCCTCGGCGTTGCTGCGAGCAGAAGACAAACGAGTCAGTGGAGGCATTCCCAGGTGAACCGCAGAGGAGTGGGCGGCATAGCATACCCCGTCAAGACACAATGGATCCAGAACCACGTCGTGTCCGGCGTCCTCGACTCATCGACCATCATCACCAATCGCCAGACACTAAAGCCAGTTGCTAGTCCGCCTGCGCCCAGGATGCCGACGACTCGCAGTTTCTTGTTCAGCGACATCTGCAGCGACCAGAGCATCGGCATGGGAAGAACTAGGATCCACAGGTCGCTGACCATGCTGATCGTCGCGTCGGCAATAATGACCTTCCGCTGGTCGAGACAGGTCCCTCCGTTCTCAGTGCCGTACCAGTACGCGGAAATTGGTTTACAGAAAAAGATCTTGATGAACAGAGCGGGGATGTAATAAAGGAGGAGCACGACGACACTGGCGTAGATGATCATGAGCTTACGGGGGTCCGGAGCGAAGATTCGGCGCATCATCGCGAGAAGAGAGAGCTTGATGACGAAGACCATAGGCACGTAGACGAGGGTCACTGCATATGATGCCTCGAGTCGAGTTAGCAGCAGACACGACGCTGACGGTGACGGTTTAGGCGCATACCTTCTGGAAGTTCACCATATCGCTCTTCGAGACATCCCATGCGTGGTAGCCACCTCCGTAATTGCCAACTACGATGGACAGTCAGACATCTGTCGAGCATACGGCTTGTCTCGATTGAGGGGAGGTTTACGTATGATCATATTGGCACAGAAGCCCGTGAAGAGAATCTTTTGGGAGCCTGGGATCAGATCGGTGCGAAAACTGGTCTGGCGAAGAGCGCCTTACCCATCCTATAATTGCGGTGTCTGGTGGCGATGATCATTAGCATCAATCGAGTTTAAGTGTCATCCAGCTTTGCAAGACTCACAATCGTCCAACTCCAAGCATTTCCCGATCCGGGCTTTGACCAGGAGGCGCAGCGCCAGGATGATAGTCACGATGACAAGACACACTACTTGCGTCGCGAAGTTAACGGAGTGAATAGCATCTTCTGGATGCTGCAGATTGGACACCTCCCCTGGAGGGGCCGGAATGGCTGGCTCTGACATGGTCACACCGTTCTGTCGGCGCGCAGAACTGATTTTCCTGCGAGAGAATTCATACGATGTCGAGAACCGGACGATGAGGACGGTCGAGAGACGAGGGCACCGGCCCAACTGGTAATGGAGTGCAGGCCATGGGCCCAGGAGTTTTGGTATAAGAAAGCAAGCAGAGCATTTAACGCTGCCTCCCTGATGGTGACGCACTCCCACCTAGTACTAGTAGGTTACTATCTGGCAAACCTTGTCCCGGTGGATAGATCGCCATGGGCGCTGACTGGACTAAGCAAGGTGTATGGTCACTAAAGTCCCAGTAGATTTGGCCGGATGAGAGACGGCATGAATCCCATGTCTTGATGCCATACTAATTACAGGGATCCGCATCCTTCGGGCAAAGAAGTACTTATTCTGGGACGATCTCTCCATCCGAGATTGCCCTGGAAAAACCACCGAGGCCGACTTTGACGAGCCACGATGATATGTATATCATCCTAATCCCCTCGATTCGGTCCACAGAACGTGCCCTGTCCCAGCTTGCTCCCTATTTCTCTCGAACCCACCCCACCGGAGTGGAGAATGCTATAGAACTGTGAAGGATTCCTCCCTGGTCCGGCGCAGCCATCCCGGGTCCCACCGCATCTATACTCCGTACGTAAAAGGCTTTACGGAAAGCGTCCGATGAGGATCGGGCTGGCCCGCAGCGAACCCGAAGGATGCCCCGGGCTCCGCTTGATGACCGTGGCGTCTTTTTTTTTTTTTTTTTTTTCTTTTCTTTTCCTTTTGTCGTCGTTGCCCCAAGGAGCACTGGACTAGGGCACACGGGTAGGCCCCTTTTACGGAGTTGTAATTCCGCGCTCCAGCTGTGGGACAAGGCGGGATCGGGGCACAACTGCCCCCCGACCTCCGAAAACAAACCAACAACTCCCTCCCTCCATCTACAGGCTACACTGATAGGCAATTTGAAAACGGTCCTACGGGTCAATGAATCTACATATATAATGTAGTAAAAGGGAACATGATCATCTGCTGTCGCTGCCCTCGTTGAACGCCATCAACATTCCCACCCAGTATGGAGGAACCGATCAGGTTGAGTTGGAGTTATCCGCACAAGAGAACGCCGATCCTGCCAAATTGTCAGCCATATAACTATGTCTCATCATGGAAATCTATAAACCATACCGATCAGGCCAGTGGCATACGCATCAATAATCTGCTTCACCACTCCATACGTGGCCCCTACCAGGAAGAAGATGCCCAGCAACACAAGACCGATATGCAGCACGTACACAACCTTCTGGATCAAGGTTCCCGTCCGGTAGTGGCCGTGATCGTACAACCATAGCCAGCCGGGGAGGCTCATGGCGAGAGGGGCGAAGCAGACCGAGCCCACCAGTGCAATCAGATAGTTAAAAATCGGAATGGACTCGGCGAGGATGAACGCCAGCGCTCCTAGGAGGGTCGTGCAGGCCAGCCAGGTGCCCCAGTGGACCACGCTGTTGGACTGGAGGTGCTTGGTTTTGCCCAAGAGCCGGACAAAGACATATTTCGCGCCGACCTACCGGATTCCCTTTGAGTCAGATGTGGCAGGAGAGGATTCAACGAGGGAGAGGTGCTTACGTGGAGGTAGAGAGTGCCGCTGACCACCAGGCCGATCAACGCGACTCCATATGACACCATCTTAATCGTCTGTCCGGCGCTCTATGCGATATCGGTTATTAATCGTTGCTTGAAGGGGCGATGTGAAGGAAGACGCACCCCCAGAGACGGACTCGCGACCCACTTGCCACACCAGCGATAGACGACTAAACCAAAGGCGAGATATGACGCCGTCACCAAGGTCATGCAAAGATACAGCGGCTTCTTGTATTGCGCCGGGTTGCGCATCTCGGAGATGACGGGCAGGAACGCGCTGGTTCCCGCCGACGAGACGAAGATGGTGCTCGACGCGACCATTCCGCTGGCAAACCCGGGGTTGTTGAAGTTGACGTAGCCCAAGTCGTAGGGGCCTTCCTGCGGCGCAGCCGCGGGTCGGTCTCTCGTCGTCACGGCGACGACGACAATGAAGACGGCGATGTAGATGGAAAGGAAGCCCACGTAGCTCAGCCAGCCGACGTGTTCCAGCTTACGAATGGACGCCGTCGCGATAATGACCACAGCCGCCAGCAACGACCACCAGACTGTGCAGGCCGCATGATGCGACAGGGCATTGAGCGCGGTCGACACGCCGACAATCCCACTGCCCGTCACCAGGACGTAGCCGATGATGAAGAGGAGGCCCGCCACTTCCTTGCCGACCTGACCCCCGGCAGCTTCGGCCATGTCGGCAATGGAGTGGCAGTGAGGGTGTTTCAAGCGAAAGTTGCCCAGGATCACGAAGCAGTAGGTGTTGAAGACCCCCCAGGCTACGATACTGATCGACCCTCCCACGGCGCCCAGCGCGTACAGGGCCGATGGCAGCGAGAGCACCCCTGTCGCAAAGAGAATTTTGGTGAAGATCACGGTTGCATTGAACCAGCCGACCTTGCGGAAGTCGACCCCCGTGGCCGTCTTCTTGAACACCTCCCCATCCTCGTCCGCGAATGCCTCCGTCTGGGGATGGGCGCGCTCCGAGTCATACACCTCGTTGGCTTTGGCCTGGTCTTTCTCCAGCATGGTTAGGAGGCCGCGAAACGAGGGGGAAGATCCAGAAAACTTCAGCAGAGGATACAGGGGGAAAGGCAGATGGAGAACAAGGTTCTTAGAGACACGCGAGAAAAGGGGATATGGCCATCAATCACATCTGGGGTTGAGGGCTTCAGATGCAACGGACGGACCAGAAAGCAGTCTCGCCTGCTGGCCCACTCGGCGCAGTCATCGGCAGAATAAAAGGACGACAGTTCCATCCTGTCCTGCTTTCGGCTCGTCATCATCTCCGATCGTCCTGCGACAAAAGTTTGTCGAGAGGCTACTCAGCGTTAGCCCATCTACTAAATGTTAGTCTGTTCCCTAAGGAATTAGTTGCTGCACGTTGACCCATGACTAATCTGGCCCTAATGCATACTACTGAACGGGGATGAGGCCGTTTATGCCACTTCCGGGATCTGGACCGCAAAAAGCAAATACTATACACACAGCCATGCGCGATGTCTCCACGACATGTCGCAAGAGCATCACACGTGGGCCGTCTGTGACAGGGGCCAATTGACCAATGCAGACCGGCCTGTTCCGGACTAGGAAGAGCTGCTCCAAGAGCCACGGCCCCGTCGTTGGAGGCATTGTTCGAGTGGCCTGCGCAAAGCTAGGGTTCCCCTCCTCCTGTGCGAGGGTCAAATAGCAGGTTAGTTAACCCCCCGCAGGTACACACAGCTTACATTTCCCCCCTCATGTTCACTCTCGTCCCCACTGTCTCCTGTGTGCAGAGTTATATCCATTGCCTGCTCTCTCTTCCTTGAACTCTGTTTGATATGCCGCAGCGCACTGACCACGGCGCATACCGTCTGGGAGCCGACGTCGGTGGCACCTTCACAGACGTATACGCCTTCGCACCGGATGGCCAGATCGCAAGAGCAAAGGTGCCGACTACCGTCGAGGACCAAAGCATTGGCATCAAGAACGGAATCAGGAAGGTGCAGCAGACGCTCAAAGAACGATATGCTTGGGATGGGAGATTCCAGTTTATACATCATGGTACCACGGTGGCCACCAACGCTGTTCTCGAAGGCAAGGGAGCCCGAACCAATCTGATTGTCACGTCGGGCCACAAGGATATCCTCGCCGTTCGCCGGTCGCAGATCCCCGGGGGCCTCGGCGCATGGCTGCATTATACGCCCCCCGATCCGATCGTCCCTCTGGAACGGGTGATCCAGTGCTCGGAGCGAATGTCAGTAGATGGGAAGACGGTGGTTCCCGTGGATACGGATGCGCTTCGTGCTGAACTGGCAGCGTGGGTGAAGGAACGGCCAGAAGCAGTGGCCATCTCCTTGCTCAACTCACACGCAAGTAGCGAGCATGAGGCCTTGGTAGCCGATGTGGTGCGCGAGATGCTCGGATCTGATGTGACCATCATCCGCTCCAGTGATGTGCTCCGGGAGGTGGGCGAATATGAGCGGACAGTCACCACATGCACCAACGCACTTGTCAAACCGGTGGTACGGACATACCTCAGCAGCCTGCAGGACTTGCTCGCCGAGGACGGGGAGGTAATTCGCATTCTCAAATCGGACGGTGGCCTGACGAGCCTGGGTCTGGCAGGGCAGTTGCCCGTCAACATCCTGATGTCGGGCCCGGCGGGAGGCGTCCAGGGCGTCGCGGACGTCGTCACCCGAAACACCCCGTACAAGAACTTGATCACCTTCGATATGGGTGGAACGTCGACGGATGTCGCCTTGATTTACCAGGGGAAGCCTCAGCTCCGACGCGAGACCGTGGTGGGCGACCTCACGGTCCGCTCGCCTGCCGTCGACATTCGAACCGTGGGCGCCGGAGGTGGCTCCATTGCCAAATACATGGGCATCACGGAAACGTTGAGAGTCGGACCGGAGAGTGCGGGCGCGAGCCCCGGCCCTGCTTCTTACGACAAGGGCGGGGCGGAAGCCACCGTCACAGACGCCAACCTCGTGCTGGGCTACCTGCCAGACACCCTCCTGGGCGGCGAATTCACCCTCAACGCCCAGGCGGCGTGGGCTGCGGTCGAGGACATCGCGAAGCAGATGAACCTGTCGGTTGCGCAGACCGCCGAGGACATTATCAACCTGGTGAACGAGACAATGTACGGCGCGCTGCGTCTGGTCTCGGTGGAACAGGGCTATGACCCGAAGGATTTCGCACTGGTTGCCTTTGGAGGCGCGGGTCCTCTCCATGCCAATGCAGTCGGAAAGCTCCTCGGCGCGTGGCCCGTCATCGTACCTCCGTCTCCAGGCACGCTGTGTGCTTTGGGCGATGCGACGACGAGACTCAGTCACACCCAGTCATCTTCCTTTATCAGCCTCCTCTCGGCGACTACATCGCGGGAGGTGAAACGCCGCTTCGATGAATTGGAGGCATCCTGCAGAGAAACGATGCACGCTTCGAACCTGAACCAGCCCCTTGACCTGGACATTAGCTACCACATTGATCTGCGATACCGCGGCCAGGCCTTGAACTTGACGGTTGACTTGGATGCAGGCACTCTTTCGCTCGACGACGAGCCATGGAGAAACGTCCTGCAGGCGAAGTTCAACCAACTCCACGAGCAACAGTTCAAATACTGTCTTCCCAATTTTGAGCTAGAGCTGATGCGTCTCGAGGTGGTTGCGGTTGATGCATCCCCTAGCATCGGCCTTCCTCAGCTCAGCAAAGCCGAGTCGACTAAACCACCCGCCGAGGCCTTAGTATCGAAGAAGAAGATTATTATCGAAGGTCGGGAGATTGTGGCGGCCCTCTGGGACCGTGAAAAGGCGACCCAGCAAGGTATGCGGTTCGAGGGACCGTGTATCATCACGGAAACAGACAGCAACACCCTGATCCTTCCTGGGTACTACGGTGAGATCGACTCGATCGGGAACATTCTCATCCGACCTGTTGGAGATGCCACGGGGGGACCGGCGACAGACCAGAGCCCCGAAGCAGCGCTACGGACGGTGCAATCGACGCCGCTAATCCCCACCCTCGTCGCCTCTGCTCTCGCCTCCATCCGCAGTGAGATGGACACACTCATGCTGCGTTGTAGCATGTCCCCCGCGATCCGCGAGCAGCAGGATGAATTCAATGTGATCACGACGGCGGAGGGCAAGATGCTTGTTGGCCAGTTTGGCAGTTTCATCACACAGTTTCTAGGAGCCTGGAAAGGCACGATTGAGGAGGGTGATGTATTCATTACGAACGATACCTACATGATCGAAGGAGCGGTCACACACCTGAACGATGTAATTGTCCTCCTGCCAATCTTCTATGAGCATCGACTGATAGGATGGGCATCACAATTCGGACACTTGACGGACGTAGGAGGAATCGTCCCCGGCAGTATGTCCATCAACGCGTCCTCCATATTCGATGACGGGGTCCAGATCCCTTGTATAAAGCTGTACGCCAAGGGGATTATGAACTCGGACCTGGTCGATCTGCTGTGCCGCAACTCCCGACAACCAGATTGGTACCGGTCCGACCTGATGGCCATTATCACTGCCTGCCGAACCGCCTCCAGCCGTGTGTGCGAGCTGGCAACGCGGTTCGGGTGCGAGATTTACCTCGCGGCCTGCAATGAATTGCTCTTGCGCAACCGCACGGCAATGGCTAAGATCATCGACGCCGATTTCGATCCAGAGCCAGCCACGTTTACAGACTTTGTCGATGACGACGGACACGGGATCGGGCCGTGGGCATTGACCTGTACAACGAAGAAACTGGAAGACGGGAGACTGCTCTTTGACTGGAGTGGTACTTCTCCTCAGAGCGACCACAGCATCAACTTCTACCTCTCCGAGACCATGTTCAAGATGTTCATCGGGTATTACATGATCGCCGCAGCCGCACCAGGCACCGTGATCAACGACGGCTTCCACGATCTCATCGATATCTATATCCCCGAGGGCAGCGTCCTCAAGCCCATCCGACCAGCACCGATCTCATGCCGAACGCACATGCTGGGTCGGACCATGGACGTGATGCAAGCCCTGATTGCAAAGAAGAACTCCGTCTACGCCGCCGCCGCCGGCTTTAGCGACTCCCCCCACTTCTTTTACTCGGGCTACAAACCAGATGGCGAATGGTACCAGCTGTACCAGATCGGCTTCGGGGGTGTCCCAGCCCGACAAGCCGGGGACGGTCTCGACTGCCACTGTCTCTTCCCTGCCATCAAGTCCATTCCCACCGAGATCATCGAACTGAATTACCCCCTTCGCATCGAAGCCAACGAAAGCGTCCCCGATAGCGGTGGCCCGGGCTTCTTCCGCGGTGGCAACGCACAGCGAACGCACTACCGATTCCTCTGCCGCGGCGAGTTCTCTCTCCACGATGACCGGTGGTTCACCAAACCATGGGGAATCCAGGGCGGAAAGCCAGGATCACGCTCTCGGAAGGTCCTGTATAGATATTCCCAGTCGGAGGAAAACCCACCGGTCGAGATTCTCCCCTCAAAGTGCGACCACATTCGCGTCGACACGGGAGACCTTCTTGAGTGGGTGACATGGGGTGGTGGTGGACTGGGAGACCCTCTGACTCGACCTGCGGAGAAGGTGGCGCTCGAAGTCCGCCGACGACTGGTGACTGTGCAGGGAGCGCGCGAGGGTTACGGGGTCGTGGTGAGCCCGGATGATCTGAGCCTGAACGAAGCTGAGACAGAGGTTTTGCGAAGGACCCTAGTAGCCGCTCGTGATGCTGGGGGTGCGACGGACCAATATGATCGCGGCGGGAGCATTGAAGAGTTGAGGAAGTCCTGCTTGGAGGAGACGGGGCTTCCTCCTCCCAGACCGCAATGGGAGCAGGAGCTGTATGGGCCACATGTCCGGATACCCTACGTTCAGGAGTGGTATGCACGGATGAGAAAACAGGCGGATGGGGGTTTGTAGTAAATCTGTTGTGTCAGATTAGGGGAGCTATGGATTCATACCTTCGAGGAATCTACTCTGTAGGCACGGAATTCGTTAGAAAGAGCACTAGCTAATTACTTCATAGAGAGCAAGTTAAGCAAGTTCATGTACGGAAAAACACTCCGTGGTAAAAATGTCCCAGCCTTAGGCCATCAAGCTGCCTGTTTAGGCCTAGAGCTTCACCAGCTTGATACTCAGCAGGGCTCTCCTGTGTATAGGACCTCACGTACACACATCTGACCACTTCTTTTTGATTCACCTCGGTCGCCCCCTTCGACACGTAAGACATTCCTCTGCTCACATTATCTGCAGAAGGTGTTCTGGAGGCGTCCAACACGGCCATGGCAACGTGATGCACTGGGTCCTGAGGCCGGGCTGGCCTCGTTTTCTTTTGCCTGGAGTTGGGATGTTCGGGTGCACAAGAAAGCCGTCCAGGTGCCTGAAAAATGAGCGGAGAAGGCAAATCTGCCTGTTAGACAGCCTGTTATACGGCCTGTCGACCATTGTTGGCCCTCTTTCTGGATTCATGGCTTGAAGACGAGGTGCTGGGAGCTGTTGACCACCGGATTTGGATGGGCGGCTGAGCTGTGGCATGGGATACGAGACGCCCAGGTTTCACAAAGGTTCTTCGTCTTCTGGTTATCTGTCGGACAGCGGAAGCTAAGTTATGTGTGGACCAGGCGACAGTTGGCCGTGTTGGGGTATTGTTTGTACCCTTGCAGCGATAGCTTCTATTCTTTCATACAGAGCAGACGTGACCTATACGTCCCAGTGTTGATGCTTGCATTGGCAAGGGCTTCGGATAGAGCCCAGCGAGAGGACTGTTGCAACCTATTACGTAGCTCATAAGTCAGTCCCTCACAAACGGTGCATCTATACATCTTGTAAGAGATGCCTCGCCACGCTGTCAATGCACTGTATATGTCACAAACCTTACGTCCACGGCGTGCGCAGTAGGACACAGGTTGGACTGCCGGGCTCCTTGCAAACAAGGGATTCGCGTCAGAAGCCACAAAGTTACTATGAGACAGTGCTGTGTCAGTCAAGCGAATAATACGGCAGCAGTGTCCGGGGTAGGGGCGCTCACCGCTTCTTGCGGTTTTTATACATCTTGGAAACGGCCTTCACGACCTCAGTCTGGACGCAAGGGATCTGACAGAGTTGTCGACACATGTTGCCACGGCTCGTATCCGAGACGCAGATGTTCGGACATGCTGTAGACCGCTACTCCATCCACCGTCGTAGAATGGATGAACTATAACACCGACATGTATGTGACTGGGTCAGCAATGGACAGAGAAGACAGCATCGCTTCAACCCCCTCCCCCCTTATCTGCATAGTGATGATGCCTTGCGTCTGTATCGAGTTTGCTCCAGTCAACCGATCCCAAGATACAGTCTATTGGTAGGAATCGATCTCTCAAACCTATAAAAGAACATCGTCGTGCTCCATTGTTAGCTAGTCCCATATTCGACCAGCATCGACCATGACTATCCACACCGACCTACCGCCCCCTGAGGCGAAGGCCTCTGACACCGAGTTCTGGAGCGAGCATATTCGGTCCGTAATTGGGCCTTTGATGAAAGCGACCGGCAGCTACTCCGGCACCGCGCAAGAAGCCAACCTTCGCTTTCTTGACAACTACATAGCGCCGGCACTAGGCCCTCACCCTACGGTTGCGCACCCCACCTACGTCGCCCCATGTACCATCGTCGGGACTCTTTTCAACCCTAGCATTAGTCTTTCCGCTAAGGGCAAGCCCACTGTCCGCTTCGACTACGACCTGCCTCTGCCGCTAGACCGTGCCTCCTCTGATGATCCCTGGGGCGAGGGCAAGGCGCGCACTCTCTTCCGTCGGCTGGCCGCCGCACTCGGCGCGGATACCCAGTGGCTAGAGTACTTCATGGCACGGTTGTTCCTGTCGCCTGCCGAGACGGAGGCCCTGCGGAGCAAGATCCCTGCTGATCTCGTCATCCCCTCCGCTATGGTGGGCGTGGCGTTCGATGATGCGCAGCCGCGCTTGAAGGCCTGGGTGCCGACCATGCGGCGGGCCATTCTGGAAGGCCGGTCGTCGAACGAGATCGCAGTCGAGGTGCTGCGCGGTTTGAGCCCGCTGGGAAGCGAGATCACGCCCGCCATCGACATGGTAGAAGCGTACGCTAGCCCTCTCCATTCTTCCAAACAACCAGACGGGCGCGGACTGACTAAGTGATGCTAAACAGATGGATCGCGGCGAGCCCGCACGACCCGCGGCTGATGCTGGTAGGTATGGACTGCGGGGAGCCACGCGACTCGCGACTTAAGATTTACCTCGTAACGACCAAGAATTCGTGGGCGACGGTGCAGGACGTTATGACTTTGGGAGGGCGACTCGACGACGAGCCCACGCGCAAGCAGCTCGCGCTACTACGGAAAATCTGGCCGTATCTGATTAACGAGCCGGATAACACGCGTATCGCCGACGAGAACTGGTGTAAGCCTGAGCGCATGCCGCGTGTGGGCTTTTTTGGCCTGATGTACTCGCTCGAGATTAAGCCCGGCAGACCTACTCCTGAGGTAAAACTTTATGTGCCGCTATTCCAGTATGCGGAGAGCTGGGCTATCGCCGAGAACAACATGGAGACAGTACTAAAGCTACTGGATATTGACTGGGGGCACAGTGGGAAGTACCGGCAGGCCATGGAGATGACATTGTAAGTTCCGTCTTGGTGCCCTATACATTTTGAACCGGAGCACATCAAGATGAGTTGCATACTGACCGCTGTAGTGGCAAGGGAAATTCGTACGGGCAGATTTTCGTTGCATATTCGTACTCCGAACGGACCGGAGGATATATTAACTCGTATGTGAGCATGCCGGTTAAGGACGTGCCGGCGCATGCGTTTACAGGAGATTACGTGTAGCCAGCTAGGTGGAGTTGGAAGATTGGTATGGGTTGCCAGATAGAATCACTCAATTAAACTGCCTCTGAACATGGCATATAGCCCAGCCTTCATCACGGTTGTCATCCACTTGCAAGTATTTCATGACAGTTGCCAATACCCTACTCCTTCGTCATCCCCTGCAGAATATGGCTAGGCGAATACAACTAGGGCACAATAACCATCCTCTTCGTCTGTACCTCCTCAGAATCCCACACAGACTGTATGTCCGCCATCGGCACCGCCAGCACATCCAAGGTCCGCCCCATCTTTGCCAGTGTGTTAACCAGCCCCGGCATCTCCCGATCAAAGTCGGCCTGACTCAAGCTTCCTTTACCGGATCCCATGAGGATGATCGGCTTTACGTTGATCAGCCGCATCGGCAGGTCCATTCGTTCATAACCGGCCAGCCCGCCCACAACGATATACTGGAGATTCTCGCCGGGTGGTGGCTGCAGCGCCTGTAACAGCTGCACTGCAGCCGGCCCACCAACATAGTCGATAACGATATGCACGGGGCCTAGGTCGTCCGGGATGATTAGGGGGTCCCGCAAGCACACGCGTACATCTAGGCCCTCTACCGCCGCTAGGGTTGCCTCATTGCGCGCCAGCCCGATCACCCGTGTAGCACCTAGCTGGCGTGCAACCATGGCGGCGATACGTCCACTAGCGCTGGTCGCCCCTAGAATAGCCACGGTGCGTCCGGCGCACCCGCCGATCGCGCGACAGCGCAGTGCCATGTAGCTGCTGCCTGTTGGGTTCGACAACCCCGCGATTGCGACAGGGTCTGCACCCGCTGGCAGTTTCATCAGCTGGCTTCGCTCGACGTTAGCCCGTTCCGCGAACAGCGGCGCTGCCAGACTGTTGATGAAGTACAGCTCGCCCGTAGCGTCGTCACGTCCGACCCCGTCGATGCTAGGGTCGAATGGCAGCGCTGCACCTTTTGCGCTGGGATGCTGGCCGGATGCGCGGCCACGCACTGCCCGTGGCACACCTACAGCGACGACTCTCAGCTGGAGTTGCGTCGGGGAAGGCGGGGGCAGATCAGGCGCTGAGATGTATTCAGGGGGCGAGCCCCAGGCAGTGACACGGGCGACCTTCATAATAGGCGATGAGAAGGGATGGACGGATGTTCCAAGGGCGGAAGGCTTTGTGCAGCTTCGTGTCAGGCAAAGCAGTGTGCGACGCATTCGAGTGGTTATAGTGAACAAAGGAGACACGACAGCATGGTGTGGGAGGGGTGCTTTTAAAGAGCGAACGAGAGCCACGTATTGCTGCAAGGGAAGAACAAAGAAAGCAACGGAGAAAGCGTGCGTAACGTCGGTCTGGCGCAAGCTGCAGCCACCTGCAACATGCATTTAGGTGTCGGCTTTTATAATTTTGGTATTACTATGTATTACACGTGCAACCTGTATGTAATTGGCCAAGGTGCTCATCATGCTGTGCGTTATAGGTTGCACAAAGGTCGCTAGCAGGCTTATCCTGCATCTGTATAAGCGGATGTATGGCCGGATATCGGGTTGTAACACACAGATACCTGGCGTCCATTGACTTTGAGAGCAGGGAAGCAGGCAGGCCTGAGCGAAATAGCTGGTTAATTCGCTGGAGAGCATGTTGAGCCGATATCGTGCTTGGGTTCTTTCTTCGGGCCCTCGCTTCAGTCTTTTCGACTCTGAAGTCAATGCCTCTCAATATTAGCTATATAAAGCTCCACCCTTCTTGTGGTCGGATACCTCCCCTCCGCGCCCTCTTCGGTGTATACAGCCCCAGCGGCCGGGTCAGACTCACATATCCTTACGTAGGCTCTGTATTTGAGCGCGCACTCTTAGGCAATTAATCAGCACGTGCACCACATTCGCATTTATCGTTTTCTTGAAGGCCAAATACTTGGAATCCTTTTAGGCCTTGCAGAGGAGGAAGAGCTAGCAGCAACAACCTGGATGACGGATGACTTGTTACGGCGCCTTGAACATTGCTGGCGCCCATATTTCTCGGGCCCATCACCCAGCTTATCATCCAATTCAGAATATTGATGGCTCCATTGTAGAGTAGATATAAAATTACTATAAGAATCAACCCATGATAGCCGACAAACCAAAAGAAATATATATATATACAGATTAGACTATACCCCTTATATTTTGAGATCAATAAAGAAGAATATGGTAGACTTGATATGCGGATAGAGTAGCGTTAATCAAAATTGGCTTCTTGCTTGCTCTGAAGATAAGACACGAAGAACAAAAGTAGCTGCTGGTAAGAAGTGTCCTTAAATAACCGTGGGTCATCAAATCAATCATATTATCTTGCGATAACTGCCCTTCTGCCATCATACTGCACAAACCGACCTAGTATGACCGATATGACGGTTATGTTAATCTCGCTATAATGACACAAACTCCATTCGCGACCTGATCACTCCCTCACACGCTACTGTGGGATATGTGTATGTCAAGACTAGTCCCGGATTCCATCTCGCCGGATCACGGCTTGGAGAACTTAGGAACATGAATGCAGATCGTTCAAGGGCAGAAGGCGCCGACGATTCTTTCTATACTTGTACCACCACCAGGAAGCAACCATGAGAAGCGTAAGCGGGATAGTGAGCACAAGCCACAGCCACCACAAGCCCGTAACGGTTATGCGGGTGCTATTCTCCGAGGAAGTAAATATACCAGCATGTAGGATACCCTACGCCCGGATATAGTCAGCAAGGAAATGCCTCTTCTCTTCGAATTCGTTCAACTTCACGCATGGAGGGAGGTAGATACTAACTGATGTAAAAGTTCCTGGGAGAAACAACAAGGTCAGGACAGCAATCGCCTTTACGCTGGTGCTATCTTGCTTCATACTAAGGCTCAGCTGTTTAATGAAAGCTACATCCTGCTGCGCCGCGAAAGTGGAGACCACCGTCAGGATACTCGCCTGCTGGTGGGATATATAGTTTTTGAACCACATTTTCTCCTTCTCCATTGACTCGATCACGTAGTCGATCGTATGCGCGGCTCGTTAGTAGATTTGCAGTGGGCATGAGATGGCTCCATGCAGACGCCGGTGGATCTTGCGGATTGTGGCTGCGGTTCGGATGCTCACTTCTGCGTTGTTGAGGTGTATAATGTACCGTGATACCTCCAAAGTGTTAACAACCCTCTTTAGTGAAGCTTCTTCACCGCCATCAATGCCCGTCCGGAATTGCGCAGGAGGTATGGAATGTATGGACTAATGGAAACTTGTAGAGAAGCTATAGGCTTCTATGCCACACTGGGTAGAATTTGTTATTGAGGACTAGGACCGGAATACGCCCTCCTGGCTGACTTCTTACAAAGTTACGGATGTTTCGAACCGGGGTTAGCACTTTACGTTACTATAGCTTAGAAATAGCAGGCTGCAGGCCTTCATTTAGAAATAACCTTGGCCCACACTACTCGTTCAAAACCAGAATCTTATTAGATCCAAATTTAGTAGGTATGGGAAAATGATCAAGCCCGCAAGATCACCAGCAGGAACAGACAGTTCACGCCCCCCAAATTCCATCCTCCGTTAGGGGTACAAGATCCGAGGTGTCGTGACAGTCAAGCAGCGCCGGGTAAAACTTGGTGATCAGCGAAGCGATTGCCACCTTGAACGTCCCCGAGTACGATAAGCGCTGCTCTCCCAGGGCGACATCAACTGCCTTCATAAATGGCGCAGGAGCACCTGGGTTCGCATCCAGGACGGAATGCATACACTCTTCGTCGACCATGAAGCACATCCGTGTGTGGAGACCCGGCTCCAGCTTGTCCTCCTCAGCATCGTCGTCCATCTCTTCCGTGCAGAGGCGATAGGCATACGCCACCCTTGCGGGCGGCTCCCCGGCCATGCTTTCTTCCGACACAAATTTGAGAAAAACTCGATCACGAATCCGCTCAATCCCAGAGCCCGCCGGCGCAGCATCTATGCCTTCGTCGAGGATCGCCTCGTACCGAGCCAGGAACCGTTCCCAGAGTGGCTCATCGGAATAGTAGGTGCGGAACATCAAAAATCCAAAGTCAGGCCAGTCTTCCTCCTCGACCAGCGAGATGAGCGATTCTACGTTTTCAAGAACGATAGAACTCGTCCGGTCTTCTGCAGCCTTTCCCGTCCCGGACGGTGCGGCGTCAGTCTGGTTCTCATACATCTCCTGCGTCCGTTCAGGTGGCAGATAAGGTAGCATTCGATCGTCGGCCATTGTAAGAGGTGTTGATGAGCTACTAAATAGTGAGTCGAGATGGAGTTGGTGAGAATATGACCGTCTCGGGTAAGCAGCGCCACCCCCCCTTCAGGGGTTGGCCTCTGAATATTAGGTAAAAGACCTCCTGTAGACTAGCGGACATTGTTGACTCCCATTCCGGGCTTAGTTGCTAGGCCACGGTCAGAAACTGGCGTACTTATAGAGTAAGCTGATTTCAACGACTGTTGGGTTATTGGGGTCATGCGATTTTCAAATTTATTTACATCCTATAACATCACAACAGGAACACCCCCGCCGCCCTAGCATTGCGTTCTCCGCCATTTACGCCTAGTTTTAGTGCTCTCGAGGCCACCGAGTTCGTTGTCAAGTCATATTATCTGTCAAGGGCTTCTCACAGTTACACGGAGTAATATGGAAAATTGGACTTGAGAACTAAGATTCAAGTATTGACGAAACGAGTCAATATAAAAAGACATGAACTTGTGGAAACATATGAAGTAAGCAAATCCCGTCACAACAGTCATTTCACAGGTGCATATCTCTAAGATGAGTAGGTTAAATTCGAAACGCGTAATATGAGTTGTTTTCCAATGGATTTATCACACTGGACGCAAACCCAATCCTGAAAGTGACACCTGTCAACTAATGCTCAATCGCCACTGGCCCTAGAGCAGTGTTGAAGAACTCCGTGACGACTCGCGTGCGGAGGTTAGGAGAAAAGTAGTCATATCCGACAATCACGCCACAGGAGTCGACGAAAACTGTCACCGGAAGAGATGCGTATATGATATTCCACTAGGGTCTATTAGTACCTCTCATCCACAAAAGGACCATTCGGGACTGACCGATGCAACATATCCTTCCAGCAGATACCTTTTCACAAGACCCCCGAAGACAGCTCCGCCCCGAGTCAGAATATCTTCCGTGAAAAGAGGGTAGTTGGACAGAACATAGCCAGTCCACACGGTAGGCTGTGAATCATTTGTGCCATAAGAAGTGAGCGTATTCAGGACCAATCCGTCCTTGGTCATGTTGGAATAGTCGAAGACTGAGGAGGCCAAACCCCCCGCGTATGCCTCATCTCCACGGACAAGTTTCTGTGAGGGAGAGAAGTAAAGATACCCCGAAGTGATATGAGATACGTTATTATTCCTCTTTAGTGTCAGCCGGAGTCCATGATGGAAATCAAGGCCAGATTGGGTACCATTTATGTTGGATGAAGCTGGTTTCGAATTCTGTTTTCACCAGCGGCGGTTCTGGCTGCTGAAACCCGCTAGTGAACTCGTGCATCGAGGTAGGAAAGTCGGTACAGGATGGGTTCTTAGCTGTAGCCGAAGCAAGCATGGCCATCATAGAGAGTGTTACAACAAGGCAAACCATTGTTGAATGAATGTGAATCAGAGATGAAGAATAGGTATGTCAAAGAAGCGGCTAGGTTTCTGGGTTTCTAACAAAAAGAAAGCAGCCATCGTCATGGTATTTATGCTTCAAGAGTGATAGCCTAGCATATGACCGGTTAATGATATAGTTTGCGCTATCTTACAAAGTAGTATGCAGATGCCTAGCTGTGGAGTACCAGAGCGCTCGATTATGTCCCGATAGGGAAATACGGCGCTCCACGATCCCAACAATCCACAAACAGGTTCTATTATTTTGCTACCTGGGACAAATTTCTAAAATGTTCGCTTTCCAATCCCATAATTCTTGGAGGTCATCCCGTATTCTGTTTGCAACAATAAATCCACATCGCGCAATGTGATCCAGTAGGGCCAAGACCTTGGATCTCTGGACATCAGTATCTGCGCGCGTCCCAGCGACTCGAAGAGGGAAAATAAGCAATACACCAGATCCACCAGGTGTGTTAAGTATCAACTCAGCCAGTTGGGAGATTTGGTCGACATGTCGGCTTATCTCATGAGCTGACATGTATGGAGGGCGATCCAGATGCCAGCAATGATAATAATCAAATGTGTTGAAAAGAAAGATTGACATAGTGTTGCAGTATAAGAGCGTTTGGTAGTATTGCAGGCCTGGCAGCCCCACTAGGCCCGTGTTGGTGGTCTGGGCATGTAGGCTCGCAATTTCATTGTGAATCGCAGTGGCCTCCAGTCCGAAATTCTCCAAGATGGGATCAAAATTGCCGAAGTCTGTGACTGTCGCAACATACTGATAAAATCTAAGGTATATTAGTACCCTTCAAAGAGCGCATTAGGAATGACGTGCACACCGAGCATTGAAAACAGATATTTGAACCATGACCAAGGAAATTCGACTGAGGCTCTCCTGGTCTTCTATATGTCGCTGTTCGTATATTGAAAAGACAGCGGCCCAGTCAGGGCAGGATAATATCGTGCTTTCTCCGTATAAGACTGCTCGGTTCGCTTCGAAAATGCGAAACACCTCGAGGAAGGCCCTGCGGGAATCAGAAACTGTCTGACCCGGGCCTGCGGCCCGCAGCAGTCGAGATGTTCCGTGTAGCATGTGTTTTGCCCAGCCATCTCCGGATGGGTCAACCATGAGCTACGAGCCCAAGTTAGTTCGTCCGTGTTGGATTGCCAGCGGAATACAAGGCGTACCTCAAATAAGCCCAGAAAAAAGGTAGCCCAAAGTACATCGTCCCGCAGCGAGACCGTCGGGTCTAGAATAGCGGTGCTCAATGATTTAATCGAGCAAGAGTATGACTTGAATGCAAGAAACCGAGGAGACTCCACCTTCGCATAAGAGACGCAGGTGCCGCGGCGTGAGGCATCCAGCATACCTATGGCACTAGCTATTGAGCTCAAGAGCTGCGATTCATTCACCAAGGGCAGGAGCTTATTGACTAGAGCATCTGTACAATGCGCAAAGCGATTGCGCCGGAGGAATGCAACGAAGTAATCCACATGAAGCGTCTTTGTGTCCGTTGACATCGGCTTAGGGAGAGGGACGCAGTCCTTCTTTTCATACAGGACGAAAATTTCGCCGGAGGGCTTGCTACTTCGTCTTTGGCAAGCCTTCCCCGTGCGAATACACAACTCACACGGAAAACCTCCTACACACTGTCCTGCCGTGAGCGACGGTAATTGTTAGGCATGATGTGTAGCGGCGTGCCTACCTTAACCTTTCTGCTAGCGCAGTTCCCACAGCGCCTGACCTTCTTGCGCTGGTCGTAAGGTCCCAGCGTGCACTTCTGCGGCATTGTGAGTCGAAGCGAATGGGTTGAGGCCCAGAGACTTGGAGTTCCCTCGGACAGAAAAACGCGCACGCCTGCCAAGGCAGCTCGCTCTTCACCGTGGCTAGAGGGTCTCTGCGGTCTTTCGACCGGTAGCCATTTCCATTTCCCGGGTGGCCCTCCGGCAAGACATTCGCGCTGGTCCCAAGGAGTAGTACTACATAGTACTAGTACTACCTCGGTGTCCTCGAGTTTTCTGCGCTAGGCCAAACCGGGAAATAATCGGGCGTGTAAGACCTGCGGGTCAATCAATAATATTAATAAAAGCCCCACCACCAGCATTCGATTGACGCCATGCCGGATGGGGAGAATATCAAGCGAGACAGTCACTATAGCATCGACCTATGCCAGTACCATGTTTCGGTTTTGAGATACAAAAAGTGGACGGTAGAGTCGCCGAACTAGTCGATCAACTCTGTTGCCTGAAAGGACAATTGTGAATAAGAGGGAGAGGTACAGCAAAAGGCCAGTTCTCTAGAACGCGAGTACAGAAGTCTAAGTCCATCCCCAGAGTTCTTGGTCCCTATCAATCCGTTTCATCTGTTACGGGGCGAACGCTCCACAATACCAGTTTTTATCCATGGCGTCAAACAATACAAATGTCTATGTGCCTTGCACACTCCAAGCTTGTGCGATATCTGAAGCACCAATTCCGTATCAACCGAACTTAGGGACAAATGCTGTCTTTCTTGCAGTAATTGCCAGTGCGCTGGTCATCCAACCATGAATTAGTATTTTCTACCGAACATGGAGCTACCTAATAGGCATGGGAGGAGACATTGTGTTTGAGATAGCAGGCTATGCTGGCCGCATTCAGCTACATACCAATCCTTTGTTTCTAGCAGTTTCGTGCAGTAAGTTAGATTCAAGGCAAATTACCCCCTCCATTGTTGTATATAACTTTTTACTGACTGAATGAACATATACCTAGTTTGTCTGACGGTGCGCCAGGTTTCATCAGCGCCGATGGGCGGCTTGGTTACACGAGCAGCTTCATTGTCGAGCAAAAAGAGGTAAGTGCTGCAGCCATGATATTTCCATCTCGTCCGAGAGACAATCTTGCCTGACTGGTGAAGGATTTCCTTTGTCTTGTGTCCTTATCTATGCCCCTCCGCTCGAAATTATCACCAAGTTTTCCCACCAATTCCTCAGAGGTCTGTTTGAAAAAGTTTCCACTGATAACCCTGCTAAAGAGTACAGATACTGCGAACAATGTCCTCTGTACCCCCTTCTTACGTGCCCACCCAGGCTGCCCTTCAATCTGTCCGAGTCCAGTTACAAGGGAGGATTTTCCGAAGCGTTAATGGGTTCTTTGCCAAATACTTTAAGGGGAAACCCTGGTCCGCAGCAGTCCAAAACAAGGTGCAAGAAGCAAAATCAGCCAGGCCTGGCAGCAAGTTGGCTACGGGTGTCCCTGATAGTGACACACTGGGAGAGTGGCTTGCCGAATTCCAGGCCCTGTTCTGCCAACTTGCATGTCCACAGCCAGCCGCTCCCCAACATGGGTGGTAGTACCGTCATCTACCTCGAGACATCTGATCGCCAGTCTGTTGCAGGCAGTACTAGAGCATTTGGTGAAATTCATCATGGTGACGCGCCCGTCGTGGCCGAAGCCGACGACGACGACGGCTTTCTGTCCTACTGCGAGCGAGCACGGCAGGTGTTCAAAGCCCAGTCAGCTCGATGTTTTCTGCATGGATTCCTCGCCCGCGGTTCTACGCTGGAGCTCTGGGTATTTGATCGGGCAGGGGCCTACAGCAGCGAGAGGCTCGACCTGGTGCAGAACCCGGATCTGCTGATGCGGATCTTGGCTGCCTACAGCGTGAACAGCGATGAGGAAGCTGGGTTTAACGCTTTTGTCAAGATTCCTTCACCTAGATCCGACAGCTGCGTCATATTCCATCAGCGCAACAAGTTCCACCTCGACCGGAGCCAATTGCGGCGGCGGAGTCCATAATTGGACTCGGGACGACCTGCTATGCGGCCTCGGCATCGACAACCGGCCAGCCAGACACTGCCATCAAGTTTTCCTGGCGACACGAAGAAGATCCCACTGAGCTCCGCCTCCTGAAGCTCGCGCATGAGCGGAACGCCTGGGGGATCATCCGGCTGCTAGACCATCAGGAACTGGTGACCATCGCCGACCTCCGCCAGGGTCTGGACTTTCCTCGACCATTCGTCAACCGGAGATTCTCGTCCGTTGCCAATACCCCTCTCGGCCGTCCGATCCGCCAGTTCACGTCAATTCCAGAGCTGCTGGAGGTCTTGCGCGACCTTGTCAGGGCGCTTCAGTCTCTCTACGTGAACGCGAGGATCCTCCACCGCGATATCGCCATCAAGAATCTGATCATCACTCCACAGCACAGCGCAGACAGCTCAAAGGGTACGTTGCTTGATTTCAACTATGCGTTAGACCTCGCAAACGCCCGTCCAATCGAGCCGATGGTTGGATCGGATGGATTCACGGCCATCGGGATTCTCTCGGGACAACGGCACACGTACCGGCACGACCTGGAGTCTCTGTTCTACGTATTTCTCTGGATCGCCATTGCGAACGATCGCGTGCATGACGAGGCGACCGACATTGTCAAAGGCCTACCTGAAACTTCGCGCCTCTGGAAGTGGTGCACGATGGACTTTGGCGCCGTTGGACGGGACAAGGCCGCCGACATGAGCCCCGAGGGTTTCGAAGGTATCCTTGCCGAGTTTTCTCCTGACTTCGCTCCTCTCCAGGGTCTGGCCAGGGAGCTGCACACGCTGATCTTCCCTGTGCGTGATGGGAAGATCTTCACGGGGACTGAAACAGACCCGGAGGCTGTCCAAAGGCTCTATGACGGGATGGCGGATGCTTTCAGCCGGAGTGCCAGCGCATTCCAGGGTTAGAAGTATCGAGTACTACTCTACAGGGCGCCATTAATTGCAATCAGATTACTGTCCTGCTGTCCTTGAATAGTCTTCTCTTTATTACTTCAAGCCAAGAAACAGTACTAGGTATAGCATATCTCAAAGACACCGAGAGTCTGCACTCAACCTGCGATTAATGGCGAGGAGGTCTTTCGTTTCGCTGTTCGGCGCACGGGGTTCGTGTTGATATTGGAGTATCGGGTTCTAGTTGTCCCAGCTGGGTGCCTCGTGGAGGAGGCTTCAGCAAGAGAGTGCGCTCGTGGATTCCACGCGGAGGTGTGATCACAGCAAGATCGAAGTCAAAAAGATTTGTGTTGCGGGCAGTGGAGGGAATGTCGATGTCAGAGTCGGCGGTTTGGTCTTCTGACTCTGAATGAATAAAGTAGTTAATTTGACCCGAAACCGGCAAGGAGCTTCTGATATTGAGACAAAGAGTCAAGGAGTATTCTACTTGATCCAGCGATAGAGGGCCGGTGGTCTTGTGGCTGTCGTAGGACTCAGTTGTGCTGTTCAGCATAGGTGAGAAGAAAGCTCCCTTTCCTATCCCAATCTTTCACTTTGTCACTGAAAGCTTTTGTCACTTTGGACTCCTTGGAGCGATGGCAAGCAATTTTCATCTTCGTGGCTGGGCAACCATGACTTCTGGTTACTCAGATGTTGACATTCAGAAGTCTACAAAGAGACACTGAGCTAGCCGAGATCATAATTTGACGATATATGAGAATAGAAGCCATATACGTGTGTCCGTATATCTGTATTGGCACGTGGATAATGTCTGACCTGTGCATGAGGGTAGAACTTGTGATTTGGCCGTCCACAACTACTATCGTTATACATTACTGCCGAGTTGAACGCGAGACCCGGGCAAAATTCATTCCAAGTACACGAAATGGCTCTTCTGATATATCCTACGCTGAGCATGGATGATAAGTATAATGATAAGGTATGTCGTCAAGGGGTACGTAGGGTTTTTGTGGCACTAACTGGTGATGATCCTATCCAAACACATATTTCTTCTTTTGTTTCTTAACTTCTCTCTTCATTTTCGAATTGGGACTGATGATCCATAGCAACAATCACGATTCATATCCCTATAATCAAGACACCGAAGACCGATGACTCACGTTGGCAAACAGCATCAATAGCATTGCAGCTTCCCCCGCCAAAGGCTGAGCCCAGAAATAACGCGAGCGAATTTGCTCGACAGCCACATCGTAGCAAGTCTCCAACAGCTGCAGCTCCCGAGCACGACAGTCGACTTTCATTCGCAGTCCAACTGCCATCGCCATATAGACGTGAAATTTAGCCATCGCAACCGGGTACATATCCCCTTGCTCACTGGGTACCTGTGACGGATCATCGATGATATCCAGGAACTTCTGAAAGGTGTCTCGACCAAGTGGATACCCCATCCCAGGGATTGTCTGGAAAAAAAGTTCCAAAAGAGCCTGTATCTCGACGCTCGTTGGAAAGGTGCTCATGATTGTTTCGAAACCCATGCATGACTTCAAGTGGGCCTGTCCCAATTCTTCTCCAGCGTCTACCATTCTGTAGTCAGGCGCTGCATAGTCCGAGTCTAACCCGAGCGACGAGATGGATGATGATATAGAAGACCGTCGAGAAAGTGTGGGTCCAGCGAATTCAGCTGGAGATAAACGTGGCACGACATTATAACTGGCAGAAGGACAGGCCGACACCGGTGGTGACAAAGCGTGACCCGGGCTTGGCGGCTGCAATCGTCCGTCAAACGCCAACGATGGGGGATTAGGCGTCATCAAGATTGGAGAGGACAGGGAGGGCGAGGTTGGAACGGACATTGGCGACATACTTGCGTAATCAACCACCTCAATCCGAGGTATCTCGAGCGGCGCTGGGTTGCTGTCTAGGAATAGCTGCCCGTACGGCTCGTGGGGGTCGGAATAATCGAGCGCTGCTAGGTCGGTGAATAGGTGCAAGGAAGGCGGCCCCTGGCTATCTGTTGGTCCATTGTCCACCTGATGCGAGACCTGAGTGTTGGATAACCCCGTGCTCAGTTCAAGAATGCGTGCTTCTAACTGTCGAACTCGCTGTTCCAGCGCGGCTTGACCTTCGCTGCCTCTCTGTGAACGGATACAATTCAGAGAGAACCGTCGACAGGTCGCGCACGGCGTTTCCCCGTCACAGCGAATCTTGCGTCTTCGACATCTCTCACAAGCTATCGCCACAGGTTTTGTGCGCGGCGTCCACATCCCAGAAGGCGTTTCGCCCACTGTTCGACGCCGTTCAATCCGGGGAACTTTTCGCTCCGGCGAGGCACGAGGCAGATCTTCCATCATGAGCGAGCTCACAACTCATATACATCATTGACCGATGAAAGGAACCTCCTGTTGCTACCATGTCACGCATAAGCGAGTGAGCAGCGGAATATCCATCGTAGTGATACGCCCTATTTAAGGGAGGGGGATGAACGTGGCAACACAACAAGGACAGAGTCTCCACGGAACAATCCGCCAATAACGAGCGTAGCAACCTTTCCTTTGGCTTTGACATAGAAATAAGTTTTCGACGGGAGGATGTCTATGCGGTGATCTGCCCCGCAGACAAGAGCACTGCCACGATAGGACGGCCTGGCGCCGCTGCTTCGTCTGCTGGTCTGGGCCATGGGTGACCGGCGAATGTCTTGGAACCCGGCACTGTTGCGAGGAACGGTGGTATCTCCGCTGAAAGAGTGGTATCCGAGGTCATGTCACGCGTATAGAATGCGCCGGTGGCAGAGAGGACAGTGACTTCGGCGCTCTAGTGACCTTACTATGTGCGGGGATGTGGGGTTGCAGAGGAGAGGAGCAAACAAAAGCCTGCGTTGCGAAGGACCGATATTAAGAGAAGAGTTTACAGTGACTTTACAGGCTAGTAGAGAGGCGAAGCAGCAAAGGAGCGAGTTTTGCATAGTTGAAGTAGCATTCTCATTGATAGGGCACAGAGCTTAGGGCATGCATGTCACGTTGTTTCTCGGCCCCCCCAAGGCATCCACGTTTCCCTCTGCCTCTTATTTACATCGACACCCGCTCGACATGCGTCGTTGCTTGCTTCTCTTCCTCGCCCTTTGCGCCCCATTCCTGGTCTCCCGCTGGCTGGGCGCCGAACAATGCCTCCATCTCCTCCAGTGTCTTGCCCTTGGTCTCTGGGATAAACCAGTACGCCCAGAATCCCATGCAGACCATCAGTGTAGCGAAGAAGAAATATGTCCCGTATCCCAGCGAGGTGATCATATATGGCGTTGTGCGACTAATAATGAACGACCACAGCCATTGATCAGCTGTGGTTATACTCACGCACAGCATTCGGATGTCAATGGGAAACACCTCTGAACAGATCACCCAGGTAATACCCTGGAAGGACAAGTCAGTCAGCCATGATTGCGTGGCAAGATTGTGAAAGGGGGTCTGTACCTGCCAGGTGGCGCAATATATCATCCCATACAGATAGACGCAAACCATGGCGATGTAACTCCAGGCATTCCGGTCAATCTGCCCTCGAGCTGCAGCGCCTGCGGGGTCGGCGCGAAAGACGTAACCCCCAATGTACCACATGGGCAGACTCCCAATAAAGGCGCCCCAAATTAGCCCACTGCGTCGCCCGACCTTTTCCACCAGCCAGACGCTGAAGATCACCATACCCAGCGTCTTTGCAATCCCATAAAACCCCGTGGCAAAGAGCTTCGTGTCCGTTCCAACAATGCCCAAGGTCTCGAAGATTCTCGGTGAGTAACTGCAGAACTCGTCAGCTCTCCCTTTCTTGCTGAAGCGGGAAATTCGTACTAAGTGATGATATTGACGCCCGTAAGGTTTTGGAAGGCCATCAGGAGAAGCCCAATGCCGATCCGATTTCGGGTGCCTCTCTGCCACAGTCGGTGGATATAGTACCCAATGTCATGCCTCGCCCCTGGCGGTGGCATACCTATTTGAATTTGCTCGCGAATTTGCTGCAATTCTTCTTGAATCATCGGGTGTTCCGATGGGAGTTTGCGGATCCAGACAAGAGTCCGTTCGGCCTCTTCCCATCGGTCTTGTTTTGCATACCAGCGGGGTGTTTCGGGGCACCAGAATATCCCCATCAGGAGGAAGGCTCCGGGCAAGAGCTGGAGACCGAGAGGGACCTGCCATTGCGCCATTCTCTCGGTTGAAATCGTGCGGTTAACGATGTAGTTGATCCAGAATCCGCACATGCCACCTCCCTGTGAGCAAATCTCAAAGATACCCACCAAACGACCCCTTATGGAGGGAGGTGACTACGGTTGATCAGATCAGCTCTCACTGACTTGCTCCCACGGACTGCCACTTACAGTTTCCGCGATGTACACGGGAACCTGCAGCGACACAGAGCCGATGCCAAACCCCGCAATGACCCGGCCGGTGTAGATCATGGCAAGATGGCCGGAAGCTGCGGTCTAATTGTACCAGATACATCAGCCATCCGTATTGGTCACAATCCCTATGCTGGTAGTCTCACCATCAGGCTGCCGCCAACGCAAAAGACCGAGATCGCCATGATGATGGCCAGCTTTCGGCCAAATCTTTCCGCCAGAGGAAAGGTCAAGAGTGACCCGAAGAAGCAACCAGCCTGGAAAGTTGAAACAATATTCCCTTCAAGGGTATCTTGCTCCAGGTCTGAGGACCGAGCCAGCCCAAAATCCCGGCGAAAGGGCTCCAGGGCCAACGTTCCCCCAATGACACTGGTGTCGTAACCCACTGCCGGGTAGATTCTGTTATCAGCCGCCGAAGAGTGCCATGCTTTCCACGGCAAACCAGGGGGACTTACTCGCAATAGCGCCCATGCTGACCACCACAGCGATGAAGTGCACGCGCCAGTTGCGTACTTCGGGTGGGTCATTGCTGTTGTCTGCGTGAAGATTGAATCCCATGCTTTCCGATTCTTGTCAAAGCTCATGCGATTAAACACAAGAGACTGCCTACATCCATGCAAGGCAAAATTGTGGGGACTGCTGGGCTTTTTTATCGGGCATATCCCCGCGCTTCCAGGTTGGAGGCAGCGGCGTCCTTGACGGCGAGATGCCTCCCACGACTGCATGGCGGCATCAACCCCAGCGGAGGATCCCCCGCAATCATGGACCACCCCCCTGCTCGAACCTTCTGCTGATACTTTATTCAATAAGCGTGCGATAACTCGAATGCACGAGCGGTCTTGGCCCGTCTGGGCCATTTTTTGGCGGAGGTCCTTGGCGCCTTTCAATGGCGGCGCCGAGCCCGGGAGATTGAGGCAGTGCATCGATCAACGAGGAGCGAATTTCCCTCAAGTGAACGAAGTGACTTCTTAAAACCTCGTTAACCTGGTTTGGACAGTTACCTCTAAACCCCAAATGGCACTGGTGCTTCTCCAACCAGTTTCCCCTCAAGCAGCCGAACGTGACTGAACTTCAACATGATGGGCGCTCACGATGAGCATCCCGAGCCTTCGATTCCCCAAATAACGCTCCAAGCATCCGACAGCGCAAGTCCCAACGCCCCGGACGATGGACCTGCAAGTGATGCCTTGACCCGAACCCGATCGAACAGTAACTTGACCGCCATTGTTACCCAGACAGGCCGGGATCGAGCTATGAGCGGGAGCACCATGGCACCGAGCACTCCCCAGTCAGAGTTGCGCAAAGAGAAAGATGCATTATCGTATGGGGCTACCGGTATCTATTCCGTCGGCGAACTGGAACAGGCTCTTCAACCCGATCCCGGGTCAGAGCGCGACTTCGTGGTGGACGATAACCCCTTCGAGTTCTCGCCAGGACAGCTCAATAAGCTTTTGAACCCCAAGTCCCTGCCGGCATTTGTTGCCCTAGGCGGGCTCCCCGGCCTGACACGCGGTCTACATACGGATGCTTCAGCAGGTCTCAGTCTCGACGAGGCTGCGGTGGCTCATGGTAAATACGAGAGTACTGGGACTGCATCCAAGGCAGCAGGGAAGGGGCCAACTGATGTCTTCGCGGATCGCATCCGGGTCTATAAGCGGAACACGCTCCCGGAAAAGAAACCGACACCCCTGTGGCGGCTCATGTGGATGGCGTATAACGACAAGGTGTTGATCCTCCTAACAGTTGCGGCGGTCATCTCGCTGGCTCTAGGTCTTTATGAGACATTCAGTTCAAGCCACTCCAGCTCCAACAAGGGAGATCAGGGTCACTCAAAACGGAGCTCGTCGGGAATGGGCTTGGATTGGGTGGAAGGATGTGCGATCTGTGTTGCTATCGTCATCGTCGTCATGGTTGGTTCATTGAACGACTACCAGAAAGAACGAGCTTTTGTTCGACTCAACAAGAAGAAGGAAGATCGCGAGGTGACTGTTATTCGATCTGGGAAGACTATCCGCATCCCTGTCTATGATGTGCTGGTGGGTGATGTCTTGAATCTTGAGCCGGGAGATCTAGTCCCGGTCGACGGGATTTTCATCGACGGCCATAACCTTAAGTGCGATGAGTCCTCAGCGACGGGTGAGTCAGATCAACTGAAGAAGACTGGCGCCGAACAGGTGATGCGTCTCCTGGAGGCGGGTCACACCCGAGTACAAGATATGGATCCCTTCATTATATCCGGAAGCAAGGTCCTGGAAGGCGTCGGACGATGCTTGGTGACATCGGTTGGGGTCAACTCCAGCTTTGGAAAGATTCTTATGGCGATGCGCCAGGATATGGAACCGACTCCGCTGCAGAAAAAGCTGGACCACCTGGCTGGAGCCATCGCCAAACTCGGTAGCAGTGCTGCTCTCCTGCTATTTTTCGTGCTCCTGTTTCGATTCCTGGGTGGCTTGTCGAGCAACACGGGCACCAGCGCCGAGAAAGCCTCCCAGTTCACCGACATCCTGATTGTCGCCATCACCGTGATTGTGGTCGCCGTGCCGGAGGGTCTCCCGCTGGCCGTTACTCTGGCCCTTGCATTTGCGACCACCCGAATGGTGAAGTCGAATAACCTTGTTCGAGTCCTCAAGTCGTGCGAGACGATGGGAAACGCCACTACCGTGTGCTCCGACAAAACTGGCACTTTGACACAGAATCGGATGACCGTGGTTACTGGCTCATTTGGCAATGCGGATTTCGACGACAAGAACCAGACTGGACACGAACGACGATCGCCAGAGTTTGCAGGCATGCTCCCTGACGAGCAGAAGTGCATGATCATCGAGTCGATAGCGATCAATTCCACCGCCTTTGAGGGCGAGGAGAATGGGGTCCCAGGGTTTGTCGGTTCCAAGACAGAGACAGCGCTCCTGGGATTTGCTCGTGACGTGCTCGGAATGGTGTCTCTGGTCGAGGAGCGAGCCAATCTGCCTACAGTACAGTTGATGCCGTTTGATTCCGGCCGCAAGTGTATGGGAGCTGTGGTCCAGCTTCCTACCGGTCAATACCGATTCCTGGTGAAGGGCGCGGCTGAGATTCTCCTTGGCTGTAGCTCCACGTACTGGACGCCCTCTGGACAGCAGGCCATGTATGCTGATGAGCGTGGGAGATTCGAAGAGATTATTCTGGCTTATGCGCAGCAGTCTCTTCGGACGATCTCTCTGGCCTATCGCGACTTTCCTGAGTGGCCGCCAGAAGATGCTGTGGACCCTGCCGATTCCTCTGCAGCGGACTTGAGCCTGTTGTTGAAGGACATGTCCTTGCTCGGCGTAGTTGGAATTCAGGATCCAATCCGTCCCGGTGTACCAGAGGCAGTTGCCAAGTGCCATCACGCCGGAGTCACTGTACGAATGGTGACCGGCGATAACATGGTCACTGCAAAAGCGATTGCAACTGACTGTGGGATTTACACAGGTGGTGTCATTATGGAAGGGCCTGATTTCCGCCGACTGACAGACGAGGAGCTCGATGAAGTTTTACCCAACCTTCAGGTCCTTGCTCGCTCCTCTCCAGAAGACAAGCGCATCCTCGTCACGCGATTGAGAGCTCTGGGAGAGATTGTGGCCGTGACTGGCGATGGCACCAACGATGGGCCCGCTTTGAAAGCAGCAAACATCGGGTTCTCCATGGGCATTGCCGGCACGGAGGTTGCCAAAGAAGCGTCCGCTATTGTACTAATGGACGACAACTTCGCATCTATTTTGACAGCCTTGATGTGGGGACGCGCTGTCAACGACGCCGTTCGGAAATTCCTTCAGTTTCAAATCACAGTCAACATTACCGCTGTCTTGTTGACATTCATTTCTTCGGTCTCGGATCCCGAGATGCGATCTGTTTTGACAGCCGTACAGCTGCTGTGGATCAACCTGATCATGTAAGGCTCCACGGACCTGTGTCTCTCAATACATCACTAATAATATCACTAAAGGGACTCCCTCGCCGCTCTCGCCTTGGCGACGGACCCTCCCACGGAGCAGATCCTCAACCGGAAGCCAATAAAAGGTGGTGCGCCGCTTTTTTCTGTCACCATGTGGAAGATGATTATCGGCCAGTCTATCTTCCAGCTGACGGTGACTCTCATCCTGCACTTCGCCGAGGGGCCTGGCTTTCTCGATTGGCCCGACCTCGAGAGGCGATCAGTGGTGTTCAACACGTTCGTCTGGATGCAGATTTTTAACGAACTCAACAACCGACGGCTGGACAACAAGTTCAATGTGTTTGAAAACCTCCACCGCAACTGGTTCTTCATCGGCATCAACATCCTCATGATCGGCTGCCAGGCGGTGATCGCCAACTTTGGTGGGGTCGCATTCAGCATCACGAAGATCAACGGCATCCAGTGGGCCATCTGTATCCTCGTGGCGGCGCTCAGTCTCCCCTGGGCGATGTGCATCCGAACCTTTCCTGATTCTTGGTTCGCAGCGGTTGCACACGTGGTCGGTACCCCTTTTGTGCTGGTCTATCGGCCTTTGAGGCGCGGCGTGCACACTCTTGGCCGTCCATTGAGCCGCGGAATGCGCCGTTTGTGGTCTCGCAAGGAGAACGATCCGGACAAGTCCGATGCCAGCGACGTGGAGAAAGGGGTGTCCAATTAGATGTACGGGTTCTACTTTGCCTTTTGGGTTACCATCGGCACAGCTCGATCATGTTATTGAGAGTATCGAATACCGGATACACCGTGTTGAGACATGAGGCCCGGTGTTGGTGATGCCTTGCTCTGTTCGATGTTTCTTTTGGGTTTACTGCATTTGTACCGGCTTTGTTGAATTGAGGCGTCTCCGAGCACAGGATTCCTGCTTCTTTGCTGGAACACCTGCAGTAGTAATCCCTTCAATAGATAGACTACATCCGTTCAGCATGAACCTGATTAGTTGATATACGAATCTACTCACAGCATACGTGTGTAATCGCTCGTGCATTATTGATGATACGTATCATGCTAGACTAGTCAATACGCATCCGTTTTCGGGCTCGGACTTCTTTCTAGGCTCTAGCTGCTGAGCCTAACTGTTGTGCGGTTTCGAGGGCTAATCTCTTGTGCGCCCTTATGGCGGTTCCGGATGAATGATGCGGTTTTTAAACGCGACTTGGCGCATTCCGGCATCAATGAACCTTTAGCGATTATTACCAACCCTCCCATCGGAGTATTTGCTTCAGTTGTTGGCCGTGGTATTTCCTTTAGTAAGCTCCCCTTTTGTTCGTTGTATCTTTGGACTGTTGTTCTTCCTCCACACTACGTGCCCCTTCACTGCCTTCCCTTGCTTTGCTTTACTGGTTATGCCTGGTCTTTCTAGACGCCGTGGTATTCAGTCAGTATTCGAAGATGCAGCCCACCGTGTGCGTTGCCTTGAAGCTTTGAGTGATGGTGTGGATACCCTTGCTGAAGGTCACGGTTATTGGGATATATATATCCAGTGCGGTGATTTCGCTGTGTCTGATCGATCCACCCCAACGGATTAACTACCTCGCCGCAGCCCCCAAGACTGGACTTTCGCCATCGCCTACCCGTCCTTGGCTCAATGGCCGCGACGGTCTCCATACTGCTAAAGCAGAGGCGGGTGCGCGTCCGAAACGCGCCTGTCGTGCAATAATAATCTACCCGAAGAGGAATGGTCTCTCGCACGATGCATGCAAATAATGCAAACTTGCCAAACAGCATCCGACGTCACCGTCCATAGTGATCATTACTCATCATCGTCTACTGCTGAAGTTGGTTCCTGCACTCGCGTTCATCTTCAGATTTCTCTTACGACCTATTAACAGTCGCCCAAAATGAGTGCGGATCGGAGATCAACGCCTCCTCCCAGTTCCGTCCATGGTGGCCCCTCTCGGGGAGCCCTGACACCCGAACAGTTGAAGAAAATCGTATGGCTTCTCCGCAGCAAGAGCTAAACCGGCCCATCTAACTCGGATGCATTTGCCAGGAGACGAACCGGCTGAAAGCGAAGGCGATTCGTGAACAAAGAGAAGCCGAGCAATCACGAGCAAACCGCTCGTCGAATCCCGTCTCCACGACGGGTGTCAAGCGCTCCTACAACTCGATGACAGCCTCCGACACCCCCGCCACTGTGCGCGACGCAACATCGGCCCCCCGTCCGCTCGATGCAATCAAACCGGCCCGAAATTTTGCCAAATATGTCGACTACGATTTCAGTAAGATGACGGATACGAAAGGAGGGTTCTTGACGGAGGAAGACGATCCATTCAACAAGGCTCTACACGTTCGGGATGGCAAGTCGGAACAGAAACCGGCGCACATGACGCAAAAGGAATGGGAGCGACAGCAATTGCTCACGTCGCTCCGTCAAAATCGGGCTGGGCCGTTTGAACCGGGACTAAGCGTTCTGGATGATAAGAGCCAACAAAAAAAGTGTCGGGAATGCGGAAATCTGGAGATTGATTGGAAGTGGGAGGAAACCCTACGGTGCTGCGTCTGCAATCCCTGCAAGGAGAAGTATCCCGAAAAGTACAGTCTTTTGACCAAGACGGAGGCCAAGGAGGATTATCTCCTGACGGATCGTACGTGTTCGACGCTCGCAGGGACTACATTCTGCTGGATGCTAATGACCTGCCTTAGCTGAACTTAGAGATGAAGAACTTCTGCCTCACCTGGAACGACCAAACCCCCACAAGTCGACATGGAATAACATGATGCTCTATCTACGCTACCAGGTGGAGGAATACGCTTTCTCCGAAAAGAAGTGGGGTTCCCCCGAAGCCCTGGACGCGGAATTCGAACGCCGAGAGGGCGAGAAGAAGCGAAGACGCGAAGCGAAATTCAAGACCAAACTCAATGATTTGAAGAAACGAACGCGGGTGGATGCCTATCGACGGAGCCGCCAAGGCGTTGCTGGCGGGAACTTTGGTGATGATCTCGGAAATGGTGGAAGACACGTCCATCAATGGGGGAGGTCCACTGAGAATCCAGACACGGGTATTAGTGTGAAGAAATGTGTGGATTGTGGAATGGAGGTCGAAGAGTTGGAGTTCTGAGCTCTGCTGTATAGCTGCAGTGGGCATGAAGATATACGGCAACGATGGGGCGGGAGAATGCAAATCAGTGCCTTCGTCCCAGTAATGCCACCCTCAGTATGGATGGGTCACTTCTCACGGTTGATACCGGTGCCATATGGGAGCTATGTGGCGGAGCTACCTTGTTGATACATATACCTCGCCCAGGAGCGGAGGGAGTCTGGCCCGATGCCTTAGGGCTTTGGAAGGGTCTACGGAATACTACCTACGTTCTTGGCTAGGTGGCTGGAGTGCTGGAAGCCCCGTCCTTGCACCCGTTCCCTGTCACCCCACGGGTCTAGCCATTGCCCGGAGATTGCTTGGAGGCAGGAGATCCTGCATTCGAACGGAGTACTCTGGAAGAGCGAAACCGTTGACGGAGAGGCTCCAGATGGGCCGCCAACGGCAAAGCGTAGGGAAGCCGCATTGTTGTTGAGGGCGTCCGTACGAAAGCTGGGGACAGGTGTCAAATTCTGTGATATGGCTGTTCTCACCTATGCGGTTGGCAGAGAAGAAGAGACTGAAGTACGGGCCCGCGACAGCAGGACCCATCTGGAATAGACCTCACATGATCCCTCTCCTCTCCTAGTCCGTCCATTGTGGTGTCCACCAACCGCCAGGAAGGGCGAACTGCGCGATCAGATTGTCAAGGTAGTCGTCCAACCCGTAACGAGCACTATGCTCTGAAATTAGACCGGCGATTTCTTCCCGCCCTCGCCCTTCTTGCTGCGCATACGCAAGCAGCGATTGGCCAGTGCGATCAACAGTACCAGTAACGATATGAGCTTCGCCGCATCAATGTCATAGATTATCATCGCGACAACCAACTTCGGAGCCTCAGGCTCCAGCATCATTGTGAAAGTCGGTGCCTGGCAGAATGCACCATCTACGGTAGGCGGCCTGGGTCAAGTTGATCTCACATGATAATGATAAGATAAGAGCATGATAAGCGCATGATAGTAAACTGCCCCAAGCCCCAAGCTCCAAGCTCCAAGTTCCAGCCTCCTCCATTCTTCCCCTTCTCCCTTGAGAACTCCGCCTGTTGCTGCCCTTTGCTCTCATCTTTCACAACTGACTACTGACTGTCCTCCGCCATGCGAATACCATCCGATATTCTTCTGCCGTCCCTTTTCCTCGGCCTCGGCCAGGATAACCAGGTTCCCTTGTCTCCGTCCGCCCCCCAAGTCCCCACCGCCGCCAAGGAGCTCGTGAGTTCTGAAGCGCTCCAGAGCCACGTCGATTCCAACAACCTCCTGAAGAGAGCGGAAGCCTTATATAAGATCGCTGAGCTGGGCAATGATGAGTACAATCACCCGACCCGAGTAATCGGAAGCAAGGGCCATCTGGGGACGATCGACTACATCTATTCCACCATCACCGATCTCGGAGACTACTATTCCGTGACAAACCAGTCATTTCCCGCCGTGTCGGGGAACGTATTCGAGTCCCGTCTCGTCCTCGGCCATGAAGTCCCGAAATCCGCAACTCCGATGGGATTGACCCCGGCCACCACGGACAAACAGCCGGTATACGGGTCGTTGATTGCAGTGTCAAATGACGGGTGCGAGGCGACCGACTATCCGTCGTCCTTGGCTGGTGGAATTGCATTCATCCGCCGTGGCACCTGTCCATTTGGTACCAAGTCCGATCTTGCAGGGAAAGCGGGGGCCATCGCGGCGGTCGTATACAATAACGAAAAAGGGGACCTCAGTGGTACACTCGGCACTCCCACCCCGGACCACGTAGCCACGTGGGGCCTCTCTGATACCGACGCGGCTCCTTTCCTAAAGCAGCTGAAAGATGGTGAAAAGGTGGATGGCATCGCCTACATGGACGCTGTAGTCGACACCATCATCACCACCAATATCATCGCGCAGACCACTGATGGGGACCCCGACAATTGCGTGATGCTTGGGGCGCACAGTGACAGTGTCGCTGAAGGCCCTGGTATCAACGACGATGGATCTGGTAGTCTGACCCTCCTGGAGCTTGCGACCGCCCTCTCTCATTACCGCGTCAACAATTGCGTTCGTTTCGCCTGGTGGGCTGGAGAGGAGGAAGGCTTGCTTGGGTCCGACTACTACGTTTCCGTCTTGACACCAGAGCAGTCGAAAGTCATTCGACTATTCATGGATTACGACATGTTGGCGTCTCCAAACTACGCGTTCCAGGTCTACAATGCCACCAATGCAGTGAACCCGACTGGATCAGAGGAGCTCCGGGATCTCTACACCGATTTCTACGAACGACATGGTCTAAACTTTACCTACATTCCGTTCGACGGACGTAGTGATTATGATGCATTCATCCGACACGGCATCCCGGGTGGTGGGATTGCTACAGGTGCCGAGGGAGTGAAGACACAGGCAGAGCAAGAGATGTTTGGCGGAACTGCAGGGGAGTGGTATGATCCGTGTTATCACCAGATCTGTGATACAGTGGCCAACGTTAACCTCACGGCGTGGGAATGGAACACTAAGGTGAGAACTGAATTCCCGGCTGCAGTACATGGTGCTAACTGATGTCCTTCACATGACAGCTTGTTGCTCACTCGATTGCAACGTATGCCAGGTCGTTCGATGGATTCCCGGAGCGAGAGGAATTATCTGTCAAGGACATTCCTTCTCCGGATTGGAAGTACCATGGCCACCGCCTGCAGCTTTAGTAGGGTACAGGAGATTTTGACCCCTGAGGGTACTTCGGATTAACTCTCTCCTAGGTGTCTCCTGTGTCTTATCGCTTTATTGGCCATATATGACTTGTGGTCTGTTGAGAGTTTCAGTTGGCCAAGAAATTTTCCTTTGACTTAGTGATATTTTCTCTGGGCACATTAGTTTTTCTTATTCAAGCGCTGCATGATGCATCTTTCGGTCCTCTTATCTACATAAGTTATGACATGCCACAGTAGACGTTTTGTGGTTTATGTTGTATGAGTACAATAGATTGTTCTAGTAGTCCTGGACCTGTCCACGCTCGATGATAGATGAAGATGACCCTTCACCAAACATCAAACACGGAAGGAATGGCATCCAAACCGGACTCCCATCGAGATACAAACCAAGATAGATCCTGTAATCCAGCAATGATGAACAAACATCTATTCAGTGGCGGCGGTTGAGCTTCTTCACTTCTTTGGCATGCTTATAGACAAGCTCCTTTGCCTCGGGACTGATGGGCACTTGTCAGTATATCATGAGGTCTGGGTTGATTAACTGGGGACTAACTCATCGAGATAGATTGTGAATCCATCATTGTGATTCCGTCCATAGGAGTATCCCGAGTAACCGTATTGCCAGTACATATCCGACATTTTCTCGCTGACGCTGATCTGTTGCCAGCCTCCGACGGCCTCGAGGCGCGTGATATTAGAGACGGTTCCGAGGTACTCAAGACGAGCTTCGGGGGTCAACCAGCCTATGTGTTCCTGTTAGTTCCGGTCATGATAACAGCGAGGGTCTTTGTCTCGTACCGTATTCTTCATGGACAACCGGTTTCCGGCCCGTTCTCATCGCGGCAGCGTGATCACGGATCCATTGGTTTGTCCACGACACCGTCTTGCTCCACCAGTCAGGATACGAGTGGAAGACGCCGAAGTCGATGTTGGGCAAGGCCAATTCGTTGTCAAAGTCTCCTCCATCCGCGCCATTATACGCCCAGTCGTCAGACTCAATGTTGAACCCGCCTTCACCACCCCATGTCACCAGATGATGGGGGTCGAGTTTCTTGATATACGTGCTCATCTCATCAATCCAGGCCGTGAGGACTTCCGGGTTGCAACCGTCTGCACTCCGGGGCAAGTTGCGCACCCCGTCAGCTCCGCAGCGAGGCTCGTTGGCCAGCTCCCAGGCCATGATGGCTGGCGAGTCGCGGTAGCGAGTCACCATCTCCTTTACGTACCTCTTGTATGCTTTCTTGATCGCTGGAAGACGGTAGAACTAGGCTGCTGTCAGGTGGCTATCCGGGGCGTTTACGGCAAGTGGCGAGGGCACTTACATCGTCATGATACTGGCCACCCAAGTTGATGGTGTATACATCCATGCCGCCATAGTCAGCCCAGTTATTCGTGAGAGCAACGACCAATTTCATGCCGGTATTTTTCGCAGCATTCACAACCTTGTCGAATGGCTCCAGGTCGATGGTCGATGTGCCGTTAGCCCAGCGTTGGAAGACAACTTCCGTTGTTCCTGCTCCTTCTCCACCATAAGCTGGTAGGCCGCCTTCGATATAAGTGGCGTTCTTGTCATTGAACCCCCAGGTACGGAAGACAGTCAGTCCCGCCTGTTTGGCAGCAGCAAGACCCAGCTCGACATCGGTTTGGTTCTGTGTAAAGGCGTCAGTCATAAGTACCTCTCGATAGTACTGCAGGGGCTCCATTTCCTCACATCGTTGAATGGAAAGTAATACGCATTGCTGCCGGCGAAGTAGAAATCCTTCCCGTCCAGCTGAAACTTCATTCCTGAGGTTGTCACGAAGCCTCTCGGGACATGTTTGCGGCCACTCACGCTACCAGCCAGGAGAGCCAGAGATAAGACCTTTTCGAAATTGATGAGCATCTTGAATCTCTGCTATCTAATCACAACGATCAGGATGTACATCTATGAGATATCCGACACGTTTTGCGGAATATATCGTTTCCAAAACAATACTAGACCTCATCTCATACGGGGAGACTCCGTCTTGGCCCCTGGGGTTTAATAAATGAACGTTCCTCCAGCTTTCCGAGGAGCTTTGGGCAGAAGCTCCCTTTGGCATAGTTCGGCATCATGTTTTGCACACAAACGCTTATAGTGAGCCGATTCTGGTGAATATTGGCCGTTTGAGGCATTAAGGATCCCCAGATGTCTGCCGAGACCGGGGGTATGGGGATCTCGACGGCTTATTCCCATTTCGACAAGGAGAGAAGTTGCGCAACAATCGCCAAGCCGGCCAATATCTCCGTCTCCTTTTGGATCAACCGCCCCATGGGTATTTGTGTGTATCATATTAACAGCAGCTAATTTGTAGATCCCCCTGAAGCTAGCAGTATGGAGGAGCAAGAGATGATACAAGTTTCCACGTCAAACAAGATACATGAAGGCAGGAGTTGTGCACGTTATCTGAATGGAATAAGTTCCTGCATGAAAACCCACTGATTGTCTGGGTGCATCTCGGTCAATTCCATCATATCCTGATAGGCCATTCCTTGAACACAAGCAGCATATATTTCCTTAATCTGCCAATGCTATATGGTTGTATGTTACGGAAGTATAAGGTAGACGGTTTCATCTAGAATGGCCCACCCACCATATACATGGGTGAGGCAAACGAGCTGACAACACGTCTCTGATTCTTGCCTTCGTACAGTCACACCCACATTACTGTATGCATATAACCACATAGGGGAGGTTACGTGCAATCGGTATATGCACCCAGCACTTCGTGCTCTACAAACCCGCCAGGGGACGATGTGCAATCTGAATATCTCACTAAAGAACAGCGCCAGACGGTGCAACCTGCCAAGAGGTCTTGAACTACGACAATCTATCCTAACGCCTTCCGGCAAACAGTCCAAGTACAATATGCGAATCCTCAAGCCGTCTTGAAGTTCACCGGCCCAGCCCATAGCCTCAATCTCTTCCCCACGACCTGCAGCAAGATGATGATCAAAAAGGCAAACACCACGATGCCGGTCATAGTGCCCATCTGGCGTTTCGCTCCCTGACGATCGGCCCAAGTGACCATAAAGTAGGAAACAATGAACCCTCCAGTGGTTCTCCCCAGGTTCAGCCAAGCCGCAACTTCGCCGCTGGCTTCCGGGTAGCAATCCAGGACATATGCATTGATGCCGACAGTCACGATCATGATTCCAAAAACGTAGAGCCCCCAGGCAAGCGCCGTCAGCATGTAATGGTACCCGTTCTCGAGAGCGAATCCAAGTAGAATCAGACCGGCAATCATGAATGGGAGAGCAAAGGACATTGCGAACAGACGGAACTCGGGTTCGAAGCGTCCTTTGTTGCGGCGGGCGGCGACATTCGCGACGAAGTCATGGAGCCAGTGTCCGATCACTTCACCGAGAAGAGCGGCGACGACTGGAGTGAAGTAGAAGAAGCCTGGTGCAGCGCATTAGATATCATCCAATACGACGGGGGAGAAAGTAGAGGGCTACCAATCTGCTTCGGCCCAAAGCCGTACAATGGACCGACAAACATCGACAATGTTGTGTTGATTCCGACCACCCAGGCGAATGTCAGCATGTAATACAAGGTTGCGAGGAACACGACCGGCTTGATGATGAGGAGTAGCGGGCGTTTCGCGGCATCCCAGGCACTGTTCTTGATATAATGGGTCTGATACTGCTGGATGCCGAGCATTCTTTTCCATCGCGGGCCGTTGGGTACCAGATCAGGTTGTCTCGTCTTACGGTCGTAGTAGGTTTCGTCGACGAAGAGAATAATCGCCATCAAGCACAACCCGGTCTCGATACTGTACACACCAAAGGCCCACTGCCATTTCTGAGTGTTGATGATGAAGGCGGCGAGTAGCGGCCCAAGGTACGGCGACAGAACGATGAAGCCACTCCAGATGTTGATCTTCCTGGCTTGCTCGTGGAAGTAGAACATATCCTTGATGAACATCAGACCGCCCTACCATAGTTAGCATTGGGTATAGAATGAAGTCGGCATGACTCACCCCTTGAGCAACCGTGGAGAAGAAACCGTTCAAGATGCGCGCAGCCTATCCATGTCAGATATCACACCCAGCGCTTTCCGATGGACATACCATGAAGGACTCAAAAGACTGAGCTGCAGCACACCATACGGCAGTGCCTACTGCGAGGAGCGCGAACCAGAACAACACAGGGAATCGGCCAAAATAAGCGGCGAGAGCAACCACGAAAATCCCGCCAGCACCCAGCATAAACACATTCCCAACTTGCGAATGGTTTACATGGTCCTGAGTCATATTCCATTCACTAGAGGATGTTAGCAGATTCTCACCTCAGGAGCAGGGAAGGGCCCTACGCGGCCTGGGGAATGAGCGTGACGGCGCCCGTCGCACTGCCATAGTCCGGTAGAAACGAGGTGGCCGATATGATGATGAGAATCAGGTGCTTCTTGAACGGGGACCAGTTAAGAGGGTCGTTGGGCGAGTCGCTCGGCTGTGGAATGAGGACCGTCTTTCCGTCTGCCGTGGTCTTCAGGTCCTGGTCCTGTAGGACAGACGTATCCAACACATAACCCTCACGTTCCCCCAGTTGCTCCAGATCAACGGTCGGGGTTTTCTTCTCTCCATCAGATCCCGCCTCGAGGCGTGGGGAGGGAGACTGCTCAACGTCCATAACGCCAGATGCAGGGAATGGCAGCGACACGGGAAGAGAAAGCTCTTATCGGGCTGATGTCGGAGAAATGCAAATCCAATCGTGCGAATGGACTCTCCTCGTGTTTAATAAGAAAAATTCTCCACGCGATACCGGTAGCTGGGGCCTTTTTGGCTAAGATAGTCCGTCTCACCGGGCTAGCGACCCCTTGGCGTCTTAGCAGAAATTAAGAAATGCCAACGAACAGGATCGTTTGGGTCTTCTCCCCGTCTTTGCGAGCCGGGGTTAGGGCTAAAGACCGGGGGAATGGGTTAGCGGGCTTCAGGATGGCAATTATTACTGCTTTCATGCTGGTCTGCCCGTTACCTTCGTGAGGGGAACACACGAGGCTCGGGCTTTGTCAGATGTTATTAATGATGGATTACCTGCGTTGGGATATCCCCGGAGCATGGTCTAGCCAATGGAAGAGTATGATTTACGGGATTTTCTGGGGTAGTTTGCATTGCATGCTGTGAATTGAGGCTAAAGAAGAACTCCGGAGGAGAGCGAACGTGTCCCATGCGAAGGACAACATGCAAGCGCAGCAGAGACAAGCCAACCGGATAACACCCTCTTACAAGGCCAAAATTTTGTCGGCAGCGTGCTCCGAAACAGTGACGATATAGGCCGAAGGGTTGGTCGTCACCATGCCGGGGAAAATGCTAGCGTCGACCACAAACAGATTGTCCATCCCATACACTTTCGTGTTGAGGTCAACCACCGAAGTACCCCCGTTGCGACCATCGTCCGTGCCCAGCTTACAGGTGCCCATCCAGTGGTTGGCGCGTCGCGTTGAGGCAGTAATTGGCAACTGTGACCGTTAGCGTGGGAAAAGCTCACAGGAGTGGGATCCGTACATCGTTAACAAAGTCAGCGATGGATACATTGCTGGCCGGGTAGGCCCATGTCACGTTGCTGCGGCTCAGTCTAGCTTTGAGGTTCTCAATGCCCTTGATGACAGCATCGACGTCGGCTTGATCACGAAGCCACGGCAGTGTCGACACCGTAGTGTCCAAGCTGGCACTAAGGGTCATTCGGCCACGCGAGCTCATACCGCGGCCCAGGTATTGACTGACAGTGATTGCATCTAGTCATGTTAGTATTATTCCATCCAGGACGCTGGGTATCTTACGTCCGTCGGGGATATCGTGGGACCCTTCCATGCGTGCGGTCCACTGCAACTGCCGGGTGACGCCGTCAGAGCCGGTGACCTCGTCGAAGAAACTACACAATCAGCGGGAGGTTCATAATGGCGAAGGACGTACTCACATAGGGCCGATATTTGGCGCGGATTGGGCGAGGATTCCGGCGCGGTTGTCTGCACAGACGTGTTAATATTGCCTAAATTTCTGGTGATACAACATACTCAGATAGCTTTGGGCATCGGTCTCAATCGGCGAATCCCACGCCGCGTAAAAGTCGTAGAAGACGACATCGGGATGCGTAAAGACCAGGTCAGTGTTAGTGTGGTCGATGAGATTCTCGCCCACAGGAAGCTCGATCCACTGCGATTCTTCAATCATCGTCTCCCCGTCGGAGGAGTTCTGCACAACCGTCAACTGGTCCTTCGGGCCAATTCCACCTATATCCCTGTTAGCTGGGCACTGCAGATAGAGAAAAGGGAGCTTATACTTCGCATAAGGATTTTGGCGCTGCCAAATGTCCCTGCAGAGAGCACGACCCGGCCACTGTCCGTCAAATTGACAGTTCCTCCATATCCTCCATCAAGCGTAGCCTCAACCTCAACTCCCGTCACCTTGCTTCCACTGCGGACCACTCGCTTGACCGTGGTGTTCAACCACAGATCAAAGTTGTCTCTTCCACTGGCCGAAACAAGATACGTTGCAAGCGGACCACCTCGCTCTCCGTGAGAAAACATGTACGGGGTATGGCCTAGAGTGTGGTTCTTCTGGTCAGGGTTGTCGTTGAGGCTCAGGGAGCGATACCCTCCCGCAAGCAAGGCGTTCGACAGAACATTGGCCCCCTGTTGCAGATACAGGCGGCTGTCCGTGGATGGGGTGATAGTGCCTGGAATTCGCGAAAACACCCGGTTTGTGGCCGCCAGCATGTCTCCCGACTGCCATCCCGAGGGGAAATTCACGTCCCAGTCGAGTGGGTAAGGCTGCCTTGTCAATACTACTGGCCGTCTGCAGGCAGAATATGGGATGGGAACTTACTCTCCACCAGAGTCCCGCGTTGACGGCGGTGCCGCCACCGAGAACGCATCCGGCCATCTGGTCAACACCATCACACGCAATCCCCGTGGAGTCATGCCAGATCTGGTTGCACAGGCCTGGGACATCAAAGCGAGTCAGATTGGTGCCGTCCAGCCAGGCGGGCTTCATTGTTCCGCCCCATCGTCCCGATGAAGGGGGACCCTTCTCGATCAGCAGCACCTTATGGCCGGCTTCACTCAGTCGATCAGCGAGCGGGAGTCCACCTGCGCCTCCGCCAACAATGATGTAATCATATGCCGCACCGTCAGGGACAGGAACAGGCTCGGGACCAGAGCCCCCACCGCCATCGCCGGAGCAGTCTCCGGGGACGGTCTTGTTGGCCAAAGCGGTCCATTCCTCATACGATGCGCTGGCGGCATTCTTGTCCAGAGTCGCCACCCAGATCGACCCGCTATCATGCTGCACCAGAGAAATGTCATCGGGGCAAGAAGGGTTGGTCGGGCTCTCCGTAGCCTGCGCCCAACCCAAGACCAACCGACCCGCGCTGGTGCTTGCAGAGCCTGTCTGTCCGTTATGATTCCACGACAAACAGCCTTCACATCGGAACAGGAGGGTGAAGTGCGTGGAGTTCACAGTCGAGCTGATCTGGGTAACCGTGGCATTCCCGGCGTAAACGTCTGGCATGACATAACCCGAGGCAAATCGGAGAGAGGTTAAGACGGTGTCCTCATAAGGATACGCCATGAAAAGCAAGTTGCTCGTCATGCTACCACCCAGGGACAGACCGCACCATCCGCCCGCGGATGCATCAAGGGCACATTCCTATGCAAGGTTAGACCGGGTCAGTCACTTGGGGAGGGATCCTACCAGATAGCCGATGAACTCGGTGGCATCAGTCGTCAATGCGTCGCTGGGCAGGGCAACACCAAAGGTCATACCCCCCGTCACAGTGCCGGCTGGGATCTTCCATGTATCAAACACGATGCCAGTGTCGGGATCTGTATACACCACCGGGGTACCGGACTGTCCCAGACATGGCTGCAACACTGATCTGAAGATTAGCCAGCGGGTTCTACTATGGTATGATGTATGGCAATTTACCAGTGCTGGCCGCCAAAAGCGTGCCAAACAGACGAACGAAGAGACCCATCGCGAATCGAACAAAATCCCGCGATGAGCAACAAGAAACAGATCGACCCGGGAGGATTCAGCCAGAAGATATATGCTCGCGGCCGTCGAAATGTCCGGGGGCCAACCTCTGCAATGGACGGCATGACGGGCCGCCTGGGCACCTACTTCCAGGATCGCTGCATGCATGGCTGTCGGAAATTAGATGATTCTTCTGGGCAGGGATAAGTGGAGAAAGGAGAAATTCGAGTCCGTCAAGTTTGCAGAGCCCTGCCTAGCTGGAGACGGTGTCTTGAGGAGTCCGATCCCTGCATCGTGTTCTCAGGGATCGCACCATTGTCACAGGTTCATGTCTCCGCGTCTCGATTTAGACACGGTGATCATCCGTCCCTACGGCACCACGGAGGGCTGAGGGTTGGACTTCATCTCCCAGCATGATAACAACGTCATGTAGCGTGGCTGACCGGGTCTCGGCGCTGGACAGATGGAACATCTCCAGTCTCATGATCCATTCAAGCTTCCACGGCTCATCTATATCCAACGCCGCTGGTATGATTCGTCCAATTGCACCCACTAACTAACTGCTTGTGGATGATAGTAGACCTTGGCATACTTGCATTTATCCCCTTCCCCCCGTCAAACTTGATAGAGGCTTGGAATACTTCCGGCTTGTCGGCCACGTGAGCCCCGCTATGTCTTCATTCTTCAGCCGGCAGTTAAGGTCCCAAGATGCCTGCCTGGACAGGGGTAGTATCCTGGCCATGGACCCGGATGGGTAAAGGCCAGCTAAGACGGACGGTGTCCTTCTGGCTAATTTTCGGAATCACTGTCGGGCTCACATGGTTCAATCCTCTCTGGTGCAAGATGAGCCAACAATACCTCGTTCTAATGTCCGTTTCATCCACTGCTAACCGTTCAGGGATCCTCGGAAGTACTCCGTACATCGAACTATTGAGGGTTAAGGGAGTCCTACCCACTTTGCAGGTATCGGTGGCTTGTCCTCTGCCCACTAGTCTCGGATAAATCAGAGGTCCAAGTAGTCAATTCCTACGTCGCAGTGAGTGACCCGCCACTTTGTGACAATCAAGTCGATAGCGTCCAAGGGTGAATGTATCCACCAGTCGACGGCCTTCTATTTGTAACTCTGCTCGATACCGCATTGGGAGCAGTAATCAACCCTGGTCCTGGCTTGCAAACATTGCGGCGACGCTGCGACACTTTCGCCCGGCGTAACTACCATCTTGCCAGGAGAATTAAGTAGCCGTTCGTGATGATTCCCGTCCTGACTACTCTCTTGGGGACAGATTGACTCTTCCCTTATCTATCTTGGCGTCCGCCGGCTGGCTCCGATCGCGTGCGGGGATCTTCGGAGATCTCCATGAATCATGGCACATATAACTTTGGTTTATCTCTGAGATGGACATGGAACGAGAGATACAAAATACAGACGCAAGTCCACGATCGAACGAAATGCTTCCTCTAAGCGACCGACAGTTGGCCGACGGGGCCGAAGCGTGCCTCAATCTCCAACGCACGGCGCAGGATCTCCACCAGAAAAGACCGTTCACGGCGCTTCTCTTAGGCCCTGATAACACCACCGTGGTCATGTCATCCCTCAGCCTGTCTCACGTGAGACACGCCGAGTGCGAGCTGGCACGTAACGCGGCGGACAATTTCGCCCCCGAGTACCTGGCCCGGTCCACCTTGGTGTCGACCTGGGAACCGTGTGCCATGTGCGCCGGAACTATCTACTGGGCCAACATCGGCCGGCTGGTGTACCTCGCGTCGGAAAAGGAGCTGCAGAAAGTGGTCGGCGACGGCAATCCGGAGAACCTGACGCTCGACTTGCCCTGTCGCACCGTGTTTGACCGGGGCCAACGCAAGGTGGAGGTCATTGGGCCTGTTGCAGGCTGGGAGGCAAAGGTCGTGGAAGATGCCCGGCGCTATTGGGGTGGTCCTTGAGATGCATAAGGTCGCATGGATGGGGTTTGCTCTCTGCCGTGGACATTCGTATCTTATGCAGCATAAACGTCAGACCTCTCACCGGGGAGATACAGAAAATGAGAAGAAACCCGAAGATTATCCACGCTCGTCTCCAATAGTAAAGTACGCCACCGACCCTCTTCTCCTCTCCGTGGGGAATCTTGTTCTCCGGTTGGCATTAGGGCTCGAGGAAGCCGGTGGGCCGGAAGCGCACGGCAGGCGAGTTTTGGCAGGCAGAAAGCTTGTGCAAAGCTTCGGTAGGCGACGGTGGGTCAGTCGGTCAGTGGGGATCCCCCAAATAATGACGATGAAAACATATCTAGCTGCTCTTATTGGAACATGGCTGTGGAGATGAAGCCTGTGGAGAGAAAGCAGGCGAGCCGACTCCCCGCTCACCGAGCCCATGCCCCGACTCTCGACGCGAGGCCGTCTTTTAAGATGCTGACTCCGTGCAATTTTCTTTCTTGACAAGAAACACAGTCGCATCCGGACAGGAAGATGGCGGCGGAGGATCATCATATCGACAGTCCTCGGGATGTCACTTTGGAGCACAAGATGTCCGATGCGTACCGCGAGGATCTCTCCCAGGTGGTCTCTGAGGAAGAAGCATTGGCTCGCGCGCGACGTGCCCCCGAAGAGGCGCTCCCACTGTGTATCGTCTTTGGTACCGGGGATCCCGACAATCCCCGCTGCTGGGCGAGATGGCGGAAATGGTACATCACTTACGTGGTCAGCATGTTGAATGTAGTGACGTACGTGGAGCTTCTCAGATGTTTGTATTGTCTCGGACGCTGACATGTATCCAGCTGTCTATGCGCAGGAAGCATTTCGTCGGGTGCCACTCAGATCGCCGAGGAATTTGGCGTATCTAGTGAAGTCACGACGCTGTGCTTGTCCATGTACGTCCTCGGGTTTGCCATCGGACCGGTATGTTGGACTTGCAAACAAGAATCCACAGCAGGATATGGTCTAATGCATCATGACCGCAGGTTCTTCTCGCCCCCCTCTCGGAGTATTTCGGTAGACAGCCGGTATACATCATCTCGTGGTTCATTCTCTTCATTTTCCAACTGCCCATTGCCCTCGCGCCGAACATCGGGACCATCATCGTCTGTCGATTGATCGGTGGGTTCGCTGGAGGAGCGCCCTTGACCAACACTGGCGGAACCATTTCAGACGTCTGGTACGTGTTTACGCTCAAACAGCGCCTCGAGGATCAGCAAAGCTAATGTACGGCAGGGCGCGGAATGAAAGCGGAGGGGCGATGGCTGTGTATGGGCTGAGTAGCACCTTTGGACCGCCTATGGCGCTGGTCATCAGCGGGTATATTGGTCTGAATCTCGGTTGGCGGTGGATTTTCTGGGTTCTGATGGCCATCACGGGGGGCTTTTGGATCCTCATCATTGTGACAATCCCCGAAACACGCCACTCGATCATCCTGCAACGCAAGGTGAAACGAGTCCGAAAGCAAATGCAGTCAGAAGGCCTAAAGTCGGCCGAATCCGCCCACGACGTGAACGCCGGAAGCCGCAAGGGCTTGCATCAATTATTTGCCATTACCCTCACGCGTCCCATCCGGTTTCTCTTCACCGAGCCGATTACCCTGTTCTCGGCGATCTACAACGGTTTCGTGTACGGCCTGGTGTACCTGTTCAATGAAGCCTTTCCGCTTGTTTTTGGTCCTGGAAAGGGCCACGGCTTCAATGTCGGCCAGCAAGGGCTGACGTTCCTGGGGTTGGCCATCGGCCCGGTGATTGCGTTCTGTTTCTATCCGCTCCAGGAGCGTTACTATCTGCGTAGGGTCGCGGAGAACGGCGGAAAGGGGGTTCCAGAAGCCCGCATGTGGATGGCGCGCGGCGGCGCGATGTTGCTTCCCATCTCGCTGTTCTGGTTCGCCTGGACGAGCTATCGCTCTGTGCATTGGATTGTGCCCATCATTGCGTCGGCATTCTTCGGCGCGGGCATCTATATCGTCATCCTGAGCATCCTCAACTATGTGGTCGACAGCTATCAAACATACTCTGCGTCTGCGCTGGCCGGAGTCATTCTCTGCCGCAATCTTGTTGGCGCAGGGTTTCCTCTGTTCGCCACACAGATGTATGAGCGACTGGGATATGAGTGGGCGTCGAGTTTGCTCGGTTTCATCGCGATTCTGTTGGTTCCCATTCCGTTTGTCTTTTTCTATATGGGACGAGGAATCCGCCTGCGCAGTCCGTGGGCTCGGGAGCATTTCGACCAGAGTGAGGATGATCCTCACTAATGTTGCTTGATTCGTCTAGTTTAGGGTACTATTAAATAGAGTAAAGGTTAGAACGAAACTAGACATATGTACTGGAGGTCAATCAACGGTCTCAATGTATATATTATTTGGCTCGGTTCAGATTCAAATCCCTTCTGCTGGTCTTCGACCAGTTTTCCGCAATTCAATTGATCCCATCGAAGTGAACACAATTTATCCAGGAGTCCCATCTGCTAATTTCGCCTTACGAAGTGCGTGGAGTAATAGATTGCATAACCCAGTCCTTCTACATTGACCCGATCTTAGGTGACTGTGTCGCCACAGCCTCGCCAGATTTATGTGGACGTCCTGAGAAGTACAGATTCGCATGAGCGTGGAATGAATCTATCTTCCGGGCTTCTGCAAAATATTCATTACAAAATAGTATCTGTACGGATTTCATCTGGTGCTACCATGCTAGGCTCTCTTGCGGTCCTGAGATCGCCGTCACTGCACAGTTGATCAGCCTTCCGGTACCTCCCCACAGGGGCGTCCTTACTCTCTTGCAGTCCTTTTAACGCCCCACCGCGAGTTTGGGCGTTCTCCATTGCCATAGATCGAAGGATGCTATGAGACTGGAGAGCTAATAATTTTTATTCAAGGATTCGTTTAGGGTCGGTTAATCCGATGAGTTGTGTTGAGTGGAGTTACGTGGCTAGTGGCATGCGTGTGACCGGGCTGTTTTACATGGTTCAATGCCCTGCATGCCTGAAATTGTCCTATATTATAATAATAATTAAATATCTTCTATATAAATAGAATATCTAAATTCAAATATAGTACTTTAAAATACAGCTGAAACTGGATAAGCCGCCTTTGGCGAGGCCTAGATGCTATAAGTATAAACACCCTCCTGCTCTTGCTTCCAGTTTTAAAACTTGCTCTTTATCACTAGATCCAATACAACACACTACTACACCTCTCGAGAACCTCTAGGCAGGACACCCCTCGAAATGCCCCGCGATGCAGACTTCCTCAGCCCACGCGAGCTGCTAGTAAATGATGGGTTTGTTTGCAAGCTTGCGTCCTTTCGGAAACTGGGGGATCTCTGCATCAGGAATCAGAATCTGCCCGATTCTGACGACAGCCTGATGCAACAAGCTGGCTTTGAAGAGAAAGCCTATGGCGTGGTGGTATGTCCCTTTCTTTCTGAGACATCATTCATTTACTTGCGCGTTATCTAGATTCCACGGACAAAAGGCTCTCCGCTCCCCTTCCTGGCTAACAACTTGTCAGCTTTACTCTTACCTGCAGCCGATCCCTATTCAATTCCAGACGGTAATTTACATGAATATATTCTCCTCTCAATCCATATTCCACGCTGTCCCCTCCCTCCGTCCCTCACTAACGGTAGACAGGTCCGGCAAGTCGCTAATAACCTCAATGTACGCTGAAAAATTGCATCACTGCTGTTGTTCAATGGGGCAGCTCAGCCCCCAAACGTGCTTCCATTGTACAAACTGACAATCACACGTCTTTGTGGCTGACAGGGAGAGTACAACTATACCGACACTGTGTGCAGCACCGCCTTGAAACTTTGTTCTGCCGCGCCGGATGGTTACGGTACGTTCAGTTTTGTGTCTCCGCCCCAAGGGACAATTGAAACTTACCCATGCTGGGAAAATCAGACAAGATATTCCAGGACATGGAGGCATTGAGGCAGGACCCCGACAACGACAGCCTTCGGGACAAGGTCCAGAACGAGATCAACGATCGAAAGTACGATATCGACCTCCTTAAACACCAGGCGGACGCCTGGAGCTCGAATCTCCGAGCTTACAGCCTGGACGCGGAGGATTGTGAAATCAAGGTGCATCAACTGGCTGCCCCTTTCCAGGGAACGACCTTGGCGGACATTTTGAAAGATGAGATATCCGATCACGAGGACCTCCAGATGGACCTTAATGCTCTGGATTGGACTAAGGTAGGTTTCAATCTCGACAGGTGGGCTGTAGTGGCTGGCTGGCTGTCTGCTTAGGATTGACTTCCAACCTAGAATCTGCTCGAGGGTTTTGCCATGATCGATGACTTGCAGGATGCACTGCAGGAGGTGCAGAAGATGGCTGGTATGTTCTGTCCAGGTGTTCGCATGTCCTGCGGGCATCGAGCCTCTCGTTAACCTGATAGCAGGAGGTGCAGGCCTTATTGCAGACGATATAGCCGTGCTGCTGAAGTACGTCGAGGATCACCTGGATCCGGATGATAACCCTCTAGATGGCCTGGTAGAAGCGACCCTTCTGCGAAAATGGAACAACCTGGAGAAAGACGGTATGTCAAGGGCCCGATGTACCAACTTTGTTTTCTGTTTGGGAAAAAGACTGCCTGATGCTGATTTGAATTGCCCAGTCAATGATTTCCTGGATGCATACAAAGAGTAAGATTTATTGGATAGGTCTTTCCAGTGCTTAGACACAAATGATATCGTTTGTGTAACCAGAAATCTTGACTTGGTCCACAGAGAACAGGATGGCAACGGTAGTGAGACGAGCACATGAAATCATAATGGGAAGTCCGGCCGGTAGAATGCGTCCCAGTGTAGCTCCAGTTTGTCCAGTGTACTCAAATCCAGGTCTTCGGGGTTTTCAAGTGTGAGCTTCCAGAGTGTGAAGGGCGGAGGTTGCGCGTGCTCGTGGTCATCGTACGTGGCTCGCTCCCTGTCACGGAGCCAAGCGCCCGACTCGTCAATCTCGTAGACGTAGCGGTTCTGTCGAAGCTTGCTGACGAAATGCCAGACCTTGGTTTCCTTCGTATCGGGGTCATACCCGAGATCCGAATAGGTCCCGGAGGTTTCGATGCGGAACCTGACAAGCGCGCGGCCATCGTGGACCGCGTCGGGCAGCGGTTTCACACCGATCAGGCGCGGCTCCAGCCCATTCAGCCGGTAGTGGAATCCCCCTGTGAAGGGGTATGCGTAGTTTTCCGGGCCGGGGTCGTAGTTGTCGCCTGGCATGGGCAATAGCGTGAACGTGGCACTATACCCTTGCTCACTGCTCTTCAGGCCGGCGATCACCGTCTCGGGAAATTTGGATGCTAACTACGAAGTGTTCTCGTTAGTTTGACTCGGATAGCCACCGAATAATTTAATGGCCAGGGCTCGTACCTCGTCCGAAAATGTGGTAGGAGTGTTAGCTGAATCGAAGATACGGATTAGCTGCGACCCTATAACCTCATTGAAAGGCAGTATAACTGGATGCTACCCACGCGTGTATCCGTTCGCATATTGAATATCTACATCTTGCATCGCACCCCGCAGATCTGCAATGCAGTTGGTTATATCGTCCACAGACATCTGTGAGTCCAGGATGACTGCAGGTTCTTTCAGGGTGTAGAATCGACAGGCATCGACCGCATATTGCAACTGAATGGCGAGCGTGGTCTGCAGCTGGAGGTATCGATCATAGAACTTCGCTTCGGCCTGAGCGTATGCATCTTTCTCTTCCTCGTAGTGGGCTAGCAGGTCGTCGATGGCCTCGATATCGCGGTTGGCTTGGAGCACCATGAGGGTGGCCTGGACATATTCCTGACCTTGCTTGACAGCCTCGGCCTGGGCCTGGGCCAATGCGCGGCCGTGAACCGCATGTTTGCGCAGGGTCAAGCGATACTCACTGGCTCCGTCGATCGCGGGATTCTGTTGCGAGACAGCCCATTGCATCTGTTGGTCCGAGTCTAACTCCCACTCATCCCAAGCGGCCAGACTCATGATCAAGCCGGCGTCAGCATCGGTCCCATCGGAGCCGGAGATATCGCCGCCCAAGGTCGGAAGGTCAATCTCATCATGATCTCCCAGACGGTCGATCTTGCCCACAGCAGAGACGACATCGGAAATGTGGGGATACAGCTTCCCCAATGCTTTGGTATATTCCCACAGCCCCTTGAAGGCTTTGGAGCCGAGGATGACATCCTCCGCAGCCCCTGCCGCTTCTTCGGCCTTCTCAACTTCATCGACGATTTTTTCGACTGCGCCTGGGTTGCCCGACCCCTTCCCGACGGCGTAGATTCCGGCCGCAAATTCTAAAGGCCGCGCGCACGCACATGTCAGTTCGACTATGGCCTCGTGACCGGGGTTCAATAGGAAGGACCAGGGAAGCCACTCACGGAAGACGGCACCAAGGATTGTGCAGATGGCCAGGAAGGTCTGCTTCCTTATCCACTCATCGAGACCGGTTTCGAACCGGTCTTTTGCATGTCTCAGGTCTTCTTCATCATCCCTGAGCAGCTTGTCGCAGGCGTCGACCGTAGCTGCTGCCGCGCGGTATTTATCCAAGGCCTGTGACTGCAGATCGAGTCTGGTTGACTGTTCGTGCTGCACGGTTGCCAGAAGGGTTTCCCCGGCCGCCTTGGCGTCATCGACTCGGTCTTCGGCGGCCTGGAACGCCTCGTATTGGCGCTGAAAATTCTCGGCGGCCTGTCGTTGGGACTCCAGCGTGACGACAAAACCGTCGAAGGTGAGGGTCGGAGCAAAGTAGGAGTCGGGACCGGTCATGGCATGGGCCGCCAATTGCTGACCCAGGGACACGGCTTGGGCCTGGGACAGCGCATGCGAGCCCGCGGTGGCCGCCGACTTGGCCACAAACGAGCAGATCGAGATGGCGACGGCGGGCGATGACCAGCAGACCGCGAGGGCGACGCGCAGCTCCGTGTCCAGGAAGGCTTGGTAGGCCGGGGTGCGGTCGTCCCCGTGTCGGTCGCTGTAAGAGACCTCCAGCCGGCCCTCGTCGAACTTGATCTCCGCTTGCAGGTGGCCGGAATCCACTCCCAGCTTCAACTCCGTGCGCTGATCGCCCTCGATCGAAACGCTGATCGGCTGATCGAGCACGGCGGCATAGATCACCATGACACATTTTTTGGCTCCACGCGTAGACATCTTGAGATGGACGGGCTGGTCGGCGGTGATCACCCGGGCATTGATTTCGAGGTCGGTCAATTCGTCGGCTGACATCTGGATCTCGGGCTCGGTCAATGCGAGGATATCGGTGTAGATCTCACAGTAGCCTGGGAGCTGCTGTAGGATGGGTGTTCCGTCCAAAAAGATCGAACGGTAAGTTGGTCCCTGCAATTTTTTAGGGCAGAATTGGAAGATTGAAGAGCGGTTCATACTATTGCGTTGTCTTCATCCTTGGACTCGTGGTTTGGGATGTCGTCCACCGGCTTCAGCTCGCTGAACTTCTGCCATTGCGCGGGAGTGTTGGGCTGTGTGTTGGTAGACATGCTGCTTCAATTAGATGAGAACCAGGCTTGTGTAGAAGCATTTGCTTTGTATATCGGAGAGGATCGGTTAACCCGGGTGATGTTCTTTTGTGTTCAAAGGTCTACATCGTGCTGCTGCTAGGAGGGTTACACTGCATGCAGTGCGTGATTTTTGTTTCCCTGCAACTCCCCCAACAGCCAGCTCTCTCTCGTGGGACAATCATGTCAGACTCACATCATATGTACAGTAAATACATCATGTCACATTCTATCCTTGATGTGAAACCGACCATATCCTGCATTTGCATGGTTCTGGCAAGGTCAAAACGCAATATGGCAGCCAGCCGATCCACCCAATGCTGCAAACCTGCCTTGCTGTATGCATGCACATGCAATTCGGAGCAGACAGCTACAGTACAGTCGAAGCGGGGCTGACAATAAATGACCAGTTCTCTCGAAGTAATGACCGTGTTGTATCCTCTGCACCTCCATCAACGACTCCTCAACCTGTCTCATTCTCCATATTCACACCTGCGAGATACGCACAGCCCAAGATGTCCACGGCCGGCGACGACGAAACAAGATGGTATCCCATCGGACAGACGGTGGAAAAGCCTTCGCGCGCTGCCCGACGTGCCGTGAAGGATGATGATGATGATGATGATGATGATGATGATGGGGCCACCTTTGCTTTTGCCGACGAGGACATGGGCAAATTGAACCGATATCTTCATGGTGGAAGAGTCTTACCACTCGATAAAGACAGTTTCTGCCAAAAGGTTGGCATCTTGGACCAGAGCAAGATCACCGACCACATCTGGACCCAGATTGATGGTTTGATCGGTACTTACAAGGAGGCAAGTCGAGCCTTATGCTTTCCCAGTGCAGCCAGTATAGTATAGCTGATCGTGCTGACCTGGCCCCAGATTTACAAGGACTGCACCGGTTTCCTTGGTGATGATAGCTCCGAATCACGCAGACAGTGGACGAAAGCCGATGGCGATGACAGCGCATTCGATGCCCTCTGCACCTTTGAGAAGATGAACACGCTTGCGTCTCAGATTTACGGCTACGCAGACAACGCCGGGGCTGATGACAGCTCTTATTATTTGTTCATGTTTGACCAGTGCAAGAACTACAATGATGATGACGCAACTGACCAGCAGAGGGAGGCGGCCAGGAAAGCCATTCTTGATGCCACGGAGGATCTGCTGAGTGATGTCGCACCAATGCAGCTCCACGCTAAGAAGGTCTCGGATGCCCTAAATGATTTTGAACAGGCGTGCGACAAGAGAGAGGCTGCGCTCGTTGACTCTGAAACTAGCATGACCTCCATTCTCAATGAGGATCTGGGAGACATCGACGACTTGCAGGAGAAAATTGATTCGCAGCTTGCCAATATTGCGGCCGACCAGAAAATCATCGATGCAGGTCAGTCCAGCGACCAAGCCTTCGTCTCAACTCTTCGCTCGGGTGTTGACTTGAAGGTTTTCTAGATCGCTATGATCAACAAATGACCGCGGCATACGTTTGGATGTAAGTTTGCTCACTCACTCACCAGGTAGCACCCTCTGCGTCCTCCACCCACCCCAACTAACCTATTGGCCATAGCCCTATCATCGGGACAATTGCCGGCCCCGTCGTATTTGCGGAGAGACAGGCGGATATTGAGAAATACGAGAAGAAGATTGCGGCCCTGAAGGACCTGATCAGCTCCGAGCAGGATCAGATTGCATTGCATCAGCAACTGCAAGGCCATGTCACTGCAATGTCGGTAAGCCGCACCATCGCCGGGGTTGCCTGACACCAACGATCCCGGAGCTAAACATCAGATGTGTTTAGAAACAATGTCAGGACTTGAAAGCACTAATCGGTCCGGCCAAGGAGACGGCTGAAAAGCTGAAAGGTGGCTGGGACTTGATGGGAGATGAGATTCAAAAGGTCCACGATACAGCGGAGAAGTTTGAAACCAAAATCCCCGGCGTCGGCTTTGCTGATATCCAGCTTAAATCTATTGTTCGGGAGTGGAAAAAGCTCTATAAGGGCGGTATGAATACTTTTCCCCCTTTGCCCTACTTATGCTCCACATCTAAAGTCCTTCGCTAACGCGATGATCCAATTCTCAGCCAGGGAGTATATCAAAACGGCGCCAGTCCTACCGAGGACTGAAGTCATGTCCATTGATGACTACCATGATCAGATTAAGGACTTGATCAATTGAGCCGGCACATGGACACGGCATGATTGCCTGGGTTGGGATAAAATCAACAGAGCACCGAGCTGTGGAAGGTAGTAGGGAAACTGTTGGTCAGATAGCACGTGAACTTGTCTTCTTCAAATTATGCTTGCAGTGTCTGGGACGTGAGTTAGATGCATGGTAGTGCGTACTTTTGACTGGGAGTCTACTTCTTAATCGTTTCTCCCATCGCAGGATACCTCTGATCGTCAACCTACACTCAATATCAATCACTCGAGTATCCACTTTCACTGGACCTTGCTGTGATTATCAAATATCCCTGCTATCGAGAGCGCCGCGAAGAAGTATGGGCGCAAAAGCCTGTAACGGTCGTGACAGAAGTAGTCTGAGTTTGACGAAGATGCTCTGGCTAAAAGTAAACCCTGAGGATATGGTGCCACTTTGACTCTTGGTTATGGGCAAAGGCCATTGCTTTTGCATTGCAAGATGTCTCCTTCGATCATACATTTCTCTCTCTCAAGTTCGGGAACCGACAAAGTGAGATTGTTCCAGTACATGCCCGTCGATCTTGTAACAAGCAAAGATGTAAAGAGCTAGATAATTGCTCATCGTACCAAAAGATACTAGTTCGTGTCCGCAGTCATAAAGCACGACTGTCACCGCCTCAAAAGACGGGAAGAGCTTGAATCATAGAATAACCCGGGACAGGAATCAAACCCCGATGTAGAGACAACTTTGCCAGACCCTTTGCACAAATTATGCTGCAGATCGAGAAGGATTATCCTTTATACTAATATAAAGTAGTAAATACAGTATTTTCTTACTAGAGAGAGAGATTTAATAGTAGTACGAGGCTTTAGGAAAGTATAACAGGTGAAAATAGACTATAAATAGAGAAGTAGGTAAGAAGATAATAGTTAGGGTGTAGTGTATTAAGGTTACTTGCTTAGGGCACTCGGTCTCCCGCTTATCTTATAATTAGTAATTGCTTTAGGCTGCTCGGGGCTGCTCGGGGCGTGTAAGCGAAAAGCAGCGAAGGGTGAGCACTAAAACAGAAAGAGTAGGCCATCAACCGCCTAGGAAATCAAGTACGTATGTGCTGAAAATGAAGCTGATGATCTGCATTATTGTTGACAGATATCTCCATTTGACAAAGAAGCTAAATCCAAAGTAAAACAAGTCACTTGCATCTCGTCAACTAACAATAAGATGTACGATCGCCATTCCCGCCGTCCTGAGAACTGGACTAAACTTCAGAGCCCAATATGCGTGCCCCGAGTGTAGCTGATACTTGGACTCCATCAAGTGCTAGGCTGGCTTGTCTGCGAGTTAACTGGTGGCGCAGAGACGCAGTAGCAGTATCCTGCCAGCAGATTCTGACACTCGTTCCCTACACTCGGATTCCACTGCATGAACTGCGAAAGCGTGATATTGGGGTATTTCTGCGTCACAATCGAAATGCAAGTATCGCCCGGCTGTGCCTCATACCACTCGGTACAATTCGGTGCTGTTGCCGACTGGTTTGGAGATACACAAGTTACGGTGGGCTTTGCTGTAGTCGTAGTAGGTTTCGGGGATGGTGCTGGTGTTTTGCAACGGATTAGCAGAGTACGTGGTAGTTGACACAAGCAGCTTACGCCAGACACCGATGCACACATAATAGCCAACCCACAGCGTCTCGCAGGCTGGCCCAACGGCAGGGTTCCAGTGGTAAAAGTCGTCGATGTTGATGCCGTAGTGTCTCGTGATGGACCAGCAGTTGTCTCCATTCAAGACGCGATAGTACCGATTACCTTGTTTACATGTCAGTGTTTGGGGGGTCAAAGTAAAGGGATGGGTATGTATGTATACATTCCGAAACAATCCCCGTTTGTCGGGGATAAGGGGGGACAGTAGATGTTGTTGTAACAATGTCTGATGCGGTTGTGTCCACGGCTCTGGCGAGAACCAGGAGCATACAATGGAGAAGAAGCGAGGTGATCATAATGGTCAGGGTACAGTTGCGTGGTATATCAGCGGATAGTGTCGAGCTCTCCAAGTGCTTTGCATCATCTATTTATGTGTCCAAATCCCAGTAATTTGATTAGAGGAACGTAGTCTAATGATGTGATACATAATACTGTTCGAGATGTGTTACGAATCTGCTTTGTATGTGCGACAGGGTCGTGTCCGGTTCCATGGCGGTTCTTGGACATTGCAGTAACATGCTGCAAGTAGTCCAGTTCACCCGTGGGTAGGACAGTCGGCTGTTCTCTGCAGGTCAATATTAGACTTAACGGTGGCAACAGGCTCGGCTGTGACATTGTTTATTTCCTATGTAACACACCCATTGCAAAGGGATTGTTTGGTTTTGTCTAGTTTGTGTCGGATGGTGTATGTCAATTCCAGTCGACTACTTCAGGAAACGAGGTAGAGAAACAACCACAAAATATTGATGCACCTAAGAGGCTAAGGGCAACCACCTATGTATATTTAAGTTTGACATGTTGACTTCATTCCAGGGAAGGAGTAGCGTATTCCCAATTATGCGGTCCAAGCACCGCATACATGATTCCCATGAGAAATGAACTAGAATAGAAACAAAATGGGATTGTACAAGTCACGCCATAGCATGAGGTTCCGATGCAACACAAAGCCTACCTTCGGCAAGCCATACTCTCAATACCACCACTAAAGACTCCCCGGAAAGTAACGCCCCTTCTCCCTGGCCTTCAGCGCCCACTGGTCGTCATGTGCGAACACCGTCTCTACCGGCCCGAGCTCTGTCTCTCCCTTCTCTAACCTGCGGATGTCACGAATGGTGTCCATCGCCATGCCGCGGTCCGCATGTATACAGCATGTGCGACCTGCAACAGTTGGGTCGTCCCATTCCGCAATCGCCTTCTCTCCGGTCAACAGCCGCCGGTCGTGACAAGCATCACCGGCCAGATATACGTAGCGATCACCGCCGACACGACACAGGAGGTTGATGTGGCCCGGGAGGTGGCCAGGTGCGTTGACTATGTAGACGCTTTGATCGGCAAATAGGTCAATAGCGTGAGAGAAGTGCAGTAGCGGGACCCAGGTGTTGAAGTTTAGATGAGGGAATCTACATGAAAGCTGTGCGCTCTGGTCACCATTCCCGTGACATGCCACTCCACGAACAGGGGCAGGTAGCTCGATTGTCCGGTTTGACGGGAGAAGATCGGCTTCGAAGTGGCTGTGACTGCCGTTGCCAATCTTGACCTTCCCACTCAGTAAATCGAGTGCCCCGTTTCCGACGACAAAATGGGAGTCGGCAAAATCACTCGGCATCCCAACGTGGTCCCAGTGGACGTGGGATAGTATCACCAGGTCAACGTCCGATGGGTGCAGTCCACCCCGTGCTAGCGACGTGACAACGTCTGGATGGCCATAGAGAGGCTGTCTTGTGAGCGCATGCTTGCGGATAGGTTCGCTGTACAGAGAGGGGTCCCGTCGTATGCCTAGGTCAAAGACCAGGCAAGTCGTTGTTCCGTCGATCGGTGAGGTATGTTGGATAAGGAAGGAAAGTGACGGAACGGCCTTTCTAGCGCCCGCGTCGTCGACTGGAGTGACGAAGAGTCGCTCGGGGAGGGTTAGTGAGCCTGCGTCCAGAGCATGGACGGTGACTGTTGTAGTATTCGACATTTTTATGATAGCTCTCGAGAATGAGATCACACTGCTTCTATCGGCTCTGTAGATATGTACCTGAGTTTCAATTGTGTAATACCACAGTCCAGAGATGATAATGTACGACAGACAGAAAACGATGAAGGTGCGAGAGCGAGACCAGGCCGCGAGACTGCCAGTTCGGTTGCTACATGTAGAACCCTGTTTGATACCCCGCAATATGAAGGCAACGCGTCTTCCTGTGGTTGGGGTGCAGTATATTCTCGGATATTGTATAAGGTGCAAAGATACGGTTTACAGTCGTAGTCCATGACATACTAAGACTGCTAACATGCCAGCAGCATCAAATGAGAGGTAAATATAGCCGTAGTGTAGAAGTGGGAAAATCCCCCAACCAGATATGGATTGAAGGAGATGGGTACTTTTGCGTTAAGACGGCTACTAGGGATATCCTCGGCAATGGAATTGATGAAGTATGCGGGGAACTGTCAACTCTTATATCTACAGCTCTTTACTCGGCTATAGCCATAACCTGCATCGTGAGTCTCATTCAGACAGACAGAGAACGAACATCATGTCGAAGGACTCGCTCACTCCCCTCCACGAACAGCTCTTTGAGGATGGACTACAAGTCCGTCGAGCAGTGGTCGGCGATGCCTATGTGGATAGGGCCCTTGCCAACGGCTCCTCCGATTTCGCGCGGCCAGGCCAGGAACTAGTAACTGAATGGTGTTGGGGCCATATATGGACACGTCCTGGTTTGGACAGGAAACAGCGCAGTCTGCTGAGTAGGACATTCCTCTTTCCCTCGATATCAGCACATCCTGACCAACGCAGATCTGGGCATGCTTATTGCGTTAAAGTTGTGGCCTGAATTGGCAGTCCACACGCGAGGGGCGATTAAGAACGGCTTGACGGAGAAGGAGATATCAGAGGCTGTTCTGCAAGCGACTGTCTACTGTGGTGTACCTGCCGGCGTGGAGGCGATGAAGGTGACCGAGAGGACTATAAAAGAGATGATTGAGAATGGGGAATATAGACGGCCTTAACGGTGTTGGGAGGGAGATGAGTGTTTATACTACATCTGGTTCGGTGATTGATGTTATAGGTGGTGTAGATGTCTAAACACTGTAATAAGGGAGCTTCTTTTTGAAATCATAAGCAAGAAGCGGTGTATATTGCAGTTAATGAACGTTTTGTCTTCGTTAATTCATTCCGAATGATACACGGCAGTCCCCTCTTGTTAGGCTACTAGACCCCATGTTGGGGAACGGCTATATCTCCAACTCTTTCGGGGTAACGAGGGGTCTACGTGATCATGCAGTGCAAAAGTACATAACATAAGGCGCAACACGATCGAAAGCATCATTCCAACTACACACTTCAACATGAGTTCCCTCAGTTCTGATGACATCGGGTTCATAGGTCTCGGGGCCATGGGGCTCCCGATGGCCCAGCAGCTCATTGCGAACGTGCCAGCCCCTACTCGGCTGTACGTGTTCGATATCGCCGACCAGGCCATGAATGACTTTGTAGCCATGTATCCGCACAAGGCAGTTGCAGGGAAATCGCCCCGCGATGTCGCAGAGCATTCAGTTAGTATCCTAGTCCCCACAAGATAGTATAGCAGACTAACCGCAAAGAAAACCATCATCACCATGGTCCCAGAAGGGTCACACGTACGGGCCGTCTACCTTGACGAGTCGACAGGCGTATGCTCTACTCCGCTGGACACGAGACTGCTCATCGACTGCTCAACAATCGACACCGCGACAAGCCTGGCAGTCAAAGCGCATATCACCACGCACCATGCTTCGGCCTCCTTCTACGATGCCCCAGTCAGCGGCGGGGTTCTCGGCGCCCAAAAAGGCGCAATCGCATTCTTCCTAGGCTGCGCGAAGACAGACCCCAACCTCCCTCTCCTGACCGATACGCTCCGCCTGATGGGAAAAGAAGTCATTCCCTGCGGGGGACCGTCGCTGGGCTTATCAGCAAAACTGTGCAATAACTACCTATCCGGCTTGATTGCGATCGCCAACTCCGAGGCGCTGAACATCGGGATGCGTGCTGGACTAGACCCGCGGGTCCTTTCTAGTGTCTTCGCGGCTGGGACGGCGCAGAACGCCATTTGCGATCGGTTCAACCCCTGTCCTGGGGTTGTGCCGGATGCGCCGTCGTCGAAGGACTACAGGACGGGGTTTAAGATCCAGCTGATGAGGAAGGACTTTGCGCTGGCGGTGGCCATGGCGGAGCAGGTTGGGGCACGCTTGGTCTTGGGAGAGGCCGGGCTGAAGACGTATGAGGAAGCGTCGGACGATCCTCGATGCAGAGATCGGGATTCTCGGGTGGTTTTTCGCTTCTTGGGAGGGGACGAGTCGTGGGCTGAGAAGTTTGACTGAGCTGTCCGTCTGTCTAAATCGAGTGTGTATTCGGAGCTCTTGAGGGCTTCCATATATCTTCAACAAAGATAAGCTACGGAGTATTTAATGAATGATCTAACGCATTTCCATAGAGACAGGCCATCTAATATTAATCGTAGTATGTTCGTAAAGCAGAATATGTACATCGTGACTTCTATGTAATATGCAAACTCATCACGCCATCCCCTCTGTCGCGTTGTGGCTCTTCATACCTGGTGGCATACCCGGCGGCATACCGGGTGGCGTATACCCGTAGCGACGCCAATTCTCACGCACCCACCACTCGGCAATGTGGGCCGCATCTCGCAGCCAGTGCACGGCGTCTTCCCCATACTCCTCATCCAGCGTCTTGGCCAGATCGACCAGACTAAAGTCTGTCACGGGGTGGAGCTCGTGCGGGTCGAGGGCGACGTTGGTGAAGCGCCATTCGAGGTCGTCAATTAACGGGATGACGAGTCGGTATCCGGGCCGCGCAGCTGATCGGACCGCCAGCCAGGATCCGCCCGTGTTCATGACTGTAAACTGCCAGTCTTGGATATTTCCGGCCTCCTGAGTTAGGGGGCGGATCATGGACTGCCCTTCGTACAGGCCCCGGACATCCTTTGCAACCGTCGTACCGTTCGGGCTGAGCGAGGATGACTCGACCAGCAGGTCCAGGATCGTCGGCAAGATCTGGTCGGACATGACCGGGGTGGTTATTTCCACCGGAGGGAGCCGCGGATGCGCCAACACGATCGGAACCTGGAAGCTCCCGATATGGGGGTTGTCGTAGGGGGTGGATCCGCCGTCGTTGGGAAGAGACAGGCCACTGTGTGTGTTAGCGAATGCTGAGCATGCCATGCGGTCAGGTATGTGGAACTCACTGGTCGCCTGCCATGGCAATCAAAGTCTCATCGGCGATGCCCTTTTCCTCCAGGATGCTCAAGATCTCTGCCAACCAGTCATCGACAAAGTGAATCGTGTTGAGATATCGATTGACTTTTTTGTTTTTGCCGGCCCAGGACGGACGCATGATTTGCTGGAATTTGTCGCCGGGGAGACGCCAGGGGTGATGCGTCGTGCCCGTCAAATGGGTCAGGAACAGACGGGTGTGATTGCGCTCCGCGTCGTCGATGGCATCGCGTAGATACTCGCGCAGCTCGGTATCGGCGTATCCGTAGTAGTTCACTTCCTTGGTGTGGGGCGGGAAATGCTTTGCATGTCTATCCCGAATGCTCTCCTTGGTCTGGACATCGTGGAACCCGAGAGCGGGGGTCAATCTGTCTTGGTTGTCATAACCGTGCGTCACGGACTGCATCCACATGGAATGCCAGGGCCAGTGGGCAAAATCCTCGGTCTTGGTCGTGATGTCTGGTTGTTGGTTGACGGCGTCCAACACGTGAGGCATGCATGGCTGGTAGATATGGTGGTTGTACTCGCGATTGAAGTCGGCGACCAGGGGAGTGACGCCGCACACGGTGCCCACGAGACTCTTGAGGGTGTAGGTGCCGGTGGTCACGGCGTTGCTGGCACTGATGCCACCGTATGCCTTTTTCCCATGGAATCGGTTGTCGTGATGATCGAAGCCGGTCGAAAACCCCGTGAGATACTCGGCGGTGCGGGTCAGGTTCCCGACCCGCTGCATGACCTCCGGTGGGACTTGGCGGTTGGGATACGAGTCCATAATCTCGTTCCAGATGAACGAGTCGTTTCGCAAGGGGAAGACATCCGCACGGGTGCTCTCCAGCTTCAACAAGATCACATGCTTGATGCGCACGGAGCCGTCGGCCAAGGCCTGGCGGATGGGCTCGAGAACGGGCTGATCGAGGTTGGTGAGACGGAGGGGGTCTTTGGCTGGGTCGTAATGCAGTGGCGCTGGGTTGGCGGCATCCCAGTCTTCAAAGCCGGGAAGCGGCGTGGGTGGCAGCCAGGAGAAAGGCGGGGGTGTGTTCAATGCGGTGCGTCCGTCCAAGAAGCGATAGTCCCCGGGCAGTCCAGCGGTGTCAACCGGAGACAGACGGTGTCGCGCATCGACAAAGGGGACCAACGGGAGGGCGCCGGACAAGAAGCTATATGACGGATCGGAGGGTCGGAGGGCGCGCAGGACGAAGAGAGCGAGGAAGGGAAGGAGGATGGTCAGGCGTCGGGCGATGGGGTCGGGTTTCGGGTATAGCTTGATTTTCGATTCGAAGGGTTGAAAGGGTACATCGACGTCGCTGTCGTCGTAGTAGTCTTCCTCGGCGACGTGCGCATAGGTCTCGGGGTCGGGGAGGGGCGGGTGTCGTTGGCGACGGAAGATGCCGTTGATGAGCCAACGCCACGGCCAGACGAGGGTTGTCACGACCAGCCCTGTGGTACGGTGTACGGGACGCGCCAGGACGGAGGAGAGGCTGAGGAGGATGGCTTCAACGACGAGGAAGCCAGTCAGACCGGTGAGGAGGGTGCGGATGGCGGCTGCATCGCGGTGGAAGGTTTTTGCCTGTCGCCAGTGGATTTCTGCGCCGGTGACGATGTAGAAGGAGATGTTTGCGGAGGCCATGCCGGACATGACGAGGCTGTGGGAGGGGTCATATGGTCAGTCTGGGCTCTATACATAGGGTAGGTATGGAGTAGGCAAGTACCTGAAGGGGATGACGAGGACGGCGGCCACCAGGGCCATGGACCGTCGACGCCATGTGCGCGTGGCGATGCGGAGCAGGAGGATGGCGAGGACATCTTGGAAGAAAAAGGTGATGCCCCAGAGGAGGAACTTGGCGGGCGGCAGGGAGTGTAGGTGGGCGTATAGATGGAGGACCTTGGCGCCGAGGAGGGAGAGCAGGGCGAGGGTGAAGCAGTAGCGGCGGGAATACTCCCAGGCGAGGTCGAAGGCGTGGGTGGGAGAAGCGTGCACCTGGCGGGCTAGAGAGAGGAGGGATCGAAGCCAGGTGGCATGGAGGCGGGTGACGAGGGTCATGGCAGCGGCATGGTAGAGAGTGTGTTAGGAGAGGAGGAGAGGATGGGGAGGGAAGAGGAAGAGGAAGATGTAGATGTCGATGGGATCATGGTTGGGACAGTCAGCAAGGCGGAGTGATGGCGACATTTTACTCCAGGTATAACCAACTACACAACACCTGATGATTATTTCCCCATGAAGATGAATAACCAATTCAGGGACTGAAACCCGCCCCACAGACCCTGAGACCCTGACCTATATATAGTGTTTCTTAGGTAACCAGACATGGCAGTGTCCTTATACATTATAATATACTGGATAATAATATAATATATTATATATTAGATTATATAGTATAGTGTGTCCTCTAGACGCATGCTATTCTTGTATACCTATTCCTATTCCTATTCTTCAATACTGTAGACGACTGCTGTACTACTCTGCTATGATCCAACAGGGCACGACAACCTTCCTGTTCGGGCTAGCCTCGTCCCGTTGCGGTTAGGGCTGGCCCCACTCGCCTCGTCATGCCGTTTCGGTTCTTCCGATTGGTCTATTATATAATAAAGAAGAACAAAGAAAAGCAAATAATAAACAACAAAGAAGATGAACAATGGGATTGTATTGTCTGACGGAGTACCGGAGTATACGGAGGATAGAACCCCCCGACAGAGGGACAGGAGATACAACAACGTCCGTCTTAAGGTTGTCTGCAGTGGACCGAATACGAGCAGAATCTGCGACATGCCAAGCAGGCAGCTGCATTCCCCACTCATTAGTGATTCAGGGTTTCAGGGTTTCAGGGTTTTCTCCGTGACCTAGGTACCTAGGTACCTACCTAGGCAAGTACCTAGGTAGTATACTATCTCATGCTATTGACCAACTACCTAGTATACTCCATACTCAACAAATACCTCTCTATCGCCGCCATCTCCAATACACTCCCACCGCCACACTCAACCCCCCCAACACCAGCGTCGTATAGCTGACCGGCGTCTCCTCTCGAACCCGCCCGATCTCCGTCGCTTTCTTCCCCGTCACCTCTGCACTGCCCGTCCCCTCCACCACATAATCCTGCCACACCACCCGGCTGACCTCTTGCTGGTACTGCACCACCGTGCTGGGCCAGTTGTTCGTGATGCGCCCGTTGGCCTGCTTGTACCAGCTCTGGCAGTGCACGTCCGCGAACGAGCTCTTCGCCAGCAGCCCCTGAATGCGCTCGTTGAACGCCTGCACGACGCCCGGCTGCGGCCGCAACGCCAGCGTCTGCCCGCGCTTCTTAGCCTGCACCACCGCCTCGATCAGCGTGCTCAAGTACCGCGACTGCGCCTCAATCATCAGGATGATCGAGTTGTGGCCCAGGTTCGTGTTCGGCCCGTACAGCATCCCAAAGTTGGGTAGATCCTCCACCGTCATGCCGTAGTACGCCGTGGCCCCGTCCTTCCACACGTCCGCCACCGACCGCCCATTCCGCCCGTACACTTGCACGGGATGCATGAATTCGACCGTGCGGAAGCCCGTCGCCAGCACGATGAGGTCAAACGGCGCTTCCTCACCGTCAGTGGTCCGGATGCCCTCCGCCGTCACCCGCTCAATCGCCCGGGTGTTCAACTCCACGTGCGGCTGGTTGAGCGTGGGGAAGTAGTCGTCCGAGATGATGATGCGTTTGCATCCCACCGCATAGTCCGGAATCACCTGGTCCCACAGCTCCGGCTTGTCGCGTAGTTGCTTCTTCATCCCCTCCACTGCAAACCGACGCATCTCTTGCGACAGCTTCGACTCGCTGTTCGTGATGGCCGCGTGCGTCGCCTCGCGGAACCGCATCATCAGCGCCCGCTTGCACCACCGCACCGGCGGCACCCACTCCAGCACGAACTGCTGCACCGGTGACACCGCCATGTCCAGCCGCGGAATCACCCAGTTCGGCGTGCGCTGGTACACGGACAGATGCGCCGCTGTCTTGGCCACCTCCGGGACGATTTGCACCGCCGTTGCGCCTGGACCGTCAGCTATCGTCTGCGTTGACGAGAGAAGCCCACTCACCATTCCCGATGATGGCCACACGCTTGCCCGCAAAGTCGTAGCTCCAGTCCCATCGCGCCGAGTGCATCAGTTTGCCCGTGAACTCATCCAACCCGGGGATCGAGGGCCAGCGCGGCACGTTGAGCTGGCCGACCGCCGAGACCAGAAACTCGGTGGTGAGCGTGTACGACTCGATGAACTCACGGTCTTTGGCGCCGGTAACGCCCACCTGGACATCCCAGCGCAGGTGGGTCTCGTCCCAGCGCGCCGCCTGCACCGTCGAGTTGAAGCGGATATGCTTGAACAGGCCGTACTTTTCGGCGACGCGGATCACATAGCCCTGCGACATCAGCGCCGTCCACCCCGAGCGTCCCGGTCACCTACCAGGATCTCTTCCTGCCCCGGATACTCGCGCGTCCAGTCGCTCTTCTGCTCGAACGAGTAGCTGTACAACGTGCTCCAGACTGCGCCGCTTAGCCCGTGTCCTTGTATCTCCCCGCAGGCGCCCGCACATACCGTCACACGCACAGCCCGGGTATTTGTTGTCGTGCCAGGTGCCGCCGACCTGGCTGCCCTTCTCCAGGATGACAAAGTTGCGACACGACGTCCGGCGCAGGAGGTCGATCGCCATGCAGAGGCCTACCCAGCGTTAGTCGCGTCAGTCACACGGAGAAGCAGATGGTGCCTACCGGAAAGGCCAGCTCCAATAATCACCACCGTCGACCGGGTGTAGTCGCGGTTTCCTACATGGCGCGAGGGGTTGAAGTCTGCCATTTTGCGGGTCTCTCGTCTTTTTTTGCAGTGTCATCCGCAGAGAGCTCCAGCTCTGGAGGTCCAGGTGGTTATAACGGGCCGGCCGGACCTCGGTTAGTGGCGATCATCTCAAGCTGGCAGATGAGGGGGTGAGGCCCCTGTTGATATTACCGCGGTTGCACCGTGTCCGTCTTTCTTGGCTATGTTCCCCTCTTGTGCTTGAGACGCGGGGGGTGCAGGACGGTGTAACCAGGCGATTGGGTGGCACTTATATGCTGTCTTACTGGCATTTCACGACAGGCATTCCACGACAGCCACGAATGTAGGGTTGCTTGTATTGGTGAAGCCGTACAGGCCTTATGCAAGGTAATGCACGGGACACTGTTTATGCACACTGCCGATCAAATTCTATTATGCATGTCAATTCACAGCCGACAGGCACCAACAATATTATAGCATGCTAAGCCTGAGTCGAATAGCGGCAATAATACGAAGTCGCCGAGAGTCTTTTTCTTTTCCTGTCGTACGACAACTGAACCATGTCCAAGTCATCGTATCTGACAGCCTTGTCCAGGGCCGTGTAATCCAAAGAGAATCGTATGTCCGTTCTGGATTCAACTGCATTCTTGGACGCGGGCTCTTCTCGTCAGTCTTTTCCATCCAACGATATAAGCGTACCTGTAGGGCTATCCGTCAGGTCGGATCGGAGGATTACGTGGTCCCTCCACCTCGCGTGAAACATGGCATATCTGAGATCTGCCTGCAGTGGGTTCGGACATCTACGGAGTAGTAGTAAAAAGCTTGACAGTGTGGAGGAACCCACAGTCTGTGACAAGACCATGCTGTACCAGCGCAGGGGTTCCAAGAACAGACAGCAGAGCGAAAGTATATAGTGCTGACATGGAGCATTCACGATGCTTCAACGAATGGATGATCTGGTCAGATATGCTAGAGGTGAGCTAGAAGACACTAAGTTCTCTTTAGGAAGATGCTACTTTATGCTCTACAAGACACCAGTCGTTATCTCCGCTTACTGTTGTGTATAGCGGTGCACAACGCCCGAAATGCACCGCACACCCGTCTGCATGCAGCATATCTACTCCGGCGTACGTATACTTTTCGCAGCCAGCACTGTAGCTTCGTCAGATCAGACTTTCAGCTGAAAGCTCAATTTAACTCTAATAGCGTCTTGAGTTTCAGGTCTTGCTCTCTATCACCCAGACTTCCGACACTATCATGCTTTGATCTGATCTCTAGCCAACGTCATCGAGGTCATCACGACTTATATGTAGGTCTAGTGGCAATTGCAGAAGGTCCAGAGGTGAGCCAAAGAATGCCTAGTATTCTTCCTGGTTCTGCTCCTGATAAACTGGTTCTAGGATATGAAACCATGACCTAGGAGCCATCGCTGTTAATATATATCTCCAGACCCATCCATATCTCCCTATAATACAAGATAATACCCTACAACTTCGCAGCACGATCCATCTTCTTCAACTCCCGCCGCAAAATCTTCCCCGACGGATTGCGCGGGATGCTATCGACAAAATGCACCCCCCCACGCAACCGCTTATAGCTAATCACCCGGTCCGCAACATACTTCACAATCTCCTCAGCCGTCGCCTTCGACGGCGCATACCCGCGGGCCACAACCACATACGCCCGCGGCAGCTCCGTCCCAGACTGTCCGCTCTTCACCCCCGTCACCGCAACATCCGCGACAGCCGGATGCCCCAGCGCAACATCCTCGAGCTCGGCGGGCGCGACCTGGAACCCGTTATACTTGATGAGCTCCTTGACGCGGTCGGTGATGTAGAAATGCCCGTGCTCGTCGGCGTACCCCACGTCGCCGGTCTTGTAGTACCCGTCGTCGGAGAAGGACTCGGCATTCGCCTTGGGATTGTTGAGGTAGCCGAGGAAGACGTTGGGGCCCTTCACCCACAGCTCGCGCGAGCGGCCCGTCTCGCCCTCGACGGGGGCGTATTTTGCCGTCATGTTGGGGAGGAGCCGGCCGACGGAGCCGAGATGCGTGCGGGCTTCGTCCCAGGTCTGGGTTGTTAGCGTGGTTGAAGGAACTGGAGGGAATGGGGGGAAGGGGCAGGGGCCTACCTGCATGTGCGTGCAGGGCGCGCACTCGCTCATGCCGTACGCCTGGCGCACGCGCAGGCCCAGCTTCTGCTGCAGGGCGTGGATCAGCTCGACGGCCAACGGGGCCGCGGCAGAGAGCATCATGCGCAGTGAGCTCAGATCGTACTGCGCGACGCGTGGGTTGGACACCAGCTCGAGGATGACGGGCGGCACGACGTAGGCGTAGGTGATTTTCTGGTCCTGGATGACGCGGCAGAAGGTGTCGAAGTGGAAGCGCGGCATCACAAAGGTCGACAGGCCGAGGTAGACGGTGTGGTTGAGCAGGTAGGTGAGGCCTGCGTTGTCAGCTGTCGCATTCACTCATTCCCTCATTCCTTCGCGCAGGACCGCCGGACATACCGTAGATGTGGAAGAAAGGCAGCAGGGCCAGGGCGCGATCGCCCTCGCCGTTCAGGCCGCCACGGCACGACAGCACGCCCTGGTCGACCGCGGCCGACTGCAGCAGATTAGCGACCATGTTGCGATGCGACAGCATGACGCCCTTGGGGAGACCCGTCGTGCCGGACGAGTAGACGAGAAAGGCGAGCTCCTGGTCCGGCTGGACGATCGGAGGCGCATGGGGCCCGTACGCCGTGCCGTCGTCGGTCAGTTCCTGCGGCAGCTCGTCGAGAATGATCACCCGGTCGTGGGGGATGCCCACACGACGGGCGGCGTCCAAGGCCGCGGGCGCCTGGGCGCGCTGCGTGACAATTGCCTTAGCCTTTGCGTCCTTCAGCGGATGCACCAGCTCCTCGGCGCGGTAGCTGGGGTTGACCGGACAGACGACGCCGCCGATGGCGAGGGTGCCCCAGATCACGGGCGGCAGATCGATGGAGTTGGGCGCAAAGGTCAGCAGCACGTCGCCTTTGGCCCAGTTCCATTTGCGGCGCAGCGCATGGCCAAAGGTCAGGGCGCGCTGGCGGATTTGCTGGTAGGTCAGGGACCGGCCGGAGGAGGCATCGGAAAAGAGGACTGTACGCGGTCAGTGTCTGATCGCAGCTGATGCGCTATGTACCGAGGGCATTACCCTTGTCGTCGGCGTACGGCCGATCGCGTCGCTCGAATAGAAAGCTCCAGAGGTCGACCTGGGGGATGTCGATGGAAGGGAACGGCGAGGAGGCCATCTTGCGCTGGACACCAGGTCAGACGAGTACGACCGCAAAACCGTTCAGAAATCCAGGAAAAGCGGCGAGCTGAAGAACAGCCGAGGGGACACTGCTCATCGCATTATACTCCATCCTCCGTAATCCCGACGTGATATGGGATGGATCATCCTCATCCACTGCAGCGGGTATGATTTGTATTAGTTCGGTCATGCGCTCCACCGCGCCCTCAGCTCCTCTTCCAGTGTCTTGGATCCGATGAAAAATCAGCAGGCCTTCGTCTGCACCTGAATCATTGCGCCGCACACCCCTCTACAGAATCGGACTAGAGCTCACGGGCTATCTACGGTAGCGTCGATTTGCTGCGATAGAGGGCGCTGCGGGCCGCGGGATCTGGCACTAAAAAAATTTTCGGTTCAGCTTGGGGCTGCAGGAGCGTCAATAATCGCATTGTTCCCCTGAACGCACTGCCGGCTAGCTCGATCTTATCGGACGAGTGGTTCCTGGCGTGAGTTGGCGCCAGGGCACCAGCATCCTTCACCTTCGACTAGGCGTGATCGGCAGGGCGATCCATCGTCGTCAGGGAGTGATTGGCAGTCGACGCGGTCTCTGCACCCACCCGGGACGTATCCAGAGCTCTCTGATGCCGAACCACGCCGGCTAGTGACGGGGATTCGCCTGAGTCTCTGGTGGGGATGAATCTGAGCTTGGAAAAGTACCGAGTGTAGTGGAGCCGATGTCAGCACGTAATCGTGAGGTCAAGAGATGATGATGATGATGGTGGTGATGGTGACGATGGACGAGGCAGTATCTAGGAGTCCTTAATATGCCTGACACGAAAATAAGGAGGATCATTCAGATCTGCAGCTCCTGCCATAGCTAGTACAAAGTATGCTATACAGACTACAGCATCAGAAGTCTTGTTCCAGAAACTCCTGATCGTCTCCATCCCGACACGCCTGCCGGCTCCACTGCGATCGTCGATCGGGTTCGATCGCGCCGGAATTGTCGACCGAGGCTTGTTTGGGTAAAAAGTCCCTGCCGTGGTGCGTGCTGATCAGAGCTGACCAGCGTGGTGGTAGGAGCTGTACTATAGACGACTCATTGCAAGGGGGGGCAGAGAAAAAGTAAACAAGGGCTGAGCTGGGGTGTGAATGCCACAAATGCATCAGCATGAGCTAGTCTTCACATTTCTACTCCTAGATAGACACCAGACATCCACTCCCATCCCGTCCTGCAGCGCGACGAGTTCTTTAGGGTTTGCCAGGAGACGATCCCAAACCCAATGGCTTCACGCAAGAGGCAAGATCGGCTGCGAGCTAATCGAGCAGAAAAAGAAAAAAGCAGAATCAGAATCCCGATGGAGCTGCTGCCCTTCTGAGCAGGTCGGTCTCCATCTGAACTCGCAACTCGCACTGCAAGCCTGATACTGCGTGGAACCGCTTGTCCAAGTGGGTAAATGCTCTGACTCTCGGGCATTCCGCTTGGTTCGCCTCCGTGGAATCTGATTTGGATTTGCAATATTTCTAGACGAGAAAAAACGTGGTATGATGGGCGTATATAAGCCTGCATTCCTCCCGCCCTTGGTGAGATCTGAAGCTGATTGAATCTCTCCTCAGATCTGCTGCTCCCTTCTTCCGATCACATTCCGATACCATGCCGCGAATCCCTACGGCGCCCACGCACCTGGCCACGGCCTGCCGGACCTGGAACCGTCTCCAGGATCTCAAGGCCCAGAAGCAGATCAGCCTGGATGGAAACAGCCTGGACATTGCGTCCGTCGTGGCGGTCGCCTAGTATGTATTTCCGTCCGCCAGATGCATAGAGATATACTAACCGGTCAGCCACAACTGCATTCCAGGCCTCTCCTCCGATCCCCAGGTCATCGAGAGCATCACCTCCAGCGTGGAGGTGCTGATGGACCATCTCGACCACGGATACTGCGTGTACGGTATGTACCTTACTTCCACCCCTTGCTTGTCACCACACCCCACTGACATCCCCAGGTGTCAACACCGGATTCGGCGGCAGCGCCGACTCGCGGACCGATCGGGCGTCCGCGCTGCAGGCGGCCCTGCTGCAGCTGACGCAGGCCGGCGTGCTCGTGTCGGCAGACAAGGCGGGCGAGGTTGGGCCGTCGTCGCCGGGCCCGCATGCGATGCCGGCGGCGTGGGTGCGGGCGTCGATCGTGGTGCGCGCTAACAGCAACGCGCGCGGCCACTCGGCCGTCACGATCAAGGTGCTGGACGGGCTGCTGCAGCTGCTCAAGCACCGCATCACGCCGATCATCCCGCTGCGCGGGTCCGTGTCGGCATCCGGGGACCTGATGCCCCTGTCGTACATTGCGGGCGCGGTCGAGGGCAGCCCGGACATCTACGTGCAGGTGGCCGACGCGACGGCGCCGGGGGCCAGCCCGCGCATCATGAGCGCGCGCGACGCGCTGCAGGCGGCCGGCATCGAGCCGCGCACCATGGGCCCCAAGGAGGGCCTGGGGCTGGTCAACGGCACGGCGGTGTCGGCGGCCGTGGCTAGTCTGGCCATGCACGAGTCGCACCAGCTGGCGGTGCTGACGCAGGCGCTGTCGGCCATGGGCGTCGAGGCGCTCATGGGCACGGCCGAGAGCTTCCACCCGTTCATCTCGCTGACGCGGCCGCACGACGGGCAGGTCGAGTGCGCGCGCAACGTGCTGGCGCTGCTGCAGGGCTCACGGCTGGCTGTCGGCGTGTTCCGCGAAAAGGACCGCAAGCGCGCCGGCCTCATCCAGGACCGCTACGCCTGGCGCAGCGTGCCGCAGTGGGTGGGCCCGCAGCTCGAGGACCTGATGCTGGCCGATCGCCAGATCTCCACCGAGCTCAACTCGTCCTGCGACAACCCGCTCGTCGACACCGTCAACCGCGAGATCTATTGCGGCGCCAACTTCCAGGCCGCCGCCGTCACCTCGGCCATGGAGAAGACGCGGCTGAGCCTGCAGATGCTGGGCAAGCTGCTGTTCGCGCAGAGCACCGAGCTGGTTGACCCCAACTACAACAACGGCCTGCCCACCAACCTGGTCGCCGACGACCCCAGCCTGTCCTTCACCATGAAGGGTGTCGACATCAGCATGGCCGCCTACATGTCCGAGCTGGCCTACGTCGCCCACCCCGTCAGCGCCCACGTCCAGACCGCCGAGATGCGCAACCAGGCCGTCAACTCGCTGGCCCTGGTGTCGGGTCGCTACACCATGCAGGCCGTCGAGCTGGTGTCGCTGATGAGCGCCGCCTACCTGTACATCGTGTGCCAGGCGCTGGATCTGCGCGCCCTGCACCTCGCCTTCCTGGAGAAGGTCGTCCCGCGCATCGCCGTCGTCACTGCTGAGACCATCGGTGCCGAGATGAACGAGGCCGAGCGCAATGCCCTGTCGGCGGCTATTGGAGACGCCATCGCCACCGCCTGGCCCACCACCACCCGCGTGCCCCTGACGGATCGCTGCACCAAGACCGTGCAGGCCGCTGTGCCCGCCATCGTCGACGCCGCCTCGACGGCCAGCCTGCGTCTGTCCGACCTCAGCGCCTGGCAGAACCGCGCCGCCGTCGTCATGAACCAGGTCTACCAGGAGACCGCCGACGCCTTCATCGCGCAGCCCCATACCGTGCAGATGCTGGGTGCTGGCTCCAAGACGCTGTACCAGATGGTGCGGGAGACCCTCCGCGTGCCCTTCCACCGCGGCTTCGTCGAGCACCCGACGAACCAGAGCACGGAGCTGGATGGCCGCGACAAGAAGACGGTGGGCTCCTGGATCTCGATCATCTACGAATCCCTGCGCAAGGGCGAGCTCCAGGCGCCGCTGATGACCCTCCTCCAGGAGGTGGCGTAAAATTATGGATCACGTATTATAGAGGTTCTTTTTGTTTCATGGGTTGTGTTTATAGCCAAGACTGGACCAGTACATAATAATAATGCGATGTAACATTCACGGATCACGCTATATACACTACAGCCGCTTGCAGATGTATCACCGATGCAAATCTAAGTATAAGTCTAGTCGGCGGTGTTGGCGCAGGAAAAGCTGCTCTTTGCGCTGTCGTCGTGAATCGCCTTGCCGGACACGTACAATCCCAGGCCACACTGCTCGATTAGTAGGCGTCGACCTGAGTAGGGCTTGGATACTCACCAGGCATCCACCCATCAGCACGATCAGCATGTTAATAATCGTGAGGAAGACCTTGCGAGGAGACGAGAACCACCGGCCCCAGTTCAGATGCAGCCAGTAAACACCGCCCAGACCATCTGCGACCGTTAGTATTCAGAGGAGACAGAGTATAAACGAGGATCGACGGGTCCTTACAGCTGAACCAACTAGCGAAAAGTGAACTCTGTGGACGATTAGCTTTCAATCAAGACGAACGACATTATTCGCGATAGATCAGCACATACAATCAAGCTCACGATATTGGTAAACGTCGGAATGCCCTCGGCGATGATCCAGGCGATCACCCAGCACGACACGCCAATACCGACCCAGGAGCCCACCGACACCCAGTCGCGGCTGTGCATGCGCCCCGATCGGCGGAAGAGGCGGACGTAGATGTATTTCAATCCGACGTGTCCATTCACGACACCCGCTCCGACAATCTAAACGACTATTAGCTCTAGTGCCGGCCAGATGCAAGGGCGGAGCACTTACCGTGGGAATGGCAATTCCGTACGCGACCTTCTTCAAGACGGGGCCGGCCGATCCCAGAGCTGGCGAAGTCACGTCGTTTCCGACGTAGTAGTAGATCACGACGGCGGCAACGACGTAGAGACAGATCTCGAAGACCTGCAGCAGGCACAGCGCCTTGGGGAAATCCTTCGGCTCCTCCATTTCGGCAATCAAACCGAAGAACGCAACATGGGCGCAGTACGCAAAGACGATGTTAGTCACCGCCGTGAATGCATGGTACAGGTTGGTCTCGTTGGTGATGTTCATGTTGACGCCGCCCTTGTACTGCACCCCGACGCCAATCATGGTGATCATCACGGCGGAAAAGATACTCAAGAACGCTGAGATTCGGTAAGTATTGACGCCAGAGGTTCTCGGCTTCCAGGAGCAACATACAGGCAATGGAGATGTAGGTCATGTTCTTGATGGTTCTCGGCAGGGAGAGCACCATACAGATCACCATACCTACGACACTGAAGACGATGGAGCATGTGCCGTGGTCGGTAATGGTGTTCATCATGACGGTAAAGGTGACAATGTGGCTGCCCATGATGAAGATTGAAAACAGGATCTGGCCCAGTCCGAAGAGCTCGCGACCAAACCGACCCAGGAGGATCTCTCCGGCATCCGCCAGGTTATGAATGTGCGGGTATCGCTGGCGAAACTGGCCGATGACATATCCGGTGTACAGTGCAACAATACCGAGTCCGACGATGAGGATGATCGCACTGCCACGGTTAGCAAGATGTGAAGCTGGCATCAGAAAGTTCAACGTACGGAACCAGCCCCAGGGACGCCAGCGTAGCCGGTAGAGACAGAACACCAAGCGAAACTGATTCGGCAATCATGACTAGGCCTATTAGCAAGTGCATTTCCAGCCGAGTCCATCATGTAGCTACGTACACATGCCACATTGCCTATTCGGTTAGCATGTTACTTCCTCTTCCGAGACAGACTGTACATACCACCACTTCAGAGTTTTGTACTTGACTTCGGCAGTCTCCTCGTTGCCAAAAGGGTCATCATAAGGCGTCTGGTCGACCGGCTTGTGGAAGTCATCTTCGTCGCCGACCTTCTCGCCATACTTGTTCTCAATAGGATCCGGCTGAGGATCTACGCCTTCCACAAGCATTCTGGTCACGAAGGTGCAGATATCACACTGACAATGGGAGCAAAGTCGAGAATAGGTGATACTCGGCCGGTCAGAGGTCGAGATGGTGAGATATCTGACAGAGAAGCCGGGGTTCGCCTCAACAGAAATTTCTCGCTCCAGTGGTGGGTCAGGGCGTTGGGATACTCCCCACGATTTGGAGCCTCGGGTTGGTCACGGACAGAGACTCCAAAGGTCTGGGGTTGCACCAGGCCAGTAGAATTGACCAGGACAAAGCACGTTAGTCATGGAAAGCCGGCATCTCCACGGTGGAATCGTCCGGGGTGGTGTGTGATAGTGCCGCGTGGGATGTGATGCTTATTACACACGGCATCGTTGGAGACGATCGTCTCATGGCTGCGTGAGATGCCATAGCAGGTACCACCTTACCATACTGTGCTTACTGTTTTCGGCTGTCTCGACGGCTGTCTCGAAGGCCGCGTCTCGCCAGCCAATCACCAGTCGCTATTAAGTAACAGCTTCCCGATTAGCTCGCTTAGCGCGGACCCACCCGAAAAGCTTTTTCGCAGAACCGACACTAACCGCTTTTTTGGGCTTCCTAATAGGCTGAGAAGGCGCTGCCGGCCCGCTCGGCAGAAATCCGTGCTGCCTCAGGTATCAACGCAGTATCTATTACTAGATGAGAATCTCAAGAGCTCCATCTTATTATACAGCGGACCCATCGTGGCAACGCAGAATCTGCACATTATCTTCTTATGTTCCGAGCCGGAGAATAACTATAAGCTGATCGACATCGGTACCAGGTTCCTTCCATTAGATGGCCCATCATGACACACGCCAGGTTTGTGCGTTTGGAGTACATATTCAAAGCTCCAATGGCAGTACGTTGTGGTGGAGATAGCTTGCCTTCCAATGCTAAGTATAGCAAATATACTGTCATCACATTCTGCGGATGGAGGCATTGGGTTCAGATCCAGCACCCATCAAGGCCATCACTTGAATCAGGTACCCTCCTTGCCCCAGACGATCATTAAGATTAGCCTCTTTCCTAGCAACTCTGGTCAGTGCTTGATGCTTAGTTTGCTCCGTAGTCATGCCACGAACTTATATAAGCTGTGTTATTAACTATATCCGTGTGCCACGTTCAGCCCACGAGGAAATGGAGGACTTCACATTTTCCTGCTGTGTCACGGTTTCCCGCATTTTGTAAAACTATCATGGATGGAGGTTAAGTAGGTAACTAGGTAACATACTGTGAGACTACATGAAGTTACCACAATGGACAATACAGAGACACATACACCTACAATATATAATGCCTCCAACTCCATGAATTATCACCAACAGTTGACATTAGATGGACATTGCAACAGAACATACGAGATACTTTCCATGCACTATTCAGTACCTCCCGAGTAACTACATCACTAGCCGGTCTTGTGTCTACTCGATGGTCAAGTTAATATCGCTTATCCAATATTGACTCATTCGACGTTGATAGAATGCGGGGTATCCATATGCCGGGCATTCTGTCTCAACGATTCGACATTATATATCTTCTCAATTGGGATAGATCTATATCTCTAACTGCTTCATCCAAGAGGAGCACGTAAATACACACTGACTGCATATAACGCCAATAGAGAACATCGTCTAACACTCGGTCATAACTAGCTCAATGACCGAGACGAAGAACTACCAACCCATACCAAAGTCCGCCACGACTCTGACGCATAAGCCATCGGAGAACAATACCCCGAAAATGACTCTAACCCCTCATTTCATACGATTGCACCTCCCCAGAAACCCTCTCACTTCCCAACACACAATGGGCCGTCTTCAGGATAAAGTCGCCCTTGTTACCGGCTCCTCGTCGGGCCTGGGTCGATCCATCGCAACTCGCTACGCCCAAGAAGGCGCAAAAGTCGTCTGTGCAGATATCACTCCCACGGCGCGTTCCCAGATTCCAGAAGAGCTGCAGATCACCACGCATGATGCCATTACCCAAGCCGGTGGACAGGCGATATTCATAGCAACCGATGTAGGAGATGCAAAAGCCGTTGGAGATGCCGTCCAAGCGGCTGTTACCGAGTTTGGCAGATTAGACATGTAAGCTTCGCGCCTCGGGTTATACTATGATAGACTGATGAGCGTAGCCTGGTCAATAATGCTGGAGTCGCGCTTGAAGCCCGCCATCCAGCCAAGATCCACGAAACCGACGAGGCCGTCTGGGACACGACGATGCGCGTCAACGCGAAGTCGGTCTTCCTGGGCTGCAAATACGGTGTTGCTCAGATGCTGAAGCAAGAGCCCCATTCATCCGGTGATCGCGGATGGATTATCAACATTGCTTCGATCTTCGGCCTCGTCGCCGGGCTCCATAATCGTATGTCTGATGAGTCTGTCCTTGCAGCTAGCTGACACATAGTGTAGCGTCGTATTGCGCTTCGAAAGCGGCCGTCAGCAACTTGACGCGCCAAGTGGCCCTCGAATATGCCGCTGATCGGATCCATGTGAATGCTTTATGTCCTGGATGTGAGTGCCCTTCCTCCGAACGGAACACCGCTAAGACATGCAGATACGCAAACGGCCATCTTCCAAGAGACCACTACCCATATGATCTCCCTGGAAGATCTTCAGCGCCGCCATCCATTCAAAGGCCCAGGTCTTCCCGAAGACATTGCTCGCATGGCGGTGGTCCTCGCCAGCGACGATGCCAGCTGGATGACTGGAGCTTGCGTGCCGGTTGACGGGGGTTATACTGCTCGATAGATTGGATGGATGGAGCATACGATATGTCTATGGAAACAGCGTTGGCCGCTTGGACCTATGAAATGTGCATTTGGTCGTTTAACCTTCAATCACAACATACAAATTCGTCTCATTCAACACACTCTCAATGTTCATGCCAGTCCAATCTACAGCATACAAGCTCCTCCTAGTTCTGGGGAATATGCAAAGTCCGCACCGTCGTAAACACGTCCCTACTGTATTCACCACCCTCTCTCCCCGTCCCGGACGCCTTCATCCCCCCAAACGGCGTTCCTAGCTCACGCACCAGCCAGCAGTTGACCCAGACCAGACCCGCGTCGATCTTCTCACCGACACGACGGATCCTGCCCGCGTCTTTCGTAAGAAGAATGCTGGCTAGGCCGTACTGGCTATCGTTTGCCTTGTCAATGGCCTCGCTCTCAGTTTCAAACGGCGTGAGGGTGACCACAGGCCCGAAGATCTCATCTGTCATCAGGATGCTCGAATCGGGAACGGTCAGGATGGTCGGCTCGATCCAGTAGCCACCGTCCGGTTTCTCAGGGGGCACAGAGCCCAAGTGGAAGACGGCGTTGGGGTCAGCAGCCGCGAGAGTCAAGTACGATCGGATTTTGCTATAATGGGGCAAGGAAACAACCGCGCCAACGGTCTGGCCTAGGACGTAGTTCTTCTTGACGTATTCGACAAATCGCGGGACGAAGTCGGACCAGATGCTCTTCTGGATGTAGACCCTGGATCCGCACAGACAGATCTACCACCGTTAGTTGACGTACAGCTGACACGGCGGTTAACCTACCTCGCCCTGGTTCTCGAATGCCGCCGTCGCCGCCGTCGCAACCGCCTTGTCCAGATCCACGTCGTCAAAGACCAGCGTCGGGTTCTTCCCTCCCAGCTCCAGCGACAGATACTTTCCAATCTCATCCACCGTATCGCGACGGATCTGACGTCCAGTAGCCGTGCCACCGGTGAAGGAGATGCCCTTGACGCGCGGGTGACGGATGAGGGCCGATCCAGTCGGGTTGCCAGCCCCGAAGACCATGTTGATGACGCCGGGCGGGAGTTTCGCTTCTTGAAAGACGGTCGCCAATACTGATGGACACTATTAGCGCCACCCATCTACACGGAGGAATACGCACAATATGCAGTGATGCTCGTCACCTCGCTGGGCTTCGCGACCGCCGTGCACCCAAACGCCAGACATGGGGCGATCTTCCATGTCAGGAGGTACAAGGGCATGTTCCACGGGGAGATCAGGGCAAAGACGCCCTTGGGCGAGCGATGCTCATACGTGAGGATGTTGGTGTCGGTCCACCGGGCATGGGTTTCTTGATGCAGGATGTACGTGGCAAAGTAGCTGCATCGCATTGTTAGAGCTCCCTCCGTCGACAGAGACAACCACAACTATACCGGAAGTTCGACACCGCACGGTCGATCTCAACGCGGGCCCTGGCAATGGTCTTGCCCTGATCGAGGCTCTCCCACACGGCAAACAGCTCGCGCTTTTCTTCAATCGCCGCCGCGATGCGCTGCAGATATTGCGACCGTTGCGACGGAGAGGTGGCGGACCATGCCGGAAAGGCTTGCTCAGCGGCATTCACAGCGGCATCGACCTGCTCGGCCGTGGAATTGGGGACGTAGGCGATGTGTTGGCCGGTCTTGGGGTTGAAAGCGGGCACAGCATCCTCGTGGTGGGGGTGGGGGATGAGCTCTCCATTGACGAGATTCTGGAGACGGAATGGCCGGAAATCAGGCTGGCATAGATGCGCCTCTGCAGCGTCCAGCGTGGATAGGTCCCAGGGTTCCATGGCCGACATTCTGGCGATGTTGTTGCATACAATAATCGCTGAGAGCTGCTGGCGACAGGCGTGTCTATATCCATTGCAGCTAGCTGGACGGCGTGACGTGCATCGGATAGTCCTCCGTGCACCGGACCGCATCCTTGATAACGGACTGACAGCGGATAGTATCCGGATAGAGATGCAGCCAAGAAGTGGAGAAGATAGAGTACCTAGAGATACGGGGATGGCACTTTGATCAGGGTATGGTATTGTTGATTATGGAATTCTACGTAGGATGCTCCATCCAAGAAAAGGTACAATATAGCACAACATGTACAATTGCATTGACTATCTGATTACATACGGAGTATACAATTACTTGGGATCGGCTATGTTCCCACACGCACCACACCGCCGGCTCTCCTCATCCCGCTGCCACCGTTCAATCAACGGCTTCAACTGCGTGCCCAAGTCCGAACAGTAGAAGACCTCCTCGCGGATCATCGAGGGTTTCTCATGCGCTCCCTTGGTGCAATACCACCGTAGTCGGTCCAGCACTCCTTCCGGCCGCTTGCGCTCCATGACCATCCCGATGGTGTCGGCGAATCGCACGGGGTTATGGGGGGTATTGGCTGGTCCATCAGTATCCAGACAGTCTGGAGACAGACTATTACATACATGGTAGCAGAAACATCTCGCCCTCTTTGATGGGAATGTCGCGGAAGGTCTCGTTGTCGACAACCCGGAGGAGCATGTCCCCCTTGACCTGATAGAACCACTCTTCCGTTTGGTTGACTGCACGATTAGTACTTCGAAACAGCCCAACTGAAGCATAGACACATACTATGATAGTCATTGCGCTCATTTGGCCCTCCCACCACCATCAGCGTAAAGTCGTCGCCGTCGTACAGACAGTAGTTGTTGACGGGCGGACAAAGCTTGTCCTGGTTTTCCGCCAACCAGCTCTGGAAGGAAAAGGGAGGAATCATGATGACGCTGAAGACAGTATTGTCAAACTGAGATGCCGTGTTCCTGTCCTATCATCATATATAGGCGCTGGGCGACTGCTGATAGGCATGGAAGCCATCCGGCGTGCATCCGGATGGCATCCGGGGCGGATGTCGAGACGGATGGGAGACCCTCCTACGTAAAGCTCTCCTTCATAAGTAACCCGTCTCCTGCAGGCAACCAAGAATCTAATCTGTCACTGTAGTATCTCGCATCGAGTCTCCCTCATCATGCATTGCTCCGACTGCCATTTGCTGCGCATCGATATGCACACGCATATCATGCCCCCCACGCTGCCAGATCTATCCTCATACGCCTCCAACTCAAGCGAATCGCCCTGGCTATCGCTCCGACCAAACCAGAAAAACCCCGAAGACGTCGACATGTACGTGGGCGATCGCTTCTTCCGCACCGTCAACCCAAACTGCTACGACGTGCACACGCGGCTGGCCGAAATGGACGCGGCCGGCACCGACGTGCAGGTCCTCAGCACCATCCCCATCCTCTTCTTCTACGACCAGCCCGCCGAGCCGGTGACGATCCTGGCGCGGCACCTGAACGACCACATTGCCGCAGTCTGCGCGGAGCATCCAGCGCGCTTTCTCGGGCTCGCCACGGTGCCCCTGCAAGACGTGTCGGCGGCGGTAGCCGAGCTGCACCGCGCCAAACACGAGCTGCATCTGCACGGCGTGGAAATCGGCACCACGATCGACGGCATGACGCTGGACGACCGCGCGCTCGATCCGTTCTGGCAGGCCTGCCAGGACCTGCAGATGCCCGTCTTCATCCACCCGCTCGGCTACACCTGGCCCAAGGAGAACCCCAAGTTGTGGGCCAAGTACTGGAGCTCGTGGCTGGTCGGCATGCCGTGTGAGACCGCCCTGGCCCTGCACCTGCTCATCTGCTCGGGCACGCTGCTGCGCTTCCCCCGGCTGCGGCTGTGTTTCGCTCACGCCGGCGGCTCGTTCCCCACGCTGCTGGGCCGCATCCAGCACGGCTACGACTGTCGGCCGGATCTGGTGGCCACGGACGCTGGGGGTGTCACGCCGATGGAACATGCCACGGTGCGGGATAACATCTGGATTGACAGTCTGACGCACGACGCGGACCTGCTCGAGTACCTGGTGAAGAAGGTGGGCTCGCACCGCATGATCATGGGCAGTGACTATCCGTTCCCGCTGGGCGAGGTGCCCGAGGCCGGCAAGATGCTGGCGCGCGATGATCGGTTGGACGGGTTTCTATCGTGGAAGCAGCGGGCGGAGATGCTGGCAGGAAATGCGCTGCGGTTCCTGAACCTGGACCAGGACGAGAAGTGGAGGGCGATGATGGAGTCGCGATGGAGGGAGTTTGAAAAGGTGCATTCGTCTTTGTGAGCGGATGCTTCCATGTACACACATGCCACGATTTACGACCAATATGTATCTAATCAAGCAATTTATTCCGTTACGAATTATCTCTGCTTAAAGGTAAAGGCGCACACAGAACCCCCCGTTCGCCTGCGTTTACATGGCCGGTCGTCCTCCTCGGGTTGGCTGAGCGGCGGCGTAGGGCATTCCACGATATCAGGTGCGCTCGTCGGCGACAGATGGAACAGTTCGTCCATCCAGGCGGTGTCGGGCATCGACGGAAACAGGTTCGATTCAAAATCAATCTGCGCAGCGAATTCCTGCCACGGATCCAGGGGCGTCTTGTCCTTGGACACCAGGCACCCCGAGTCACAGATACAGCGGCCCGGACTGCCCCGATGTACCATCTCGCGGGTCAACGTCTCGTATGCCGTCAGGATGGTGCGGTACCGTTGAGCCATCGGCCAGGTTGTGTCCATCCGCGCGAGAAGGCGCATGCCTCGCTGGCTGTGCTCGCGGGCGTCGGCGGCGGTGCGTTCGTCGTCGGTCTGGCGACGACAGTGCAGCAATGTTGCAATGCTGACCACCAGATTCTGACCATGGAAGGAATAGTAGTGGCACACGGGAACGTGGCTCAAAAACACCTCGGTCATGTCAATGCATTCAATTGCCGCCTGGAGGGATTCCTTCAACGCTTGCTCGAACGGGAGTCGTGATACCCGGTGAGGCGTTGCCATGTACGTGCGGAAGAGCAAATGCACCGCCGAACAGTATGTCGAGAGCAACACGCATCGTTCTGTGATCCGAGATGTGTCTGGAGAAGACTCTACCCGGGCGCAGGGGAGCTTTGTGTCTTTCCAGGCCTGGAGTTCGTGCCAGAGCTCGTCCACCTTGCCCTGCAGCTCGCCATCACTTTCAGCCTCACTCCACCTGCGCGCCTGCTGTACCGTGTTGACCAGCTGATGAATTTCCCCGATGATCTTGCACAGATGCGTCATGGCAACAAATCCAGGGGCTTGTGGTCGAGCCGACGGAAAGAACACGTCCGAGTCTGCGTCGTGGATGGCTAGGGGACGACCGAGATGAAGGGCCAGCAGGCGGTCCATCACGTACAGACACCACCACAGCTGACATCGTCGTTTGATGTCCAACAGAGGCAGTCCCATGCGTTTGGGCGAACGCTAAGCATGTCAGTGCCGCCGACGAATACCAATATCTAAATGAGACTTACATGCAGGCCCATTTCGTAGCCCAATCGCACTGCGTGTCCGACAATCCGCCATGCCTCGTTCAGCTTTCCCAGCTGCGTCAGATGCATCCCAAGGAGGGTAAACGCCGTGACGGTATTGATACTAGGGTCCTGCACCGTAAATGATGTCATCCACGACAGATGCTGTTCGTGGGCGCCCACCGCCGCGACCGCGAGGCTGTAAAAGTGATCCCCGAGATCCAGACATCGATATGCCGAGCAGCCGGGGCGACTCCAGACGGGGTCATCGGGCGAGATATGCGGCGAGGAGACGGCCAGGACGGAGTAGAGCAGTTCCACGAACCCTGATCGCGAGCCACTATGATAGCGCAGCATCAAATACTGCCGGCGAAAGTCTTCCGCCTCGATGATCGGGAACAGTTTGTACACCTTACGGAAGAACGTGTCGATGAGAGTATCCATGAGAGGCACGGGGGGCAGGTGTCCCGTCCGATCTATTGGGCTGGACTCGGCTTTCATCGCGGCCTCGCAACCGATCGATGGGCTTAAGAGTGATTCTTGCGGTTGGTGTCCTTTCTGGAGGAGCTCTTGTCGCACGCGAGTTCGGATGCCTGGGCAATCATCCATCAGCCAGACTGTTGCGCCCAGCCCGACATATCTATATTTGTCAGCCGTCCGCTGCCTCCGTAGGTGCGATTGACGAGTACACGTACTTGGCTCCGTCTGTTCCATCGGCTGCCAGCGTTCCGTAGTCATCACTGTAGACCATTGGGGCCGTGGCAGTGTCATTTTTACCCGCATGAGCTGTCTGGAGAATCGAGCCAACGGAGTGATTTGGCAGATCCAACGGAACCGCATGAGACTCGTCGGCTGAGCTACTGACCAGCTCTGGATCGATCGTATCGGTGGTGTCTGACGGGACCAACTGCGTGATGGGGGTGAACTGCTCCTGGGGGGCGATAGGCTCGGATGGGGGCAGGGGCACGTCCTGGCAGAATGGTGCAGCAACTACATCATGCTGTTCGCACAAATTCGATGCCACATCACGACTCACAGCCGATGTGGTGTCCTTCTGCAAGGCAAGCTGGGCGGCGAGTCGCTGTTGTTCGTCCACGAGACTGGTGACGAGATCTTCCAGCGCGCGGAGGCGTTTTCCATACACCTCCAGCACTCTGCCACCGCGTTAGTAAACGACCGATCATTCCGATATCGACACATACTGGGCATCGACAAACCCCCGTCGAAAGCCATCTCCAGCATAGACACACTCGCTGGCCGTGTCCAGACAACACTGACACGGATCCGAGCCATCACACTTGATCTTCTTCTTGCGACACGATTCACAGGCCCGCCAGACCCTCCGGCGGTTCTGCGGCGGCCGAGTGACATTGGCCAGCGCTAAGGGCCGACTTGCTCGTGGCCCTCCGGAGAATCGTCTTGCATCGTCGGTCAGCTCCACGGGAGTGCCATTCTGATGGAACGACACCAGCACCTGCGCGGCATCATGCGAGGGCGTTGGTCGACGAGCTAGTGGCATTTTGCAATAATCGATGTTTCACTGGACATGACATGGTGCTGCTGTTGCTGTTGATTGCTTCATCCGTTGAGGACCGGATGTATATCCGACGGATGCGGATCCGGCAGCATCCGTTCCCTCGGTTATTACGAAGCGGTCAACGTGGAGAATCAATACGAGTAGAACGAACTAGTAGGTATATCAAGGGGGCAGTGCAGGCCCGAGCGTGATAAGACAGACGGATATGCATGACCGTCACAATACTAGATCATGTTACACCTGCTGAGTGTCTTGGTGAGATCTTGGCCATCTGGTTGGAGTATAGTCGCACATTCCATCTCCCTGGTGCTGCAATAATATCTGTCCTTGCTCACGATCTCTGTGTCGCAATGGCAATGCGATGCATGCCAGGCGATGATCAGGGGCACACTGCGGGGTCGCCAGCCTGCTAGTAGTACGCCATAAGCCGTAGTATGCCGTGGTAAGCCCTAAACAAACAAGCAATCGGCGTGTTGTGAATGCCGTGATTGGGCCGATATCGTGATCCCCCTGCAAGGTGTCTTCGGATGGTTGCACCAGGCAGATTGCCCTTTGTTCGGGCCAGCAGATCTCATAAATTGTCTTCAGTCTGTGAAATCCTGTGAGTCTTGCACTGCTCGTCTTCAATAGTCCTCTGCAGGATACACGATGAGGCGGCTTCTGCTGCTGACGGCGGCGGCATCGCTCGTCCAGGCCACCATCCACCCACTGGATGTCCTCTCCAATCCTCATCTGCGCCAAATCAAGAGATCGCATGCAATTCAGCCGCGAGATGTGACCTATCCAGCGCATTATCTGTCGGTGCCGATCGACCATTTTCACAACGAGTCTCGCTATGAGCCCCATACAGACAAACACTTCCCCCTGCGCTACTGGTTCGATGCGCAGTACTATCAGCCCGGGGGGCCCGTCTTCGTCATCGCAGCCGGGGAGACGAGCGGTGAGGATCGGTTTCCGTTCTTATCGCAGGGCATTGTCACGCAGCTGGCCGAGAAGTACCACGGCCTCGGGGTAATCCTGGAGCATCGCTACTACGGCGACAGCTATCCGTTCGACAACCTCACCACGTCGAACATCCGCTTTCTCTCCACTGAGCAGGCCGTCGCCGATTACGCCTACTTCGCTTCGAACGTGGTGTTTCCCGGGCTGGATCATGTCGATCTCAGCCCTGAGAACACCCCGTGGATCGCGTATGGCGGGTCGTACGCAGGCGCCTTTGTCTCGTTTCTGAGGAAGCTCTACCCCGATGTGTACTGGGGCGCAGTCTCTTCGTCGGGCGTTACTGAGGCCATCGTGGACTATTGGGAGTACTACGAGCCGATCCGCCAGTTCGGTCCGGCGGACTGCATCCACAACACGCAGACGTTTGTGGATATCATCGATAACGTCCTCATCGAACATGCTGAAAACAAAGCGCTCAAGGCGGAGCTGCTGTCGGCGATGGGCATCCCCTGCGATATGAAGAGCGAGCAGTTTGCGGGCATGCTTTCGTACGGCCTCGATGCCTGGCAGAGTCGCAGCTGGGACCCGGCCATTGGCAGCCCGCTCTTCCGCCAGTACTGCGATAACATCACCAGCCCGCATCTTTTGTACCCGGACACGGCGGCAGTGAGAGGTGCATTCAAAAAATTCGTTTCGATCGCAGGCTACGACGCCTCCGACGCAGATCTGGTGACGGGAATTCTGAACCACGTCGGGTTCCTCAATACCTCCGTGTTTGCCCCTAGCCAGAGTGACCTCTGCCCCAAGAACACCACGGCTCACACAGCCAAGCTCAGTGCCAGAGCGCCGCAACCCCTGGATAAAACGTCGGATGTGAGCTGGAACTACCAGGTCTGCACCGAATGGGGATATTTCCAGGACGGCGCATCGGTACCTGCCAACATCAAGCCCTTGATTTCCCGGTTGTTGACTCTGGAGAACATGTCGGCCTTCTGCAAGACCCTCTTCGGGATCTATACACCACCGGACATCGACAGAGTCAATCAATACGGTGGCTTTGGATTCTCCTATCCCCGGGTTGCGGCCATCGACGGTCTGGCGGATCCATGGCGCCCCGCTACGCCCCATGCAGACGTTGCTCCTCCCCGCAAGTCGACCATTGAGGAGCCTTATATCCTGATTGAGATGGCGCCGGAGGAGGTTTGGGATGGCGCTGCTGGGGCTGTGCATCACTGGGAGCAGAATGGGCTATCCAAGGAGGAGCTGGCGAGTGGCAAGAGACCTCCCAAGGCGATAGCCCATGTTCAAAAGGAGGTTGTCCACTTTATCGGCAAGTGGCTGCATCAGTGGCTGAAGCGGTCTGCTCCCGATCTGTGAGGTGGACATGTGCGTGTACATATCTCGCAGTTGAAGCTATAGATTTGCCATCTATGCATGGTGTTTTCTGGAGAAGTCTTGCAATTTCCTCCCGGGGGCTGGAAATATTCGTGGCCTTTTGTCTGGTCATCGTCGCATTGACTATATGTACATCTAAATCTTCCGTATTTACAACTTGGCCTGCTCTCTATGCGGAGGGATCAAGAAGCCCTCAAAGAACTTTCCAATCTGTTCAAACTTGTCCACGCCAAACACGGCAGAGACATCTGGACATCATCAGCGAGATTATAGCAGCAAGGAAGGTATTTGCTTACACTGGTCGGGTCGGACAATGATGATAACCCCCTGCTGCGGATCGATACCAAGGTATTCGTAGAGATGGCCATGCCCTTTGTTATAACTCTCGTCGTCAAACAGAATCTTGTGAAGATCGCGTGTCTTGTTCTTGCCTGAGAAGGGGTAGAACGACTTAGGAATCTGCTGCAGCTCTATATCGTGGCGTTTGCCATGGGCCACCAGAATCGGCTCAATCAGACTGTCGATATCATCGCCAGAGGGCGTAAACCGGCGCATTGGGCTCTCACTGGACTTGAAGTAGTTTCCAATCTAAACGTCTCATCAGCAAACGAGCTAACAACCCAGGAACTGCACCCATCCGATACTCACCGCTGCCAAGTTCCTCCGGTTCTGCGCCAGCTGGAGATCGCCCACAAAAGTCATCACTCGCCAGCGGCCATCCGACTTGAGAGAAGTCATGAGTTGCACCGGTTTAGAGTCGCAGTAGCGCACGACCTGCGAGCTTGGCAGTCTCATACCCACCACGGCATTCTTCGCGAGCTGTGCCGTCTCATCCAGTCCCGACGTAATGACGGACTGGTCGTATTTCGCCGTGAAGCCCGCGGTATATTTCCCAGACTGGACAAAGCCCTTCTGGAACTCCTCGGGGGAGATCTTGCCGGTCGAAGAGAAGAGCTTCGAGAAATAGCGGTCGAAGTTGATAAGGTCGATGGCCGTCTTTCGGCGTTCTAACACATACGTTTCCAGCAGAGATGGCGGCGACAGGCCCTTAAGGACGGAAGCCAGCTTCCAGCCAATATTGTATCCATCCTGCAGACTCACGTTCATTCCCTGGCCTGCTTTGGGGGAATGCGTATGGCACGCGTCGCCGGCCAGGAACACGCGGTAGTCTTTGTGGAAGTTGTCGGCATGACGCTGCCCAATCGAGTACGCAGACCACCAGACAGTCTCGGCGAACTCGATCTTGTACTGTCCGAGAATGCGTCGGGCTGTGTTCTGCAGATCCTCCAGTTTGACCTCACGGGGTTTCGTTCCTCTTGGAAGTTCGATATAGAATCGGACGAGGTTATAGGCGTCACCTTCCCGAGGAATGATCAGTAGATTTCCTGCCTTGGAGCGGATGGTCGATTTCTTCCGAATGTCCGGGAAATCCGTGCGAGGCACCATGTCCATCACGCCCCAGACGGCATCCGTACTGTCGCCCAGCATGTTGAAGTCCAGGGCACGCCGGACCATACTGTGCGCGCCGTCACAGGCCTACAACGTGTAAGACAGATCCCAACGAGAGAAGTGGATTCACGTACCAGCGCATACTTGGCTTCAAACTCCACAAGCTTCCCATCCTTCTTGGTAATCACCTTGACGGGGTACGCAGACGGGTCCTTGGCCAGCTGGCTATCGACCTCGAGATGCTTGACATCATAGCCGTAGTCGATTTCCTGATTGTTGAACCGGCGCATCGCCTCAATCAGCAGCCCATTGATGCGCGCCTGATTCAGGATCAGATGCGGCTGATGCGACAACCCAGGCTGAGTATCCGCTGTTCTTCCGGTGCGTTTAATGGCGCCAGCGCCCGGGGCGTCCTCTGCCCAAAAGGCGACCTCTAAGACATGGTACGCCTCGCGCAGGAGTTCCTCGCCGATCCCGAAGCTCTCAAAAATCTCCACCGTCCGACACTGCACGCCATCTGCCTGTCCGAGGACCAGGGGACCGTCGCGGCGCTCGAGGATCTTGCAGCTAATGCCATGGCGCGCAAGCCAGGTGGCGGCGCAGAGACCGGCGGATCCGCTGCCGCAGATGAGGACGTCGACTTTTTCAACCATTTCAGTTTTGGGATATGTATCTGAGAATGCGGAGAATGTGTTATAGGAACGGGTTAAGCTCCAGATGATCGCGTATAAGTATGGCTGTCTTGAGGTTCGGGATGGCACCCGTGTGCTTCGGAATGTATCCCGGGATGGAATGCCTCCCGGTTAGGCCGAGGTATAAACACAGCATTCATGGACGGCAGAGAAAGATGCCGATCGAGCAGAATTGCATTCAAATAAGCTAGACATACCCGCTGCCATCGTGTTCACGGCTTTGCGAGGTAATCTATCAACATGGTTACTATACTGATCTATATATCGGCTCCCACGACCAGACACTGCGCTTCAGAACAGTCTGAGACATGTAAAGATCAGCCTCAACACAGACGGATACATCGAAACCAGATCCTCATCGCTTGTCAACCGGACTCTGATGGTCTCGTCTCCAGATAGTATTCTAGCCCAAGATGTCGGCAAAAGGAATACCCATCTACAAATCCGAGGCCTACAACCCATATCCTTAGCAGAGAACAGCCCAGACTCCGTGCTGATTGTTGCAAGGTAGTCTGTTTTAGTTCATGCTTGATCAACATTACTCGCCATGGCATTACTTTGGAATATACGACCATGTACAAGCCTATTGAACAGAGCTGTTTCATCCATTCCATAGCAAGTCTCTTCTCTCGCGGATATCAGGACTGAACAGCACATTTTTATACGTCTCCTATTCCAATGGTCCTTTTATACTACCCTCACCCTTCTGTATTCAATCCAGATACGCCTGAGCCATGGGATGGAGTATTCCCTTTCACATGAATGTTCTCGGGTGGGATTATTCGCATGATGTTGGACCTGTGCACGGTGTCGAATTATACATAGGACGTTGATGTTACAGACAATAATATGTCCTGTCCAACCCAGATGAACAGTAATCTTGTGATTATTTGGAAGGATACAAGCCTTCTCCTAGTCAGCTCATGTGGATCGCACTGTTACCCGTTCTGGAAAGAATCCGGCTCGGTTCCACAGAACAGCTCGTATTCCCGACCTCATGTTCCATTCTCTTTCAGCCACCTCATCGTGAGACCCCTCGAGCGGGCACTGTATCCCCTGCCTCGTCATACATCGCGGGACTATCTGCTCAAGCTTTCTCTAGTGCTTGAGGGTCCGAGCAAACCCCACCAGGCAACAGCAATCCGATCTCATAACTACCCAGCCTCACCATTATCTCCACCCCAGATCGATTCTCCACAACAGCGTCAGTCTGCCAAGCTCACGCAGAATGAAGATAGTAATTGTTGGAGGCGGTATTGCCGGATGTGCCGCATACCTTGAGCTAAAGAAACACCTCCCTCCGCCAGCCCCGGGGGAAATGCACTCCATCACCATCTACGAGGCATACGGCACCAAGAAGGATACCAAACAGCACAATCCTGACGGCAGCCCGACCCCTTCGCACGCGTTGGTCATAGGCGGCGGCCTTGCGGTTGGCCCTAATGGACTCAACGTCGTCAAGCGCCTGGACGAAGACCTGCTTCGTGATATTGTCCGTGGGGGCTATACCCTTGCCACCTCGAACATCAAGAACAAAAATGGACGGTTGCTGATGCGCATGAGTAACGCAGAGGACTGTTCCACGCCAGAGGGTGGTTCCATGCATATGGTTGGGAGTAGTCGCCACTTGCTTTGGCACTGTTTCCGTCAGCGCATCCCTGACCGCGACATCATCACGAAACGCGTTGTCAAAGTAGCCGCAAGCCGCGATGGTCGAAACAAGATCTATCTCCATGGCGAGGACGATCCGATCGACGCAGACCTCGTCATCGGAGCAGACGGAGTGAAGGGGATAGTCAAACGGGCATTGTTCCCAGACGCCCAGGAAGATCTGTATCCGCCTCATTACGAGTATGTTCTCCCTTCTACCTGGAGATCAAGTAAATAACCAGTACCATCAGAGGACTTGTGGGCGTAGGCGGGTTCATACCCACCTCGCAGGTCAAAGACTTTGTCGAGCCGGGATCGGGAAACTTCATTCTCGGCGGCAACGGGTTCTTCGGTTACTTCTTTGCCAACAGCGCTCAATCAGCCCCGAACCGCGACTCGCCCTACCATGTCTCTGAACCAGGCGATACCCTGGCCTGGTGGTCGACCTATTCTGTGGATGAATGTCCCAACCCAAAGACCCTGGACAAAGCGGATGTCGCGCGACAGTTGCGCGAGCGTCATTCACACTGGCAAGACCCAGTGATTCAACGTGTCTTGAACTCGCTAGAAGTTGAGAACCTCTATCCAACATGGACCTCACCACAACTTCCCACCTGGGAGCGTGAGGGGGTCGTGCTCGTGGGAGATGCCGCGCATGCGCTCCCCCCATCGTCTGGCCAGGGAACATCACAGGCGCTCGAGGATGTAGAGTCCTTGACGCTGTTACTCTGTCACTACCTTCGCGAGCAGAAGCCCGCGAATGACCCGTTGACGCTGAAACATGTGATTTCGACTGCAGCCAAACAGTACATGCATCTTCGTCGCCCGCGGATTGAAGCAATCCTGGACGAAGCACGGCGAAGACAGGACCAGAAACGGAACATGGGCTGGCTGGAAGAGATGTTCATGTACTGTTTTATGTGGATCCTTGGTAAGTGGTTACTTCTCCATCGTTGGTAAAGAGACTGACAGTTGTAGGGTGCTTCCCAAGCGTTGTCTCAAAGCCTGCGAAACAGGTTTTTAATTATAATATCGCAGACGAAGTTGCCAAACTACTTGCGTCTGATAAGTGATTGTCCGTTTATTCACGTTGTATAAATATTGATAGGAATCTCCACTCTAATGTAAATATTGCGAGAGGAATGGTAAAATATATTGCAATTGAACAACTTTTACCTACAGGGCAGGGGCTCTCCATGGGATATGCATCATATTCTTGATCTGCGTTGCTCAACTCTGTCCGTAAGTCTATTCACGAATGCATGCCCTCGATATTAATGCACAGTGAGTTCTATTGTAAAACACTTATAACATGCACGACAAACACCATCACTGTATAGCAGACCATGAAACGCCAGAACACGAAAGCACCACACTATAGTCACTCCAGGCTTTGCAAGTAACTACTCGCCTCGTCCCGACGATACCAGGCAGTATGTGGGATGGGGCAAGGGTACCGTCTCAACAACAAGTCGTGAGCTTATCGACCAAGCTTTGCTCCGCCAGTGACCTCTCCTTCTCAAGACGCTGTCTGCGCCGCTTCCGAGCGTTGGCACAGTAGGGGCACTCTTTTTGCCGTTGGGGCACGTACGCTTCATCACATTTGGGACACCAAGTTATATGCCCGAGACGCTGGCAGTTGATGCTTGGAGCACGGCGGCATATCGCACTGAAGATTGTCAATGGCTGTGGTATCGAAGGGACGTTCGCTCTTACCAGTGGTGAGTCATGGCGTATTTGAGATGGTTGGGTAATCAGTTATATATGGTGAGGTGATTGTTTGGTGGTTTGGCAGGGTATGCTGGAGATGCTGGAGATGCCATCGTTCTTTTGGGCAACTTGAAGCATTTTATAACTTGCCGCCTGTATGTAGCTATCGGGGATGGAGATTCATAGATCAAGGATAGCACCGTGATCTGGAGGTCAAGGGCAAAGATATCGATTGCTCCCCGAGCGAGTATACAAAATTCTCAGTGCATTGTGATCTGGATGCTTCTAGAGTCGAGCTGCTTAAAGGGATAAAGACCCCCTAACAATGGCATAGTGTGGATACTCTTCGTATACACCCAGCTTAAAGTGTCACAGTTGATAATAGATGGAGAACAAGCAAAGGCATTCCATATTTGGAAGCGCAACAACGAGGATCAACAGCCTGAACAAAGATGTCAATAACTTGAATCGCTGTATGTGTATCTCAGCTGTCGAGGCCGTTTGTGCCTCTAGAAGATCAATGCCATTGTTTCCTTCAAGGCACTCACTCTCCAGTCGACACGGCTTGATTATTTACTCTCCACTGTCTCTCAGGGCTGGCGATGTCTTGGTCATAACAAAGGAAGTCTTGAATAATCGATATTCGCATCTACAAGTTCCATTGTTTGAAGTTTTACACGGGCCGAGAGTCAGTCGAGCTTCATCTACCAAGCAGGAAGCTCTCTTTCGAGATATTGCACGAATCCCTAGTCTATAACTTCTTTCAGGGCACAAGGCAGCATCATGTATACAGCTCAGGCTTCGGCTAAAAATAAACCAGTCTTGCGTACAATACGAACCCACTACCAATCATCAAAGATACTCACCAGAATGTCTCAGTCACAGCCTGCACCAAGACTTTACGACACAGTATGTCCCAGAAGGTCCGTCAGGCAGGCCTTCTAACTCGTGATCCGAGGCAAGCACTGACATGTCACACGCGAGGCCATTTGCTAGACCATGGCCAAGGCAACCTCGTCAGGGAATCCCCATCTAGCTCGCAATACGAGTCTCTCTTGGCAAAGTCAACGTCGAAGAAGAGAAACAGGTGCAATAATATAACTCAGATGCTGATCCTTCAAGCCCTTGGCATGGTCTCAGCCTACCCATCTGACTCGGTTGTAGTCATGGAGGGCCGATACTGCCATGGCATAGCGATGTCGAGGCTATAAAGACGGATAGCACTGCCAATGGTTCGATCATCACAAGTCCATCACACCAACCTGAACCCCAGTCATCACAACACCTCAAAATGAAAGTCTCAGTCATCTCCCTCCTCGCGTTCAGTTCTGCTGCTACGGCGGCCAGCCTGACCAAGGTCCAGCGCCAGGACTCCCTGCTCTGGCCGTACGCAACCTACCGCTACTGGGTGGACAGCGGCCAGTGGAAAGAAGACCCGCAGGACCAGCTCCTGGTCGTGAAGAACGGTGTTATGGCTGACGAAACAACTACAATCGTGACCTTTGACATTCCCGCTGACGTCGCGGGCCGCACCTGCAAGTTGCTCTTCGACCTCTGGGATCGTGATGTGTCGACTGGGACGCAGCAGGCGGACGTGTTCACTGCGACCAAGCCCACCGGCGCAGAACGGGCTGCGGTGTCGGTCGAGACGGTCTCGAAGCAGACCGCCGAGTTCATCGTGCAATCTAGAGATGAGCATATCGGTCGCATCCATGTCACTGCGCCGGGCACGGCGAACTGGATTCAGAGTTACCAGGGATATCCTGAGTTTGAATGTCCCGCGGGACAGATGGTCGGGTTTGAGTTTGTCGGCGCAGGGGATAATGTGTCGCTTCGCTGGGATATTGGTGTGACTGGACCTCGAGTGCAAGTTGTCTGAGTGAGGCATCTATAATGCTGGCAGGATGGGGACTGGGAGAATGTTCACGTTATGCTGGTAGGATGACTTGATGCAGGCACTTCTATTCACTCCTTACTTTATACCACTCACACATTCACTCCTTCACCTAGTCATGGTGTAGTCTGGTCTTCGGAAGAAACAACCAAGTTACCCCGGTAGCCCCCAGTAAACCCACCAAGATCGGCTGCAGCACCTTGACTCCAGCGCGGGCGGCGATGATACCCGTCACAGCAGGGAAGATCGAGCCTCCCACCTGGCCAAGGACGAAGACGAAGGCTGCTGTGATTAGGAAATGGACATGCCTGCTAGATAATCCTGGGGACTCACCCAATGCAGAAGAGCAAATGTCAGGCGCAAACAACTTGGACGCAACGGAAATGCCCTGGACTGATCAGCCTCGACTGAGATAATAAGCAAGAGGATACTCACCGTCGCAAAGAAAGGCCCGGAAAAGAAGCCGAATAGACTGACCGCTACTGCTGCGGTGATGATATTGGGGACACTGACTCGCTCGTTAGCACGTCGTCTACGCCATCACAGCAATAACGTACAGCCCGAACACCAGCTCCAGCCCCAGGCACAGCAGCACATAGATGAAAATCATCCTACGCTCGCCCAGACGATACGTCGGTTCAGCTAAGATCAACCGACCGAGAAACCCTCCTCCGTAGAAGCCCGCGGGCACGTAGCCCATGTTTTCCAGATTGCCATTCCGGACATCGACCAGATACTCGACAATCCATCCTGGATGGTTAGCGCGATCGAAAATCGAGATACAAAAGACGCGACGTACCTCCAGCGGTGATGCTCGCTCCGAGGAAGAAGAAAAAGTACAAGCTGACCATCCATACACTCAGGGAGGACACAGTTGTCTTCATTTCCTGAAGAGCACCATGCTTCCTTGATTCGACAGTAACAGTGGCTTCATCAGTATTTGGACGCTTCAAGCCGATCAAATCGCGGAATGCGACCAGTGCGAGAAGGGCGTTCAGCACACCCAGTCCTAGAGGCGCCGTGTAGAACAGATTCCATCGAGACTCGGCATCGCCCGAAGCGACGGCCGTCGCGACAAAGGGCCCGACCAGACAGCCGGCCATGTACATGGCATGGATGAAGCCCAGCCAGCGATGGGCGGCCTTGACGGATGCGACAAACGTGTTAGCGTATGTGTCTTGGTAGGCCTGACCGAGACTGGCGAAGAAGAAGGCCACAGCAAAAAGAGGGAACGGGGGCAGCCATGCCCGTAATGCGTGCGAGAGGACCTGCAAGACGGCGCCCAGGACGAGGAATACCCCCAGTTGGAAGTACTGTGACAGGTAGTTGTTCGATAGGGCAGCGATGAGCCAGCCGCCGAAAGTCGTGCCATACCTAGGCTTGCATCAATATATAGCTGGGTAGCTATGTCTAATATACTCACACGACCGCTACCATGTTGGTGTTGATGTGGTAGGACTGTCGGATATAGGGAATGAGGGATCCCAGACTGCCATCGTTGATGCCCGCTACAAAAAAGGCAAAACCGGCGCTGATGAGCTTCAGCAACACCCGCGGAGGGCGCTCGATCTCGGGAGTCTCTACTTGAATGGATTCCATCTGTTGTGCAAGGAACGTTGCTGTCCGTTGAAGATATCCGGAAGTGATATATGGAGTAGACCTCGGTCTGTGTACGAAAACGGCAAAACGGCCAGCAGCTCCGTGTTTCCCCCACTAAACGAGACTACTCTACATCCCTATGCTCTGAACGGACTAGACCAGCCCGTTTTCTCATACTGGCCAGTAATACTCTCCATCGTGCAGCGCCATCAACAAGTCTGGATCCACGTTGACAAACCCCGCCTCGCCCAAGCAAGGAAACTCGTTGCGGATCAGCTCGGCCACCATTCCCCCGAAGACCTGGCTCCCCTGCACGTTCAGATGGGTCTGGTCATCTGCCTTCAAGTTGTAGGTGTACGCATTCTGCGGTCCGATGCTATTGAGGTAGTCCGTGCTCGCCCGGTTGAGGTCGATATACGCCACACCCGCCGTGTCCGCGGCGTCGATGGTGGCGGCCCGTTGGTCCGCCAGGTTCTGGATGATGGTGGGCGTGCCCGAGGAATTGTCGTAGTTGCGGCGGGACAGCGGGGTGACAAGGATGGGTGTGCCTCCGGCATTCAGCACGTCGGCCGCAAATCGCTCCAGGTTACTTGTGTATGCCTCGATTGAGATCCCCGCGGCGGGTTTTTGGTCGTTGTGGCCAAACTGGATTGTCACGTAGGGCCTGTAGTCGGCTCTACGGGCCACCAGCTCGCTGAGCACATTTTCCCAGTCGCCTCCATCGCGGAAGCTGACGGTCGTGGCGCCGTTGTGGCCGAAGTTCAGCCCTCCGGCGCCGTGGAACAGCGTCGTGTTGATGAACCCATCGCCCCAGCCTCCGCCGCCGGTGGATTGGATGGCCGTGGTGCTGTCCCCGGCGAGGAGGAAGAAGGGTGGCTTTGCGGCTTTCCGTGAAGGAAGAGCATGCGCAGCCAGGACGAAGAAGATGTACCAGGAAAGGTGCATCTTGGATGAGTCGATACAGATGCGTAGGTACTATTCTGTTGATCAGTCGGTTCGCCAATTTGACACACTACGGGAGATCTTATAGAAAAATTCCAGCAGGGAAGGACAAGATATATTGAATATGAATTAGGTATTTAAATCCCTCGGAGTAACTAATATATAGAAGTATATTACCACCAGTAAGATCATTATTAGTATTCAAAAGCCCGAAGCTAAAGCACCATAACCGGGGTGGAGTGAGCGTCTGTCACCCAGATATTCCAAGGGCTTTTGACTATTTCACTCCAAAGAGAAAAGCCCCGGTCTAGTTCACCCCGAAGCCTATGCTGCAGGTCAAGGAGGCGACCCTGCAAGACTCAACCGGTCGTATAAACCGCAGATAAATATTTAGTAGATGGTTAAGACTGGGTGTGGCACACCGGATACTGCCGGATGGGGCTACAGTAGGTTATGATAATTAATCAAGCATTTGGCGTGACGAGCACGTCGGTATAAAGATCCCTGAATGTCATACCGCAGAAATAGCTGTGGGAGCTTATTGCAGAACTTCTGACCCTATTAGGAGCCTCTCGGGCATTGGATAGTAGATTAATCTGGTCCTGGCCCCTCGTTGGCATACGGACCGCGAACGAACCCAAAGTAGATCTGCGAGTCACCCAGCATTCCGTCGCGATACTGCCCTTTCATTGTACATTCCCTCTCAGTATAGAAGTAATCCTTCCGGTGCAGATGCATCTTAACGGATTTCAATGAGGGAAATGCTCGACCGTCCCGCACCACAGCTTCAGCCAAGTCTTCAAATTGCGGGATATACTGCTCTTCGTCCCAGATCCTATCCGAATCATCCATTCCATGGTAATCGGGAAGATTCAAGCCCGTGAAATACTCCAATTGTGAGGGCAATACGTCCCTGAGTCTCAGCCCGTCATTCTCGTTGGGCTTACCCAGTAGGACCTCCAGCTGCATTACGAGACCTTTTAATCTCATAAACTTCTTCATGGATCCAAAATGTCCCCTGATGTCACTGAACTCCTGCTCCTGCCGCCAGTCCTTCTCGTCATTATTGCAGAGGCAGATGGAGAGGTGTGTCAGGGTGTTCGCGGTGTACGCCTCAAGGATCCGCTTTAGTTTCGGCGCATCATGTTGAACGGGGAAGAAGGCAGTTCCGCTCATGTCTTCAAACTTGAGAGTCTTGAGCTGATCAGTGTGGCGGATTATGCTCTCTAGAATGTCCTCTGGCGGAACATAGTTATGGCAGGATGGGCCATCAGGGCCGGGTGCTAGCACGGCAAAGTCTAGCTCCTCCAGGCGGGGAAGACGAAGAAACAAAGCCATGTTGGCGAATGTGTCGGTGTGGGTTTTCAATGTGAGGGATTTGAGATTGGAGAGCTGAAAGAGGAGCAGCCATTTTCTGGTTTTCCGGGTTGATCGCGCGAGCCAGGAGAGGTCGTTTTTCTGAAGTGCGAGCGAGTGTGCAGGATCAGAAGTGAATTGTCTTTTGAGGCGGTCTGCTGCTCCAGCTAGGAGCTCTGCTTCTTCTCTCCTGCATGCTCGCTGAGCTCTGGTATCTAAATCTTCACTCGCATCTGAACCAGAATCAGAATCTGCATCCGTCTCCTCTTCCTCCGGCTCTTCCTCAGATTCCGACCCTTCGTCTTCTTCTAGGTAGATTTCCTCCACCCGAGCTGCAAGTTGAGGTCGCGGTATTATCGTACAGCAAAGAATACGCACTCCATTGTCTGACGGTGGCTGGATCTTTCTATACAAGACCGGGTCGAGAATTCCTCGGATTGACTTGGAAATCAACCGAAGCTTGAATGCCTCCTGAGGACATGCAGGATCATACAGGTCATCAAGCAAGTAATTGAAGATGTGGGCGTGGATTTCCAGGGGAAACTGGATGGTCATGTTTGAGAATAGGGGAGCGTCAAGGTCTAAAGCTCGCGGACGTGGGCTCGCGGTGCTTCATATACTTGACGGTGGGGACGGTGGCTCCTTACCACGCGACAAATACGAGATGTTGAATAACACAGCCGCGGTTTGTAGCCAATTATCAATCAGCTCTGAGGAGTCAATTTAAAATGACCAGAATCGTCTCCGCGCCTATCCTGACTATGTCGATGTCTTTTTGCATACCATCGGTGTCGTCTCCTACTTCAAAATCAGCAACAATCACATCAATAAAGAAGACTTTCTAGAGCAATACCTAGATGCACGCTTTAGACAACATCTTCCGCGGTTTTTGCAGGGCAGCGCTTAAGCCATTCGATCCAGAGCGTGTTCTCTTAAACCGTCCCTTCGGACTACGTACGAAAGCCTCGATTTCATGTTTCGTAGCTCAGCGGAATACTCGCTAGTTAGATCAACAGATCTGAAGTTTACCGAGCAGTCATAATGCGAAACGGCCACTTTCTAGCTGTCTTATTCTAGAACTGTTCAGCTAACCTACTGAAGTTGATACTCCCAATTGGTGTCTAATCTAAAGCCCTCAATAGCCCACTTCTGGGTACTCACACTTGAAGCTGGCGACGTAAGTTCCCAGGGGATACTCGTGTTTCCCTTCCAACAATTCTTTTGCTTGACCCTTGCAGTCTGCTTGCCTGAGGAGAGCCAGTTCGCCAACTTCAGCACCAAAGGCTCACTGATTATGTGGGAACATACTGGTAAAAGTAACGTGGAATGCCATACCACTGTGTGCCATTGAGAAATTGCGTTGTTGGAGGCGGGCGTAGGGAGAAATACGGTTCCGGGTTGGGAGTGCAGTCATACATCGTAACTTACTCAGTCCATGTTTCCTTCTCTGATGTAAAGGTCACCTAAATCTGTTAATCTTTTCTTTCCTTGTTCGGGAAACCGATCATGATGAGCAAGGGGTTTAGTACCTTTTATGCGAGAGAATAGCCTGCTTCTTACATTAGAGCCCAGCGAGCAAGGGGGCCAGGCCATTCTTTAAGCCACAGCCGCAAAGGAGATGCGCTCAGATGTATTGGAGGGAACATACCAAGGGAGTTATTCCTGTTTATCCTAAAACTTCAGCTTATGTGTCAGTTAGGACATGTTTTTATTGCCTTTGTGGGGTTTCATAGCCCTCTGTGCCATGGCCCCTAAAGGAGTAGTGTATAGCTGTGCTGCTGTGCAAACGCGTCGGCCCTTCTGTCAGGACAAGTACACCATTAAGGGCGGAGAATGTCGCATACTTCCTCTCAAGGGGGCTTACATGATTGGGCATACAGAGATTCCAATATCAAAGAGAACAATGACTATGCTGCCCTTGCAGCGATGTTATGCCGGAAAAATACTGCCGATGAGGATAATGTTGAAAAATCCCACAGGCTCAACAATCTAAGCAGCGTGCCGTACAAACAAGGAATAGCCGAGGAACAGAAAGAACTGCGAAGAACTGGCCAAGCTGTCACGTTGCTCCAAACTCACTCCTTACTCAGCTATTTGGCCCCGGAGTATAATTGTCCGCAAATTCTGCCTTCTCATCATACTCGGTCCGATTAAGCCGGCGTAGGTACCCATTTGTCAGGAGTGAGGAGATGCTGTCGAATGTGACAAATTGTGTTCCCATCCCAGGCTGTTCGAACCATGGCGCAACCGGGCCAAGAGTGACTTCAAGCTCCTTCGTCACCTCGTATACATGATAATTGTAAGGGAATGCGCCGTCAAAATTGTCCAGGTTACTCGGAGGTAACGAGCGTTCAATATATGGCGCACCCAATGGGCCGAGAAAATTGCCCCCCTCGCCACCGAAACGGTCAAGTTTGCGGCCAACAGGAAGGGTCACATTTCCTAGAATGGGCTCCCCATCGTCAGACAGTACGAATCCATTGGCAGGTGGGTAATGATATGATCCGTTTGAGGGGTATGTCCACTTTGCGAGGTATTCGTATGGGCAAAGGTTGCCAAATCGTGCATATGTTGCCAATTCTGTCGACAGCGGAAAGTCCTTCGGGAGCTTGACTGGTCCCAGGCGTGGATCTCCACAGACATAAGATGCGTTCACGAAAATGATATTTGCGCAGGGGTTTGGGAAGCATCGCCGAGGATATACGGGCTCCTAATGTTTTGTAAGACTGCTTTCAAGCCGTTTCCAGGCTGAATAGTGATGGACATGTCGGACGTACCTTTTCGTGGCCATCTTCAGGCTTCACTCTTGCCAGAACAGGGAGGGCTGTTGTCAGCAGTACAAGAGGGAAGAGGAAGTTGAAATGAAACATTGATAAAAGAGACGACTGTGAAGGGATTGGACCGGGTCAGTAAAAGGTAATGATAAGTCGTTTGGGCAGGGAACCATAGGCCATTCTGCAGGGCCTTGACGTTCATTTATATGCTTCCTTTTCACGAGCAGAAATATGCCCCTCTGCGAGACTACCAGGTCTCGACCGGTTCACTCTAACATTCCATCTTACTCGTGTAGTAGCACAAACATTCTGTACGGCATCCAAGGATCGCCATAGCAAATTGAGCATAAAATTCTTTGAGGCGGCGTGCAGACGAGAATATTGGCGAAATCGAGCCACGGTATGGAAGATATGTTGCTATCAAAAGTCGCACGTACATAAGTTGAGCGAAAGCAACGCATTTATCATCACAAGCCGCGTTGCAAAATGCAAACATATTGACAGGTCCGGAGAGCTTTCTCTAAAGGGGTGGGCCTCGAGAAATGTATAATGACATACATCACCGAGGCTGTGCTTGAGGTGGATTTATTCAATCTTGCTCCGATACATCTGCACCCCTATAATTGCGGGTCGAACATATCGGTAGACGCAGTGATGGTGACTACCAAAGCCGTCCTGAATTCCGATGCGATACGGAGGATGGCACTGGAGTAGCTGGCCAAGGCAGGTATGCTTGTATAACGGAGGGGGCAATCCCCTGTCGTTGGAGAAGACCAGAAGAGACGGAAACTGTAAGGGATGCAACGAACAGTATGATTCTTGGGGTAGCTTGGAAAATAACGGAGCGCCCCGGGCGCGGTTCGATTGGGGTTTGATCGGATGATACTGGACAGAGCTAAGCCGCTTATGAAGTGAATACATCTTCATGCACTGCCGGGTTTATATAGGAAACGGTAGCCGCATCCTCTCGCCCATCTTAAGGGTCCCTCTCAGCTTTAGATATCTAATCATTGCGTACTAGTCCTGCCTGATTCAAGCTAGCGAAGCTCTTACCAGTCAATTCAGGAACAACACGACTAACTGTCAATTTCGCTTATCCATACAACAGAGTACCATACACCGCATAAATTATCGCTATGTTCTTTGTCCCTGGGTGTCCTTGTTGACGCGAAGTTCGGCCGCAACCAGACGTTGTGCCGCACTGGGGAGTTCATCTGCCCATTGTCTCTCGAGGGGCGAGAGGCACGCTTGGAACTTGCTATTGTCGACAGATTGAGCGGGGTCGATGTGCTTGGGTGTATTCGGCTGTGGAGGAACTTGGCCTTTTGATGCCGGTGTGCTCAGCGAATCTTGCAACGATAGACGGCCAAAGTAGATGGCGATTGTATCGGATCCTTGTCGGTTGGTTGGATATGCGCCATGAAAAACAGACGTGTCTATCATAGAGTCGTCCATATCGTAAGTTGGTGTTCGGCGAAGTAATAATGCGGGGAGGATTGATGAGGCGTTGGCGGGATTCACCTTCAACGCTTTGATCCGTGAGTCCTTCAATACAAGAGCCTAGGTGTCATGGAAGCTATAGAAATTCAGCAATGTACCTCTTGACATCACGAAGCGAATTGGATGGAGTAAATAGCTCACTCGCCCATGCAGGTCCCACTGGTAGCTGTCATAGACAATAAAGATATTCAGCTGTGGGACCGAACCGGTCAATTTGGGGTCTGGCCGGTTTGTTGGACGGTGCACTGTCGGATCCGAAGGTGCTATACGCTCTGACGATCCGCTACTTTGTGCTAAGCCGATGTCAGATTCTGGTATTCTGTTGGGCTGCAAGACCCGACCCTATTGCCGTTCCTTTCCTAATATCGGCCCCCAGCTGTCAGAAAAAAAAAAAAAAAAAAAAAGTCGAAGTAGAAGGTTGAATATTCGTTTTTCCCGTTTTACCAGGCAGGGTCTCCCTGCCCTGTGGTACTAGGAAGAGCCCGCATTAGTACATAGCTGCGTTTCCCGAGATTCAACCATGGTTGCTGTAACGGTTAGTGCCTTTATATTCCCACATACCGGAAGGTATCATGCCACTACCCGAAAGTTAATCGCTCGTCGTGGCTGAAGGCGCAGACGATTACGGGGAGCATTGTTGCATGATACTCTATGTTTGCAGATTGCATACATTACACGGAGTACTCCGATAGGCTTTCGAGAACTGATCCTTTTGGCACGTCAGTAGAGGTCCTATATACGGACAGAAGCGTGGAAGACATAAGCACCCTGTCATTTGCCTTGATTCCAAACGGCAGGACGAGTAAGTTTAGTTCCAGTGTCCCACCTCTTCAAGGGGCTTTCTTCATTGGATGGAAGTTTCAGCCGGTTCAGCCTGTAGCTTTTCATTGGCATGAAACCCACCCAGTCTTCCTTCCTGTCGTTCCCGGCATTTCAGCAGTGCACATGTTGGCACCAGGCGGTAGCAGCACTGAACCTACTAGACTGTCGAGGCCACCCAGAACTATCTGGAGGCGTTAGGGCAGAGCGGCTCTCCGGATGTAACGTGACAAGGCAAAATCGATAGGTGTTCCGAATGCGGAGAATATTTCCCCAGGTATGCGGCTAGAACGTATCGTACTTTTGATTGTTAGGCCATTCTAGACCAATCTGCCTTCAACCTTCAATTTTAGGATATAACCAGGGAGGGCCCCTCTTATAATTGTATTGCATCAGACGTGGTCGTGTGTGAGTGTGGGTGTTTGGTATCGAGAGTTATCCCATGATGCCTAGATCATAGCGGCGTGTAGCGGCTATTTCTTATGGCCAAAAGCCAGTGCTGAATATGCAGTTGAATGTTCCACGGCACGAGGCAATTATCATCCCTGGCTACATACCTGTCTATCAGTCTATGCATGCGTCTGCATCGTAGCGAAATCTGTCAGCTATATACGTATGGTACTGGCGCCCATAGTCCATTGCAGCATCTCCAAAAATAGACAAATCCTACCATATATGTCGTCTTCCCCCAGAGGAACAACGTCTTAGGCAGTCATTCTTTATCCTCTTGATGATCTACAGCGCGTCTCATTTGAAAAATTGAACTTCCTAAAGCTATGGGGCGAAACATCCATGACGATCTAACACTAGAGCATAATCCCTCAAACAACGTTGATTATCTCGCATACCATTGGGGATATGAGGAAGCTCGAGCAACAAAACGGTATCTCACTCGACACAAAATTGAGCTGCAAGATTTTCTGCGGCTCGAAAATGCATTATGGAGAGCTTGGTTCAGCTCAAGGCAGAACGCTCGACGCTTACCAGCCTGGTGCATTGGATGGTATTTGCTATTCCATTTATTTACCTAATTGCATGCGGCCACAGCTCACTCAATTGACGTAGGGACAGAGACGCGGACAACAACTGGTTGTATGGACCATTGAAGCCTGACAAACAATATCCCCTGTTAGGTAGACACATACGCCGCACAAAGGTACCATCACAACCCTCGGGTCTCTGCTGGGTGTTTTACTAACGGATTGGTCTCAGCATCTGCCTACAGGGTGTCTGAGACAGGCAAGTCTCTACATTTCTCCAATCCCTCCGCCCTGGGGCGTAGATACCGGGAATAACTGGAGGAAACAGCGTCCCCGTGTTCGATTCAACGAGGAAGTCCAGCAATGTCAATATCTGGCGTGGGAAAAGAGGTATGCGAACATCGTCACATCTTGTGCCTAGTCATAAAATGACCAGAGCATCTGCAGCACAACAATCTTGCCGACTACTTCGGTTCCGTTGAAATTCCAACGGCGGGAATCCTATCCCCTAACTCTCCACGAAGCCGATCACGATATATGTTTTGATCCAGACCAATTTTATGAAGTTTCTTTTGATTTTGAGTAAGGGGAACCAATTTCTACCCTGTGCGACGTCTTCTAATCAAAATCATAGTGGAACACTTATTTGGTAGTCGGTCCCCTAGATGTCGACTCTACTTTTGGTTCCCTCGGATAGTGCGCCGGATATGGACGACATCCCTCTGATATGAACTCGAGCCTCTGCCGAATGGGTCAATGGTTGCCAGTGATAGACGGCTTCTAACCAGCTAAGTGTACGTCGGAAATCCGGGGAGTCGCGGGCGCCTTCCGATCAATGTCTATATATCGTGTTAAAGCGGAATGATCATTGTTCACCAAATGACACAGTCAGAAAACCCACCAAGCTGACAGACAAAATGTATTATCGCTTGTATGTCTGGTTTTCCTGACAGTTAGATGCCATTAGCGTGATTCTCCTACCGCGTATACTGTATGAAAATAGTCCGGGATCTTTTTCATTGTCTGTCAATGACCGCCAGCCTCGCCAACGGATACACCATATAGATGCGTTCTTTCGTCGCCTACTTGTCATCATGGCCAACCCACCTGTCTTTCGAATGAGACGTTCCTCGGGCTGTTCTTCCTGTACTTCCGGATCTCCTATGGCAACGGTACAACGTCCCGCTGCCATGGGCTGCAACGTGTAGATGCCGGGCCATCGTCGAGGACAAAGAAATCCAGGTCCACCGAATGACTCGCAATCATATCATGACCCTTACGATAGCAACTAACCCGACTAATGCATACAACCGAACATGTCAAGGATGCCCCGGACATCGATGCGACGGGTAGTACACCCCCCTCGCGCTACCCTTCTATACGGTCGTACAGATACGACGGCAGCGTGGCCGCTGACTGGATAAGACGCAGCCTCGTCAAAGAAGGAATCCGACAAAGAGCTGACCCCCTCTTTGTTGGGTGTCCGTCAGCTCACTCCTCTTCCTTTGCCTTTGCCTACTCTGGAGTAATATGTTGTTGCCCTCGCGATCATCCTGATCGAGGTCACTACAATTCTGATATCATCCCAGCAGAACAACAACCGCTCCGCTCTCCTGTCAGGCAGGCAAGATGCCATCATCATCATCATCATCATCATTAGTCCGACAGACCGCGTCTCCGACCACCTCAGCATCGGTCGCCACGCACACCGTCAAGGTAGGATCCAAGGAGGACCCTCATCAGTACTCGCCGCATAGCATCACCGCGGACGTGGGCGACGTGATCGAGTTCCAGTTCTACCCGCGAAACCACTCGGTCGTCAAGGCCGACTACCTGGCCCCCTGCGTGCCCGCATCGGGCAGCGTTTTCTACTCCGGACCGTTCAACCACTTCAACGAGTACAATGGGCAGCTCGTCGGGCCGGTGAGTGTGCAGCATATGCACCAGATGTGGATGAGGTGGAGCTGATGCGAAACAGGCGCCCAGCTGGTATCTCGTCGTGAACGATACCCAGCCGACTTTCTTTTACTGCACGGCGATCGACTCCTGCATTAAGAACGGCATGGTGGGGGTCATCAATCCGGTGAGTCTCGTCCTTCCCGACATGCATCATCATGCTGAGGCCATCCAGAATGAGACCATGACTTGGGAAGCGCAATACGCCAAGGCGAAACAATACCCGTATATGCTGGTGCCCGGCCAGTCGATGCCCGCCGAAGGCGACCTGCCTGCGAGCACCTCCACCTCCACCGCGCATCCTACCACATCCGCAGCCGACGGAAACTCATCGTCGTCCGGCACGCATCTCAGCGGCGGCGCGATCGCAGGGATCGTGGTCGGGGCGGTGGCGTTCCTCGTCATCCTCGTCGCGTTGTTCTTCACACTAGGGCGGAACCGGGTCTACAAACAATGGATGTCGTCGCAGGATGGGCGCACCGAGCGCACGGCGCGATGGGCGCTTTTTCACGGGGAGGGCTGGAGACCGAAAAGCGAACTGGATAGTACCACGCAGCACACAGGAGATCCGGGAACCTCGCTCGTATCCAGTCCCAATCCGACGCAGCGGACATTTTCGCCAACCCCTCCAGCCGGCCACTGGAGCTGGGAGGGGCCCAAATCAACCGTCAGCCACACGCGCGAACCGACGGAGCTGGATGCGAGTAATTCGGTGAACCGGGGTGTATATCGATGATGGGTATCGGAGTAGGAGTGGGAATATGGGCGTAGGAGTATAGGAGCATAGGAGGGGTTCTTGGGGTGTTCTAGGGGATATGCGGCTGTAATTACTTGATGCTATCTATTCTAATTCATGATGCTTGTCATATCAATCCATCACCATCATCTTCCACCGATATAACCTTCTCTTATACCCGTGCTTATCACTTGGCATCGCCGCCATCGCCATCTCTTCCCCCTTTGGGCATGACTCTCGGCGTAGCGCCGGTGATCGCGCTGCTTCTCCGCTCTTATCGCCTCCAACAAGCTTAACTCCCGGGCTGGGCGCAGGTCTGCGGTCTTGGCTGGCGGTATCTGGTGGAATCGCGCGGTCTCTTCCCTAGTTGTGGCCCCTTATCGCGCTTGTTATCGGCATGGGTCTGGATGGCGATGGTTGTATCGCGGGGTGCGGAGGAGGAGTATAATAATAACGCCCTCGCCCAGCCGTCGCCGTTCATCTCTCTCGAGCTTATGCCTATACACCGTCCACCCGACATGGAGAAGAAAGCGTCCCTCGACGATCGCCAGGATGCAGACGCCGGCAGCATCGTTCCCTTTCCCCAGACCAAGCGCGGTCTGTCCTCGCGCCATGTGCAGTTGATGGCCATCGGGGGCTCCATCGGGACGGGCCTGTTCGTGGGAATCGGCGCATATCTTCGTGACGCAGGACCGCTCTCGCTACTGCTGGGATATCTGGTTTGGGGGATCTTCTTCATTCTTCCGATCAATCTCAGCGTCGGCGAAATGTGCGCCTACCTGCCCATCCGCGGGTCGATTTTCGAGCTGGCGGCGCGATACGTCGATCCAGCGTTTGGATTCGCCATGTAGGTCCTCGTCTAGTCGTTGCGGAGAAACTCACTGACAAGCGGCTTCTAGGGGATGGGTCTACTTCTACGCCGGCCTGATGCTCGTCTGCACCGAATACTCCGCCGTCGCCTTCATCATGGACTACTGGCAGATCGACGTCAACCCGGCGGCCTGGGTGGCCATGGCCATGGTCATCTGCTTCCTGCTCAACATCGTCGCCGTCAAATACTACGGCGAGGCCGAGTTCATCATGGCCTCGACCAAGATCCTGCTCCTCCTCGGCCTCATCTTCCTCACCTTCATCACCATGGTCGGCGGCAACCCCAAGCGCGACGCCTACGGCTTCCGCCACTGGACCGACGGCCTCATGTACGAATACTACACCGACGGCGTCACCGGCCGCTTTTTGGGCTTCTTCTCCGTCATGGTCTACGCCGCCTTTACCATCGCCGGGCCCGACCTGCCTGCCCTCGCCGCCGGCGAGATCCAGCACCCGCGCCGCACCATCCCGCGCGTAGTCAAGATGACCTTCTGGCGCATCGTCGGCTTCTACGTCGTCGGCGTGCTCGGCGTCGGCATCATCTGCGACTCCCACGATCCCCGCCTCATGTCCGCCATCGACTCCGGCGCCTCCGGCTCCGCCGCCTCGCCCTGGGTCATCGGCATCCAGAACCTGGGTATCAGCGGCCTGCCCGATCTCATCAACGTGCTCATCCTCTTCTCCGGCTGGTCCTGCGGCAACGCCTACCTGTACAGCTCCAGCCGCACGCTGTACTCGCTCGCCCGCGACGGCCAGGCCCCCAAGTTCCTGACCAAATGCACCAAGGACGGCGTGCCCATCTACTGCGTGGTCGTGGTCACCCTGCTGTCGTGCGTCACCTTCCTCGTCGCCGATAACTCGTCCATCAGCGTCTTCTACTGGTTTGTCGACTTGACTACCATCGGACTCGTCCTCACCTACACCAGCATGGCCTGTACGTTCCTCGGCTGGTACCGCGCGCTGCGTGCGCAGGGCATCGATCGCAAGAGCTATCTGCCGTGGATCTCGCCGCTGCAGCCGTACATGGCCATCCTGGCGGTGATTCTCGGGTTTACGACGGCGCTGTTGAACGGGTATGCTGTGTTCAAGCCCTTCAGCGCGCAGGGGTTTGTGACTTCGTACTTTGGACTGGCGTTCTTTGTGGTCATGTTTGTGTTCTGGAAGGTGTTCAAGCGCACCAAGTGGGTTGATCCGGCTACGGCGGACATCTACACGGGCAAGGCGGAGATCGACGAGGAGTGTCGCGAGTGGGAAGACGGCACCTGGGAGGAGAAACACAGGGCAGAGCTGGCGCAGATGAATATTATACGACGTACGTGGGAGAGAATGTGGTGATACGCTTTGGACGGGATTGTATATTACCGAGTCTATGAGAATATATCTTATGGTTTACGATACTTCAAGATGCGCTGTCGACCCTGTCATTCATGCATTCAAAATTCCCTTACCTTTCGAAATACCTCAACCTCTTCAATCCACCGCTGGACGCTCTTGCCAGGAACTCCCCGGGGACTATGCTTCTCAATAGGCTCGTCATCCTGAATCGCCCACTGGTCGATTATCCACGCATGCGACTGCAGACGACGAATAGATTCAATGTCCCGTGTCCCATCATCCAGCCAGATCCCATCGTCATAACCCCTATGCCAATTGAGCAACCGCGATGTTGTGCGACGGCTGATTGTTCATCCGCCGGATCTCGTTCAGGGTGAGGTGACCTTCAATCGTCAGTATGCAATGCCAGCACTGTTGCCCTTCAGGCTTACTCATTCGCATCCTCCTTAGAAGGACGATAGATATCGTGAACCTGTACAGGACGAATTTGATTCTGCGGACTCGCTGGAACTCTTTCCCCAGACTCCAAAATCCCAGTGTATCCTCCATGAAACAGGCCTGTGCATATGGGTAAGATGCGCCCTGACTTCCAGACTCAGATTCCGAACCGGCGTACTGCCGAATGGCGGCGCTGGAGACCACGGAGCCGACATATCCCGGCAGAAATACGACGTTTGAAACTCCTTTGCCCGTAGAACGATCGATTCATCCGAGCAATTTGAGCGATATGTCGCTTGAAGAAAGGATTGAGTAGTGTTTGTCCAAAAGGCGGCAACCAAACATATAGGCGGTAAGCTGTGGAAAGCCAGGTTAAAGAAGAAGGTCGCCTGATCGCTGCATAGCACTGCTGCCCATAAGAGGGTTAGATGAGGCTTTACATTCCCAATTGCATTGAGCAGCTGCTGATTGTCCTCCAAAGCCTCCTTCGCGCCGAGGGATGCGGCCCCGATGAAGTTGCAGGGAATCGAAGGATCGAAGAAGGCGCTGCAAAGTAACGAGTCCAACGCATCTTGTGTGGCGCTTAGACACATGCACTTGTCGATGGACCGGAAGAGCGCATCAAAAGCTGGGTTTTTCTGCGGCGAGGAAGACCGGGTAGGAGGTGCTGGTATGATTATAGGAGGAGCGAAGTAGGGAGGAGGAGCATTTCGTGTCATCAACATCATGACCGATGCAAGACCAACAAGCAACTCTCCCTCAAAACCTGCCGAGGCGCAGTATCCCAAGAGATTATCAAACGCAACAGACGATTGTGGAGTCGCTCGTGTCCAGCCACCTCTGGAGTTCCGTCAGTAATGAATCAAAGACAAATGGATAATCAACATACTGCTTCTTAGTAGTACTCTCTCTCCGTAACATCCACGGCGAGTAGAAAGTTCCTCTTTGTCTCTTCGTCTGGGCTACCCAGTAGCCCTCCGTGACAATGTCCCAGAAAGAGTCTTCTATTCGCGCATTCTCAGGGTGGCACAGCCAACTTTCCTGACCCTGCTGCTTCTAGAATCTCCACCCAGCGGCAGGAAAGTATGTATGACCAGGCCAAAACTATGCTTGTGAACACTCCGGAGGGAAGAGGTCCAGAGGAACCTGGAATTGCAACTAGTAGCTGGGTCTCAGACTCTGTTTTGTATGTCGCGGGCTTCGGGATACCAAGACACTGGAAATAATTAATACACTTTTCAGGCTCTGTGCAATCCGGATCTTCTGTAGTTTGGACTTGCAAGGCGGATTGTAGTATCAGATGGGTTCCTTTTCTGCCCGCTATGTCGACATCCTCTGGCGGCTTGCGGAAGAACTGCGGGACATCCTGGAGAATGTCGAGGAATGCTTGTAAATAGTACTGGAAAGGCTCAGGAACATCGATAGGTGTCGAAGCACCATCTCTCCAGTAATGGAACTTCGACTGGTAGCAATGATTGAACTCCCCCGTCGAAGGACAGATTCCGTCGCCAGGGGACCAGGTAAGATCGTCCTCACTCTCCGAGTCATGGCTATAATCGCCTTGGTGACCGCTTGACTCTCCACCTCCCATGATGCTCGCATATGTGATCTTTCATGGTGAATGTCCAACTGACCAAAAAAAAAAAAAAAAAAAAAAAAAAAAAAAAAAAAAAAAAAAAGCTGTAGAATAACACCGGGCCGTCGAGGCGGTGAAAGACAACAGTTCCCGATCTCCATCTATACATTTGCATGAAGGGAAACTATGCTACAAGCTATTACCGGCTCAAAATCAATGGAAAGGACTCCTTGCTTCAAACGGTAGAGGATCGAGTTGACCTAGTATTCAATGCCAAAAAGAATATCAGGAGCACTTCGTGTGCATCCTCCGTCAGATACATATTTGCGTGCCGCGTGCTGCAATGACAGACACGGTGGCTAATCGCTTCAATAGATAGGCTTAGCAGGTTAATGGTTAATAGAATCTTGATTGATTGACGGACACGGTCAAAGAAGCCAGCCCTGCACCCATTAACTACTCACTCCAGTCTTTGCCAATCTTATATGTCCACTGGAAGTCTCCCACCACACCACAGTTCTCGCCGGTGACCTTGCACAGGGCTGTATAATGTCCAGATCGAGCCAATATCCCAGATGGTGCAGTCTCGGAGTAGACTATACACTTTTAGCAAACGAGCTCCACCTCTTATATCAAAACCACTTACCAGCCACGGTATACACGGCGCCGTTGGGGAGTGGTGGATAGTCGCCCTGTCTTGATTAATATATCCGCATTATCCTATGGCTGACCACAGAACCTACGACAGTCTTTTCAATGTCCGACACGGTCAATCCGGCGTGCTTGACGGTTTGCCGAAAAGTCAAGCCATTGACTTGCTGGTCCACCTCGAACGTGATACTCAGCGTGTACTCGGCCCCTTCCTTGATGGTTTGGCCTTTGTTAATGACATTCCCAACGGCCGTCGATGTCGTGTCGAACTTAATGGGCGTCTGGAGTGATGGTGAGCTGATCTCCAGCGCTTTGATAATCACAGGTCGCCCTGACAATACGGCTAGCAAGGATTAGCGGAATACCATGAAGTAGCATTCGCCAGTACCTGTCCTATCGTCCATGATGGCTTCGTTAGAAGGTTATGGTAGTGGGTTCGATGCGAGAAAGAAAAGACAAGTCCCAGGACGATCGGTGTTTCTATATTGATCCCAGCATAGGCCGCGTCATCGCTCTGCCTCTTGATCGCCGCTTCAGGAAGGAAACTGGATTACTGCATGACATCATTGGAATGTGCGTCCCTTGCGCCAGCAGGCTATCCAACTCAATGCTATGCAATCTAGTCTGCGTACATGCGCCTCCACGCCTGTATTCCGCTTTCGGTAGGCGAGCAGTGCCGCGGCCTTTGCGCGATTGAAGTCATAGCCAGGTATCAAGGCATCACTCACCGAGCCCAGGTGCGACGGCAATGAGGGCGCATAATTCATCGGAATGGTACAATTGAACCACTCGACAGTCCGATCTTCATTCAATCCACCATGATGAAGTACTCAAGAGCATTTATCCTATCTAATTGTAAAGACCACCATTGGCAGACAAGCAGGAGCCCGTGGTCCATCGGGCATCATCAGTGCACAGGAACGCCACCAAAGGAGCAATATCATCCACTTCACCGACACGGGGCGCGGCAGGAGTCGACTCAATCAAAGGCTGCATGTCCTTGAGGAATTGTTCGTCACTCTGGAACCATTGGTCTGCACAGAAACGTTGCCGTTAGCATGCTGTTGTAACGACACCAATCTAGTACCCGCTCTTCTAGGGGTCTCTACCTGTCGCAACGGGGCCAGGATTGACGCAGTTGACGGCAATCCCGTGCGACTGGCCGAGCTCTTTGGCCCACACACGGACGAGGGCTTCGTTGGCGGCTTTGGTGGCAGCATAGACTGTCTGGCCGGCCACGCCCAGACGGGCGCCAGCAGACGAGATGAAGACGATCCGTCCGCCCCGGGCGATATGAGGGACGACCGCCTTCGTAAGGAATATAGGGCCTCGTACGTTGCATTCAAAGTGCGTCGCATAGATCTCGGGCGTGGTGTCCATCAGGTTTGCCTCCAGGCCTTGTGCGGCACTGCCAGAGAGAACAGATTAGCGATGTGACTTCACCCCAGATCATATGGATAAACACCCACTTGTGGATCAAGATTTCAATCTTGCCGGTCTCGCTGATCTTCAAGGCAGCCTCGACCAGCCGCGGGATTTCGTCGAGGTTGCTGACATTAGATTGGCACACAATCGCCTTGCTTCCAATCTTGGTGATTTCGTCCGCCACAGCCTGAGCGCGCTTTGCGCTTCCTTCAGACACGTAGTTCACCACGACGTTGGCACCGCGCTTGGCCAGTAGTATGGCAATCCCGGCTCCGATGCCCCTGGAGAGATATTCAGCACCTGCCCAGGAGGGGAGGGTAATCATGGGTGTATACCGTGAAGCCCCGGTGACAATGGCAGTTTTGCCCTTGAGTGAAACTCCAGAGAAGTCACTCATTTTGAAGGCTATTAATATATAAGGAGATCGATGATGCAGAGGTACTGTGGCAGTGTGAAAGCTATGATCGCCTCTTAGGTTCGTTGGCTACTATTTATCTTGCCATCACGACATCTATGTTATAGCCCCGCGCAGCCTATTCGAATGGAAAGAGATGATGGCATTCTACCCCTCATTTGATCTCTCGATTGACTGTCTGAGTATGTTTAGCAATCTTGGCTTAACAGTGATAAGGACAGGGGCATCTCCCCATTAGGCAGTCGAGACAACTCATACTACTCCTCCCTCTCCCCGGGCTATCATTACCATAGGCTCAATCCAGCATAGTATATGCTGCTATAAGAGCATTAACTCTAAACACAGATTCGCATGCCCTTCACCAAACGATCTCCAGAAATCATCCATATCCTCCAGCACTTCACATGAGATGGATCCTCCGTTTACTCCTTCAAACTCGGTTCTGCCCTTCCCCTCTCACCTCCTAGGAAAGGATAGACGTGTCTGGACGCGCTTTTGAACCAGCCCGTCCCTCCGTGCTGTCTTGTTCTAGGCGGTTGGGATATTTACCCAATTAGGAAATGGACTGTACCAACATCCACCGCGACATTCGAGCCATTCTTCCGAAATCGCTCCGAGACAGACATCACCTTTGGGCAATCTAGTATCACCCCCTCATGATTCTCCAAGGAGGTTGGAGGGATGGTGACGGTGCATCGTAGACCTATCCTCAAGAAGTTTGTGAATGAGTCAAACATTGCTTGCATGTTGTCGTGCTGCCAGTCAGTTCCAACAACACCATCCCGTCAACCCGTATCAGTCCAGCCTGTAAGAGACTTGTAAGGCCCCGATGCAGTTTCAGTCATAAAGCCACTATCAACACGTGCTTGGGCATAGTCAAGGAGCAGTCATATCACAGGCATGATGTTGTAATCATCAACCGGCGGAACTATCCCAGTGCATTACCTGCGTTGAGTGCTTCCCAATCAATCTCTGCTCCTTTGAATTTCTTCCTCCTCTCCATCCAGAACAGCATGGACAATCCAAACGGCCCGATGGCCACAGAGATACTGTCATGAGACAGTTAGCGTACATCCTCGCGAAATCAACAGCACCAAGAAACTCACTAGTTCATGATTCCCACTCTGGTGAGAAGCTCGGTAGGAAGGCAAGAAAGACGCCACTGACAACCACCCAGAGGACTGGAAAAGCATTGGCCATATACCCAAGCACAGGACCGAGATCAAACTGGTAAAAGCCCTCTAGACCAAGGAGGAAGGAATTGGACGTCGATCCCATGCACAAGACATTATTATACCTATAATTGGTATAGAATGCTTGTGGAACAGAGATACCACTATACCGCCAGGAAATGTCAAGGAACATAGCGTTGGTGACAAGGTAATCTTTCGATAATGCCACTCGATTAGATCGAACTTGGAATCTTTATCATTCTTGGCTTCCTACCGAATGTATATATTGACCATGTCAAACTCAAACCTCGTTTTCAGTACTCCCTAGCCCTCAGTTCCTCTCGTTATAATCAATCTCGAAGCTGTAAGCCGCATCATAATGCATAGCCCAATATCCATCCCAAATCTTCTTCGTAATAGGACCGATCTGTCCTCCATTCACGGGCATCCCATCCAGCGTAGTGATAGGCATGATGCCGCCAGCGGTGGTACACATAAAGATCTCATCACAACGGTACGCCAGCTCAACCGGCACAAACTCAACGCGGACTTCAATCCCGAAGGCTTCCGCCGCATTGATAACACTCTTTCGTGTCACGCCCTGCAGCACACCACGGTCTGGTGTGTACAGCACGCCGTCCTTGACGAGCACAATATTGAACCCAGAGCCTTCGGTGAGATGGGCATCTCCGTCCGTCAAGAACGGATAAGTTGCACCGCGATCCGCAGCCTCGAACATGCCGCGCACGAGATCGCCCCATTGCAGGTTCTTGACGGTTGGGTCGATGGCACCCGGGGGCACCCGGCGCACGGTGCGGGCGACGACCGCGCTGCCGCCGACACGCTGCATATCCGGCTCCATCACCCACACGTACGGCTGCACAAACATGTACAGATTGTTGACGATGTCCTCGGGGCGTGTCCCCCGCACGCCCTTCAGCCCGCGCGTCACGATCAGCTCGACAAAGGCGTCGCGGATGCCGCTCTTGGCCACCATCTCGACGAGAATCTGCTTGACCTGGTCGCGCGGGAGTGGCAGTCGCAGCCGGAGCTTGGTGCAGCTGGCTTCGAGCCGCGTGATGTGGTCGTCTAGCCGGAAGAAGCGGCCGTCCCAGACGGAGGGCACGTCGTAGGTGAGATCGCTGTGCATGAAGCCCTGGTCGAGCAGTGGAATGCGTGCCTCTGCCAGGGGCACCAGCTCGCCTTCTACCCAGGCGATACCCTTCGCAAAGGGGTTGGTGGTCTCGGTTGATTCGAGGATCGCTTGGCGGGCGGCGTAGCCGGCAAAGACTTTGTCCATGGAGGCCATATTGAAAGTGGTGGTTGTTGCGGGGTGGAAGAGGGGTTGAAGTCAGTGAACAGGTAAGACGGATCAAATCTGATGACTGTCATGTGCAGCCGAACCATGGCGGTTGTCTGTATATAAGAGTTTGCGAGAGGATAGTCGGTGGTAGATGTCTGGTTTTTCTCGCCTTCTGAGGTTGACAATGTTCCCAAATAAGTAATTCCCAATATGGCAGGTCATCGCATCTATCGAACAACATCCTACATCTGACCATTGTCTCTGGGGGAATGGAAGTAGCTAGCGGATATAGATTCGGAGGGATAGTGCTGTGGATATCCAGACTCATACTTTGTGACCATGGTATGAGATTGCTCCCTGGAGTTGGTACAGTCGCATCATCATCCCAGACCAGGACTAGGTACATGCAAACTCCTATGATCTTAACAGAGCGTGTCAAGGCTACAGTAGGAACCAGGGGCTGAACAGAACAAGAGTTATAGTGTACCGTTCATGACCACAACGACATTCTCTAGTTTCAATCCAATTTTTGGCTTCTCCTATCCAGTCAAGAAACGTCAGCTTGTTCGAGAACATTGAAACTGGACGGGTTTCGATTCTTACTGGTTTCGTGCTTCTTCCGGAATTCCATTGCATGTGTCTGTCTGCGATGGTACCAAGCTCATGCATACCATCTACACCACTGCGTCCAAGCTAGCAAAACACCTCCGTATTCTGCTGCCTGCTCAATTCATCCGTAACTACAAGCACAAACAAACTCCGACCGAGAGTGTTTGTCCTGGTGATCTTCGGCCGGCCTCCGTCGCTGACCGAATTTACCAATGGCAAGCGCGCAAGCTGCGCCAAAGCAACAATCCCCGTCGACAAACGGTGGCTGCAGGGACCAGAGGTCGGCTTGTGCGTGTGGAGCGCTCGTGGCCAGTCGTTTGGCAGGGAGCGCTGTACGTACTTCTGCAAGAGCTGGATAGGCATAGCCTGGGTGTGCCGAGGCAGGGCAGCCCTGTACGGAGTATGTCTGGACATTCCGTGAGTGCTTCTGCCTGCCAGCATCGGAGGCAATCACAGCAGAGACAACAGAGCTCCACCGCCATCGCAAGATGGATTGAGGTTACCCTACTCCAACGACAATCCGTAGCCGTCAGCATAACTATTCCAAACAGGCCCCGATCGCCACTCACTCTTTCCCCAGAGTCCCACAACCCCCAATGATATCGCCCGGAGGACTGAGGTCCTGGCTTGGCCGGCTGGCCTAGCGCACAGGATCGTCCAGGCTCAGCCGCAGCGAGTGAGTGGACGGAGAGCTCCACCGTCGGTGCGTTCTTTGTATCAAACGGAGACCACCAGATCATTACCACCAGAACCGAACAAACCCTTCAACGAGAAGTTATTGCGATTCGCGGGTCGATGTAACCGGCGTCTGGCAGGGGGGAAGTTAAGGGGAAGCTAAAGCGGGCTACTCTGTAGCGGCGGCTCCAGGAACAACTAAATCGTCACTTGATGGAGCCGCGGCAAGACACGAAGGACACTAGCTGGGAGCAATCATGCTACGGACTGACGCGCTACGACATAGGGTGGTAGTCGGCCGGGTGGGGGGGAGGATTCGGCGTGTCCTGCTGCTGGTCTGAGCTCTCCGGCCAGGCCCAGTCCAGGATGGCCCGACCTGGTGTTACAAATCATGCAGTGGGCAATTGTCCAGTAACTAGACGCTGGATCTCCACCAGCACTTGCATTGCATTGGTTTGGAAGCGACGCTAGACCGGGGCCGTGGTGTCTGTGTGTTCGAGGTGCAGATGAAGAATGCAGCGTGGACGATGGAATTCCGCCACGGACTCCCTCGGCGGCAGCAATGAGAGTCATCTGGCCAGGTCAACCTGAAACCACCCTGCGCTGCGCGCTGCTGGTATTGAGATAGATTAGACGTCCCTCGGAATCGGCGGTGGATTAATTGCGCGATGTTTAGCCGGAGTTAAGACAGAAGTGGCCTCGGTGGATCGCACTAGCCGACACTGCATGCATCCTGTATGACAGCCAGCTGTGACCATGACCACGCACCTATCAGGCCCCTGGTCCGGCCCGGATGGCGTGCTTCGAGGAATTAAATCCGCGCTCACCGTCAGCAGTGGCTTGTCTTTTGACGGCGTGACAGAGAGTGTGAAGTGGCGCGTCGGAGAATCTGTGTGCTCGGATATATATCCACATGCATAACGGGGTTTACAGCCCTCGAGGTACTAGATCAACCGTCGGGAGTAATTTACAAGGGTCAGATATCCATCGTACTCCGTACTCGCATCGCATCCTGAGGACACTTCCAGTGATGCCATCTTGCATATAGCCGGCGCAAAGGCCATCCATCAACCCTGAAGGCGCGCCCGATCGCAAGACTTATGCATGGTATCGGAGAATTCCACCCCGATAGCTGTTTCGCACGCGGGATCGACAGTACCATTGCATGTCCAGCGGGAGAACGATCGAGCGCGATGCACATCTCATGAATCTCATGTGGTTTTGTTGGTCCGTGTAGACGTCCCACGTCCCATAGACAAGCTTGCGAGATCTGTGCACAGTGGCCGCGGATGCCACCGGCTTCCGTTTCAAGATGGGGAGCAGCATGCACGAGATCCGTAGACGGACTCCTCGGTGACATGGTCCAGGTACGTTTGGTGGAGCTTAATTAGGAGCACAACGTTGTCCTCTGGCCTCGATGAGCGGATGGTCCGACTCATTCACACCCTCTCTCCAGGGCCTCGGGGCCAATAACGGGGCAAGGTGAAGCGCCGAGTAGACGCCAGGGAGATCGTCCCGGGTTGCCTGCTGGGACTGGCGACGGGCTGCATCAGATAACGCTCATTTGTAAGATCCTCATACCACATGACTGTCGGACGCCACTAGTAATATACGGAGTTGCTCAAGGAGGCAGTTGTCCCTGCCGGTGGCCTGAGGTGTCGACGGGGGCCGTGCGAGCGCAAAAGATCCAGTGCGTGCGTGTAAGGACGTTCCTATTGTTACTCTTAGGGACTGCACCTTCTCGCAGGCATATTCGCCTCACCGACGATCGATGCAGATGGCCACAGGAACGCGATGGTGTAGAAAATCCGTACAGATCGAATTGTCGCTCTGGTGCCGAACCTCAACGTCATAACGTGGGATGCAGCGCCAACGCATGCAATTAATTTTGCCCTCCAACATGCCGTGGTGCAGCAGATCCTAGCCAGTCTCACGGTCCTCCCGCGGTCTCCTGCTTGGGGGATGTTGCTTCCTTAAGGCTTGTCGGGCCAGTGAGAGATCGTGGAAACCTTTATGCCCTGCCAATCATGTGGTCGACAGGTATTAAAGGCAGTGCATAGTGTCGTCTATTATTGACTGGGGGCTTTTAGTCTTCCGAAGCCCTTGTGGGAGTCATTGCTCCCTAGCCCATTCTCCTCCCAATCAGGATGGAGTGGTTGTGTACCGTCCCACACCCTCCCTGTCTGACATCCGCTGCCGCAAGGGCTGCCTTCTAAGGACAATGGAGCCCATCTTTTCCCGCGGCGGCATCAGCCGATTGAGAAAACTTGCTAGGCGCTTGACCTTCCTTTCAAGCCAGTCAGCGCGCAGTGGATAGTTCCGCTGTGTCATCGCTGGTGGACCCGGCCACCAGACTGATCGCAAAAAAAGGAGAGCTCGCGAAGTCAAATCCACCGACGACACGAGGGATCCGAGACGCTTGTCGATGGGAAACCAATCACAAGCAGTCCAGGGCCCATCCCACCAGACGGACGCCGAAAGTCAAACGGGAGGACCATGGCTCCAGGGGCGTGGGTAGTGGCCACCTGAGCTGGCGAGGCTGGGGGAGGTGGATGATTCCCTTCTAGAAACCGTTCCCACCCCAGGGGGGACCGACCGGAAGCCCCAGGAATGCCAGGGGACGCATGGTTGGGGAAGTTCAGACGATCGGCCGTGACATCCAATGGGACCGGCCTACCAGGAGATGGTTCCGAGCGAGCACGACCCATGGTGACGCCAAGTCTTCAGTAGCGTTTCTGGGGAGGCCACCGGATTCGGCGTGGCATCGTTTGGGCCTCGATCGACCTGGAACGGACGTTGTTGGGGGAAGCTAGAGCCAGCCGGAGTCATGATGGTCGTGCTGGAGACGGAATCCTTGTTGGATGCGCTGGTGATGAACGACAGTAGTCGAACGGATCGAACGGATGGGAATTGGCAAATGAGAGAAGGATCCCCCACATGAACCGTCCCCCACAAAATGGCGCATCTTAGGTTGGCCGGATGTTGATGGCTATGATGGTTGGTGTCGGATTATGAGAAGTGGTGGTGCATAATTGCGATCTATTCCGCATTGCCTCTTCTGGGGATGTCCATACTGCGGCGCCATCCGCCGTCACCCCCCCGGAGAAAAAGACGAAAAATCGACAACCTCTCCAGATTGAAGCAGAGGATTCAAAGTCATTGATCGCACATACTGCGCATACAGTATGACAAATGCATGGGATATCCATCGTCTCTATAACCAACAGCTCCAGGTCTAGCATCGGAGCCAGGCGGATGGATGATTACCGCACTGAATTCATTTCTCACTCAACAATATCTCGATGGTTATTGGAGGAATCCAGAGGTTAATCATCTAGGAAATGAAGAAGAATGGCCCTGGAAATACCGCAGTGGGTTCGATGGACGCAGAGACGCCCCATCGGCACCATCCGCGCCGCATTTGCCGACCACGGATGGCCCTGGATCCGGGGTTTCTTCTGAGGCAGCCACCACCGAGTCCAAGAAGGAGGGCTCCATATCCACCGGCCTCCAGACCAGAAGAGGAAAAAGAAAATCGAAATGACTGCCTCGGACGGGGGCCCACTGATGTACACGGTGCTTGCCTCCACAGCCACTACTACTACTGGGGTCCGTTGAGACGCAGACACGAGATAGGTAGCCTAGAGCGGGTTGGAATCCAGGCTTGGACTCGATACTACTGTGTTTCAGCTGTCGTAGGTTCTTATCGCGGTAGGCGATATGATATCGTGTGTGCACCGTTCTTTGTTGTCAGCATCGGAGACTGTCCGACGCCGGACTGGTGGATTTGGTTGGGGACTGCATGCCTGAGATCGAGTCATTGGACCGGTGCTTCCGCTGTGACAGATGATTGATGATTCGTAGGATGGAAAGGTGTGATGTGTGATTGATTGTACTTGCGTGGCCCCGGAGTCTGTCTTGTCCCCAGTGAAGTCTGTATCGGCCGTACTTGTAAAGAGTCGACTCTGGTGAGACGTCCACCGAGGCCAACCCACGCAGAGACATTCACACGGGCAGGATCAATCATCATCCACATAATAATAGAAACCGACGGTGAGAGTGGGTAAGGACGAGATACCAGGCTGCGTACCTAGCCTAGTGCTCGTTAGTCAGGTCTGCTATCACGGACGGTGTCAGACCTGCCTATCGGGGGCTAGTGCGCCGCGAATAAGATTGGCCGTTTCGTATTGGAATGCTCGGTCAGATGATTGTCACTGGGATAGTGAGATTCGATAGATGTATATGTAAGAGAGATGTCCAAGTGTAGGATGCAGAACAAGATTAATCGATTGTGTTTGTAGGAGTGTACTCAGGTAGGTACCTGGAAGGAGTACGGCGTTCCCAGTAGGAAGGCCGTAATTAAAGGCCTTTAAGGCAGTCAATACGGTAATGACCATACCAGGTGGACCCCGTGACTTGGTGGGTCCCACGGGGCCTGTCAGGGCCGCGGTTGGCCCCGGCTGGGCCAATCTCCGGCCACTGCACGACCGCCCGCCCCATGCGGGTCTGGGGATTGATTGGCGGGCGCACGGCATCGTACCGTCACAGTACAACATCGATACAGAAACACTGAAGAACAGAGAGGTACAAGAAGAAAAGAGAGGAAGTGAAAAAGCAATAAAAGGAACAAGAGAGAGAGAAAGAGGGATTGTAGTCAGTATTGTCAGTGTCAGAATGGGTGGTGGAATCCAAGGGTTAAAGCTAATCGGCCTTCTGTGCGACCGAGATACTTTGCGGCGAGTCACCGTCGCACCGCGGATGGGCTGGTCGGTACCTCCAGCACAGGTACTCTCACCTAACAACAGGTACTTCCAGACATCCTCTGCCTCTGCCTCTGCCTCGTCTCTTCCTCTCATCTTCTCCTTCTACTCTTCTACTCTTCCTCTTCTCTTCTTCCACTCCTACGTCCACCTCCCTTCTCTTGTCCTCTCTACTCCCCCATTCTCTCTCCTCCTTTCCGCCTCTTATCCTGGATTCCATCGGGTCCACTTCTCTCTATCTACCTGGACTCCATCGGTTATCTCCGGCGGCCCTCTGCCTCTATCTCTTTCATTCTTCCTCCGACACACACCCTCATACACAGTCTCTCCCTGAGACACTGTCTTCTACACCTCTCCCCGTTCCTCCTAACTCCAGACCAGAAACATCGAAGTGAGTCGATCCGTGGTTCATCGGCGAAACCTTTCCGCCCCTGGTGATTGACGCGATCCAACTTCCCCAGGAACCACTTTGCCACAGCCCACCACCATATCACTACACCACTCCCACTCCGACTCCCACAATCTGGTCTTTCACAACTCTTCTTCACTCAATACCTGGACCTCCCTCTTGGTCATTCCAGTTTAGACACATTTTCTTTCTCGCTACCTGAATTTCCTGGTCCATTGCGGTGTGGTGACTTCCCCATTGAACCTCCCGGTAAGCCCCTCGAAGCTTTCCCCAGGTCCCGCTCAGTCCCACCACTACTCCTGTGCCATCCATCTTCCTTTCTCTCTCTTGCTCTCTCTCGCTCTCCCTCTCTTTGCAACACTTCTAATTCCCCCAGTCCAGTCAATGTCGACCCGCTCTCCTGAGTAGACTTAACTCCCGCTGTCCGACCCTCGGGAACTTGCGCCGCAGTGACGTTCTCCTGAGATCGTTCGCCTGTCGACTCCCGTCCGCCGCTTATTCCCCCACCATTACCATCACTACTCTCTCTCTCTCCTACTACCATCCCGGTGACTCCCAACAACTTGTCCCAATTATCTCCCTATTCAGGGTCAGAGTATGCTATTAGACACCATGGTGGGCCAAGAGTTGGGCAATAGCCCCAAAGACCTCGCCAGCATTAGTGAAGTGCCTGGCGATCTCTCTGGTGAGTCCCACTGACCTCAGTCTTACCGGTCATGGCCTGACACCCTGTCTTCTTTTCCCTCCCCCAGTTCCAACCAAAGAATCGAAAAAGGTCGAGTCCAATGGTCAACCCAATATCCCGCCGCCCAAGACCGACAAGCCGAGGCCCCATGGCTGCACCACCTGCGGTCGCTCGTTCGCTCGGCTGGAACATCTCAAACGTCATGAGCGCTCCCACACCAAAGAGAAGCCGTTCGAGTGTCCTGACTGTGCCCGCTGTTTCGCTCGTCGGGACCTGCTCTTGCGACACCAACAGAAACTCCACATGACCACCACTCCATCCTCGCGCCCTCGCAATGGCCGGAGAGAGAGCACGGGGGCCGCGGGCGCTGGCGCCAACCGCGTGCGCAAGAACTCCATCGTCAACAACTCCGCCACCATGCGGCCCCGCGCCAATACCATCAGTCACATCGATGGCGCCGCCCTGGGACTCCCCAATGCTACGAATCCGCCACAGGCCGCCCATCACCCGGGCCATGCCTACCATCCCAGTCTGGGCTCCGCCCCCGTCGGCTCGAATTTGGACTATCGCGGCTACGGGGTTGGTCACCCGCCTGTCAACGGTCTCTCCAAGCTGGAAACCCACGGATTGCCCATGGATCTCACGGGTGGCCTGCGCACAGCGCCCGTGTATGGGAGTTTCGACACGGGCATGGGCGAGATGCTCATGGGCCACGGAAGCACCATCAACCCGGCCCAGCTGCATTTTGGTGGCTCCCCACAGGGCTTTGGGCACGACTCGCCCTCGTCCCCCTACGTCCACGGGGCCGCCCAGGGCATGCCCCCGACCACCGACCCCATGATGGAGGATGAGTTCAGCTTCGATTGGATGAATGGCGGGTTCGACCAGTCCATGCACATGGGCAAGGGAAACAACGAATCCGCCATCGACGAATCGTCCCCCTCGGCCATGAGTACCGGCAGCCAGAGCGGCATCAGCGAGGCCATGATGGATGGCTCCCACCGCTACTCCATGTCTTCCGCCAGCTGGCACAATCCCTTTCCGGCGCATTCGGGGGCCCATTCCAACCAATTTGCTGTTGACTACACCTCTCCCGCGTTTAACGATTTAGGCATTCCCCCAGAGACCGTCTCGCCCAAGTCGTTAATGGCGCAGAATCCGTTTGCTGAAACCTATGCCACCCCTCCATCCATGACCTCGGTGGGCCAGCCCCTGTTGGGAGGACATTCGCAGAGTATGTTTTCATCCTCTATGGCAACCAGCGGAGAATCTCCTAATCCTCTCAACCTGCCTTTCGCGAATAGTGCCCTTCGAACTCTCCATGCCCCAACCTCCACGGATACCTTTACAGACTCCACCCGACAGGCTCTACTAGCCAGCATGGCCCAACCCACCGGCTTCAACCACCGCAAGTACTCCCAACCCGCCAGCAGTATGATCCAGTGTCGCGATCTCTTTTCGCGCGCCAGCTTCAGTGGATCCTCCGGTCAACTCCCCAGCACTCCAGACATGCAACGCTACATCTCCGCCTACATCACCTACTTTCACCCCCACATGCCGTTCCTGCACATCCCCACCTTGGACTTCCAGGCGCCCGAATATACCAACAACCTCCGGACCCCCAGTGGCCATCTGAACCTCAGCTCCACCGGCGTCGCCGGTGGGGGCGGCTGCCTCATCCTCTCCATGGCTGCCATCGGAGCCCTCTACGAATTGGATACCGCTTCGTCCAAGGACCTCTTCGAGGCGGCCAAAAAGATGATCCAGCTATATCTCGAGGAACGTCGCAAGGCCGACATGTCCTCGGCGATCAGCCGCTCCAATCCGACCCGCGATAACTCCGTCCACAACACGCCCCTGTGGCTGGTCCAAGCTATGCTACTGAATGTCATCTACGGGCACACCTGCGGCGACAAGACCTCGGCGGATATCGCCAGCACGCACTGCGCCGCCTTGGTCAGCCTGGCCCGAGCCGCCGGGTTGAACCACCACTTGGACGCCAAGGATCTCCCGCAGGACTACCTGAACACCGGACTGAGTACGGGCGCCGACCTCGAAGGATGGAACTCGAATCCGGGTCAGCAAAAAGAACGCCGCGACTGGCTAGATTGGAAGATCGTGGAGGAGCGGAAACGAACCCTCTACGCGATCTTCTGTCTGTCCTGTTTCCTGGTCTCCGCTTACAACCACGCTCCGGCGCTCACGAATTCCGAGATCCGCCTGGACCTCCCATGTCAAGAGGATCTCTGGGCGGCCGAGTCCCCGCAGGCGTGGAAGAAACTGGGCGGAACGGAGGCCTCGAGGAACGGCTCGTCCTTTTCGTCGGCGCTCACAACGCTCTTGACTGCCAGTCAACGAGAACAAGAGTCCATGTCAGGGAATGCCTCCGGCGGGGATCTCCAGCCGAGTACCTTTGGATGCTTGGTCCTCATCTACGCCCTTCACAACTACATCTGGGAGACCCGTCAGCGGCATATGGGTCGCCAGTGGACGTCCCGAGAGACCGATGCGATGCAAGCTCATATTGAGCCTGCCTTGCGCGCGTGGCAGACGGCCTGGGCGAGCAATCCAGTGCATAGCTTGGAGCGTCCCAATCCTTACGGAGCGGGTCCCCTGTCGGCGGACAGCATTCCCCTGCTTGATCTGGCCTACGTTCGGCTGTTTGTCAATCTCGGTCGATGCAAGGAGGCCTTCTGGCAGCGCGATTGGAATGCCATGTCGGATGAGCTCGCCCGCGGGACGGATATCGTCCATCCGACGGATGATGTTCCCGCAGATGTGCTCGACCCTTCGATCATCGGGGAAGGCAACCAGGCAACCCACCTTCGCCGGGATTCGGTGGCAGACCTTGGTGTAAGCGAGCTTGCGATTTCGAAAACGCCGACCCAGGAGAACCCTATGCAAACCTTGCTCCCCGCCCAGCGTTCAGGCCAGTCTAAAAGGGAGCGGCATCTGCGGAAGGCCGCCTTCTATGCAGCTGACTCCATCTCCATGTCCAATCAGCTGGGCAACACCTTCGCCGAGTTCACCTGCCGCGACTTGCCCATCCAGAGCGCGATGTGCGCGTTCGACTGCGCGCAGGTCTTGGCCGAGTGGGTTATGACGGTGCAGGAACGCGTCGGACCCTATCTGGGGCTTCTGGGCCGTGACGACATTGACCTGGAGCAGGCCTCGAATTCCATGCTTCTAGACGAGAAGGACTGCAAACTCCTGGACAAGGTCAAGGAGATCCTCACGACCATCGAAGGCAAGATGCAGAAGGAGGTCCAAAGCGGCGCCTCCGCCGCGGCGTTGAGTGTTTTACAACGACTGCCCAGCGTCGTCGAAGGCGGCTATGGCTGCAAGATCCTGGTCGCCACAGCGAGCTTGCTGGACCGTGCTGCAGTATGGCCCGTGACGAAACTGATGGCGCGCTCGCTAGAAGCGCAGGCAATGCGACTGAAGGAGCGCGCTGAAGCTTCCATCGCGGAATCCAATTAATCCTGTCCAATCCGGCGGTACAACCTTTTCAACCTGGCACTATTCGCGGCCCATCGCGGTAATCTTTTAGTATTATCTGGAGTTCAAATCGGTCTCAACCCGGGGTGGCGAAGTTCTCACGGCGCATTTTGATATCTTCCCCCGGTGGCCGAATCAGCTGGCGTCCTTGTTATTATTATTCTGTCTCATTCCCGATTACGAGCATCCGATCTATGCTGTTGACGAAGTATTTGTGGCTGAGATCCGGTGGTTTTCTGTCTGTTACGACCTGTCGGTATCCCTTGTATGTGGTACGACCCTGTTATCATTATCTCTCTGCGATGTCAAACGACGTGTGTTTTCTTGTCTCCCTCTGTTGTGTGGTTCTTTCTACGCCTTTTCGATTTGCGTTGGTACGAAGGATGGGCCGGACGTTCCCTGCGCGCCCAATGAATGATCTGGTGGGCCAAATCTCTATCCACGATACCCAGACCTGTTGTTGTTTTCTCGCCCGCATACAACGGTCCAATGCGATGTTGCCATGGCCATACAGAAGTTTAGTCAGGAGTGCCATCGGGCCTTGGCTAGATTGGGTGTTTGGTCTCCTCGTATATAGTGATACAAATTGTACATATGATCCGTTCAATCCACGCGTGGCTGTTTCCAAGAGTGATGTAGACCAACATCCACGTTACTTTTAGTATACTAGAGTCTATTACGCAACAGATATTTACACAATCAGTCTCTCGAACGAGTACTTCCCAGCGGCCTTGCGCCGCAGATAACCAATCTCTCGACTACTCCGCGTCTTGACCTCGCCGGTCGACTTCTTCACCTTGGTCTTGCTGACGTCGGTGGCCGGCGCCTTGAGCGACAGCGGCAACATCCTGCCGGTGGCATCGGCCTCGTCGCCGTCCGCGGCGTCCACCGCGCCAAACACCAACAGATCCGCACCGTTCAGCTTCTCGTGGCGCACGAGGGGGGTGGAGCCCGCGCCGTCATCCACCTTCTCTGCTCGCGCGGCAACCGACTTGCTGCGCGCCATCGATTGCTGCACGCTCTCCGTGTAGCGGAGATACTCGCGGAGCACGCCGCGCAGATACGCCGCCTCCTCGACGCCGGCTAGCGCGGCGGAGATCTCGGCCTGCAGGTCGGTGATCAGCTCGCGCTCGGCGCTGGGCACGCTCAGGCCGTCCTCGACGGCGGTCGGGGCGGCGGCGGCGATCCAGCCGGAGGGGCCGACGGCGTCAACGGCGGCGTTGAGGCAGTCGGCGATGACGTCCAGCGACAGCGACGGGTTGGTCTGAAACGGGGTCGGCGCGGTGGGTGGGGTCTCGGTGAAGCGTGAGGTGTAGCCGCCGGTGGCGAGGGAGAGGCGCAGGTGATGAATGAGGCCGACGATGTCGAGGCGGTGCAGGGCGGCGCGTAGGCTGGCGGTGCGGACGGCGGCCGGGTAGGCGTGCAGCTTCTGCAGGGAGGTGTTGAGGCCGAGGAAGATAGTTTGCAGGGTGGCGGGCGAGGAGAAGGAGGAGTTGGAGGCGGCGTCGGAGAGGTCGGAGTCGTACAGGACGGACTGGGTGCGCGCGGCGTTGAGGAGGGTCTTCAGTGCGGAGGCGAGATCGTCGGGGGACAGGAGAACGGGGCCCTGCAGGACGGCGACGAGACGCAGGTAGGTCGGGTCTGAGTCGATCAGGGCCTGCACCAAGGCGTCGGGCGGCAGACCCGGGAGGATGCGCGGTTTGATTGCGCGCCGCACGGCGGTCTCGACATTGTCGCGCGAGAGGTGGCCCCGGTCAATGAGCCACTGGCAAGTGGCTTCGGGCCAAAAGCCGACGGACAGATGGGCGGTGGGAGTGCGAGCGAGGCTGGCGAAGGGGTGGTCGGCGGGCGGGGAGTCGTGCAGGGTGAAGATGAAGGAGAGGAGGAACAGTGTGAGTTCGGGGTTGACGTAGTGGGAGCGCGGGGCCAGGCCGTTCGACGAACCGGCGCTGAAGTATTTCTGCACGGCGCGGTCGAAGGCCGCGGTGTCCTTCGCCTGCGAGGCCTCCTGAAGGGTGCGAGAAAAGTCGTTCCACTGGCTCGATTGCTCCGGGGTGAGGCCAAGAGATTCCATGCGCGGCTTCTTCGATGACGGATCCCACTGCGCCGATGCGCCGATGCCGCGACCAATGGCGTCGATGAGGAGGCCGTCGCGGGATCGCTTGAGCGAGGAGCCCAGCGGGGTGCGCGAGGAGCTCAGATCAAACGCAATCAGCGTGTTGCCGCGGATAGCGACAGCGAGGCCAAGCTTCGCGAAGTACCCGATGAAAGTGGTAGGCGCCGTACGGGTGTCGGTGCTGGCGGGGATGTTGCTGATAGGGATGCTGCGCTGGACGGAGTTGTACTGGGTGTCGAACACCGCGATAGTGGACTTGCCCGCACCAACGACGGACTGTGGAGAGACGCGCAGGACGGAGGAGAATTCTTCGTTGTCAAGGATGAACCGCGAGGTGACCGTGGGTGTGTATTGAGAGAGATCGACGTTGATGAATCCCCGCTCGAACGACAGGTTCAGTCCGGCCGACCCAGAGTGGAAGTCCCACTGCAAGCGATCGCGCTCAAACTGATCGTGTCCTTCAATGTTGGGGAGGTTGACAGTAAGCAGATGTCTCATTTTCTGACTTTCGTCCAGAGTCAATCCGCCCGCAGGGACAGTACCAGGCACGGAGAACATGTGCACTTTGACCTCGTTCAGACCAAAGCGCTCCGAGTTGTGCGGTTGTGAGACAAGTAGGAGTACAGATGTGTGATCCACCCCTGAGTCTGTGATGTCGGCTTGTGCTAGGGCCGCGAGGTCCTGTCTTTTCTTGAACAACGTCTTCCGAGCCTCCTCGAATTCAACAAGGAAGCACGAGCGGATTTCCTGGGTGGAGGAAAGCTTTGCAAGTTCGCTGTGGTGCAGACTCCAGCGCTGAGCATCCAGACCAGCACTCAGACGACGCACACGTCCGTCTTTGTGCACCGTCAGAATGTCGAACGGGTCCTTCTCTTCCTCTTCATCGACGACAGTGGGAAGGATGCCGACGAAGATCGCTGGGCTGTCCGAGTCTTTCGCGGAGAAAGAGGAGGACGTAATGACGGGAGCGCTCGAGCCACTTCCACCGTGTTCCTCAACGAAGGACTTGATCTCCCGCTGGGGATTGATGGCGACATAAGTCTGCCTTTTCACGGTTGACTTGTTCGAGAGCTTTCTGCGCACCGAGCAGGGCTGGCAGGTGAAGGAGGATTTCGGCGGAACGGCATAGGACGTGACCAACTTGGGGGTTTGGATCTAGTGCACTCATTTTAGCATTCACTTGAGGAATCAGGAATGTGATGCCGGTCCCTACGTTGTATATATTCACGGCTTCTCCGTCGACTGCAACGGCAACTTCGTATCGCTTGCGCTTCTTGGAATCGGCGAGACGAAAGACTTCACCGATGCGAGTCTTGCCGGTAGACGCATGTAGCGGCCGAGGCAGTTGAGCCAGGACCGACGGCGGCTGAAGATCCATGGTGACAGCGACGGAATGGCGACGACGACAACGACGACGTTCAACGCATCTTGAACGATGCTTGATTCGGACTCAGAAAAATTTCCGGGTGGACGTTGGTCCGATCTCCGGAGCTAACACCAAAGAGGCATAATGGCAGCAAACAAGACAAACTTCCCAACTGGGCAAATGACGTCCCGATTGGCCGCGCGGGACACGCGCCTCGCGTGTCTTTCGTGCCGTCGTCGTCTTTTCTCCTGTATCGACTTCACTCGGCTGTCAGTCGGTCTTCACATTCGCCTCACCCACTCGGGAGAACTGCCAATGGCTACTCTGTGATCCCTTCTTCTGCATCCATGCTCCCTTCTTCTCCCTTTTCCCATCGATGAGCACCCGCTCATCGTATACATGCGCTCCGGGACTGATGATGGCAATGGGACAAGAAGGGCATCGAGCCATCCATCCCTTCTTCCGTAAAGGTCATTCGCTCCGGAGATGTCTTTCTAGCAGCGACTGATCTATTACAGAGATCGACACACCGACGGGCAACATCCCTCCCACCACCGAAGATGGTCTACCAAGAGACCCCAAGCGGGACTCTCCTGCCTGCGAGACTCCCAAGCCGATGACCAAACAGCCAGATGGGACTTCGAAAGCGTCGAATCTTCAATCTCACGAACTGCCTCCGTTCCAGACAGCCGCTCCGGTCGACGAGACTCTGGAGCACGATCCCAACACGGGGAGACGAAAACGACGAAAGACGGATAGGCATAGTAAAGAGGGTGCCGCACATGGATCTATAACCAAGTATATAACGCCTCAGAACAATTCTTCGCAAGGACAGGAACCCACACAACTTGATGTTCTCGTGGGCGAAACCGAATTGCCAGCAGAAGCAACTCCTAGTCCGGAACCTGACCTTCCCTCTGCCGCGCCCTCCACAGATCCTGGAAATCATCCTGACCCGACTAAAAGGACACCTAGCCCTACGGAGGACACTCCAAATGACACTGATCCAACCAGCCAAAAGGAAAGGTCGTCTAAGAGGAAGACGATCAAACTCAACGCGAACGGAAAGCTTCTGAGCTCCCCTGTCTCCAAACCCCAGGGGGAGGAAAATCCCAAGAAAAAGTCGAACAACAAAAGAAAGAGCGGGAAAGGAGTGACTAGCACCAAATTGATCGTCTTCAAATACCCTAAGACCGAGGAAGACAGCTTGGGCAAGTTGATTGATGACATTCTCAATGGTAAACGGCGGCATGCCCCTACGAACCCTCCGAAACCTGCCCCTCCACCGGTCAAAAAGGATGAACCTCCAAAGCCAACACATCCTTTCTTCATGAAGAAACCCACACGCAAGCTCGAGACGTGTTCATCCCCTGCCTCTCATGATGCTCAAGCCACGAAGACAGCCTCCAACGCTCCCAACCGCCAAAGTCCATCAGGTTCCTTCATGAAGTCGTTTAACTCCTTCAAGCATCGGCCATCCAAGGCTCCGGATCCCATTCATCCCATCTGGCCGCCGCGAGGGCTCTCTCACGTTCGAGGCCAATGCGACGATGTCACTTTACCAGGGAGTGCCGTAGACCATCCTCTTGGTTTAGGCCCCAAGAAATCGAAGATGGCTGCTGTGAGCGTCTCGGACAAAGAGAGTGTACTGTCTCCGGGTTTGCAAAACCTCACTCACGAACCGACCCGGATTCTTCGATTACCAGGAAGGAATACCGCTAGTGGATATGTCCTACAAAAAGCAGTCACTAGACAACTATCCCACAATTCGCTATCAGGCACTGGCAAGGATACTTTGAGCGGTACCTGCCACCCAGCTATCGCCCGCCTGCACGAATCTATACCAAAAACAATGAGCGCTTTCGATACCGGAAACTTTGATAGTCTGCTTTGGGCACAGAAATACGCCCCCTCTTCAGTTGAACAAGTTCTTCAGGTCACGAAAGAGGTGCAGATGCTGCGCGACTGGTTGAAATTTTTGATGATATCGGCAGTTGATACAGGGAAGCCATCAAAGGACGGGGGGGAGAAACAGACTGGTGACAGGAAGAAGAAGAAGAAGCGCAAGAAGACAGATAAACTGGACGGCTTCATTGTGTCAAGTTCCGATGAAGATTACCAGATGGATGAAGTTTCCGATTCAGATGAAGATGAGCTCGCCGGGGCTGTGACAGTCTCCTCCAAGCGGACCGTAATCCGGGCTGGCGATCTCACCCTGAGTTCAAGGGATGGGGCCGAACGAGGTCGGATGTCCAATGCAATTCTTGTCAGCGGTCCTCCAGGCTGCGGCAAGACCGCATCGATCTACGCTGTTGCAAAAGAGCTCGACTTTGAAGTTTTCGAAATTAATCCTGGCAGCCGGCGGAATGCGAGAGACATTGTGGAGCGGGTCGGAGATATGACACGCAATCATCTTGTGCACAACTTCGATGAGAGAAGTTCTCGTCAAGATCACAGCTCTCCAGCCCCTGGCGCCAATGATGACAAGCAAAACAAGCTGATGGGCTTTTTCAAATCCGCCGGCAGTAAGGATACCAAGAAGGCCGGTCATTGCAAAGACAAAGAGCTTGAGAAGGAGGGCGATCCAAAAAGAACGCGCCAGCAGAAACAGTCTTTCATCCTCCTCGAGGAGGCGGACGTCCTCTTTGAGGAAGATCGGCAATTCTGGTCCGGCGTACTCACATTAATTAATCAGTCGAAACGCCCGATTATCATCACTTGCAACGATGAGAGTCGTATCCCATTGAAGGACATCTCATTCCATGCCATCCTTCGTTTCCGTCCTCCGCCTCAACACCTTGCCGTGGACTATCTTCTACTCATCGCTGCAAACGAGGGCCATTTGCTGAAACGAGAAGCCCTTAATGCGCTCTATATGAGTACCGGGAAAGACCTGCGGAGGTCAATCACTGAACTCAATTTCTGGTGTCAAATGGCTGTGGGAAGTGAGAAATCTGGTCTTGACTGGATTGTTGACCGGTGGCCTCGCGGGTGTGACCTGGATGACGAGGGAAATCCGCTGCGAGTGATCAGCCTCAACACCTACGAGCAATTTATGGGCTGGTTCAGTCGTGACATGTTGATGTGCGGTACCTTGGACAGCGAGATTGAGCCGGGCCAAGAGTCTCTCATGTGGTGGCAGCTCAGTCTTCAAGATGCAGAAGAGTGGTCGGACATCGATGCGCTGGCCAAAAGTCGACCGAAGGGGTCCAGAGAACAGCAACTGGAACATTTACGGCGCTTCTCGGACCTCATGGACAGCCGAAGTGATCTTGATATTCTCGCCGCTGATCTGTCGCTTGATGCGAATCAGGTAACTACGATTCCTTGACGTAGTCTTTGATGTGAGAACTAACCCTATGTAGGATGTGCTGGATACATCTATCGAGTCCATTTCTGAGAAACAGCGCGCGAATTATCTGGAAGGCTACCCGCTCTTGGTCACGGAGCCTCTTCCCTGCTATACGTCCCTCCCTGTGGCCATCGGGAACACTTATGCCACATTTCTACGACGTGTCTTCCGGCCGAGCCAGCAAAAGAATATCGAAACAACTCAGGCTGTCAAGTCACTGGCCAAGATCACGCATCCCATGGCATCGGGCCCTAGTCATGGTGACCTTCTCCGCGCCTTCGAACCGGTGATGAAGCCGGACTACGTTTTCCCCCCACCGGTTGGACGGGTGGCTCTGTCCTTTGAGAACGGTCTCGGACCAGTTGCAGAAGACCTCGGGCCTTACATCCGAGCTATCACGGCATTCGACTTGCGCCTTGAACAATACAGGCTACAATTGAGTGGTCTGCTATCCCAAGACGGCCAGGGTACGAAACGAGTACGGAAGACACGAGCGAGTCGCGCAGCGCTAGAAGGGGGTAGCAAGGCGGAAACACGTAAGGAGCGGTGGTTCCCTCCGGACACCAATGCCTCGTTGGTTCTGGGAACGGGAAAGAGAGAGTGGCAGGAGATGCTGGTCCAGGCGGGATATTTCACCGTGTCGGGGGAGGGAGGCGCTTGTAGTCAGGAGTGGGCAGTGGAGAGTTCTAGCGACGGAGGGTTCTGAGGTAGTGTTGTAATAGTATATAGAGATTGACTGTTGATACATTAAGTATCTCATGCTTGACCTACGGACTTAGTATTGTACCCCGTACCCCGTAGATCGAGGTAAGCCAGTTATGTACATAGAGATAGCATGATCAAATCAGGCCTAGCGGGTGGAGCATCGCCTCATCAACTTCGCTACTCACCAGCTGCTATCTTCGTTTCTCTCTCCCTCTCTCTCTTTACCTCATTTCTGCTCGCCCTCGCTCTTCTCAGGAAAAGCAGGCCCTTTTCCTTGCGCTCTTCCCCGTCAGTCAATTACCCTTCGGGATTTCGATCCATCCGGTCCGGTGCGGGTGGTCCGTCTTATCACTCCGACCGAGCTCCGCTGCGTCACTGGATCATCGCCTCCGCATCTGCCTACTCGACTCTCACCGCAATCGATCGACTCCTGGGTGAACTCCACCATCTATCGCCATGTCTCTCTTTGGCACATCGCCGGATGATTCCTCCTCGATGGGAAATTCCGCGCAGAGGTCCAAGTCCTCGCTGTTCGCCGATGATCCATCACTAGGGGGCAATGGCACGGGCCCCAACTACGGCTCCTCTTCCCTCTTCGCGGATGACGACAGTGGTTCGCCATGGAACAGCAATCCCAACAAACGAGCCGCGCGTCATCAGCTCGTGAAGACCCTTCTCGCCGATTCGGAAGTCCCTGAAAGCTACATCGATGCCTATGATCTTGTCCTCAATGTGGGGGATCGCGTCGGATCGGGCGTCGGTCTGACGTCGGTGCGGGAAATCCTGTCCAGCAGTGGCCTGACTGCGACCGACCAGGCCAAAATCCTCAACCTTGTGGTATCGGGCGACATCGACAACGCCGGGGGACTGGGTCGCGGCGAGTTCAACGTTCTTCTGGCGCTGGTAGGCCTGGCGCAGGAGGGTGAAGACCTGACGTTCGACGCGGTAGACGATCGCCGAAAGAGTGAGTATTCTGATAGCGCGGACCCCCAGCTTAGAACACCACACTAACCGAGACTACCTGTAGAGCTCCCGATCCCCAAGACTTCGTACCTCGATACGCTGCGCGCCCGACAGGAAGCTCCGGCTGCCGAGCGACCGACCACCCCGCCGCCCCCCGCGACGCCTCAGCAAGAGCCCCCTTCGGCACAATCTCGACGGTCCGGGCGGGACTCGATGGGTGGCCTCGAAGCCGACCCCTGGGCAAGCCCCGATCTCCATCGGGGCCATGCGCATGCGCAGGCTGATGTCCCTGCGCCCATCATGAACGGGTTTGGGAGCGTGCGGTCGGCGACCAACGCGTGGTCTGGCCGATCCGGCGAGGACACCAAAGCCAACGACGCGTCCGATGGCCAGCGCACGAACGGCCAGCCCGACGCCGGCGCTTCCTCCGCCAACGCCGGCTTTGGTTGGGGCGAGAGCTTCGGCAGTAGCGGCAGCGGTGGTGGACTGGGAGGGCCACTCCGAGCAGGACTTGGAGGCTTTGGTCCCCCCAGCGGCGACAACAATGATCCTAACCACCCCCGTCGACGGTCCCTGGGGATCGACCGAGTGACCAGTCCGCATGTGGAGGAAGTGGTGACGGTGACGCTTCTGCCGGAGAAGGAAGGCATGTTCATGTTCCAGCATCGCAACTACGAGGTGAAATGTGCGCGACGTGGAAGTACGGTGATTCGACGATACAGTGATTTTGTGTGGCTGTTGGACTGCCTCCACAAGCGGTACCCCTTCCGACAGCTGCCGCTGCTACCGCCCAAGAGAATTGCAGGTACGTCTAGGCGCAGGCTTCCTACGATAAGCTTACTCACCTCTTCTTTTTCACTCACCTAAGTCAATGGCACTCACCTTGCAGCGGATTCCAATTCCTTTCTCGAAAAGCGTCGACGGGGTTTGGTGCGGTTTACGAATGCCCTGGTGCGCCACCCGGTGTTGAGCCAGGAGCAACTGGTGATTATGTTTTTGACGGTGCCTACGGTATGTATCGCGCGGCAGATCTCGGGGTGGGACTACGGGACTAATAGCGTGGGGTAGGAACTATCCGTATGGCGGAAGCAAGCCACAATCTCGGTGCAGGATGAGTTTACGGGGAAGGCGTTGCCCCCTGATCTGGAGGACTCGCTGCCGTCGACGCTGACGGACACGTTTGAGACGGTCCGCAGTGGGGTGCGACGGTCGGCGGAGGTGTATATCAACCTGTGCACGCTGCTGGAGCGGTTGGCGAAACGCAACGAAGGGCTGGCCGCGGACCACCTGCGGTTCTCGCTGGCGCTGCAGTCGCTGACGGAGATGACGCGGGACACGTACGCGATGGACACGAACGACGTGCCGCTGTTGAACGAGGGGATCAAGGCGACGGCGCGGCATCTGTCGGCGAGTCAGAGTCTGCTGGAGGACGAGGCACGGGCGTGGGAGGAGGGCATGCTGGAGGACCTGAAACGCCAACGGGACACGTTGGTCAGCGTGCGCGAGATGTTTGACCGGCGGGATCGCTACGCGCGGAACAACATCCCGCAGCTGGAGCGACGGATTGAGAGCAATGAGCGCAAGCTGCAGGAACTCCGGCAGCGGCCGACGGGGACGATGAAACCGGGGGAGATCGAGAAGGTGGAGGAGGCGATCTTCAAGGACAAGGAATCGATTGTGCAGCAGCACGCACGTGGGGTGTTGATTCGCGAGTGTGTGCGCGACGAGCTGGTGTATTTCCAACAGAGCCAGTACCACATCAGCCGGCTGCATCAGGACTGGAGCCAGGAGCGGGTGAAGTATTCGGAGCTGCAAGCGGATAATTGGCGGTCGTTGAGTGACCAGGTGGAGGGGATGCCGTTGGGGGATTAGAATGTGTATACGCCACGGAGGGATAGTGTGGGGGATGTTTGCTAGATGTTCAGTGTATACCAGGTTGTTAGTCGAGTGCAGATGAGTATTATTATTGGAATATGGGACTGGTCCATTGCAGTGCCTTACAGTCTAGGTAGTAACCTTGGAAGTAAGCAGAATCCAACTGAATCAATAATATGATCAAAATGAATAACAAAGAATAAAATGAATAAAAACATAGATAATAATATCGATCAATCAAAAGTGGCAAAAATAAACGATCAGCGGAACCCCCGCCGGAGCAGCCAATCAGCGTCCGCCAAGGGCTTGGCCGCCTTGCAAGGCTGGGCACGCTTATCTAATCAGGCATTCCTTCCTCTTGTGTCTCCGGAGTACCATTCTACTGTACATAGGTACTCCGGACCACCACGAATCTCTTCTTTTCTCCACGATCTCACAGGAGCAAAGATGTGTTTCTAATCGAAAGAATAGAGGGACACTTTCTCCATCCACATACCTTCTCCGTCGGGTCAGTCCGATCGGACTCTGCCAGCCGACCTCCGAACCACCAGATCCCGTGACCCACTCCCTCAGCTTTCTCTCGACTCCATCGCCGTCTCCATCGCTCCCATCCGCGTCATCTGCCAGCCCCGGCTCGATACGACTCCCGATTCTTCCTCTGCCTACGAGAGGTTTCTCGACAGGCGCCCAGTCGCCCGGTCTTGGCGTCATTCGCCCGCCTCTCCACTCCGGTTTGTTCCCGGCTGGTGCCCAGACTCGGTTGCGTCTTGGGTCGCTTCCTGCGCCTCTTATCCCCTCTTGACTTTCTTGTCCTTCTTGTCGACCTTTTTTCCCCCTACTTCTGGTCGTCTTCGGTGCGTCTTCTATACGTCTTTGCTGCCCTATATCGCCTCCTCTCGCCCTTGAGATTGATCAGGGCATTCCTGTGCAGTCCGGAATCTGGCCGAGAGCGGATTGCCCGATTCGGTAAGTCCCTCAGCCCTGTGGTTCTTCCTCGTGCTGCTTTCTCCGCCGCAAAAACAACACCCGCACACTAACCACGCACTTCCCCCGTTCAGGAGATCCCCAGTCTGCATCTCCCCTCCAGTTCGACCCCGAGGCATGCCGACTCTCGGTTTCAGGCGACTCCTCCGCGCGCAATACCCCCCTTGCACCGTCTGATCGGGACGCCGCCCGTCGCCCGACCCCGTTGCCATCATGGCCTGGGACCATCTCGACATCGATAAGCCGCACCTGGCCTACATGATTCTCGGCGGTTTCACTGGTCTGTTTATGTTATGCTCCCTTTTCGTCAAAGAGAAGCTCTACATCGGTGAAGCCACCGTCGCCACCATCTGCGGCATCATCTTCGGTCCCCATGCCGCCAACCTCTTCAATCCCCTCTCCTGGGGCAATGTCGACAAGATCACCCTGGAATGCTCGCGCATCGTTCTGGTCGTACAATGTTTCGCCGTCGGTGTCGAATTACCCAAGGCCTACATGGAGCGCCACTGGAAGTCTGTCTTCTTCCTTCTGGTCCCCGTCATGACCTGGGGCTGGCTCATCACCAGTCTCTTCATCTGGTGGATGGTCCCGCTCAATTGGATCGAGAGTCTCGTCTGTGCCGCCTGTGTCACCGCCACCGACCCCGTCCTGGCCTCCTCCGTTGTCGGAAAGGGCAAATTCGCCCGTCGCGTTCCCAAGCACTTGCGAGACCTCCTCTCTGCCGAGTCCGGCTGTAACGATGGCATGGCATTCCCCTTCATCTACCTCTCCTTCTACATCCTTCGGCACATGGGCCATCCCAACGAGGTTGCCCTTCACTGGATCTGTATCACTATTCTCTACGAGTGCATCCTGGGCGCCATCTTCGGCTTTACCATCGGTTACGCCGCCCGCCACGCCATCAAGTTCGCCGAGCGCAAACAGTTGATCGATCGTGAGAGTTTCCTCGTCTTCTACTTCGTCTTAGCCGTCTTCTGCGCCGGCGCTGGGAGCTTACTCGGCATGGACGACCTGCTGATCGGCTTCGCCTGTGGCGTGGGTTTCAGCAACGACGGCTGGTTCACCGAAAAGACCGAGGAGTCGCACGTGTCCAACGTCATTGATTTGCTGCTCAACTTGGCGTACTTTGTCTACTTCGGGTCCATCGTGCCCTGGGAGGACTACAACAACGCCGAGATTGGCCTCACCCCCTGGCGTCTCGTCGTCATCGCCCTTCTGGTTATTTTCTTCCGCCGCATCCCCATCATGCTTCTCTGCAAACCATTGATCCCCGATATGAAAACTTGGCGCGAGGCCCTCTTCGCCGGCCATTTTGGCCCCATTGGCGTAGGCGCCATCTTCGCCTGCATTCTCGCCCGCGCCGAGCTGGAAACCGACAGCACCCAGCCGTTATCCGAAGGGGACTTACCCAAAGCCGGCACGGCGGATTTCTACGTCGTGCAGCTGATCTGGCCCATCACCACCTTCCTGGTCATCTCGTCGATCCTGGTCCACGGCTCATCCATCGCCGTCTTCACCCTCGGCAAACGCATCAACACACTCACCATCACCCTGTCCTACACCACCGCTAACGAGGAGGGACCGTCGTGGATGAACCGGCTGCCGCGTGTCCAGTCCCTTGCCAAGGGTTCCATGTCCTTCCGCAAGGCGGACGAAGAGCTTGAGAACTCCTCCAACGAGCCCGAGTATCCGCCTGGCACGCTACCACCAATCGGTGTTCCGGGTAACTTCCTGCGGCGCGTGCGCGACGAAGACACCGACTCTCCATCCATCAAGCCACCCCACAAGACCCGTCGCCGCCGCCGCCGTCGTCGTGTGGATGATGGTGCCGGTGGCCCCATCAGCCAGTCGGCCATTATGCCGCAGCGCCACCTCTCTACGGGCGAGGAGCGCAAGGCCGAAGAAGCCGAAGCGGAGCGAGAAAAGGAAACGCGCGACGACATCGAGCGTGGAGGCTCGCCGCCCAGCAAGGAACGCGAGCTATTCCACCGCGAGCCCGCCATGGAAGTCTACCTGGAAGGCCACAACATGATCATCGAAGACGAGGAGGGTAACGTCCTCCGCACCGAGGACATCAGCCACGTGTCCCCTGAAGCCCGCGAGCGCCACATCGAAGAAGAGCGCAACAAGTTGCAGCAGGAGAAGACCGGTGAACATGCCAAGTCCAAGAGCCAGCCGCACGAGAAGACCGAGGGCGAAGAGATCCAGCAGGCCGTTGGCGAGACGACCGGTCACCCGCTCGAAAAGGCCCGCAAGCGCTTGGGACAATGGATGGGTTTCGGCAAGGCGCCTGCTACCGAAGGTGCTTCCACCCAGCCTGGCGCTGAGCATGATCAGGAAGCCGCGGAGAAGGACGCTGCCGCGAAGAAGAAGGCCGCCAAGGCGAAGGCCCGGTCTGCCCACGCCTACCAGTTCGGTAACACGATCATCGTCGAGGACGAGGATGGCGAGGTGATCAAGAAATACTCGATCCCATCGTCGTCCGACAAGCCCGAGGCCGCGGCTCCTGTGCGTCGTGGACTCACGCGCATGGGCACCTGGTTCGGTGTGGAAGGCGGCAAGGAAGGCGAGTCGTCGGCGCAAGCGAACCCGAAGAAGCCCGAGGAGGACGAATGGCTGCGTGACGACGGTCTGCGCTTCACCGTGGCCGAGGATGATCAGAAGGGCCGGCGCATGAACAAGCACGAGTTCGTGCAGCAGCTGCGCAACCTGGGTCCCAAGGCCCGTCGCGACCTCGTCGAGCAAACTGGCACCCCCGAACGCGTCAAGGACGCTGCTCGTGAGGCCGACCGACAGGAATCCACTACCCCCGGTCGCCCTCAAATGACCGCCGCAAGGACGCCCTTCCGCCGGCCACTGACAACCTGCCGATGACGACGAGTTCCCCTCCGACAGTGAAGTGGCCACCGATGAAGAGGACACCTCTGACGGGCCCATCGTGCCGGGCGACAACGTCGCCGCCTCGCTGGCCCGATTCCGCCGCGGCACCGCTGCGGAAGACCGCCGTAGCAACCTGACCCCAACCCCGGGAACCCCGCGTCCACGCTCACGTCGCGACTCCGAGGATGACGGCACCGAGCGGGTTCCACCGGCACAGCTCCGCGAAGCTGCCGGGTTGTCTCCGCTCCCGCGCCAGGCGTCCATCGACGACACGGGCGAGACCCCAGCCGAACGGCGTCGTCGGTTAGCCGCGCTGGGTCAGCTCAACAGTTCGGACGAGGAGGAAGATTCGGACGCGGTGGAGGACGACGAGGACGACAGCGAGGAGAGCCCGAATGGCGGCAAGGTGCAGTTTGCGGATGGCACCAAGCCGGCGCGCAGCCGGGAGGCCGGCAACTCCGAGAGCAACGGTTCGGGCTCGGGGTCGTCCAACTCGCCGTCGCATCGGCCGCGGATTTCCTGGGGCGGCGAAAAAGGACGTGAGAACTGATTTTTTTAGATGAACAGATGAGAAGGACAGAAGTACAGAGATCAAAATAATACATGAGGAGCGGGCTTCTGTGTACAGGAGTGTTTTGTCGATTTGATTTTGCTGGTGTGCTGCCTGTTTCTGGTCCTGCATTTGAGCGCTGCACTATTACGTCGCATAACATGCCCTGTCTTCATTGCCATTTTTTCCTTGTACATGGATTGACTGATTGACTGATTGGCTTTGGTTTAGAACCATATCGTCAGACCCAGGGATCCGACGCCCTGGGAGATAACTACCCTTCTTGTACTTAGTACTAGCCGAATATATTACTACAGCTTCAATTGGTCCTATCCTATTCGTAATCACCAGAAAGAATATTGATTGACATCCAATGACATTATGCAAATGCAAATGCACCGCTCATTCATGATGAAAGCAAGGCAAACAACGACAGCGCTGGATCAAACAAAGAAATCATGAATTTATCCAGAGAAATGAAACCAAAAATATATAGTGGATAGATGGATGAAGAAGATCCACACGCTGCTCGTAGTTTTGCCAGCCAGCCCAACACCAAACACCGCTGTTATAACCAGGATCAGGTCGGATCGACCCGAGAAATAATCAATCGTCGTGCATCGGGGTATCTCAAACAGGTAGCTTGCCACAGGGTCTCTCCGCGCGCCGATGGGGCCATCACAGGACCCCTCCCGGGAGGTTGATCTGGGCTTGTCGTCCATCGAAGCCGGCACTGTTGGGGGCCGAACCCCCGCTGGCGTAGGCGCTGTCGATGGGATGCAGCTGCTTCCGGAGCATAAACATGGGCTTGCGGCCTTCCTTTTCCAGCTGTTTGAAGAGGATAAGAGGCCGCTCCTCCAGGCCCAGACACCGCTCTTGGTCGCCGTACACGATGTAGAGCGCATATTGCTTCCAGTCGGCGTTGATGTTGTACTTCTTCAGCGCCGCGGGGAGGACCTTGTGACAGGGATCTTCCATGGACACTCGGAAGGACTTGAAGATCTCGACGCTGGGAGGGTCCCCACCGCCGCCCGCTCGGGAGTCGGATCGCGTGGGAAGCTCTGGTCGCATAGTTTGTGTTGGGGTGGGGTTGAGGCGATCGGAGCGGGACAGCGGCGTGAGGTTGTCGTCATGGTGGTCGTGGACTCGACTGGCGTGAGAGTTTGGCTGAATATACGATCGTGAGGCCAAGGTCTGCGCACCGTAGTGCGCACCCGGAGATGTCGGGGAGGGCATCCCCGGCGACAGTTGGGACTTTCCGTTCATCGTGCTCATAGGATCGAGCGCGCCCTCGTTGTACGGTCGATTCTCGTGGATCGACGGGGGAATATGTGTGGGAGAATTGTTCTTGGGAGTCGTGCCGCCGTGGAGTCGTTTCGAAAAGGTGCGTGAAATGCCCGAGGCCGAGCGTTCCAGGAGGGTGATGCCGGTGGAGGGCGAGACGAGGGTCTGCTGGCTGTCGTGATGTGCATCCATCCCGGGACCCGACGAAGGCGGCGGTAGCGGCTGCGATCGATCCTTGGCCATTTTGAACACAGGCAGCAGTTCTTCTCGCAGTCGGCGATAATCCTCCGCAACGCGCCGCAGCTCCGACTCCACGCTGGAGATCCGTTCGTCCCGGAGTTGAATCGACTGGATCAGCCGAGCGATGTCTTCCTGGGTGGCATTTTCATTCATACTCTGGTCGGCGGCTACGAATTATCAGTAGACGGTCTGCAGTGGACGAGCAGGAGGCGTACACAGTGGGATGTAGTGGTCCGCATCGAGCGGGATGTCCTGCTTCACTTTGGTCTCATACACGCTCTTCAAAATGGTCAGTCGGTGGCCCACGCTGGCGATGCCCATTTCCTTCAGCTCATCGTGTTTCAGAGCGATGAGCGCTTCGCCGACGATTTCGTTTTCTAGCGGCGACGGGAGATTAATGTCGAGTTCGGATTACAAAGGCCTCGAAGAGTACTCACCTAGAAAGGCCGAACAGTACTGACGCAGCCCCAGCGACGCCAGGAAGTTGGCACACTCCTCGGCGGTCCATTCGGTGATTCTGGTCCTGGGGGAATGGGGGTTCTCGTCGGCGTGGGCCAGGGTGGTGGGCGTATGCTCGGCGGAGGGGAATTCGGAGTCTGTAGGTGAGGCCTCGGAGTCGGTGGCCAGATGAGGTGAGGTGATCACACTGCGCTCATACTCGTCGTCGGCGTCGGAGTCGGCGTGATATGAGGTATGAAGAGACATGGCGAGAGGGCGGATGGGGAGTCTGCAGCCGATCGACCACAACGAGAGAATGATCAGGCAAGAGGACGAAGGAGAAAGCCAAGAGTCTGCTGCATGGACGGGACGGCAAGCGGCTGGGACCGGGGAAGGCGCGAGACGCGGAGATGGCGCCGAACCCAGTCAGTGAGACGGAGCGATGGAGATAAGTGTACGGGGTGGTCGAATCATGCACGGAGACGGAGAGACGGAGCGGTCGGAGAGTCGTCAGGCGTGTTGATCGAGTTGAGGGAAGCCAAGGTCGAGGATGGTCGAGCGGGGAAGCTAGCGGCTATGTATCTCCTGACAGTGACGGAGTCGACAGGGCGAGAAAGAAAGGCGGAGGAAGAGAGGGAGAAAGAAGTAACGAGAGGAGGAGAAAGGGATAGAACGAGAGGAAGAGAGAAAAAGATGAGACGTAAAGAGGAGAAGAGAAGGGAAGAGAGTGAAGAAGAAGATGAAGCTGTAAAGACGACGCGATGAAAGTCGGAGGGAAAAAGGAAAAGCGCCGTTGCTCTTTTGGGATCGCCGCACGTGATACTGTCTGGACTTTTCGATTTTCTAGGTATATTTTATGTTTTATCACCTAATATACCTATACTTCATAACTATACAAGTACTTCCTCTCCTTTTCCTTCTATAGCCCGCGCCAGTCCCAAAAAAAGAACAGTTCATGCACACCATCCATAGCGCTGGTCAACTGGGGCCGATGTCAGCGTCCACCTCTCCTAATAGTGCCGGAGCATGGACGATTTGGGCTGGAGCCCCGAACCCTCCGCTGTGGCGCTGGAGAAGCCGGACTATCTTCCTTTTTCACCAGCTGCATGCCAGGGAAGAATAATAATAGTAGTAGTAGTAGTAGTACTCCGTCCCTCAGGGGCATACCCCTTGCACTCCAGCCAGTCGATTCTGGCGGATTCAATAGTCGCATCATTGCGCCAGCTAGTGGCTGGTTCGATATACCTCCAAGCCAGATGCTGGTGCTGTCCTATAGGATAGAGCAAGTCGACTGGTTGTAGTTGTAGAATAGCATCGGATGGTAGACCTGGCAATATATACAGGTCCGCTAGCTAGAACTTTGTATACAGTTTTTTTATTACATCTGCATCGAGAATACACATCATCATATTTTCAACCCACCAGACTCCCGTATGGTAGACCTCTGTAGCAGTTCTGTACGCGATGTACATGTAATGTTACCTAATGTAACAGTGCAACATGCCGTACGGCTCTAGTCTGACAAGTTCCAGTTACTGTAATTCCGAGAATGATAGTAAATGTGCCGCAATACGATGCTGGAGAACAAGACGTAGGATTCTGGGACGATGCAGGGCAGTATGATAAACGTCAATCAACTACCGCCTCGTGCCACTGTCTCTTATAGTGAGTCCGATCTTCTATTTCCCTGGGAACCTCCCCCAGATTCCTTATACAGTATAAAGCCGCGAGTGTCAGATATGAATAACGATAAACACTCCTCTGACTCACAACGACAACCCTGCAACAATAGCGACCATCCCGTGAGCGATCGAGTGCGCATTAACCCGGAAATGGAGTTGAAGGCGCTCCCTAAGCGCCTCCTTGATCCGCTCGCATTGGGGATGCTGCTGATGCCAAATTCCAGCTAACAACTCTGCGGCTGCGCTGCAACGGTCCAAGAGGTCCTCTTCCTGAAAGTCATACCGGGCCTCGATCCGGTGCAGTTTGATGTTGCCATACCCATAATTGGTAAGACACCGGATAGCAGACTGTAGGAGATATCCTTGATGGCCAACGGGACAGGATCGAGTTACCGAGCCTAGAAGCTGGAGCACTTCATTATACGGTCCTCCCTGGATGATCACAATCCTCGAATCCATTCGATCCGCGGCGTGGACCATTTTCTGAATAGTCTTGTCCATGTTCAACACGTAGTCCATCTGCCACATGGCAAGCACCGTACGAAACGTTCTCGGGGTAAAGGATGATCGTTCGATCCGTGCATCGAGAAACTGATATTGGGGGCTTGCGAAGCGTCCATCTGCTCCCGGTTACCGCTTCAGCCCAGAATGCGGGAAGCAGAGTCAAAGAGTTCCGGAAGCCTTACAGTTCTGGGGTGATCCGATACATAGAACGTCCGCGCTGTTCAAGCGTCCAAATAACTCATCAAGGTCGTTACTCACCAGACGATGGCTGAAAAGATCCTTGGGTTGCTCATATTGCAGCGGCCTGAGACGTCTCGGCAACGGGTATGGTCCCAATAGCGGCTCCAATTCGACCTTCCTTGCGAGAATGAGGTAGTGGGCCTCGGGTGCATGTTCCTGCCCCGAGGGCGAGAAGAGGTACGAGACAGGCTCGGTTTCCAGGACAAAGCCGGACTCCTGGAGGAGCTGACACCATCGCTGCTCCGATAGAAACAAATCGTTGACATAACTCCCCATCCACGGCTTGTCAAACATCCAAACACAGTCCCAAGTGGGATCATAAGTCGCCTTTTGCGGGGACAGAGAGGTACTCGGGGTCACCCCCAGGATCACGTATCCTCCAATTTTGATCCACTGGGAGAATCGGGTGATCATCGAGCACACCTCACACGGTGGCAACTGGAACAAAGAGCGAATAGCGAAGACTGCATCAAACAAATCAGGTGGCTGGTATGTCTTCATATCGGCCACATGGAAAACCCCCGGAACCTGAGACGCTGCTATCGTCACCATTTCTTCCGATATATCGATGCCGTGGACTTTGTGGCCAGCCGATGCAAGTAAGAATGACACTGGCTTTCCTGTCCCACAGCCCACATCCAATGTTCGGCTTTCCGCGGGGAGTACTCTGGCTACAAACTCAATAAAGTCTTGCAGGTCTTTGTCCTTTCCAAAGGCAGCTTCATAGCGAGCTCCCAGGCTGCTAAAAAGTGCGTCCACTCCTGCGGTCATGGTTCAGATCTTATCTGTGTTAGTTACCCTGTTCACATCACGGAGACAGAAAGACACATACTCCTCAGGGTTGTTATACGAGGGTTAACATGAGTAGAGGCAATAACGGGATGGTCACCACTTAAATAATCGCCGCAATCCCTTGGCCGTTATTTGGGATCAGCATCTCCGTACGCCGATATTGCATCACACCGCTAGAAGAGAAGTCATACCTTGCTTCCCACATATCATCACAGTTACCTACTCACATCCCTGGAATCATGGCTGTTGGGCGTTGAGCCATTACACTTGAATATGAACATATACAATGACGCATCTTAATGCATATATGCAAGTTGAATTTTAGTGTGGCAGACCGAATCCTTCTCCTACATGATAAGTTTCTTGAGTCAGGAAGTTGAGTCGCAAACACCTTGCAGATTTATTCCTGGATTTCAAGAGTGTACGCCAATTGGGGGTCAATTGATTGCAAAAAAGCAAGACCATGGCAGACGGTAACCAAGCCACCTTTACGGCGCCGTGCACCCCTTGCTGATCTCAATTGCCAAATCTAAACTACTTCCACCCTGAAGCCTATAATTTCAGCTACAGTCTCGGCCCAGCCCATGAAACCTACCTCAATAGTTGTCAAAACGCGAAAAGAGATGTCCACCTACGAGTCTCAACACATCACTGATAGGGAGGTAGAAAGGGCGACACAACTCCAGGAGTGTCTCGACAACGATCCAGATGACTATCCGGAGGGTGGCTGGCGTGCCTGGAGTGTTGTTCTGGGTGCGTGGTGTGGGATGCTTCCGTCATTTGGTCTAATGAACACCATGGGCATTTTTGAGGACTGGCTCAGCAGTCATCAGCTGCAGGCGTACTCGCGGTCCGAAGTTGGCTGGATCTCCAGTCTTTACGTGTCGTTGCTCTTTTTGGGAAGCGTTCAGTCCGGTGAGGCCCTCTCACGAAGTCCAAGGTGTCTGCAGAGGATCTGACATGATCATGGGGAGACCTGAAGGCCCCATGTTCGACGCTTTTGGTGTGGGCTACGTTTTGATACCCGGGACTGTTGGGCTTGTGGCCGCTATCATGATCCTAAGTGTTGCGACAGGTAACAGATCCCACAACAACATGTCGGTTGAGCTTATGCTGACCACCCGGCCATTCATCCAGAATATTACCAATTCATGTTGGGAGTCGGTGTCCTGGGTGGCATAGCCGCCTCGATGCTTGTTACGCCGAGCTTGGGATGCATGAACCATTGGTTCCTCCGGCGTAGGGCCTTCGCGACCGGCATTGGAACTACAGCCGGAGGCATAGGTGGGGTGATATTTCCTATCATGATCAAAGGTCTTACCGGGAAAGTTGGGTTCGCTTGGGCCGTCCGGATCCTAGGCTTCCTTTCCCTAATCCTATGCATCCTCGCAGTTTCGCTGCAGAAGACCCGGTTACCCCGACATCCAAAACGAGTTCAGACCATTGAAATCCGAGCCTTGCGCGACCCCTCGTTTACCTTAACATCGTTGGGGATCGTCTTGACGGATAGCAGCGCGGCGATTCCACTGGTATACTTGACCTCGTATGCGCGAGCGAATGAGATGGATCTCTCGCTGGCCTACCAACTAATGTCGATCCTCAATGGACTATCCGTCCTTGGACGGCTGGCACCGGGGTACGCCGCAGACAAATTGGGGCGTTTCAATATCATGATTCTAACAACTGCAATGTCCACTGTGTTGACCCTGGGGCTCTGGGTGTCCTGCGCCCAGAGTCAAGCTGCAATTGTGAGCTACGCTGCTCTCTTTGGGCTCTCCAGTGGTTCGGCGATCAGCCTGACTCCCGTATGCGTAGCGCAGATCACGCGGACGGAGGATTTTGGGAAACGATTTGGAACCACATACACCATGGTCGGTCTGGGGGTGCTAGTTAGCATTCCCATTGCTGGGCGGCTGGTGGAGGTTCAACCATCGGACGGGGTGGGAGGATACCGGGCTCTGATATTGTTCTGTGGGTTGATGCAAGCCGTTGCATTCCTCTGTTTTGTCCTAGCGCGAGGCCTGCGCACCCAGTGGCGGGTGAGAGTAGTTTACTAGGATAACACCGGTTTCTGCTATAAGCCTCGCTTGAGATGGCATCGAGGTCCGCCTAAGTAATAACTCCTATGCCAGCTATGTCTATACAATGTACCTGTTTCTCTATAGTGAAGGTTTCTTAGCGAAGTAAATGGGCTTTTTTGATCCTTAAAGTAAGCTGAATTGTTCCACAAGTAGAGTCGAGATAATTCCAGCCCTACTTTGCTTGAGTCCTCTACGAGCAAAGGGTTTTCGTTTGCGATTGAAACCCACTGCATTATATAATAGTGATCCATGGGCAGGTGGAATGCAATGATTATATCTTGAAACGAATCAGTTATCTACAATGAGCTCCATCTGGAGGTTTTAGAGAGTCTGTTTCTGCCGTTTAAGCAGAGGCTCTAGAGGTGGCAACGGATAGTATCAGTAGATATCTTCTTTCTAACGTAGCTGTGAAGAGGAAAGAGTAGCAAATTCCTTCTAGAAAGCATAACGACCTATAAGAGTTAGCATATACTATATATTTTTATAGTAGACGGCTAATCGGCGTGTAATGTACCCTATTAGAAACCTTGTAATCTCTGCGTTCTTTCCATCCTTAGTATTTCGGTAAGACGTGGTTTGAAGATGTTCGGTGATAGTCGATGTGCTATGATACTGATTCTTGCCGAAGAGAAATATTAAGTCACCACAGCTTCGCCACTTCAATTCAACCACGCCTGCACCACCAGCATATCAAACCTCGTCTCGATCTCCCAGTCGAATGGATACATACCCCTGATCCATCTGTCCAGCCATCCTTCACCCGGTGGCGGAAGAACACCCCCACAGCCGCCGTACCATCTTTTTTCTCCGCCCGCGATACAACCTCTCGATAGATCCACACGGAGTACATCAACATCACGACATCACGACAGACAGACAGACAGAGAGAGGTATCTACACAGCAGACGCACTCACAGCGACTCTACATCACCACCGGCGGGCCCACAGAACACCACACCACCCCCACAACCACTGAGACACACGCCAGAGACCCGGAGAAGCGGAGCGGAGCCACCAAAGGGCCTGATCGCGATCGATCGCATTGAGCCTCTCCGACCACCACCGCCGCCGCCGCCTCCTCCTCCTTCATCCCCCGTCCCCTACAGTCCTCGCGCATACATAATCCATCGTCAATCCGGGCCGGACCCATCGTACCCACACACAGCCTCCAACTCGACCTGCGTCCATCCCCAGAACCACGACGCTACCGCAGAATAAGAGAAGAGAATAAAAAAATGCCCTCCTCAAATCCCGCCCCAACCACCCTCTCCCCCGACACGCTCGAAACCGACCTCCTCACACACCTCGCCTCGACGACCGCCCTCGAAGACCTCCACGCCACACTCCTCTGCGCGCTCCAACGCACCGGCTGGACCGAGCGCATCCGCCACCTCGCCCAGGAGCTCCTCCGCGCCGGCCGCTGCGAGCGCTTCGACGAGGTCGTCGCCGCTGTCGTCGCCTCCGCCGAGGGCCGCGCGCCGCCGTCCGCGCTCCTCGACCCCTCCCTCAACGGCGACGGGGACGCCGACCTTGACAGCGTCGACGTGCGCATCCCCGAGGCCGTCGTGCAGCAGGGCGTGCGCGCCCTCAAGGAGGTGCTGCGTGAGGTGGTCGTGCTCGAGGATGAGGCCGAGCTGGACGAGGGGCTCGAGGGCCCCGCGCCGGCGAGGGAGGACGGCGGCGCGTCGGAGAAACCCAAGAAGAACGGGGAGTCCAGTCCCGTCAAGAAGACGGAAAAGAAGCCCAAACCGGGGAAACAGGTGAAGTGACCGCACCGCGTGTCGCTGCGACGATTTTCCATTATGCGGCGTTGGGGGAGCATCCTTGGCGCGAGTGTCGGTGTTCAGTGCGTTCGTTAGAGGGTTGGAGGTGCATTCGGTTTACTTTGCTGGGTCGGTCATTGCTTGCGGTCATTGCTTGATACCATCTACACGTTGTACAACATCTGGGGTGGTCGTCCCACGTCTACGACTCTACAAATACAGATCTCGATCTAGGAACAATCTAAGATGGATTGGAATTTCTCCCCCGGCACATTAGGCACAGAGATGCGAGACGTAGATGGACAATGTCATCAAGAAAAGACGTTCAGAACCCCAACTGTACCATTCCCGCCAGTCCATAATTCCGCCTCGCGACGGTGCCGTGTAAACATCAAATGCATCAACCAAATACATGAAACGCAATTTAATCGTAGAGGCTGTCATCATTACCCGCTTCTCCGAACGTGTTGTTGTCCGCCACCTCGCCCGCAGAGGGGAACCGGAAGAAGCTGCTGCCACCCGAGTTCTTCAGGCTCTGTGCGAACGCCTCGTAACGGCGGATCTCCACGTCGCTGACCGACCGCCGGGCCGACTTCATGGCCTCCTCGAAGTGAGCACGGGTCAGCTCGGGGACGGGATCCTCCTCCTCGTTTTCCTCGTCCTCGTCCATCTGGACGTCCTCGCCGTTGGCTTCCCGCTGCTTCTGACGCTCGATGTCCGCGGCGATCGACTGCTTGATGGCGAGCTTGACGGCACGCTGGGTGACGAATCCCAGATCGGCACCGGAGAAGCCGTGCGTCTTGCTGGCAATGAACGACAGGTCGACGTCGCCCGCCACCGGCGTCTTGCGCAGCTGGGCCTTGAGAATGCTCTCACGGGACGCCTGGTCGGGCAGAGGGACGTAGACCAGGGTGTCAAGACGACCCGGACGGACCAGAGCGGCATCCAGCTGCTCAGGACGGTTGGTAGCACCGATCACGAAAACGTTCTTCTTGGAGGTCATGCCATCCATTTCTAATTACGTCAGTACAGTCCAGATGAAGAAATATAGAATAGTGACTTACCCGTCAGGAGCTGGTTGACGACACGGTCCGAAGCACCGCCAGCGTCGCCAACGGAACCACCACGGGACTTGGCGATGGAATCAAGCTCGTCCAGGAAGACCACACAAGGAGCGGCGGCACGGGCCTTGTCGAAGATATCACGGATGTTGCTCTCCGACTCACCGAACCACATGCTCAGCAACTCGGGACCCTTGACCGAGATGAAGTTGGCGGCACACTCGTTGGCCACGGCCTTGGCAAGCATGGTCTTACCAGTACCGGGAGGACCATAGAACAGCACACCGCGAGACGGCGAGAGACCGAACTTTTGGAACTTCTCGGGGTGGTCGACGGGGTACTGGACGCTCTCGATGAGTTCGCGCTTGACCTCCTCGAGACCACCAATATCCTCCCAGCGCACGTTGGGGACTTCGACAACGGCCACCTCGCGCAGGGCCGAGGGGTTGGAGACGCCGAGGGCGTAGCGGAAGTTCTCCATCGTGACACCGAGCGAGTCGAGCACCTCGGCCTCGATCGTGTCCTCGTCGAGATCGATGAGGTCCATCTTCTCACGAATTTGCTGCATGGCGGCTTCCGAGCAGAGGGAGGCCAGATCGGAACCGACATAACCGTGAGTCTCGGCGGCGATAGTCTCCAAGTCGACATCCTCGCCGAGCTTCATGTTCTTGGTGTGGATCTGGAGGATCTCCAGACGGCCGGTGGGGTCGGGGATACCAATGTCGACTTCCCGGTCGAAACGGCCGAAACGGCGCAGGGCCGGGTCGATCGAGTTGGGGCGGTTGGTGGCGGCCATGACGACAACGTTGGAGCGAGCCTTCATGCCGTCCATGAGGGTGAGGAGCTGGGAGACGACACGACGCTCGACCTCACCATTCGTCTTCTCACGCTTGGGGGCGATGGAATCGATCTCATCGATGAAGATGATGGCGGGGGAGTTCTTCTCCGCCTCCTCAAAAGCCTTGCGCAGGTTGGACTCGGATTCACCGGCCATCTTGGACATGATCTCGGGGCCGTTGATCAGGAAGAAGAACGCACCGGTCTCGTTGGCGACGGCACGGGCCATCAGAGTCTTACCCGTACCGGGAGGGCCGTACATGAGGATACCACGAGGGGGCTTGATACCGATGGACTTGAAGAGCTGGGGATGGCGCAGGGGCAGTTCGACCAACTCACGGATCTGAGCCATCTGCTTGCGGCAACCACCGATGTCATCGTAGCCAACCTCGTTGAGGTTGCCCTCCTCGTCCTCGCGCTGGATGGGCTCACCCTCGCAGTGGATGATGGTGTCCTGGGCGACGATACCATACTCCGGGGGATCTACCTCGACGACCTTGAATTCGACCTGTCTCATACCACCTCGTACGGTGAAGAGGTCACCCTGTCTGACGGGGCGGTAGGCTTCGCGGAAGTAGGGAGCAAGGTAGACGTCGAAGAGGGAGCCGGTCAGACCCTCAACGGTATCGGCGATGGGGAGGACGGCGATGCGCTTGGCCTGGGATGGGTTAGAACAGTGCAGGGGAGGTAAAGATGGGGAAAACATACATATTTGATGTCCGGGCAGGGGTGGACGGTGATGATGTCGCCATGCTTGACGCGCAGGTTGTGTCTCACAACACGATTGATGCGAGCACTGCCGTCATCGAGATCGTCATCGGCCAAGACGATGAGGACGGTGTCTTTCCGCTTCTTGCCCTTGACCAAGACTGTGTCACCACGGAACAGCTGGAGCGTGTCCATGGTGTTGTTGGAGAGAGCAATGACGGAGTTATCATCGTTGACGGCATCGGTCACACTGGAGGAAGGATGGATGATGAGTCTGTTGTGCCGAGGGATACCTTGGGGGAGGGATGACTGGGGTAGCTTACATCAACGAGTTGGGCTTCTTCTTCTTCTTGAGGATAGCAGTCGAAGTATCGAGCTCCTGTCGGAAGAAACGGTGTCAGTGTCATGATGGAGAGATATTGTGGCAAATCGACGAGTTCTACCTCTTTCTTCTCAGCGCCGGAAGCGTCCCTGGGGTGGGTGGTGTTAGCGGAGGGCCTCTATTGATGCCCGAGGGAAGATTCAAACATACTGCAGGTTGACCCGCTTCTTGTCGTGGGTGTGATCCGGTTCGGAGCTCATTTTGGCGGTTCAAATGGATGAAGATCAAGCTCTAAGCAACGTCGTGAAGAAGGATGAGGTCGCAGGGACGGAGCTGCCGCAGTCGGCGACAGGGAGGGAAATCGATGGGGGGAGGAGAAAAACCGGGGAGAGGAGATGGGAGTCCAGCAGACGAAGCAAGAGTCTGGGGGACAGTTGAGATTGAGAGATGATGAGAGTTGTTGGGAGAGAAGGGAGTGAGGAGATGGAAGAGGAGGAGGAAGAGAGAGAGGAGGGAAGAGGTGAGAGAGAAGAAGCCAAGATGACGATAAGTCCGGATGACTTAAGCTGGACCTGGAGCTGCCCTTGTCCTCTCCGCCACCCGAGCACAGAACCACATGGAATCCAGTCGCAGCATGACAACAGGGTCAGTATGATAAATCAACCTTGACAGTATATTTTAATGATTGGTATTGATTGCATGAATCTACTCCAACACTATTTCTCGCGACGTATGCGAATGCCAGCTGGCATGTCTCCTGCAGGCACCGTCCTGCGCCACTTGATGCCTCAGGCACGTCAGGATAGCTGTGCTGGAGTCGGCCTTGCAAGAATGACGATGGAATCAGAATGAAAGACTCTGTGAAGGCAGGAGCCAACGGCGGAGTGACTGCAGTGACGAGTTGATGTCTTCAATGGCGACCTAGATCAAACCACGGATACACCTACCTGATATATAAACTTCATCGCACGTCACATAGCAGCCTACCATCAATCTTCTATGCAGCTCAAGATCTTATATGATTGATAACTGCCAACAGTACCTTGCTGACATCTGATAAAACAGCATCATCAAACCAGGAGATAGGCGATTCTCTGTCGATCATCGACAACACAAGAAAGGGAACGACGAGGCTATGACCGACACGACAGAACCTCCTGCGGCAGCTGTCTGGGGCGCCCTACCAGGGCACTATCGCCCAGGCACCCGTCAACCAAGGGAAACGCCTTGTGCGATGTCATGTTGAAATCGACTTTACCTGGTCCATCTGCCTACCTTCACTGTCTCTCCGCAGTGATATTTTCTCTACCACCATGCCAGGGCATTCTCTCGACCTCACTCGAAGAACCCGCACACAGAAACGGCATCAACGAGAGACGGAATGAAGTACAAATGGTGGTACCCTTATGACTTCATCACCACTGTCCGCACTGGCCTGTCTGCGGACCAAATCGCCCACCATCTGCGGCGACCCAACAGCCCCCCGCGGTTTCTCTACGGAGCTCTCATGCTCCCCACCGTCCTCAAGTACTTCCTCAGCATCGACCAGACGGTGGACATCGTCCCCTGCATGACTCCCGCTATACTCCGCGGCTACCGGCTCTACCAGTTCTCCGAGACCAGCACGCCGGTGCTCGTCCCGGCTCAGAACGACCCCAGCGCCACGGTAGAAGGCATGCTGGTCTTTGGGCTGAACTACGAGCAACGGAACTCCCTGTACGAGATCGAAGCCGGGCTGACGCAGCTGGCTGAGGTGCAGGTGCAGGTCCCGCTGACGGAGCGGGTGGGAGCGCATGAGACGCACAGTATGCTGGTCGTCGATGCGGGCACCTTTGTCTGGCAGGGCTCGCGCGAGGGATTGATGCAGGTAGCGGACTCGATGTGGTCGCTGGATGAGTTTCTCACGGGTCCGTTCTATCGTCAGATCATGGATTCTCAGCAGCGACAGAGTCTCGACGACGAGTACATGGATATCTCAAGACATACTAGGTAGCTATTAATAACAGGGAACACAACTATACAATCATCCAGCTTGAAAAGTGTAGTCCAGACTTCAGAAGCAGTTAGCTCTATCTTCGCATATGTACAAACCGACTCAAGACTACGCCGTCGCAGCCCACAAATCATACACGCCCCAGGCACCAGCCATGAAGCTCACCACGCCGGACAAACTGTCCGGGAACCCAATCCCCTTCTCAAAGCACCAGTGAAGACACAGCGGCGCCCAGCAGACATTATTCACAAGAGCCTTGCGCCAGGCCCGCACCTCGGCCTTCACCTCGGCCTCCTTCTCAGCCGCACTCTTCTCCCCTGTCGCCGCCGCCGCCCGCTGGCGCAGCACAAACTGCCGCCACAGCACAAAGAACTGCAGGAAGATGTGGCCGAACCAGGCGCGGATGCTCCACAAGTACCATTTGTCGATGCCGCCCCAGCGGTCGATGAACTTCTTCGACACGACGCCCTTGGCGGCCAGGAACCCGCCGTTCTCGAGCGCCTGGTACGCCATGTTGGAGACGACCTGCAGCATGGTGAGCGCGTACAGCACGCGGTCCTTGGGCGGGTTGCGCAGCGTCGCCGAGCCCCACGTCCACAGCGGCACCAGGCCGAGCAGACGCAGCGCGTAGCGGGTCTCGGACATGAGGGCGGAGAGGGCGAGCAGGCGGGACGTCGCTGGCGGGGGTTTGGCTGCGGCTGGTGTTTTGGCGTGGCGTAGGCGGGCGAGAAGGCCCAGACGGGTTTGCAGGGCGATGCTCGGGGCGGAGGCGAGGAGATGGTGCAGCGCGTGCGACAGGTACCCGGTCACGGCGAAGACCCGTTCCTGGCCGTAGGCCGAGGACATCAATCTGGAGGGGTGTTAGCTATCGTACAACTAGTTTATTGGGCATGCGACGGGGACCGAGAGGAGAGATGTACTTGTCTAGCCGTTCGATCGTGACATCGGTGGTCTTCAGCGCGGTCAGCAGCTTGCGTCGCGCAACGTCCGCGGACGATGCGTGGTCCGCGGGGCTGGCCGGTTTGTCTGTGGTGTCGGGCATGGCGGGCACGGGCGCAGAAGGTTCAGAGGGGGGTGTTGCGTCTGCCATGAGGAGAGGAAAAGACACACGGGGGAGTCCGAAACGCCGAGAGATGGAGGATTTAAGGAGACGAGGAAGGATGTCCTGCGTGAGGGTCTGAACATCTGATTCCGTTCGCGCTTGGCGCCCATGCCGAGGTTCGGAATGGCCGCGCACTACTCCGGGGTACTACGGAGTACGAGACTAGGGAGTTAACTACCGGTGACATAGCATGAATAATAGTCGATCTCAATAAGTAGTTTCATTCAATCTACAACATATCGACTGATCATGAGAGCTGAGACTGTATGTTCATCACACAATATCGCTACCCTGCTGCGCTGTTCATGGTCCATACTACCTCGGTCCCTTCCGAGCTAATGCCAGCACAGCTTCGGCCGGGAATGCTTTTCCTCGCAGACACCCGTGTTCATGTACGGAGTAGGACAAGCTCAGGCACCAGTTTCCTCCAATTCCGCAATGGGCGATAAGATGTCCACCCGACGACGCCGAACAGTCCGACGCTGGGCTCTCCCCACAAGGCTGGGAATCGTTCCGATTCCGACACTGCGGGCACCGCCTGACACGGCCGATAACGAAGGTCGCGAGCGCCAACCGAGAGTGCGCACCAGGTCTGCGTGGGAGATGGGCCGGTCGCGCAGGTCCCAAGCGGTGGGTACGCGAATGGACGGGTCGGTGCAGACTTCATCGATGCTGAGAAACATGCGTTGAGCCAAAGCGTGCTGGAACTTGTACAGCCGCCACTCGCAATACTGGCAAGCGCTGAAGCTGCATGGGGTCGGCAGCATGGGTTTGTCGAAGGTGTCGGCGTCGTCTTCCCAGGGGGACGGGTCGTGCGGCGTTGGACGCGATGCTGGCTGGTTGACGGTATGCACGTTCTCGATCCATTGTTCACTATCGCTATCGCTACCGTCGTCGTCGCCGGTATCACTGAATGTCGCGATGCTCGGCACGATGTCCAGGAGGGAGGGCATCAACGGCGCCAGTTGGGTTCTCCTTTGATGGGCTGCGGTCTGGAGGACCTTGATCTTCTGCTGGATGACGATCTCGCGCTGTTCTGCGGTGTACATGCCTTCCTCGATGTATCTCTGCGCCCAGGGCGTGAAGACAGGACTGAGGAACGGGTTGATTGGGAGCGTACAGTCGCCCTGGTCTTCGACGCAGTAGTAGAGCCAGTTGGGGAATGGACGGCGCCCACACATCTGGCAGGTCTCTTCCTCGTCGAGACAATACCGATGCTCTAACATCCCATGGCGACACGACTTTTGGCTTTCGCGTTTGCGATACAGCGGAGGAAGCACGCGACGAGGGAGCATGCGGGAGGGGGATTGTCTGGGGGCGAGAAAGGTCTCTGAACTTGGAGGGAAGAGGAGCTGGCGCAGGTCATGGACGGAGGATGGCCCTTGAGAGGTTTCTGGTGCTGGGATGCCCATGAGGATGGGGAGATCCTCTGCAGGATCAGACTCATCGTCGTCATCCATGACGGGTGGGAGGAGGGATGATGGATGGGGGAGTTGAGCTGTGGTAAATGGAAGAGGAATACAGTAGAGGTGACCACACAAGCGGCACTGCCATGTCTGTTTACGCACCGCAAGAAGCTACTCTGCAATGGACTTACCAGTCACTCTCAGCGTTAGGGCCGCAGCATATAAGTAGGCAGAGCTCTTGTTTATGGTCTGGAGCTTTCTATACTCTTGGTCCTGGTGAATCACTTTTTAGATTTTGGTATGTAATTCAACAGGAGGGCCGTCATGGCATGGTAGTACTATAAATGTTGCATCTCAACTCATATCTACATCTACTCTCTGCTATACCAAGTATCTCATGTAGTACTATGCACGGAGCATAGAATGCACAACATAAATTTAGTCAGCATCGGAGGTGCCCGACGAGCCACCAATCACGACAGGGCATCGCCATCTGCCGACTTTCTGGCCGACTGCGATCTGTCTGCAATTTGCCCCTGATTATTGTCGGAGGGGTTGGGAATGTTTATAAGTATTGCAGGTATGGCATTGATATAATATGTATAATTCTGAATCTTCATCCTTGGTAACGCAGGAAAAGAAAGAAAAGTAGAGTGTCTGTGATAATACCTAGGTACAGTATCCTCGGCACTAGGTCCAGTCCAGCCTCCGGTTCATAAACAAACACGCCTTAGTCTTACCCCATCTTCATCCAGTCCATCCATTTTATTTATCTCTTATCCCCCAGGCTTCCTCTTCCCTCTTCCGTTCTCCTCCCCACTCCTTTCTCACGATCTCTTCACGACCTTTTACTCTTCCACCAGTTTTCAATTAGTCCAGGTATGTCTCCATCCTTCCATTCTCAGTCGCGCTCACTGACCATTCTCTGCCCCAGTCGCCCAGCCGCCGCGCACCCTCCACCACTCCTACACACCACCATGTCCGTCAAATTCCAGGATGAATCTCTGCGCAAAGAGACCAAGGAGCTGGCGCATAAGGTCGGCGAGCGTCTGACCGGCGGAAACTCCCAGAATGGCTATCTGGCGGTATGTCCATCCCTATCATCGCATCCCTCCCCTTCCGGCGCCGACATTCCACCCGGCTTGACACATACCGATACTCATCGTCTCTAGATGTACCTCCGTCAGCTCCAGTCCAACCCGCTCCGCACCAAGATGTTGACCTCGGGCGTCCTCTCCGGCCTGCAAGAATACATCTCCTCGTGGATCGCCCACGACGTCAGCAAGCACGGCCACTACTTCAGCGCGCGCGTGCCCAAGATGCTCCTCTACGGCATGTTCATCAGCGCCCCGCTGGGCCACTTCCTCATCGGCATCCTCCAGAAGGTCTTTGCCGGCCGCACCAGTCTCAAGGCCAAGATCCTGCAGATCCTCGCCAGCAATTTGATCGTACGCGTTCCCCCTTCCTCGCTTTCTACCAGTGTCGTTTCGCGCCGTATTAATGCTGTATGTCTCTTGTAGATCTCCCCCATCCAGAACACCGTCTACCTGTGTTCCATGGCCGTCATCGCCGGCGCCCGCACCTTCCACCAGGTTCGTGCCACCGTGCGCGCCAGCTTCCTCCCCGTCATGAAGGTCAGCTGGGTCACCTCGCCCATCGCGCTGGCCTTTGCCCAGAAGTTCCTCCCCGAGCATACCTGGGTGCCCTTCTTCAACATTGTCGGCTTCTTCATCGGCACCTACGTCAACACCTACACTAAGAAGAAGCGTCTGGAAGCTTTGCGCAAGGTATGTCCTCTCCGAACGCGGGTCAATTCATTACTGACGAATCTAGCGCTACGACCAGCGTCGCGGTCCCGGCAGCGAATACGACAAGGAGTACCGGTAAATGTACATAGTCCTACCGCACTCGTCACCCCGGAGGGAAGAAGGGAGAGAGTTGGTTCTTGCATCATCTGACCTGAATTCATGTTATATACCATCTGGTCTGATACAGAGCCTGTGATTCACGATGAATGGTTTTAGTTTGTCTTAATTGAATTCATACCTCGTTATGTCATTGTCGCGCCAGTAAATGATGGACCGTATCAATAAGTATCATTCATCTCTAGTCCAGGTCCCCTTAATCCTGCAGCGAATCACTCCACCTCCATCGCCGTCTTCCCCCGTTTCTTCTGCACCCACGCCACAAAATCATCCAACGTGCCGGGCCACGCCCCATCCGCACTCCACCACCCAAACTCCTCATCCTCCTGCGTCCGGCGCATAAACACCTCCACCTGCTCCCACAGATCCTTGTTGATCGGCCGCTTCCCACGCTCCTCCAGGAACTCAATCCACCAGTCCAGCCACGGCGTCGACGCCGTATTCCACTGCACGCCGCCGTTCTCCGGTGTGAAGAACAGCCGCCACTGCTCGGCCGCAATTTCAAACTGCAGGTTCCGCTGGCCCTGCATCCGGCACAGCGGGAAGGTATAGCGGTACACGCGACGGAAGAGCTCGGGCTGGGAGGGGATCTGCGAGCGGAGGGCGGCACCGTGGGCGACCATCTTTTCCAGCGAGTCGCATCTGCCCCTTCGTCAGCTGCTTCACTCCGCAGGTCGTGGCTGGAATCGTTTTGCGGAAACGTACCCCACGCGTCTCCATCCGTTCAGGAATCCTTCACGAGTGAACTCGCCCATCGATGGCGACTGCAGCAGCTCCGCGATACCGAGACAGGCCACCTCATCCAGCTGCACCCGAATATCGCCCAGATATTTCATCGCGCCTTCGATGCCGATGCCATCGGGGTTCTCGTCGGGGGCGTCTGCGGTTGTTAGCGGGGGCCCGACAAGGTGGATGCGATAAGACCCCGCATACCTCGATAGCTGTCGAAGATCTTATTCAGGGCGGTGGTGGCACCGCCAGCGCCTTGGGGGCTCTGGAAATATCTGGGTCGGTTAACGGGGTTCTTATCGCGAGGAGTGTGTGGTGGGTGGAGTCGGATTGGGAGTGCTGGTTATGGGAGCGCCTCCCGCTCGCAGCGATGGTGTTCGGAGAAGACTCGAGGAGAATGTATGGTAATTGTATACCGAGGACTGTCATGAGAGGAGAATAATAGAAACATGGACCTACGCATCAATAGCTTGCTCGACATCCCACCGGGCCGCGCGCAGGAACTATGACGATCCATCAGTATCGATCCACGGGACACGGACCGAGGTCGAGCTTTCACGCGCAGACGCGACGACACAACAAACCGAGACATACCTTTGCGGCGACAGTATCCTTGGCCTGTGTGAAATTGATAAATTGCGCAATCTGTTGCTTCTGAACGCTGGAGTAGGGCGGCATGGTGGGGGAGAGAGGCGGGGGCTGACTGCGGAAGGGAGAGAATTGGAGGGAGAAAAGAGGTAGAGAGCCGGAAAAGAGCTCCCAGGGAGGGGGGCTGATGTCGCCGGTATGAGAGAGGAACGTTTGACGCTGGTTGAATCTGGATATGATATGGATTGAAGTGTATGAGGGGAAAGCAAGTCTGATTAACTCGAGTCGGCGAGAAGCGGCTGACTGAGCAGGCACGTGCCCCGCTATGGATCTATGCTTGCTTCTATGCTTTAGCTTCAAGATAATTCCTACTCTATGAAATCTCTATCCGAACACTGTATGAGCGTGTATTATGGCAGAGGAGAAAAGAGGCACTCGATACATTATTTGAACAACCAATATAATAATACATGTTCCTTAACGCCACGCCAGTACGCATCAATCAAACGCCCTCAAACCATTTATGAACGAACGCCTGACGCGCCGTAATCCGTTTCCCCGGATCAAAACATGTCATGGCACATACAAGGCTTTTAAAGTCATCATCGCAACCTTTTTAGAACGCGAATGGTTTACGTGGGGTCTCCTTGTTGAATCCGTCTCGAGTCACTTCGAAAACGCGAACCCATAGGTTGTCACCAAGACACTTCAAGAACCCATTAAGCCCGTCTCCATCTGCAAAGTAAGAGACCTGGCACTCGATTACGATCGCGAGGGGATCAATGCCCTCTTCCAACTCGTCTTCTTGAACCGCGAGAATGATGCGCTTGTGAACGGCGTAGATGCCCTAACCAGCTAGTTACCACCTGCGCTTAAGGGTTTTCCTGGTATGGGACTTACAACCAGAGCAAATGAGAAAACATCGGAAGGTTTGTTGACGGGCCCTCTTGCGTGGGCTTCGGGGCTCCTCCACATCCAGTTGCCTGCCTGTTTCCCGACCATATCGCACCCTTTGGGGAATATGAACCGCATCTTCCAGGTCTCCAAGCTGAACGTGGTCAACAATAATTTCACCATGGCGATTCTGCCAATTAGCAAAAATATTGTCCGCTTTTATATCTATAAAAGTAAGTTGTTGTCCAGTATTTCAAGTGGACAGCAGGAAAATACCTGTATGAACAACATCCTGGTCATGAAGTTCGGCAAGCCCGGCAAGGGCATTCTTGAGGATTCTTTTCATCACAACAAGAGGCAAGTCCTTCTGAGCAAGACTTAAGAGATGACCGGTGAAGTGTTCAAAAACAAACATAGACTGGTCCGGGATTGTGTCCAAGGCAAGCCGGACATGGCTTGCATTGCCATGTAAGCGATTATTGACTTTTTGAAGATCTTCAAAGTTGACGGGATGCATGTACTTTAATATGAACTTGTGGCCATCCGCGCTAAAGGAGGTGTCAGCATGTACGCATGGGGAGAGGTTGGTGTCTGCTCACGAGGCACGATAGACCCGACGCGGTGGAGACAGTTCCTCCTGCAAAACATGTTCGATGGTGTAAGTGCGACCAGACAAGCCTGTATGCTGTATAGAAAGCAGAGGGTTGCTTGGAACTGTGCTGGTTGTGCGATAGCAAAGAGGCTTGGATCCTGAGATTGATATGCGCTGCAAAGGGCTGAGGTACGTCTGGTTTTTGCAAGACCGGCTCGCTAGGAGAGCTGGAGACCTCAGTGCCAACATTGGAGGCAGAGCAAGTGAGGATCGTAGGAAGTTCTTCGAACTCATACAAGTGCCACGACGAGGCCAGGCCGCTGCACGTGATTTCAGTCCTTATGTCCTCAACGACATACTTCTGTCAAGGAACCAACAGCCACTCGTTCATTTCTTCCTAGGGTGCTGGGCTCTCCGCTTCACTCAATCGCGTACTGGCTTCTAGTTTGAGACGCGAAGAGAACTCTAGTCTCTATCTAGCATCAACCAGAACCGAGAAGGGAGGATACAGTACGAATGAATCCGTCTGGTCATTTTCTCGCAGTCCATGAGGGCCTTGTAGTGTTCGACCTTCTCTTTGACCTCGTCATATGCTGCCACATCCTTTAGCTTGTTGGCCACGAAGATGTCGACTTCCCTCGTATCTCTATGAGATGCACCACGTGGAGAAATTTGACAGGATATCACATAACTCACATAATTTGCATATTCTCGACCATTGGTTCACTAAGCATACAAGATGGTGGTGATATGACTCTAACTAGCCACAGGACATGATATACTTCTACTACAGACAAGTTACCGCATAAACTCCATCGCTCACATCTACCCCAGCTCGTACCTGGTTGTCCGCCTTCCAGATGGATGTTTTGCGTCCCATGGGTTACCACCATCCAGTTCCTGCGTGCTAGGACCCGCTGTCTTGCGGTCAAGTTCAGAAACGACCTCAGTAGTGAGTGGAGGCGGTCCTTTTCGCTTGTGTGCGAAGAACAAGGCAACTCCGACTGCTATACAAAATGGTACGCCCAGCCCAATTCCAAGTCCTAACTCGAGCGTTGTAGCGTGCGAAAGTCTACTTTGTTCCGTCGCTGCGCTGCTCTGGTTCGTGACCATCGACGAGGAAGAAACTGTCAGGTTTCGGGTCGTCGTCTGGGTGCTCGTGGGCTGCGCGAATGACGCCGTCGATGTTGGCGAGTCCTGGCCGAAATCGATGTAGAATCGATGGCTGAGGAACAGTTCCCGGTTTGATGTGCCCCGTGTGTTACCAACGTAAAAGACGAACGAAGTGGAATGGTTTGTCGCGTCGGAATCGACGGTCCATACGTGCCAGGTCGACGCGGTGTTCACTTAGGGACGTTAGCACGGGCGATGCTTGACAAGATCCTCGGCGTACTTACTGACGATGCCGACTGCGGTAGTGAAGTAGTCGTCCCCTTGGGCGAGATACAGGTTCACTGCGTCGTAGACCGAGCACCAACTCACATTCATCTGCGATCCTCTGCTGAAACATTGCGGCGCCCCGTTGGGATACAAGAACACCCCATCTGAGTGCCGCTCAGGCGGAGGCAGATCCTTTGACGGACATTCAGCTGTCGCATAGGAGAGTAGCCAGAAGACAACGGCCGAGGCTGATCGCATTACGTCGAACTGAGCTCCACAAAGGAGACGAAGCCAGGGGGATCGAGAGACAAAGAATATTCCCTTATTATGGTGTTTGCTTGTTGGCATGCTAAATATAGTGAGCACCAATACGTCGCTCTCTTCCAGGAGGGCTGTACTACCTGGACGGAGTAAGTACCTCCGTGGCAAACAAATAGTCTCTTTCATACTTCTATGCATCCTACCGCTGATGGTCCTCTGAGTGGGCGCTTATAGATGCCTCTAAGAGCAAAAGACCCCGAAGGTGTTTGATCAGCCATCGCAGAGACAAGTGAATCGTCCCAATTTCGCATGAAAATCCTCCCATGCGGTTGTTCCCCAGCCGAAACAGCCCGTCGCGTCGGTGGATCTGTCTGGTTTCCTCATTTCTCAGCTGTTTTATAGTCGGCTGCTACCTGTTCTGGCCTAAGAGCTTCACATACTATGAAGGGGGTAGTACAGCCTCATCACTCAATGTCACACCAGACCCGGCGGACACCAAGTGTCCCTCCGGCCTCGACGACATCCACGTTATCCTCAAGACCGGCACGACAGAACCCGTAGCTCGGCTCCTCGTCCACTTTAACACCACGTTCCGGTGCGTCCGGAACTACACCCTCTTCTCTGACTACGAGGACGAGATCTCCGGCGTGCCGATGCACGACGTGCTCTGAGGCGTCGACGAACGCATCAAATTCACGTACCCTGACTTCGCACTCTACACCCACCTGCGCGAGGCCGGGAAAGCAGCCCTGTCGACATGGCATATCCCCGACGACCCTAGCATGTCGTCCGGTAAGCCCAACAACCCGGGCTGGATCCTCGATAAATGGAAGTTCCTCCCGATGATGCACGAGACCCTTAACGCCCGCCCCGACGCTAAGTGGTACGTCTTCATGGAGGCCGACACGTATATCCTGTAGGCGAATCTGCTCGCCTAGCTGGCGCAGTTTAATGCCGACGACCCCTTCTACCTGGGCAACCAGATGCAGATCGGCGACGTCATCTTTGCCCACGGCGGTTCGGGCTTCGTGCTCTCCCGGCCGGCGCTGCGGCGCATCGTCGCCTACCATTCCGCGCGGGTCGCCGAGTGGGACGAGTACACCGGTCGTCACTGGGCGGGGGACTGCGTGCTGGGCAAGGCGCTCCACGACGCCGGCGTCAATCTGCTATAGTCCTGGCCTATGATGCAGGGCTCGACGCCGTGGGCGTTCGACCATCTCTCGGCCGCGTTTAGGCACACCCCCTGGTGTTATCCACCCGTGGCGTATCACCATATGACTCCTGAGGGCATACGGGAGATGTGGGAGTTTAAGCAGGATTGGTCGCGGCGGGTAGGTTGCACTTCCCAGAGTGGAAACTTCGGCGTCGCCGCTAACGGCGTACAGGGCGGAGGCTCGGTCGTCTTATATCGCGATTTGTTCCAGAAGCTCATGCAGCCTCGATTCTCCCGGAGCGAACAAGACTGGGATAACGAGTCCGCGGATGTCGTTAAAGGAATCGGGAGCGTCGTTGATTGCGAGGAACAGTGCGCGCTGGATGCGGAGTGTCTTCAGTTCTCGTACGGGCCAGGACTTTGTCGGACGTCGTCGAAGGCGCGGCGAGGGAGCCGCAAACCGGGGATCATCTCGGGGTGGATGGCTGACCGGATAAACCAGACAGTGGCGCAACTGTGGTCGTGTAATCGCATAGACTGGATTCGTCCGTAAACTGATATTACCTTCGTTTCCACTGTACGTTCTCAGACTGCTTACATTTAGCGTTGGTCCCACGGGCATATGAATCGATATTTAGGTATCTGAACACTCTAATTACTCGTCGACATCATCATCTTCTCGATATCCAACACGGCCTCGCGCACCTGCGGACAGTAATGCTGCCGCAGCAACTCCCCCTCCCAGACCGTCCCCGCAAACACATTCGTCGTGTCGATCTCCATCGCAAACGGATTGAACACGCCGTCACCCTTGCGCTCCTCGCTATGCCACAGCGGAGCGATCCGACGCGCATGGAACTTGGCCACCTGGCTCAGCAGCGACAGCGTCGCGATGGCGGACTTCTCCGGCACCTGCAGCGACGTCGTCATCAGCCGCCTGGCGAAGCTGCCGACGCGCACGGGCGGCGGAAGACCGTGCGCGCGCGAGAGGAGCGTCGACTGCAGACACCGCAGCAGGAGTACCGTCGGAGTCTGAAAGTTCACCTTACGGCGGGCGGCCATGCGGTCGGCCATGGCGTCGGAGGCGTTGGGATCCGGCAGCCGCAGCGATTTGCTGGGATTGTATTCCACGTCCGGGTTCAGCGCGTGCGAGTATAACGAGCGGTAGAGGTGCTGGATGAAGAAGCTCAGGTCGAGGTGCAGCGTGGCGGCGGCCTTGCTGGCGTCTTGGCCCTCGAGGAGGGCGAAGGCGGTGACCGTGCAGAGGAGCGCCTCGCGCTGAGCATCGCGCACTGTCGCGTCCGACACCTGTTCCTCCTCGTCGTCGGGGTTCTCCGCGGCGTCATCGTCCGCGGCGTCGCCGAATTCGGCCCGTTCCGCGTGGCCGATCAGGTCCTTCATGGCTTCGAGCAGGTCGCCGAAGAAATCCTGGTTGATGAGATGGGCGTATTTGGCCAGGCCTTCGAGGACGGGGCCCATGAGGGCCGGGATGCGCAGTTTCAGGATGCGGAAGTAGACGCCGAAGACGAGCTTGAGCGTCTCGGCCTGGTTCTTGTCGCGCTCCTCGTGGGACACCAGCGCGTCCGCTTCCTTCATGTCCTTCTCAACGGCCTTGCGCTCCTTCTCGACCTTGCGCTCGCGCTTGGTGCGGAACTCCTTCTTCTGCTTCTTCTTGCCGCGCACGGGCGGCTCAGGCTCCTCGCGGTCGATGCGGTCGCGGGAGCCCTTCATGGAGAACTCGGAGAGCAGCCGGAGGTGGAGGAAGGTGTCGAGGACGGTGTCGTGGATGCGGAACTCCTTCGCCTTCATCATCTTGGACAGGAGGCGGACGGCCTCGAGGGAGACGATGCCGTCGTCGTCGCGCCTAAAGATGGTCTCCATGGTCTCGCGGCACTTGATAAAGTCGGCATCGACCTGGCGTCGGGCGAGCCGGTTGACGAGGATCTTGAGCAGCTCGTGGCGGAAGTTGAAGTGCGGTACGGAGAGGAGCAGGTTGCACGCGCAGTTGGTGGCGATGCTCTTCAGCCCGGGGTCTACCTCGTTCTCCTTATTCTTCGACGGCTTGGTCAGCTCGACCAGCTTCTCGACGTAGTGTTTGTATCCGGACAGGAGGGTCTGCTCGTAAGTGCGCAGCTTGCGCACTTCCTTGGACAGCTTGGCGGACATGTCTTCGTCGCTGAGCGGGCGGATACGGTAGCCGGGGATGACGTCCTTGTAGACGGCGGCCTGCGCGGCGAGGGCGAGTTTCTGGATGGCGACGTGGTTGGCGCTCTGCACCATCTGCGCCATGGATTTGAAACAGGAGAGGTTTTCCTCGGGGTCTTCGTTGATGAGCGTGGCCAGTCGCGCGAGTTCTTCCTTTGTCTGGATGATCTGCTGTTTCAATGGGATTTTGGGGGCCTTCTCTGCCTCGACTTCTGCCTCGTTATCGTCGCCTTCGCCGTCCTCGTCTTCGTCGTCGTCGGTCCCAAGAAAACTATCCGATTCGTCGTCCGCCTCGGGCTCGGGTTCGTCCACATTCTGGAAGCCCTCGGAGGTCTTGATGGGCAGGCGAGTGCGCTCCTTATCCTTCTTGTTCATCTTGCGGGGACGCCGCTCGTAGTCTTGTTCGAGATCCCATTCGGCGGCTTGATTGTAGAAATCGTTCTGGGAAGGCCGCGAGGAGACATGCTCCTCATCGCCGGGAGGACTCACGCGCCTCCGCTTGACTGTCCGTCCGGGAGCCATTGTGTGTGGCCTGGGTGGGAAATGGCGTGGGGAGAGAAGATGGGAATGTTTGGAGAAGTTTTGACGGCCGAAATTTTTTTGGATTTTCCGATGCCAAGACTCCCCACACTAGCTTTGCGGATAAGCACGACAGTGTCCTACGACAAACGACAACTTATGCTGACTTCAATTTCCATTACTATCTGGACTCTCATTATGCGTACAAGACGTGCTAAAACAGTCAAACCATGTCCATACCCGGCTCCATATTTCATATTCCATTCCGTATTTCATTCCGTATCCAGTTGCATCAGAAGTCAGACCACAATCAATCAAATTTCAGTCAATTCCACCTCACTCGACAATCAGAACCACCATATGAATCACCATACCCTTGTCTCATTCATTGCATGAACATCACACCATAAAGAAATGATACCACGGATAGTCAATGCTGGGCGTTCTCCTGCTCCGGCACAGAAGGAGGGGAATAGCCAGGCGCGGGGGGAAGGCCGCGAGAAGCCATCACAGCTGCCTGGGCGTTCTGAGCATACGCATACGCATCCGCAACCGCTCCAAAGCGAGGCATCATGTGGGCACGGCCCATGGAATTGACGTTCGGATGCGCGGCCAGCTGGGGCTGGTACATCATAGGGACGGCACCGTAGGCGATTCCCGCGTAGGGGTAGTGCGTCGCCACAGGGAGATTGACGTGGATGACGGGACGGGGCATCTGCGCTCTCAGGTCGGGTCTCCGGGATGAGACGACGTTTTCGATGTTCTGCTGCTGCGGCGCGGCCTGGGCCTGGCGCTCGCGCTCGGCCATGATCTGACGCTGGCGCGGGTTGCGCAGGGCCGGATGGATAGAGCTGGGGCTTTCCTCGTGCTGGGCTGAGACGCGATCGTGCTGGCTGCGAGGACTGGCGGGCGCAGACTTGGTCTGAGGAGTCGCAGGATGGGCCTTCTGCATTTCGGCAGAGGCCTTGTTGTTGTTCTGGCGGTTGCGACGGGGAGTCTGCAGGAAGCGGCTGCCGGTGGACTTGTCGTCTTCGCGCGAACGGCGCAGATGCCACAGGCCCCGTCTGCTGGGGGTCTTCACATTCTCGTTGGAAGTGCCCTGGCCGTTGCCATTTTCAGGTTCAACGGCGGAGGTGAGCACAGCGCTTTTCAGGCTGGCAGTCGCCTTGGGCTCGGGGCTTCCAGTCGAGATGCGGGCTGGGTTCTTCAGGATGGTGCGGCGGCCAGTGGGCTGAGTGAAGACGTCGTCCTTGTTTGTGATGTCAACAGGCTCGGCGCGTTTGTTCAGGAAGTCACCAGCCGCCCCTTCGTTGTTGTTGTGTTCGTTGTTTCTCTCACTCTCTTCTTCCTTTCCCCCCATCTCCTCATCCTTCTTCACCACCCTCTTTGCCTTCCTGTTGTTGAACATCTTCCTTTCTCCATCGCGCACACCACGCTGGAATCCGTCTGGCCCCTGCAGCTCGGTGACCGGTCTCGCGACCATCACAGGGCTGTAGGGGACGCTGTTCATCCTCGAAGACAGGGCGCTGATATCAGCTCTCACTTTGGAGATTTCTGTGTGGAAAATAGTCATCACACGGTCCTCGAGCTGACGGTTCTCGCGCTGCATCGCACCGAGCTGCATCCTGACGTCTATCAGGAGCCGCTGAAGTTCTTTGATCGCGTCTGCATGCCCCATCGAGCGAAGGTTCACCGACCGCAGAAGCTCCCACATATTGTCCACATTCTTCGAGAGCTGATCCGTGACCCGGTTGTTGCTGTTCTCCAGGTCGCGAGTGACGCGCTGGAGTGCTGAGTCCAGGTGATGGTGGATCGCGTCGGCTTGTGTGGCGACATGCTGCTCAAGCGTCACCGTGTTCTGATATCCCTCCTGCGGCGGAGGTGGTGCGTATCCCCCCTGGCTGGTGACCCCCGCATAATACGCATCATAGTTCATTGTCATTGTCTGCGTATTGTACGGGGCGTCATGCTGGACGTTGTGCAGAGGATCAAAGGTCGACACGGCCGGGCCGAAGGCAGTAGGCTGGCCCACCGCAGGGTAATATTTGTTGTACGCGGTGGCCTGGTCCGACGAGACGATGAAAGGGCTGTAGCTCTTGCCCGCAGACGAAGCCACAGAGGACCCTTTCTGGGAAGACACCACCAGCGGGTACTTCTTCTCGTTTTTCTTTTCAGCCGCGTGGTCATCGAGTTTCGCCGCCGACTGCTTTTCAATTTCGGCGCTGGTCTTCACGGACGGCACATACGGAGACGCGGCAGCGGGAATGACAGGGGGTTTGTTCACAATGGCTGCAAACGATTCGCCCTCTGCCTTCATGCCGGAGACTCTGTGGTCGCTGTTGACGACCTCCGCATGTCCCTCGTTGGAGAACTCGCCTGTACGTGCAAGAGGAGAAGACCCGTCGAGAAGGACGGTCTGGACGTGCTGCATGGGCTCCGCCTTGCCCAGAACGGGACTTTCGTCGATATATGCCACGTCACAGACGGCCTTCTTGCCTTTGTCCATTTTGCCATCGACAGTGATGGCTTCGAAGTTTTGAGAGGCCCCCATGGGGTTCTCGTTGTTGTTATGCACGCCCATGTCGATGAAGGTAGTGGTCTGGAAGGGCGGCGCAGACAAAGGTTGGGCGTCCAATTCTCTGGCCTTAGCCATGTACAGCCTGGCCTCATGATAGTTGCCTTCGATACCGGCCGACTTTCTCTCACTCTGGAGCATGCTGTCTTTAGGAAGGCTCGGCACGCTGGTGAGGGGATTGTCTTTGCGGAAGTCCTTGCCGATATCTTTGAGACTGAACTTGGAGCGGAGGACCGCCATTCTCGACGGCTTTTTGTCACCCTCGCCCTTTTGTTCAGTGCCCTCCGACTGGGACGACTCAGTGTTTGTGTTGCGTCTCTTGGTGAGCGCCTTGGTCAGTACACTGACCTTTTGAGAATGAGCCGTGGTCTCTTCACCGTCCGGGATGGGGACGTGCCGGGGCTTAGGCATGGGGAGAGCGAGCTCCTGGTCGTAGTCCAGTCCGGACGACTTGCGAGAAGTGTCAGGACGGGAGTCAGACTGGTTGCTCACGATGGGTTCGATGTCTGTTGTTGTGTCAGTCACGGTCGACTTCTTGAGCGACAGGAAGGTCTCTTCGACGACGAGATCCAGAAGGAGACCAAGGAGACTGATGAAAGCTTGCTTACCTTTGATGGAGTCGCCTTCTTGACTGTGGCGCTCTCTTTCACGGGCTTGGATTGCCCAGGCATTCCCACTGAGGTGCGACATGACAGGCACACGCACCTGGGGATGTTTTCTCGATGAGTACGAAGATGAAGAGTTGTTTTCTGATGAAGGGCAGTGAGATGGATGTCTTTCACGATGGATCATGAAGCTCACAGATGTGTGTGGAGAGATGGTTGAGAGATGATGAGTGATGGTGGGAAGGAAAGTGACGGGAACGGAGAAACACTGGGGAAGAGAAGGAAAAGCAGGTTGACGTGAAGTCGAACGCGTGGTGGCGATGACGCACAACAACAACCAGCTGGAAAATAAGGGGGGATTTGCTCACGCTTCACAGTGGTGTCGTCTCTCCGTGCTGGCACCGTGAGAGAGACGCCTCAATGACGGATAGTGGGCACAGATCCTGTTGATATCCCTTCTTCTCCTTCTGAATTCTGTGTATTTAGCTTTATCAGCAATGAAAAGACGTCTCTGCGGGACAGAGATGGGTTGATATCGCAGTTGTTGGGTTGTGAACAGAGGTGGGAGTAGAAGTTGAAATCACCAGAAGGTTGACCTCCTCTCACCAGCAACATCAGCCAAACCATCAACAAAACCAGCTACACTACCTTGAAGAACTACCAGCTCTAACGCCTACAGAGAACAGCAGTACGAATAAGTCCTTCATTATCATCAATCATCGTAGAACATCATTACATACTGGCAGACCGAAGTCATTCAGACCATCTCAAAGAAACTCGTCACAAATCATCCACCGCAATTGAGGGGAGATCAAAACAACAACAATGGCATTAACAGCAAGCAAGTATCAAATACAGGGGAATCAAATCTTTCAGATAACGAGTGACAAGAATGGACAACAGATCCAACAATTTGGTAGGTATATGCTTGTCAAATAGACTGACAATGGAGCAAGAGACACATCAGGAAGTATCCTGGCTCTCATGTCTCGTATGTAAACCAGATCTTTTGTGCCACAGACGAGGTCTGCAAGACACTACTGGTCGGTGTTTCTGCGGCGGCGGAAAGGCGAGAAGATCGTGCCAAAGAAGTTGACAAAGACAGCGCGCAGAATGGCCTTCAACCAGCCGTCGCCCTGATTGTTGATAGACACAGCGGTGACGGACCGGTTCTGGCTGGGGGAACGCACGGTCTCGTCCGCCTTGGCAGTTCTCTCCTCACCTTCAGCTGTAGCAGGCTCCTTAGGAGCAGAAGCTCCCTCGGCCGGTGCCTCCGTCTGCTGGGGCGCAGCGCTGGCAGTCGGAATGGACTGCTGGCTGGCAGCGGCAGGGGGGAGCTGATCCGTAGAGGGCATGTTCAGCTTCTGGAGGAGGGCCTCTCGGTCACCAGCAAGGGCGGCAAGAGCAGGGTCAGCCTCTGGTTCGGGGGTCGGCTGTTCAGCCGCGGTGGCGGGAGCATCCTTGCTAACAGGAGCCAGAGTGTCCTTCTGCTCAGGTTCCTGCGCGGGCTTCTTGTCCTTCGCCTCGGTGGGAGCAGAGGTGGACTCGGATTCCTTGTGCGACGCAGCAGCGACACCAGCAGCAAGAGCACCGGCACCAACCGCAGCTGCAGCGCCGGCGGCAATAACCTCCGGAGTCACGACAGAATCCTTCGTCTCCGTCTCCTCCACCTTGTCAGTCACTTCTTCGTTGGCTGGCTCGGGGGCGGATTCCTCAACCACATGCTCAGCGGGGGCGGGAGTCTCTTCCGCAGGAGCAGGAACATTCTCAGTCTCTGCCGGAGCAGGCTCACTGACGGACGCTTCCTTTTGCTCGACGGGAGCCTCAACTTCGTCCTGCTTGTCGGCTTCCGCTTCGACCTCAGGCTCCGGGGCCTTCTCTTCGGTGACAGGCTCAGCGGCAGCTTCGACCACAGGCTCAGAGACAGGCTCCTCCGTGGAGGGCTCAGGAGTAGGCTCAACATTTTCCTCGACGAGCTGCTCGACAGGCTTTTCTTCCTCAGGCTGGGAGACGGGCTCAGCGGTGGGCTGTTCCGCAGGAGTCTCGGGTTCTGCGGTCTTCTCCTCAACGTCGACCGGTGCGGATGCTACGGCGGATTCCTCGGCGACGGTCTCAGCAGCCGGCTGTTCAGGAGTCGGCTCCTCAACAGCAGCTTCCTTGGGCTGTTCATCAACCTTCTCACCACTTTCGTCCTTGGCGGGAGTTTCAACAATCTCCTCCTTGGTGGGCTCCGTCGATGGCTCCTCAACAACTGGCTTCTTAGACTCTTCAACAGGTTCCTCGGCGGCAGGAGAATCGACAGGCTCGACCTTGGCCTCGTCAGCAGTCTCCTTGGCAGGTTCTTCTTCCGCCACCGGCTCTGCGGCGACAGTCTCCTCCTTTGCGGGCTCAGACTCTGCAGCCGGCTCCTCAGTAACAGGCTCGGCAACGGGTTCCTTGGCCTCTTCGGTCTCCTCCGATTCCTTCACGGGAGGCTCCTCAGTAGGCTGTTGCACAGGAGCAGTCTCTTCAACAGTGGCTTCTTTGGGAGAATCCTCAACAGCGGGAGCTTCAGGTTCAGGCTCCTTCGTGGCCTCTGGCTCGGCCTTGGGAGCTTCCTCGATAGCCACAGCCTCTTCAGCGACAGGCTCAGGCTGCTTGGTCTCCTCAGCATCTGCTTCCTCAGCAGCGGCCTCGGCAACAACTTCCTGCTTCGCTTCTTCACCGGCAGGCTCCTTGGGTGCCTCCTCGGCGTCGTCCTTGGTAGGCTCGGTACTGGTTGCCTCGGTCTCCTCAGCGACAGGCTCCTTTGCGGGCTCTTCAGTAACAGCCTTCTCAGGTTCTTCGACTTCCTTGGTGGATTCCGTGGCGGGCTCAGGGGCAGGAGACTCCTCAGTGTCTTTGACGGTCTCGGCAGCCGGCTCCTCAATATCCTTCGCAACCTCTTCGGCAGTCTCGACAGCAGCAGTCTCCTCAGTAGGCTGCTCCTTGACAGGAGCTTCCTCAGGCTGAGCAGACTTGTCCTCTGCTTCCTCAGCCTTGCTTTCCTCTTCAGCCGGCGTGTTCTCGGTCACAGGGGCGTCGGTCTTCTCCTCAGGGGCTTCAGCAGTGGCCTCAGTGGGAGTGTCAGTGACCTCTTCCACAGGTTTCTCCGTAGGCTCAATAGGAGCAGCTTCGGGGGCAGGCTCGTCAGCCTCCGGCTTAGTCTCAATGGCTTCCTCGACAGTGGCCTCGGTGGCGGGCTCCTTGACTTCTTCAGCAGTAATCTGCTCCTGGGTCGGTTCCTCGGCTTTCTCGGCAGGAGTCTCCTCGGTGGCTTCTTTAGACTCCTCCTTAGGCTCTTCCTTGGAGTCCTCTGGTTCCTCCTTGGATTCCTCTACCGGGACAGACTCAGTAACAGGCTCCTGGGCCGACTCTTCCTTGACTTCAGGCTCCTTAGCGGTCTCCACGGTGGGCTCAGCAGCTTCCTCCAAAGCAGAAGTCTCTGTCTCTGCGACAGGAGCCTTCTTTATCTCTTCAACAGCGGGTGCCTCCTGAGTCGATTCCTTGGATTCTTCAACCACAGGCCCCTGAGATGATTCCTCCTTGACTGCCTCCTGGACCGACTCTTCCTTGGCGGCCTCCGCAGCTTCCTCCACAGCCGAAGTCTCTGCGACAGGAGCCTCGTTTGCCTCCTCAACAACGGGCTCATCCTGAGTCGATTCTTTGGATTCTTCGACTACAGGTTCCTGAGAGGTTTCCTCCTTGACAGCCTCCTGGACCGACTCTTCCTTGGCGGCCTCAGCATCTTCCTTTACGGCTTGAGTCTCTGCAGCAGGGGTCTCCATTGGCTCCTCAATTGCGGATGCCTCCTGAGTGGATTCCTTGGGTTCTTCAACCACAGGCTCCTGAGATGCTTCTTCCTTGGCGACTTCCGTGGCGATCTCCTTGGCTGGTTCCTCAGTAACTGGCTCTGCGGGAACCGGCTCTTCGGTCGCTGTTTCGACAGGAGCTGCCTCTTCAGCAGTCTCCGGAACGGGTTCAGGCTTCTCTTCAGTCACCGGCTCCTGCGAAGATTTCTCCTCCTTGACGGCCTCCTTGGCAGGCTCTGCGGAATCTACCTCAGACGTCTCTGTTTCGGCAGAAGTTGCCTTTTCCGCGGTCTCCGGAACGGTTTCAGACCTCTCTTCGACTACCGGCTCCGACTCGACAGGCTCTTCCGCGGCCTCTAGCTGGGATTCCTCCGGCTTGTCCTTGGTTTCAACAGGAGTCTCAACCTCAGGAGAGACCTCAGCCTGCTTCTCCTCCTGCTCCGGTTCGGTGGTAGCTGGAGTCTGCTCAGACTTGGTCTCGGGTTCTGTCACTTCCTTCGCTGGCTGGGTTTCTTCGGCTTTCTCCTCAGTCGCAACGGGGTTGGCCTCAGGGGTGACTTCGATCTGTTTCTGTTCGGTTTCGGGAGAGGCAGTAGACGCTTCCTCTGTCTTTGTCGGTTCCTCCGTTCCCTTCTCGGGCTGAGATTCTTCCAGCTTCTCCGTTGTCGCATCGGCCTGGGCCTCGGAGGTAGCCTGGGGAGTGGTCTCAGACTTCGCCATTTCGGTAGACGTAGATGCCGCCGGAACCTCCTCAAGCTTGGTCTCCGGCTGAGGCTCTTCAGGCTTCTGAGTCACAGCATCTGCTTCAGGGGCAGGAGCTGCAGAATTCTCCTGTTCCGGTTCAGGGGCTGCAGGCTCCACTCCGTTGACCTCGGACTCCACCCCATTAGAAACGGGTTCCGGCTCAACCGGCTTGGAATCGTCTTTTTTCTCCCCGGCGGAAGTCTCCTGGACCGGAGCGGTGGTCTCCTCCGAGACACCGTTGGTCTCGGTGTGGTTTTCTGCGTCGTCCTTGACCGGTGCGGGCTCCTCCTTGACGGGCACAGGTTCGGACTTGTCCTCCACATGGAGGATGTTGTGAATGAGACCGTCCTCGCCGGGCACTGAATCAACGTTAGTGGACATACGACAGCTAGTTGACACGGGGAAAGGAAACGTACCAGTTTTTACGGTCTCATCGTGAAACCAGGCGCCATTGGGACCCTCGCGGAAGCGATATTGATACTGACCCGGGGCGACATCGAATTCGCGGTAGAAAAGATACTCGGTGGAGGTGAGACCTTCGTCGTCCTGGACGTCGATGGGCTTGACGGCAAGCTCGAGAGGCTCCCACTGGGGGCTAGAGAAGGAACCGGCGACGAAGATGACGGGGTCATCGGACGGACGACGGACGGAGATGGTGATGGAGGGAGCCATGGTGGTCGTGAGTCGTTATCGTAAGTCGTGATCGAGAGGAAGTGCGCAATGAAAGCAATGCAACAGACGGCAAGAACAAAGCAACGCAAAGGGATATCAACGCAACCAGACTACTGTACAAATCTCCCGACGTCAGCGAGAGGGAGATGAGGGGTAGGAGGGCAGGAATTCTTGAGAGAAGAGGAGCAGGAAGGCAGAGCAGACGGAGAGAAGAAGAAAAACAGTCAGAGGGTCCCCGCAGCACCGAAGAAAAAAAAAGCTATTCGGCACTAGTTGGGTTAGCGGCGGGGCAGCCAGAACGGGAAAAATCACAACACGCACCTAAGGTACTCAGAGTACCTACTATATAAAGGTATGGAGTAAGATCAAGAGGTGATGGTAGGATGGTAATCCAACAGATATTGCATACGTCTGGGAGACAGGGAGGTATGTTGAACATATGCTGAACATGCTGGACATGCTGGCGACGGGGTGAACTATACCGAACCAACACTGATAAGGTGATAGCCAGAACAGCGGTGAGGCGCCACCAATCACCCCAGAGACTATCGCGAGTCTTTCTTAGTACGCTTAGTATAGTAGTTAGTACTTTTAGTCCTACCTAGGCATAGCAAACTAAGTTACCAGAGTGACCAGACCCATAATGGGGCCATCATGTGAAGGCCAAATCAAGTGGACCTCGCCGTTGATCCATGATGGGCCGCACATCATGCCGGCGTGATCGTCGGATGTGCTGGCATCGCATGGTGGGCTGTCGCTGATATTGGGCATCAGAAGATGGATTCCCGGCAGGAGTTCGTCGTCATAATAGTCATTCAATTCCATTCAATCAACTCCAGGTATCATAAGCCAACCAACTCCAATCCAATCAACCAATCCATCACATTCGCCCTAAAAAATCTCCAAATCCTCAAACTCCACCACTAACCCATCCGGACTCCCGCCATGCATCACCTCCCACGTATTCGGTCGACTCGCATACACCCCGACATGCACAAACTTATCCTCCACCCCGTAGAAGAACCAGGTCACCTCGCGCAGTTTTTTCCACGAACCCGTCACTGCCGCGGGCGTTCGCTCCGTCGCGTCACTCGCTACCGCTAACCCGGCCGGTACCTGGTACCAGATCCAAAGCGAATGCCCGATACGTTCCAGCTTGATGCGGAGCGAATGCACTGCCCCGGGCCCTCGATCCGGTAACCCCAGCGGCGACAGACACCAGTCGGCCCCGTCGGCTGTCGCACTCACCGAGGACGCGTGCACCGCTCCAGAACAGAACTCCATGCCCGCCTTGACCCATTTACACGGGCGGACCGTACGCCGCCGCCCGCGACAGCCCTCTGTTGTCGGCATAGGCATCCCCTCAGACGAGAACGACTGCGGCGCCGCGCCGGCGAAGATTACCAGCCCGCCCTGGTCCCATTCCATCTCCCAGTCGGCGCTGATGGTGACTTCGGCGATGACGAACGGGTTGCGCAGCGAGGTGTAGACGATCGGGGCGGTCGAAATGTCGCCATTGGGCGGTTTACGCCAGAGGTCGGTGTTCGGCCCGGCTGTCAAGGAGAAATATTCCATGCATTCTGGGAGGGCGAAACTGGCGGGGAGATTGAGCGTCGTGAACGAGGCGCCATTTGGGGGCATTGTGGATAACGGAATGAAGGATTGGGTGGATGGAAGCGATCGAGCAAAGAGCGAGGGCGCCAGGAGGTCTATATGTAGGTCGGTCTGTCGTTATACCAATCGAAGTGCGGACCAGTTCGATTTCGCTGTGCAAGACCACGATGCAAGGAGTTCACCTCTCACAAGCCGGACGGCGGGCTTGTGGTGTCCGACCGACGCCCCAATGAACCGATCACAGTATCAGAGGATCCAACAAATCAATCGTAGATGTTGCAGACTCAGTCGCTGGACCGTCGCAAGGACGGATGTGATGGGGTTGCAATCTCGCCGGAAACGGAGTGGATGAAGCCACGACAAATAGTCCCAGAGGGCCAGCCGGTCCGATTGTCGATAACGAGGAAGACCATCAAGTTTATGAAGAAATAAACCATGACTTCCTGGTGGCAATTAGTGTGCCGGGGGCGCTGGTTTATCAATAATCCATTCAGGGGAGCAAAGGATGACGACTTCCAGCGGCCCCTGATCTAGCCAGGAGAAAGGTCCAAAAAAAGAAACCACCAGAGGCCGTCACTTCCATCACACCAATGATACCGCCTTGCAGCGCGCGTTTCTCCATGAAACCAAACGAACCAGACTGTTGGGACGCGATGGACTTTGGTCTGGCACTCCCGGCATGCTGGATGGGCTTCACCAATGGACCACGGATGCGAGGCGACAGCACTCAGGCACTGCGAAAGACGTCCCATTATCGAGAATCATCCTCGAGAACTTAAACGGAACCATTCGAGACGGCGTCGCCGGCCAGATTCTTTGCGTCCTGCTCCTCGAGGTCCCATTCCGGGTCTCTGCAGTGGCCGACCAGTTCACAAAAGTGGCGGGTCATCCTGCATCCATCATTGGCAGATGCGGCCCTGGCGGCCTCCTCGCAGCTGAAATCATCCCCAACCGGTCAGATCAGCCATGGCGTTGGCCGGGGGTTGTGAGCTGAAGAAGTCGAAAGTAGGGGAGAGAGACACGGGTTTGGTTGCCACCACGCCGGTCGGAGAAACTGATATGTGGCGGATATATTATTGAAACACCCCCTGGTACGTAACATAGCATTTGCGTCTAAAGAAGGGACTGGTTTGGTTTGGAATGGGGTGATAGTGAAAGATGATCTGTTTGATTCGATCGAGAGACAATATCCCTCCCAACTGACCTCCGCTACCGACCGTTCGATATCGAGATCGATATCTGCTCACCTATTCCGGAGTTGGTATAGTAGGTACCTGGATCGATAGACAGGCCATTTAGCTAGGAAGGCGGTCAACAGCGACAGAGCATCTTCTACTCTGTCGTACTCGACAACAACCAACAACCCCATATCGTACCTTTCTAATGAATGTCATGGATCATGTTAGAGGTACTTACTCTCGCACATCCCTGCATTACTGACAATTATCACTCTACTTTCGAGTGGAAAAGGGCTCACCGACTTCACCGGTACTCTCAGCGAGCATTTCAAGATTTCGAAGGGTTAGGTGTAGAGAAGACCATTGCAAATTGGTAATAGCAGCCATATACAGAAACAGTAGATGGCCACAGTCGCTACGTTCCGCGATGCGCTTTCTGAATTAAGCTTAGACGGGCACTTTCACATACAAGCGCAAAAAGTTGAAGAAATTTTAGCAATTGCTCGTAAAGACCTTGGATGGCTCCCATAAGTTCCGGCATTTGTACTCGGGTACTTCCATGGACGTGTCTTCTGGCGCAGGGCTTAGCGGATTATGGATGATTGTCACTTTGACCATGTCAAAAACATCTCCTCTGTTTCGTGCATGCAGGGTACACAATATTCCTGAACATCGGCTCATCTCCTCGAGAATCTTCAGTTCAGAGAATCTCCAAACGCGGTGCGTTTGGACTTTGAGACAAAGGCTCGTCAGCGAGCGCGCTGGATGGTCTTCATCAACAGGCAAGCGACCCGGAAGATAATCTCTCAATTGGTCAATGATCGGGGTGCTATCGCCTATGCTGCCCGATATCCTGAGCAGTTGGCCATTTGGGCGGTCCCAGATCGTCCATTGGTAATCGAGCGTCTCAAAGAGATCATCCCGGATGGCAAGTTCTCGTAGAGTAGGCGGAAGAAATTCCCGAGCCTGGTGGTTGGAAAGTCCGGCATCCATCCCAGGAGGACCCAAATGGGGCTTTCCAGTCTCTCCAGCGAAACCAGAGATTTTAAGGAACCCAGTGAGCTTTGTCTTTGCCAAACCTTATTAACCCAATCGTCGTCCATGGGGTCTGGCGGATGGTCCCCCATACGACCCCAGGCGACCGAGATGACCAGGCTTTTCAAAGTCTCCGAGACGGTGGCCAATGCTGACGTGAAATGTTTCCATTCGTCCCAATACCCGCATTCGTAATGCTCGTCATATTCTAGGGCCTCGATGTCAAGTGCTCGGAAGTATTCCAACGTATGGAGATTCGGCGCAGTGGAAAGCCACGACGCGACAATTTCCATGTTTGCGCCACAGTTTGTCATGCGTAGCGTTTTGAGCTTTGGGAGCTGCCCGGTGGCTTCCTTGAGCCTGGGCGTAAGTGTCGACTCATGAAGTACAATTTCTAAAGTCTCCAGAGACGTCAACCCGAAGACCGTGGAGAGCTGCTTAGCAGTGAGGCCATCGTGGTAGAGAACACGACAGTCCTGGTCGTTCCTGATGTGGAGTTTTTTTCATCTTGGGAAACCGGGGGCAGGTACAGCGAGGCGATGGTGACTGATGGTGCTCGAATAAGATGTCGAGTAGATCAGACCAGAGAGCGACACTGAACTCCAGGTACAGGACCTCTAGGTTGGGAAGTTGGCAGAGCAGTAAAGCCATCAAGGGTCCCGATTCCCCGGCAAAAGTTCCCGCCTGGAGAATTTCCTGGATTGGAGGGCATAGTTCCTTCAGGGCTTCGGCCCACCAGCGCGATTCATCTGATGATGGAGGAAGATCTTCAAACTTCTCTAAGTCCCATGCCTCTTCATGGGCGCCAAAGAAGACGGATTTCACATGTCCTGCTAAGGCGGGATTTTCCCGGAGGCTGCGCAAGAAGAGGTGAATCGGTGGGTCTGGCAAGTCCAGGGCTCCCGGGATATTGAATCTCCATTCGATCGATCTGTAGAGAACAGGTTCGATGCGGTAATGAAGGCTTTTGCAGGTGAGCGTCAATCGCTTGAGAGATAATTCTGGAAGATAGGAGAGAATCTCCAAGAGGATTTCCAACGGGATCGTATCCAGTCGTGCGTTTGCCGTGGACGGTACCTGTGAGGCCTTAGAATGATCAAGTGGAATTGCACGGAGAGGATTTAGTATACCAGCGATGTGCCTTGAGTGGCACTTAGACTGTCTGACGCCATGTAATGTTGTTGAATCTGAGTTGCGTGAGTTGGATGGACAGCAACATGGAAGGCGGTGATGTCGGTCCAACTAGATTGCTCGTACTCGTATTATGGGTCAAAGCATGAGGTACCTAATGTACTATGGCATCCAATATGGATTCTACCTATATTGTTCTTAATTTTGAGATCAACAACCTTCCTCTGACAGACAGATCGCAACTAGTTAGTAGTTAGTTACTCCAGACTACGGAGTACGGAGTAGATAACAATCATCCATCCAGCATCTCCATATTGGTCGGATCTTTAATTAAACCCGTGTTGATCATTCGCTTGCTAACTCTTTACGGACTGAAATTAATGAATGGATGAATGAATGGTGCGACTAGTGTTGGTCGATCCCTCCAATTTCCCCCAAATGGTCCCTGAGCCCCCATCGCACCTCGTGAACCATGACTGTGTTCTCTTTCTCTCCCCATTGCATCCACGATGCTCCAGCGCAGGACCATCCCCGATGTCCTCCCGTCGCTGGAGAGGCCCTCCCAGCGCCATGGCTGGACAAGCGACATCTCCTTGGCCCAGTCCGACCTGCAAACGACCGACGCCTACACCACCGTCTGGCTGGTCTGCGAGTTTCTCACCCTGCTCGCCCTGATCGTCTTCTTTATTGGGAGCTCCATGATCCAAGCGCCAAATGACCGGACAAAAGCGCTGCCAGTGCGGACAGTGTTCGGGTCGATTCTCAGCTACATGGTGTGAGTGAAGCGATCCGGAATTGGAACCCTCAGTGATACATCTGTGACATGCAGCTAACGCCCACAGCGCGCGCATTCTCTCCATTGCCGTTCTCTTCCTGTACGTCTTCAATCGCACTGTCTCACGGAGCTATGCCGTCGTCAACATGTTCGAGATTATCTTCAATCTCCTGGCGTTGGTCCTCCTCTATTCCATCTTCTACCGCATCGTCCACCGATACCTTGAAGGCTTCGCTGAGGGAGACGCATTTCCGCGCGTGACCCTCGCCCACTGGACTCTGCTCGGTGTGTTGTCCGCGCTTGCGATCGCCAATTGCGCCACCAGAATCGCCTCCCTGGCCGTCGCGGTCAACCAGAGCCAAACCGCTGAGGCGCTCTATCAACAAGACAGCCGGTTAACCACTGCGCGCGGGGCCATCTTTACGCTGGTTTCCCTGGAAATTCTGGCCTGGACGGTCTTCATCCTGCGGAATACCGATTCGCAGGGATCCCCAAATAAGGTACGGAGCGTATCGGCGCATGCCCTCCAGAGCGATAACTAACAATTTCCCAGACAGGAACTATCGCTCTCGCTCTGGCCGTCGTTTCGTCCTTTGCGCAGAACCTCACGACCACCATAACCACCATTCAATCCTCCCTCACCAATCACTCGCCCGCGTACCTTAATGCCGTCGCTACGCTGGTCGGGTTTTTCTGCGTCCTGGGCATCTACACCGGCATCATCATCTGCAGTCTCCAGTGGCAGAAATCCATTGACGATGCGGACGCTGCTGCCGAAGCAGCAGCAGCGCGATCACCCCCCTCGCGGTCTTCATTCCATCCAACGCCCAAGGGAAAACAGCCGAGTCGACCGCAGTACCAACCGTATCGACCATCCATGGGCGAGGTGCTGGATCAACAGCATCTCTCCCAACCGCACGGAGAATTGCCTCAGGGCTTCGCACCTCGCTATTATATGACCTCTGGACGGTCGAAATTCGACCAGCGGGCGGCGAGGATGTCTGGGGGGAGAGGGTACGAGGAAGATCTGAAATGACATAGTGATGATTTGACGACAACATATACCAAGCGACCTTAAACACACTTCTGTATAAATAAAACCTGTTCACTTCGAACAATTGAATCAATGCATCATCAATATCAACTACTCTCAGATCAAGTCCCGAGGCTTTCTGCACGTGGGTCTACCTCGGTATTTTCTCAGCTCATGTCGATCATCCAAACCTCCAGCCGTCTCCAGTTGCCCTGAATACCCCTACATGATACTCAGTACATCCTCCCCATCATGTCGCTCCTCTACTATATCTACCTGAAATTCGCCGCCACGCTCGTCCGAGCCATCGTGAGATTGCGAGGCGCCATCCGCTCTGCCCCCGACGTCACCCATCGCATCCCCTCGCGAGACCCGTCGCGCACCATCAAAGCGCATCTCTATCGCTCCACCCAGTCAACGCCGCAAAAACCGTCCCCCGTACTCATCAACTTCCATGGAAGCGGGTTCATGATCCCCGCACACGGCAGCGACGACGCCTTCTGTCGCCGCATCAGCCAACAAACCGCGTACTCCGTGCTCGACGTCCAATATCGGCTGGCACCCGAGCACCCATTCCCTGCAGCTGTACACGACGTCGAGGATGTCGTCAAATGGGTCCTCAGTCAGCCGGAGGAATACGACGTCTCGCGCGTGGCCATCTCCGGCTTCAGCGCGGGCGGCAACCTCGCCCTCGTCGGGGCGTCGCACCTCTTCCCGCCGATGACCTTCCACGCCGTGCTCGCCTTCTACCCCAGCGTCGCGCCGTACCTCGACCCAGGCACGCTCGTGGCGCCACAGCCCGGCGGCCGGCCTCTCCCCACCTTCCTGCTGCGCCTGTTCCGGAACTGCTACATCCCGCCGGGCGTGGACGCGCGCGACCCCCGCATGTCGCCCGGGCTGGCGGACGCGGACCGCTTCCCGCGCAACGTGCTGATCATCACGGCGGGATATGACACGCTCGCGTGCGAGGCCGAGAAGCTCGCAGCGCGGCTGGCGGCGGATGCGGATCGCCACGTCGTCCATGCGCGCATGGACCAGTGCGACCATGCGTGGGACAAGATTGCGCGCGAGGGCACGCGCGGGTGGGAATTGAAGGAGCAGGCGTATATGTTGGCGGTGGATATGTTGCGTCGTCCGTAGATATTACCTGTATAGTGGTCGCGGGTTATGTAGATGAAGCCAGCCCAGAGGTCAAGACAGAGCGTTGCGCATCAGTCCCCTCCCTCCTCGTATCCTTCTTAGTCAACTCTATCAACAACAGCTTGATGTCCTCCACACTACGGTGAAGTTGCACAAGCAGCTCCTCCTGCCGCCTGCGCCAGCTTGCCTCGTCGTCTGCGTTCCGAGGACGCCTGGTGCGCGGCGTCGGCGGCGAAAGCGAGAGCGTGCGCTCCCTCCGACGCACACGGGGATCAGCCCTCTCCTCTCGCGGCGGCAGACGAGCCGGCTGGCCCTCCGCCGCCACAACCGCGCGCGCTTCCTGCACCCGTCGGCGGGCGCGGATCTCCTTGATACCGTCATGGAACTCGATCCACTGGTCCAGCGCACGCTTCAGCAGGGTATCAGAGACTTCTTTGCCGCCTCCCGCGCGGATCTCTTCTTTGCGGACTTTCATGAGACGGTCGACCACGCGCTTCGGGGTGTGCAGCTGTTTGCGGAATGTGGCGCCGACCCATTGCGAGCACTTATCCCAGAACACTGCCTTCTGCAAGAGCTCGTAGTCGCGGCGGTGGTCCAGACACCATTGCACCAGGCGGTGGAACTCGTCGTCTCTCAGGCGGGCGCGGGCCGTCACGGTCGCTCCAGTCACGGTGAAGGTCGGCAGGCGCGACAGTTCCAATGGGGATGGATTCATCTGGGCGGGAGCCACGTAGGCGGGCGGGAGTAAGGAGGGTAAAGTATGCTGCTTGTCTTGGAGGTATGGAAAAGGAGTATTGGGAGATGTTGTGACGCGATTAGCGGGAAGCAGTGCCAAGTCCCCGACGCGTAAAGTGCTTTTCTTCCACGCGTTTTAACCTCCCCATCAGCACTACTTCATCCATCAACAACATGGCAGTCGCCGATTACAAGAAGTACCTGGCGGAAGCGGTCCTCAATGACCGTCGCACGGTAGGGCATACCCCCTTGTTCCAGGAGACAAACACTCACCCGCATAGGTCTCATATCGACTGTTGAGTCGAGCGCTGAGGGTCCACAGCACCCTGGCCAAGCAGTACGGCGATCGCAGACGCAGACTCTCCGAGACGAACGCTTCTAACGCACAACAGGATGCTTTATGACTTCCACCGACACGAAACTGCCAAGAAACCCGGCAGCGTGCACGCTACGTACATCGTCACCGGTATCCCGACGCCCGCCGCACCCCCCGCACCCACCAATGGCGCCCACGCCGATGCGACCAACGGACACGACGCCATGCCGAGTAGCCCGTACCTGAGCAGCTCGATGCCAAATCCGGAGGATGTCGCGGGGGACGCGGTGCCTACGTGGTCGGTCGTGCTGGTGCGCGAGGAGGATCTCGACGGTAAGCCCGCCTTGTGGTTGGAGCGCGGGTGTGACAATGGTTGATGGCGGTTGTTGTAGATGCAAAGGCGTCGTTCGAGTCAATTTCGTCCGTGTACGTCTATAGTTTGGAGCCGGCGACGCTGCAGGATCTCAATGTCCTCGCGGATGTGCGGCAGGAAATGCTGTCCACGTACGGGAAGGACGATCCGTTGGAACTCGGGGCGCAATGGGGGATGATCCAGAGCAAGACGGTCAAGGTATGGTCTCGGAGTAGTTGGATGGGTGTATAACGTGGGATGCTGATGGTCACAGCGACGAACGGGCATGAGGCCACCCATCCCAACCCCAGAACCGAAAACTGTCCCCGCCAAGCGACCTGCGCAGGAGGACAAGCCGCAGAAGAAGCCCGAGCCCGAGCCCAAGAAGGAAGAGAGCGGTTCGGAGAAGCCGTCCAAACCGTCCACGCGAGAAAGCACGCCGGCGTCCTCCAAACCGACCGAGAAGACCGCCCCGGCCAAGCGGGAGAAGGGGAGTCTGTTCAGCTCCTTTGCGAAGGCCAAGCCGAAGCAGAAGAAAGAGGAGCCAGCTACACCTGCGCCTGCGGTTGACCAAGTGTGTATCCCTCTACGGTTGTGGTGGTAGATACTGACCGTTCTAGGCGGAGCCCAGCGGAGCCGAAGATGGTTTGTTCCTGGAAAATGTTATGCTACAATATGCTAACGGAGACAGTTGTCCTGGATGATGCATCTGAAGAAGAAGCGGAAGAGCTGTTCCCTGAGACTGGCAAGCCCACCGCCAGTAACCGCGAAACGCGAAAAGAACGCGAGGAGAAGCTGCGCCAGATGATGGAAGACAGCGAAGACGAAGAAATGCCTGATACAACGGAACCCCCCGAAGAGGAATCTACGCCCATCGATGAACCCCCTCCCAAGACGGAGCTAAAGGAAGAAGCCACCGTTCAGGGTGGTCGACGGAGAGGCAAACGACAGGTCATGAAGAAGAAGACCGTCAAGGACGAGGAGGGCTATCTGGGTAGGACCCCTGTTCCTTCGATGCAATGTCCGAGCTGACCTGGTCTAGTGACCGTGGAAGAGCCCGCGTGGGAGTCCTTCTCGGAAGACGAAGCGCCGCCGCCCAAGAAGAAGCCGGCTGTCAGTGCGCCGAAAAAGGGTGGAGTAAAAGCAGGACAGGGGAATATCATGTCGTTCTTTGGGAAGAAGTAGGCATGGAGATAGAGGTTGTGGAGGTGGTGGTGATTGTATACTAGACTGACCTGCATGTAATGAATCCGTATACACCCGCAGTGTATTTCCGTCCCCGATTCACCATGCATCAGACAGAAGACTTGACTACTGAGGCGTTGAAAAGATCGACAGACTAATGATGCACTGCGACGGTCGAATGCAACTCTATGCCGACTAGTCATAAATAAACATCCGCATTCGATCTTCTCCGCATTCCATCCTCCACCTCAACTTCCTCCACTTCACCTCAACCTTTCACCTCAATCCTTCCCTCTCTTCTCTCCACGCGCCTGGCCTGAGTAGTTCTGCATCTCTCGACCTCATACATACATGTCTTCTTAACAAATCACACCCACATCATGACCCCTCCCGCGACGGCCCTGGTCCTCGCCCTTGTCGGTCTGGGCACAGGCGCTGCAGCTGTCCGCGATGAGCCAGCTCTTCTCAAAAGAGCCTGTCCAGACTACGTTTCTTATGCGTCGACACCACAGTGAGTTGCCGTCCATATCTATCGAGTCTATTGCTGACCTCCGACAGCGCCCCCTACAGCGGCGGACCCTTGAACCTCCCGTTCCAGCGCCCCGCGACGGAGTGTCGTACATTCTCCTCACCCGCCGTCGAACAAGTCATCGACGACGTGACGTCGCGCATGGTGGACAAGGATCTGGCCCAGCTCTTCCGCAATGCCTTCCCGAACACCCTGGACACCACCGTGCGCTGGCACACTGACGGCACATCGTCATCAAACCAGGCGCGACAAAACCGCCGTAGCACCAGCCAATCCCAATGGAACGGACCGCAGACCTTCGTAGTGACGGGTGACATCAACGCGGAGTGGTTGCGCGACTCAACCAACCAACTCTCCGGGTACCAGAAGCTCGCACAGAAGGACAAGAAGCTGTACAACCTGATTCTGGGCGCGATCAACACGCAGGCCGAGTTTGTCATACAATCGCCCTACTGCAACGCCTTCCAACCGCCGCCGCCCAGCGGCCTCCAGCCTACTAACAATGGCCAAGACGACAAGGTGCATCCGGCGTACGAACCCTCTGTCGTCTTCGAGTGCAAGTACGAGCTGGACTCGCTAGCCAACTTCCTTGCCCTGGCCACCGAGTTCCACGAGCACACCAGCGCCACAGACTTCCTCACCGACCGCTGGTACCTCGCCCTCGACACCCTGCTGAAGGTGCTCGACGCGCAGTCCCAGCCCACTTTCAACAGCGACGAGCAATACGCCGTCAACCAGTACACCTTCCAGCGCCAGACCAACCTCGGAACTGAGACGCTCAACCTCGCCGGTATCGGCAACCCGCTCAACAAGGGCACCGGCCTGATCCGCAGCGCCTTTCGCCCCAGCGACGACGCCACCATCCTGGGCTTCTTCATCCCACCCAACGCCATGATGGCCGTGCAGCTGCAAAAGACCGCGCGCATGCTGCGCACCGCCGGCGGGGCCAAGAATACCCAGCTGGCCGACGACCTGCAGCGCCGCGGCGACGCCCTCGACCGCGCCGTCCGCGACCACGGCATCGTCTCCCACCCCAAATACGGCGACGTCTTTGCCTTCGAGGTCGACGGCTACGGCTCGCGCATCCTCATGGACGACGCCAACGTGCCGTCCCTCCTGTCGCTGCCGCTGCTGGGCTACGTCGCCCAGGACGACCCCGTGTATCTGAACACGCGCAAGATGGTCCTCGACCCAGATGCCAACCCGTACTATCTCACAGGGTCGGCATTCCACGGCATCGGTGGGCCTCATAGTACGTCATTCCCCCCTGTGTAGAAGTAGGCTATGCTAACACATGTAGTCGGACTGGAAAACGCCTGGCCCATGTCCCTGCTCGTGCAGGCGATGACCAGCGACTCGGACGCGGAGATTGAAGAATGCATAAACCTGGTGCGCAACTCGAGTCTGCTGGGCCTGGTGCACGAGTCGATCAACGTGAACAACATCAAGGCTTACACGCGGCCGTGGTTCGCGTGGGCGAACTCGGTCTTTGCGCAGACGATTCTGAAGATGGCCGCGGAACGACCGCATCTGGTGTTCGGGGAGGGCGCGGACCCGTACATCATCCAGTGATTATACCCTTCTACACATATACATAATGAACTCTTGGGGTATTCACATAGTATTGCCTGCGTAGGATACGAAAGTAGAGTATAGTATGTACAAGAATCCGGTCTATATCAACACGCGTCTTAATCCCTCCGTTCCACCGAGCACTCTCCGCCCCGTGACCGGACACCGACCCTTCCCACTCTCCCATTTCCCATGGCGACTCTTCCCCTGCGCTCCCGTCTTCTCCGTCGCATCCTCCTCATCCGCAGACTCATCTTCCCACGGCGCACCGGCGCCCTCCCCGCTCATAAAATCAAGCTGCCGCTGATGCTCCCCGTTCAACCAGTGGAAGATACACACGTAGCAGTACACATACCCGGTCTGACAGGCGGTGGGGTTCGTCAGGGGATTCAGACAGATCGCACAGGTAGACGCGGCGTCAGAGTCAATAGGCGGCAAGGGCACGGTAAAGATGGGCAGATACGAGGTCGCCGAGATGGGCGGCTGTCTGCGCTTCAGACACGACTTGAGGGCGGACTTGCGGGGCGAGTCGGGCTCCTGCGACTTTTCCTGCTCCGCCTTCTTCTTCTGCCTCTCCTTGGCGAGCCGCTTGCGCTCGGCGGGGGAGACCATGCCGTTTGCGACGGGGGCGGGGAGATCAAGGACCTCTGTGGCTTTGCGGGCGAGCTGGCGCGAGAAGTCGCTGGCGTGCCACCATTCGAGGAACTTGAGGGCGAAGATGGAAGCGGGGAGGAAGTAGCGCAGCGAGGTAAGGAGCTGCGGGTAGAGGTTTTGCGGGCTGAGGAGGCCGAGGAGGCCGGAGCCGGGGCGGGCGCGGGCGGCGCCACCGGGGGCGGGTTTAGGGTCGAGAACGGCGGCGATGGCCTTGTGGTCTGCGGAGCCGAGGCGGCGGATGCGGGTGCCGATGAGCCAGAGGAAGGGGGAGGAGTACTTGGTGTTGTCGAAGAGGTAGGCGAGGTTGAAGGCGAGGATGGAGAAGTAGTAGGCGGCGTTGACGGAGGGGTAGACGTTGCGGAGGAACCACTTGTAGGCGTGGAGGAGGCGCTGTTTGAGGGAGGGGTGTGGGGGGAGGTCGTCGCTGGGGTCGTAGCGGGGGCCGCCGCTGGTGATCAGGGAGGCGTGGGGGGCAGCATGGATGTCGTAGCCCTCGTCGAGTTTGCGCTTGAGGTAGGGGATGCCGACCATGACGAAGAGGTTCTTCCAGACGTCGGAGGAGCGCAGTTTGAGGGTCTCGCGGACGGGGCCGGGGGCGCCAATCTGGGCGCGCGGGATCTCGCCATTCTTGGTGAGCAGGACACGCTCGCGTTTGAGCGAGTAGAAGTTCTCGGTGAAGGAGCCGCCGAAGGTGCGGAGGTAGTACCGCTCGACGATCAGCGAGAGCAGCGCGTAGAGCTCATCGAAGGAGTTGAGGACCCGCAGGAGATACCGTGGATGACGGTGTGTCGCGACGGCGAGGATATATCGAATTGACGGGGGGAGAAGGTCGGAGAGCTGTTGCTCCGCGAGGAGTTCTATTGGTGTCAGTTATGGGCGTCGGAACTGGGGAGGGCATCACGTACCGAACAGTGACGGTTTGAGCTCGTCAAATTCCTGCTGCAGACTGGGTAGATACTCCATGGCGACCCGTCATGGTCATGCAGGGGAGAAAGCAGAGAGAAGGACGGAGAAGATGCGGAGAGAGTGATGCGACGTCGGAATCAACGTCGGAAGCCCCAGATTCGTTCAGCCGAGGCTCATCGGCACGTGGATTAGTCATCCTCTCCATCACGGAGTATACACGCATACATATCCGGACCATATCAGGGTATCGATTCACATACACTATCATACACTATATCTATACACCTACTCATGCAGACTCGCCTTGCACTCCCGCCAAATCCGCGCCAGGTCGCCCGATGAGCTCTCCTCCGCCGTCCGGGCAATCTCCGGATCCGCCAGGACAAGACAATCCATCAGGCTCTGCAGGAGATCTCCCCGGAGAGGAATCGGCGGTTCCTCGCGCTTCATCATTGGAGCCCAGGTTGAGACGCACTCCTGGGCCCGGACCTCATCCCCTAATTCTGCATGCAGCTTGAAGAGCATCGTGTAGTCGCCGAATGTCCGCGGACTGTTGTTCAGCGGAAGCTTGCGCCACATTCGCCAGAAGCCGTCGTAGTCTCCATTCTGGAAGCTGGCTATCATGAAGAGGCGCGCTTCCTTGGGATCAAAGGGCAGTTCGAATGTTTCAAGCACCTTGGACACGTGACGCCCATTGCGAAGCGCCTCTTCTTGATTCCCACGCGCTTCATAGACTGCGGCTTTGTACAAGATGTTCAGGACCTTCATGCTCATGATGTTGGTGCCTCGGAGGGAAAGATAGTCCAGCACGCGGAAAGCGAGGTTCTTGTCCCGGGTGGTGTGCTCCGCCTGCGCGGGTCCAGGCAAAAGGGCCGCAAAGACGTCCAATCCTAGCTCGTCGGAAATCTCGTAGCCAGAAGCGATACAGTGTGAAAAGACCAAAAACAGCTTTTTCTTCAGTAGGTGACTCGTTTGCGTCGATACTGCCGTGCACAGACTTCTCAGCTCGTCCATCGCCTGCTGCTCCGACATCAGCTCCAGCGCTTCCGCAAAAGGAATGTCTTCTTTTGCTTGAGTTTTGGCATCGGGTCCACTCCCAGACTGCACGGACTGGACAGCCCGGAGATAGTGACTGCCGTGGAACCGCCTCGTCTGCTGGAACGGAAAGCTCCCCGTCGAGCGAGGGACCGGTCCCGACGCCTCCCCAGGTACTTCATGCAACGACTCGCTAGCACCTCCAGAAGCCTTCGCAAGAGACTCAGCATACTTCTGCTTGTCCCGTTCAGCGCGATCCAACGTCCGCTGCCACAGGGTCTCAAGATCGACCTCAGCCCGCTTCTCTTCCGTAAACATCTGCACGACGACCCGCGTGCCGCGAACAGTCTTGCCAAAACCCTCAAACCGTTCATCCTTCTGCTCCTGAACAGCACTCTCCTCGACAACCCCAGCATTCACGCAAATCCACCCCGTCGTGATTCCGTCGTCCTTGTCATCGAAGGTAGTCCCAGAGCGACTGGCAAGTCTCGCGCGACGGGCTTTCCGACGCAACTTGATCTTCAGCTCGTTGCGCCCCAGCAGGCCATCCGCGTACGGCGACAGCTTCCATGTGCTCCGCAGCCAGCGACACATGCGGTCTGCTGAGACATTCAGGTGTTTGACGCTGCGGGCCGTGCCGATGATCATGATGACATTGGCGCCGAGGGCGGGCGGCGTCTCGAGACCGCGGAGGTCAATCAGCTTCAGGTCGTCTAATCCGAGGTCTTTGAAGGTGTATTCGAGGATCTCTCCGAGAATGGCGGGGGAGTCGGCGGGGAGGTCGGGGATTTGGTCGCGAGAAGACACCTGCTGGGTGTCGGACACGGGGGATTCTTCTCTCAAGTACCAAGGCACATGAGATTGTTTTTGTTCACTTTCTGGGGCTGTTTCTTTGGGTTCTGTCGGGGGGTTCGCCGTAGAGGGATTGGGCGGTTCGGAGTGCAGGCGAGCAGTTGACGTTAGAGCTCTGCTGGACTTGCATGTCAAATGCACAGGGGAGATGTGCCGTGTGGTGACGCCAGAGAGCGATGGGAGAGATAGCACAGCTTCCTGGCGAAGCCAGGGTGCCCGTAATAACGTCCGACTCATGATGACTGCGGGAAGAGCCGGATTGCGCTGCATTGAAGGAAGCAGAAGCGGCGCAGAGAAAGACTGGACGAGATGATGTAGACGACAAACAGTGCAAACTGACTCAGCAGACGCCTTGCCTAATCTGGTAACGCAAGTATACAGCATCTTACAACAATCACTCCATCAGACAAGCCGTGAACATGCGCAGGGGATATCTATTCAGAGACTATACATAATGAACTGGAGGAGGATCTTAATATCAGAAAATTTTCCCCAGCACTCGCTTCGTATCCTCCTCCAACACCACCTGATCCCCCTTGATCTTATCCCGGCCCATCTTGACCTCATTCTGCTTGAACGTCCTCCGGACCTTGATATTCCCAGCCGGCATAGCATTGTCCCCCGCCTTGGACGCCTCCGCTGCGGCGGCAGCATCCGCAGCCGCCATCTTGCGCCGCCTCTTCTCCTCGTTCTTCTTCTGAATGCCCTCGAGCACCTTTCCCTTCTCAACACCCTGGATGAACACCTTCTCCTCCTTGCGCGCGCGCATATCCTCCATGCGCTGCTTGGCCTCTCGCTCGTTGCGCTCTCTCTGGATCTGTTCAAGCAGATCCTGCCAGCTATAACCCCGGAGATACTTCATATTCCACACATCATCATGGTACCAGCTGCCCTTGCGGCCGCCAACAATCGACGCATTGAGCGTCTCCGCGCAAATTTTCGCCGTCTTCTTCGACGCAAACTCCACCCACCCGTCGGAGTATGTCTTTCGCTTATTGCTTCGGCGGCGCGGCGCGGACGGCGGTCGGACTTCAGGCGTGAGGAACACCTTCGTGATGGGGCCGAAGCCTCTCGTCTCCAACATGGATTTCAAAGCGAACTGTAAGACATACTTGCGTTAGCCAATTATTTCGACCCGAAAAGAATCCAATCCACGAACCGGTTTGAGATACGGCGGCAGCGAAGACAGATACACCACGCCCGGTTTCTTCTTTTTCGCCGGCTTATTCTTGTCCAGGGGTTTCTGTTTCTGCTTTTTGTCCGATTTGTCCGCCATCTCGCTCACGTCAAGGTACCGATCTCCTCCTTCCCGGTCGTCTGCGTGTTCGTCGTCGCTGTCGTGGTCGTCTTCGTGGGTGTCTTCGCGGGACACAGTGTCAGGCTTCGACCGACCCTTGCCTTTCCGCGTGGTGTCCTCGTCGCTGGCAACCTCTACATCAGAATCCTCCGCCTCATCTTCGCTTCCACTCAGATCGTGCGTCTTCGATACTCGTTGCCGCTTCGCGATCCGGCCCTTCGAGATCTCCGCCTCGGAATCATAGCCGCGATCGCTGGCCTCGTCGTCGCTGGAGGCGATGTCCAGGAATTCATTTCTCTTGCGGGTGGTCATGTTGTCGCGGTCCTTTACACAATAGTGTACCCGGAACTATTCTGCTGGATGTTGGTGATCGTGAAGATGTCCTGTTCGCGGGCCCAGAACTTTTTTCTGCCGGTGGTCTGTGCAGGCGGTGTGTTTTATGCCTGTATAATCAGGCATCATCCTTTTGATCTACTATTACTGGAACCGTCAACCTCGTAGATATAAACTTGTACAGATGGCAGAAAATAGAGAAATAATGTCTATACACATGCACGGCACACCATGCACCATGGTCAACCTATGTACCAACAGAGCCGTCCGGCCCGAATGCAAAGAATGGGTATGAGCAACCACGACGCCAACATCGGAATCTCGTACGAAAGGAAAAGCCGACAAGACACAAGACAAAAAAGACAAAAGTCTAACCACCACGAGAACACCTTAAATTCCCAACGTCCACTTTAACCGTTCATAGACGAAGAACGCCGTCGCTGCCATGGGTATCACTTTGATATAGCCGATCGTCAGCCCGACCCAGAACCCGCGGAATCCCTTCTCCATCCAGATGATGCGAGCTGTTTCGACGATGCGAAGACGACGGCCATCGCCCACAACGCCGCCAACCTGCATTCGCCGACGGATCACTTCCAGGGGGTAGGAGGATGTCTGTGAGACCAGGCCAGCGAGGGCACCCGAAAACAGCTCGGCGGCGGCGGTCAATTGAGGCCGACGGGAGCCTTTTCGGTTCGTAGTCTCCGATCCGGGAATCGTCGTGTATTGGGAGATGGCTGGCAAACGAAGCCAGTCCCCAACCGTATCGTGGGTGAGGAAGGAGATACCAGCATATGGGAGCATGCCCAGGATGGTCGGGGCAAAGCCCCGGTAGAAGTTGGCCAGACCCGAGCTGGGGACAGCTTTACTGACGACTGACGAGACACCCTCAGCGGCCGCGGTGATGTTTGGTGCAGGACCTTGTCCTGCAGGCGGGGCATTGGGGGCGGAGGGCGGCGAAACCCGTTCGTGGTAGATCTGCCGAAAGATGTCGGTGAAAGACGAACGAGAAGATCGCTTGGTCTCGAACGCCAACCGCACACGAATAAGCTCCAGTGGATATGTGAAAAACACCGACGTGACCCCCGCCAAACTGCCCGAGATTAATCGACGGAACGGCGTCTCCTTGTCTCGTGACGGAATGATCACCGCGCGGATTTGCTCATAAGCGAGAAACTTGATCGCGGCATAGGGGAAAATGCGGAGAAGCGTTGCGGAGTGGCCTTTAAAGAGGCCTCGCGCCCCCTCATGATGTTTGATGTCGCGCACTGCAGACACCAGGCCAAACCAGCTGCCGGTGTATTTGGCAAATTGAGGGTTCGATGCCTGGAAGAGAATCTTAACCCGATCCAGCGGTGCGACCACCGTTTTCGCCTGAAGCCATCCAGTTAGCGTTCACACGGCCTACGCTTAAATCTGGACTTCGTCCCGGGCACAGCTAGACGCTGACTTACCGCACAGCCGGCTAAGCCTCCCGCCAGTCCACTCCTCAGCACATAGTCTACACTCCGCTTGTTCGTCTCTTTTGTTCCTCCACGAGGGCTGGATGTGCTCTGTAACGAGGATTCGCTCGCAACTGCAGTCGCTTGTGCGGTAGCCACTGCGGGATGATTCGGGGCGTCACCCGTTGTTGACCCTCGCCCCGACCTCGACTGTGTGACCTGCTCCATGTGCGTACCTGGTTCGGCTATTGTGGGTTTTTGGTGCGATTCGGCGACGAAGAATGATGAATCCGCATGCGCATGGCCTGGAGTGGCCAGGGACATGTACACAGGACGCCTCGGATGTAGGGGAGAGTATTGAGAAAGAGGTCACGGGTTACTGGAGATCGGATGCCATGGACCGTTTAGGACGGGCTCGGCGTGGACTCCTCTGGTCAGAGGGGCAAGACTTCCGTGCGATCACTCCCTTGGAGGTCCTGAGAGTCAACGGAGTTAACGGTAGAGGTGTGTATGGAGATGTTGGATGTTGAATGTAGAATCTGGAGAGAATGACCGCATGGCGGCACAAATCATCGAATCGGCGTGGAAGGCGGAAGAGCCCGTTACCGCCCTGACATGCCGATACCAACCGTACCGCCCGTGCAGCCGACGATAACCCCGCCGTACCGTCTCATTACACCTCGGATATCCGATGTGGCGGGTGGCCAACAGTGACGGCGGAATTATTCATCAGGCGAGCTTGATGAAGTATGAAGAAAAGAGTCAATATCAATTAAGAATAGAAAAGATAGAGAAATAGAACACATCTCACTCTATCATAGACTCGACCCCATCTAAATGCAAGACGTCGGCCAACTTTTATATACATTCATTCAGTCAGATATCCCGATGGGCCGATGAGTACAGTCAAAACTCCAGTTCATGGTCACGTCGCTGATGCGGATCAAAAATAGACAGTCCCCTGTTATATCTTCAGTATGGGCCAAGATATCGCCCAATGCATCCACCGCGCAATGTCCACATGCAATATTCCGAAACGCCGGTCAATTCCAACCATCACCACCAGGAACGAAACAATGCGTAGGCTAGAAGTTGTATCGCGAGCCTTGTCGTGTCAAGGGTTTGCCCTGCCGGTTCTTAATCTCCTTCGGGTCATCCGTAGCTCGCTTGGCTCGTTTGTTGGGCCGGGACGCATCCACATGGAGATGTCCATTCTCGGAGAGCGCCGTGCTGTTGCGCCAGCGGAGACACCGATGCTTGCTGCGCTCTTCCACATACGTCTTGTTGCGTGTCGTCACCCGTTTTGCGGGCAGCTCCTCCGACTCGGACGTCTCCGCGGTCTGGGCCAGATAGTCCTTGCGAAGCCTCATATGTTTCACGATGTTGTCCCGTTGCAATATCAGCTCCTTGCGTAGCTTCAACTCCCGGTTCCCGCGCGAGTCCAACCACTCAATCAGCTTCTCGATCGCCTCCGGTTCATCGTAGTAACCCCATTCGTGTGCATTGAACAGTCGGGTGGGCCCTTCCTCAGCCTTCTTCCGTTCCAGCGGTGTCATGTGAAACTCCTTTTGGTACTGCTTCTTTTGCTCGTCCGACACATGAATGAACCCGATGCGTTCCATCTCATCAGGACCCTGGACCCAGAGACGGCCGTTCGCATACTGTGCCTCCGCTGTTGAACTGTTGGGCATGCCGCCGTACGGCATAGCGTTCCTCTCAAACCACCAGTACCGGTTGCAGAAACGGTCCTTGCCGAGACACTTAGTCCGTGGACAGTCAGCTTCCCGCAGGTCATTGTCCACGGTCTCGATCTTTTCCTCCAGTTTGGCAATCTGCGCCTTTTGGTCCTCGATCTTCTTGAGCACACGCTGGTACTGTTTGGAGCCTTTCGGTTGTTTGGCCTGTTGTTCCTTTCGTTCCCTCTCCTCCTCTTGCTTCCGCTTCCTCTCCAGCACTCGATCCATCCCACCACGGAGCGATCTCTCAGGCTGGGTTTCGTCATCGGAATCGGCAGGCAGTTCAGAATCTCCATCCACGCCGGTCATCTTGGTGTCCTCCAGTGCCTCTAATTCAGGTGGGGGGGATGGTGATTTCTCCGGCTCGGGCTGAAGCGCTTTCCGCTCTTGGTGTAACCGACGAAGCTCCTCGAGGCTGCAAGAACACATTAGTCAGAGAAGCAGCGCGAAGGTTTGGTTTGTTATCTTACGCTGCTTTGCGGGCTTTCTGGTATTCGATCTTCTCTTTACGGAACTCGGTCATCTGGTTGCTACACTCTTCGAGGTAGTTGCGAATGGACTTGGTCTCCAAGCTGAGCATGCAGATGATCTCAAGGGCTTTGATGCGGAGATTCAAGTTCAACGTAGCATATTGCGCTTGGACGGTCTCCTGGGTCGGCTCTTCCTCAAGTGGCGCCAGATGTTTCAGAATATCGTTGCAGACGCCCTCCATCCGAGGTCTGGCAGATAGGCGGTAAAGTAGTCCTGCCATAACCATCTCCCATCCACCGTTGCGAAAATCCCGTTTCCTCAGACGGTCAATCCAACTGTGGTCCTTAAACAATTCAGCGGCACGATGGATTTTGAGTTCAGCATCAGCGCTCCCGTTCGCTTGCGCCTTCAGGTTTTCGGCTTCGGCCTTGGCAAGACTGCTTCGAGTGGTCATCCTGGTCATGACTGGTTCGGGTTCAGGGGAAGCTTCCTCTTCTTCCTCTTCCTCCTCTGACTCTTCAGAATCCTCGTCAGGGAGCTCCGGCAGTGAGATCTGGATGGCACCTCCGTCGTCCTTCTCGGCGTTCACAAGCTTCTTCAAGACCGCACAGTGCACCTCCACAAAGAGCTCGCAATCGATGTCCTCGTTAGAGAATCGCATAGCCTGAAAAAAATCATCAAAGGTAAATGAATCTAATTCGAAGACCTCGCAATAAACATTGAGAGTGTTCCAGGTCTCCAAGAGCAACCCCACGGATTTTGGATCAAGATCGTCATGCAGCAGGTCTTCGTCCCTGGGATCGTCGGTCTCGTCCAAGGACAAAAACTTCAAAGGTGGGCGCTGTTTCTTTTTCTCGCGATCTGGAGCAATGTCAAGATCCTCAATCGGATATTTGATCGGTGGAGGAGATGGCGGCCTAGGCGGCTCAGCCTGAACGACCACTGCCGGAGACATTTGCGACTTTCTGTCAGGCTCCTGGGACTTGGACGAACGGCCACTGCCACCGGGCTTGTTGTTAACCACGAAAGTGGGATTCCCGTTGAGCGAACGTTGATACTCGAGAAACTGTGCCTCCTTCGAGCGGGCCAGATCATTATGAGAAGGCTTTGACTTTTGGCCTTTGACGGCAGGTTTCAATTCGGGCAGCTGCTGAGAGGCAAAGAAACCAAAGAAACCATCCTGGTCGGCCTTCTTCATCGCCTTCTTTTCGGCAACTTTGGCGCCGTACTGGAGATGCTTCGGGACTTCGGTGGAGATTCTGTATTCCTCGGCAATCGAAGGCTTCACTAACCAGGGTGCACCATTCCAGGATTCGCGAGTAACGTTGTTCTTGATGAAGGCGCGCAACATCTGCTTGGTAAATGTCTTTCGATCTCGTGTAATGTGTTCCTGATCGGTAAGAGCTTCCTCGTTGGGGCGATCCAAAACCTTCACAAGATAAGTCGCATAACCCCGAGTCTTGATCGTTCCGTCGGGATACAGTTGGTCGGCGAAATTAACCTTATCTCGAATGACACCATGAAGACGTGCATTATCTTCGCAAAGGATCAGGACTGGTTCTCCAGGATAGAAGTCTTGTTTAAATTCCTGCGGATGTTTAGTTATGCGAATGTCGGCGAGACGGGTTAGTCGCAAAGTCACTCACTTCATAGATCTCATCCACTATAGGGATGTGAATGTTAGCCATAGCAATGCGTATACAGAAAAAGGTTCAGCGTACCAAGATTATCGACCCGCGATACGGTGGAGAACTGGATCCGGCGCAAAATGGGCTCTTTCAAGGCCTCGGGGAAAGAATTATTGACCTCTCGCGACTCCTCCATCTAGATAGTTCATTAGCACGGCATTTCTCGAGAAAGAGCCACCAACACATACTTCGCTTTTGAGAGCTTCGAAAAAGGTCAGTCCCGAATGACCCGTAATCTCGCAGATGAACCTCCGCTGTTTGTAGAAGTCCATCCGCTGAAGATACGGCTCATAGCTGGTAAAGACCTCATTGGTTTCCGGGATTACCCAGACCTACACCACAGTTGTCAGCAGGTGACTCGTTGATTCCTTCGGGTGAACGTGCCTCAGAGCTGTCATCTTCGATCACGGGTCGCGGGAGGTACTGGACGGGTTTTCGTTTGAACAGAACCTATGGGAAGGTTAGGTCTCGGTTTGTGCCATATCGGATAGACCCTTCTCGTAGAGTGAAGCTTCTTCCAACAGCAGAAAGTGTATGGCCTACCATGGTGCTCTAGAAGGCGAGCGACACGCGCAAGTCTACCATAGATGGATGGGTGATGGTATGGACCGAGACTGCAAGGAATGTAGCAATCAGTACATGCAGGACAATATCGAATTAGATTGGCAAGAATGCGACGCGATGACAATCGTTGTTGTTCCAAGAGCCCGACTTGGGGGAGAAGATTGAGGTGGGAGTCAATGCGCCGCGCTGACGTGCAGCTTGGCCGTAAGAGGCGGCGAAGTATATTTGTCGTTCATGCACAGGCCGAACAAGATCATAAAAAGGCAGAGAGGGCGTGTCGATGATGGGTTTGAAGGACGTACTCAAAATACGCGTCGTCAATCGCGACACCGCTGAGTGCGCAGACCGCAGGACACGAGAACAAAAGTCGGAGCACCCGTGTCGAACGGCGGATGCGGAGATTGTCTCCAAAAGCACGGAGATACGTGACGGGAGTGTGGGGATAGAGAAGTAGACGCGTGGAGGAGGGAGGGTGGATGCAGGTCGCGAGGCAAGGTGAGGCGAGAGGGGAGGAGAAGTTCTGGAGCGAGAGAAAGAGAGAAGGGGAAGAAAGAAAGGAGAGCAACGGCAGAACCCATCGGATGGAGGATCAACTGCGGCAAGTGGTGGGAGGCCCGCCGAGGCACCGCGCTCCCTGATTGGTCCAAACGAGGAGAACTGCCCGGCGGGCGGATGGACAGCCGCTAAACCGGTTTGGGACTCTCTCGCGGTCTGTCGACCCTCTCTCTCCAGCTCTCGGACGCTTGCCCTTCGTGCACTCGTCTTTCCCGTCCAACTCCGGCAGTATTTGCACTCGTTCAATTCCTCTCGGTCAGAAGAATTTGCTTAACGACTTCTTGATCATGTGGGCTCCTCTCTTTCTTGATACCCCGTTTATATCGACACCACGTCTGAAATGACGGTAGACTATCAAAACGGCCGGGATAGATCTCATCAAGCCCACACCCTCAACCACCGAAGGACATTTCTGATGGCAAATGTCCACCATGATCACTTTATCCCTTGTCTATGGCTTCTGATGTAATGTTGCGTCCTCCAATACGCATTGAACCAGATTGTTGTTTATATCTGGGTCTTGTTTGTATAGTACTACTGTCCAAGGCTCCACTTATTTTGTCCACCTCTACGATGAGCTGTCTTCATTCAGTCACTCGGCGTCCCTCCCTAGTTTCTTAAGCTTGTAAGTTTCTTTATATTCTCAATCACCGTCCTGATTCCCTATGGTCTTTGCCGGCATTTTCTCGAGGCTCTCGTCGACTTACGTTCGAGATCCACACGACCGAGGAAGGATCAAGATGAGTTCTCTCCACATAGATCATAGAAATGTACTAATGAGTCCAAAGCAGTCCCTTGGAGGTCTTTATTGACATTTTCACTCTATCTCAAAATCATATATGGCGTTAAATAACGTTGTCCATGTCATATAAGCTCCAGTGAGCATGATTTTCATATCTCTCGAAGATCAACATAAGTTATAGCACTCGGTGCTGGTACATCTCTGTTTAAACGCCTGGAAGTATTTCTTTGAACGTAATAATACTCATGCTCATGGGTTTAGCGCAATCAGGAGAGATGAGTCGTAAAGGGTCGGGGTGGGTGCCATATAAACCACAGTCCTGTGTCTTTCTATAGGCAAGGGACATGCGTGGTATTGAAGGCGCAATGTTGTGTAGTTTCTGCAATCTTATCATTTGGCACGTCTGAAAGAATTTATCTTATGATATAGCGTGTAATATCAGGACCTGGCGGTGGAATAACAGTTCATTCTAGGCCGGAATCCCAAAAGGCTAAACATTAGTGAGTGTCTATAAATATAGAAGCGTAAAGTAAATAAGGTAATCATGCAGTATAACTGTTGAATACATCTTGGGTTAAACAAAATCAATATGCTATTCACAGGCACTACCCAGTGATCAGCACAGAAATATACTTTCGCAGTCGAATCATTACCCCACGAAGTCACGGCGTCAACATTCACAAAGCAGATATATTGATCTATCATTTTAAAGATAGAAACCTCTACATACTACCTTAATATATTTGATCATATTCTCTATCGTGTTCACCAGGCCTCTGTGACAACGCAAATAGAGCTTCTGCAGTGTCACCGACATCCATGGGATCGATCATGTTAAAAGTCCGGACTAAGCCTGTTTAGGAATAGAGTTTGCAGAGTTGGATGATCAAGTGGGTCTCCGGTCCCAGAGCACGTGGACGAAGCAAACACTGCAAACACGGTGCTGTGCCATTACATCACAGCTCTTCCTTACTGCAGCTGGCATAATCATTGAAGAGACCCATTGAAGCACTAGTGTTATTTTGTTCTATCTGTCTACAGCTGCGCCTATGCAGTAAAATACACCACCATAAATCCAACCCAACTGCCCACCACCCCCAGAGCAGAGTAGCTGCTCATAAACATCAAGGGTAGGAACTCGTACCGCCCCAGTCCGAAGATCAACTGGTGGACCAGAGAGCAGTAGACGATGAGCGGAATAGCGATGGTGATATAGAGTAGTGAAAAGCGGTCGACTAGAAAAATGCGTGGCCGCTCAGGTACAGGGGCGACGTGGTCAAACACGAACAAGAACAAAACCAACCACAGGATACTGTAGACGGTCTTGATAGGAAACTCCGCTGCAGTAAACAGCAGTGGAAAGAGGGAGACGTGTCCAGCAACGGCGAGGGGCCGGAACGCACTGAAGTACCGGCGGTCTTTGAGCGCGATCAGACTGAACGGAATGACGATCAGGAGGACGGCCTTTTCGTGAACGTGCCAGCCAAACAGAAAGGAAGCATATCCGCAAAGGGTAATTGCGCCGACAAAGGTATCCCAGTCAGGACGGAGCCAGAGTTTAATCAAAGGGAGCTGACAGTAATCAGTACAAGTAGCTGAATCCAGGGTGAGATACATACAAGCTGGAACAGAAAGGTCAACGCAAATGTGTGTTCCTTGGTGACTTCGGGGAGAACAGCAAAGGAGGTGTCGCCGACCAGACCACGAGTGACACTTGTCAGAGCTTCTTGATTGATCGGCAAGCCCAAACGGGGAGCGACTATGACGGTCAGTTTGATATCGCGGTGGTCTGATAGGAAATACTCACGAGGAATCAAAACACGGTCGGTGAAAGAATACATAGCCCAGATATTCGGAGCCCAGTATGCATGACACAGACCGCGGGAGAAAGGAAAGAGCCGATCCTTCAGCTGCAATAGCTGATTCCAATACGCGAATGGGCCGAACGCAACACCAAACACCGTGATGACACTCAGGCCGAGCTTGAAGATGTTTCCAAACCGAGGCCGGAAAATCGATCTGGGGTCGAGGCAGTAGGCTCGCAGCAGATACACGAAGTAGGCCAGTGAGAGGTAGAGGTAAATATGCTTCAGACATAGCAAGATGGCGAAAGTGATACCGCTGTAGAGAAGGCTTGATTGTTTTCGGGCCAACACGATGGATAGAATGAGGATTCCGTACAGAAAACCGTTGTATTGGAAATGGATATGATCGATGATGAGGAGACCGGGAGACAACAGGACCGAGAGACTGGCGATATGCGCAAGCTGCTTGTTTTGCTGGGAGACGGACTTCACGAATCTAATGGGACGAATTCAGTCAGAGCCATTCTCGTAGCGGGTACCATCGTAAATTCCTCACCGGTGTAATGCGTAAACAAGCACCAGCTCGCTCAGGATTACCGTCGCGCGCTGGAAGTAAACTGTCTGCCAGGAATCGTATCCAAGGTTCTTCACCACCAGCATTTGTGGATCCACATATCGAGCTGCCTGCGACATAAGCCATTCAAAGGCGGCGAAAAAGGGAGGATAGTCAAGGGTCCATTCCGACGTTTTCTACCAATGGGTTCGGTTCAGCATCACTCCCACGGAGTCGACGGGCGGGGAGCGTACCTCGTAGTACCATTCCTGCACGGGGAGAGAATTGGTGATTGCCAACCAGTTCCGATGTACTTCGAAGTCGGTCGATTTACTAAGACCACCAGAATGGTTAACACCGCGGAGACAATGGAAATGGAGGACCGGAGAGAACATACTAAGCGGGGAAGAGAAGAATCTTAAACGCGGCCGCGACGATGGCGCATTGCGCCAGGGAAGGGTATAATTCGGCCATGGAGACCAATGCGCATGATGCGCGAGAGGAAGAGGAGGAAGAATGAGGTGGAATAACCGTCGGTAGGAGCTGGAATGGACAAACAGCGTGGAGGGATGCTGTTGAAGCTGTCTGGATCCGGGGGAGCACGTGACAGGCCGCTAGAACGATTAAGGCCAGTGTGTCCCGTTTGTACATCTCCGATCAACACCACATTCATGGACTTGGCTTCGGACGTGGGAGTCCGTCATTCTGTCGTCCTCTCCAATCTCAACATCCACCATCTGGTCGACTTCTCTCCCGCTGCTGTCTCCATTGCCCGAGAGCTTCGTCTCTGCGTTATCACCATTGTGGTTGGGTGGACCACTACGCGCGTTATCTCCGCGTTTTTGAACCGGAGCGCTCCATCCGATCAACAAGGAGGGCATTGATGGGCTACTGCGATTGATTCAGCTTCGCTCTTATTACTCGTGACACCTGGACGGTTATAATTGCATCTTCCAGCATTGGATCTGTTTTGATCTTGAACTTTTCTCCATTGTTCATCCTACACATAATCACGATGAAGATCGCAGCGTCACTCGCCTTCTTTGCGGCGATTGCCACGGCGCAGTCCGTAATTGAGAGTGCCAGCTTCGGCTATGGATCCTCGTAATCCACCCATCTCCATTGCACATTCCAACGTCCGCCACTAACTGTCTGCAGACTATCCCCGAACCGGGATACCATTCCAGGATGGCAGGTTGGGGGAGAGGGCCACTCCCCGCAGATTGTACGACCCCTACCGCAACTCGAACATTGACCACTCAAAATTCTAACTCAATACCCATCCGATAGCTCTCGAATAAGCTCATCTTAACACCACCCTACCCAGGAAACACCAGAGGATATGTGTGGTCACAGACGCCGTAAGCCTCCTCCAACCCGAGTTTCCACGTCGTCACCATCCTAACCGTGGACAGTGTCGCCCAGTCCGAATGGACAGCCGAACTCCAATTCCGAGCCAGCGGCGTCGAACGAGGAGGCGGAAACCTCCAGCTCTGGTTCGCGAAAGATGGCCAGAGTAAAATCGGTACCTCCAGTATCTACACTGTCGGCGCGTTCGACGGCCTCGCGCTTGTTGTCGATATGCATGGCGGAAGAGTGCGCTCCCTCCCACACCCCGTCTTTCCCACGAAACCGAGCATCAGCTGACTCCATCCAGGGCGGTAGCGTGAGAGGCTTCCTCAACGACGGCACGAAAGACTACAAGAGCCAGACCAGCGTGGACAGTCTCGCCTTCGGCCACTGCGACTACTCATACCGCAACCTTGGCCGGCCATCTGTCCTGCGCATCAAGCACACCAAGTCCCGTCTTCGAAGTCACCGTCGATGACCGAGTGTGCTTCTCGACCGACAAGGTACGTCGCAATCCCTTTTCTCCTGATGGACCATCCCTAACATATCGCCCTAGGTCGCCATCCCCGCCGGAAATACCTTCGGTATCACCGCGGCTACGCCCGAAAACCCCGACTCCTTCGAGATCTTCAAGTTCGTCGTGCAGTCCGCGCAGTCCGGTAGCGCGGGATCCGTTCCCGTCTCGCGGCAAAACACGCAGCAGCAGCCGATCGCGCAGGCACAAGGGTCGAACGCGCAACAGCAACAACAACAACAACAGCAGCAGCAGCAGCAAGGCGGACAGTCGATAGATGCGCAGTTCATGGACCTCAGCTCGCGGATCCAGCTGATCAGCCACGCGACGAACAACGTTATCCGGGAGCTGAGCAACCAGGGCACCAGGGCGGACAGCCGGCAGACGGAGCTGCTGCAGAGAATGGCGACCAAGGAGCAAGTGGCGGGGCTGGACGCGCGGCTGCAGCGTATGGAGTCGTTGCTGCAGAACATCCAGCGGGATCTGGCGGGCAAGGACTACCGCGAGCGGTTCAGCCAGCTGGAGAAGACGCTCCAGTCATCGCACCTGAGTCTGACGGAGAGCCTACAGGGCCACATCCTGCACGTGATGACGGCGTCGACACCGCGCATGGGCTTCTTCATTTTCGTCATCATCGGCGTGCAGGTCCTGCTTGCGGGATCGTACATCGTGTACAAGCGGCGCAAAGCGAACATGCCCAAGAAGTTCCTCTGATTATCACGACCATTGACTCACTCGTCTACGACTAATGCAGTGTCATTTGCCGAGCTTAGCATGTCATCCTTACTTCATGAGAGTCTACGTGGATTGTTGATTGTTGTTGTTGTTTCTGTACAGTTAGTCGCTCTTCCGGGTTAGCAGTGTGTACATCATTAAAGCATTTCATACGTGTATACTTATTCGATAGGTCTGCAAAATTAAGTGCCTATAGATGCGAAAGAAGAAATATGGTATTGCACCAACCCGCCGACATGTCTAAACGTAGCGGTGGTCCACCACCCTGAATCCACACCAAATCCCGCAGCTACAGCCGAGCAAACCAGTCTAATACACAACCCACAAAGGGAAAAAAGTACAGATACAATGCAAAGATCCGCTTAGTATGCCATGCTCAGTATGCGCCAGATGAAAACGATTGTTCAAGCCGAAACACGGACCCAATATTGGTCCATGACGTCATGTAACATGAGCCATATAGAACCAAGCCCAGGCCAAATCAACGCCAAACTTCCGTATCCGAAGGTGTAAGCAAATCTTCGTCTGTTTGATAAATGCAGGGCGACTAAGTCGAGGATGACAGCGCCGGAAGAACGAAAAGAAACAAAGAGACATTGCGCGACACAATATCGCTGTCAGAACCGCTGGTCTATTAGACGTGGAAGCGGTATAGCATATTTGAGCATCGTTGGATACCGCCACCCGGTTCCACATGGCGCCAGCGTATCCGCAACCTGGTCCAGGTTGGGAATGCTCACCAGGACAAGCCTTTATAGGAAAGCCTCCCCCTTGTAGATGCGCAATCGTGCACAAGCTCAGAGAATCCTGTCCATCGTAGGAGCTGCATATTGGAGTCCGTTAATGTCGGCATAACCAAAATATGCTCAAATATTGCTGCTACATATCATAATCAGGAGCTTGGCTGGGATTTAGGCATCCCGTTGGACTTTCGGTCCTGCGTCGATAGGGTGTACATCAGCCTCGATACCGTTAGGCTCATCAGATCTGACCTCCGAAATCCGAGGTTCCATAGCTGAGGAATCAGGGAGCGGCGAACTGGCTTGAGCAGGTTGGGGGGTTCGAGTGGACTGAGCGTTCAACACCTGAATGCGTTGCTCAATCAATGCCTGCAAAGTACGCAGGGAGGCGATTTCGGTCTCAGGGGGTGGCAGATTCTTCGGGGCGTTCGCCTTGAGCTGGTCAATGAGAAGCGTGATCTTGCCGTTTTCGACCTTTTCGCTGATCTGGTTGTTCTGAGCAAAGGCGATCAGGTTCGAGGCAGCCTCCCGCTCGGCGACGGTCCGCGAGTTCAAGATCGCGACGGTGGTGTCCTCAACCGGGGTAGCGGGTCTCTGAGACGCGTAAAAAGCGCGTGCTTGGGCGGCCATTTCGTCGTGTTGCTGCCGAATGTATTCAAAATACTTATCTGCGATCCTCTTTTTCATCGCTACTTCTTCGTTCTCCCTGCGGGATTGTTAGTCGAAGGTCTCGCACCCTCTAGATAGATGACTGACCGTTTAATGCGCGTGATAAAATCGAGCTGTACACCCTTCTCTGAAACACGATACATGATGCCTTCGTCTTCTTTCTCCTCGATCTTCTCGGACTCTTCCTCCGTCGGGAGGATTTCGATGTCAACCATGCGAGGGCGTTTTGGCCGGCGGATGCGTTTCGTGCACTGAAATCCCTCCTCGTCTTCGACGGTGTCAAACATATCGTGGTAGACGTGATTGCCGCACATCCAGTTGTGGTGAGGTTTGTCGCTACCTGGTCGCTGGACAGGGGGCATAGCCAAGGGGGGATCACAGCAATCCATGTGGAACGCACAAGGGCAATAATCGCACTGAATGATAGGTCGGTTACCATTGCTGGTACGACCACAGGCATGGCAGAAAATGAGATTTCCTTTGGCGTCATGGACGCGCAGAAGGTGTGGATCGTCATAACGACCTGTCCGGGTGCCTCTCATACTTCTCGGATTGATCTTGGGGAAGGGGATGAAATCTTCATATTTTCCATCTTCGCCAGTGCGCACGCCAGCAAAGTAGTCGCGAATGCGTTCGGGCAGAGCAAAGTCTTCTTGCGAGACTCTTTCGAGTTGATCACGAATTTTTCTTGAGGGTCTCTTGATTTCACACCGCGGACAGTACCAGTCGCCCTCGGGGGGGTTGGCGGGATCCAGGGGCGGGTTGAGACACGAAAAATGATAAGAATCAGTACAACCATCGCAGCATAGCAACTGGCCACTGCCGTTGCATTCGCGACAGTAGTCATTATTCTCCTGATCTTCCTCATCGTCAGTTTCGAGGGTAGGAGTCAGCCGACGGTTGTCCTCCGCATCGCTGCTGGCCACACTCTCCGACCTTTCTCTGAGAAGATCCATGGTCCCATCAAGACCATCGGGAGCTCCATTGGCAGGCGGAGGCGTCGCGGGAAGGGAACGAGCTCCTGTCGCCAGCGAAGAGCGGACTTTGCTCACGGGCGGCGCCAGATTCGGAAGCGACTTCTGCAGGCGGGTCCGTTTGGCAGTGATCGCCTCCTGAGAAAACTCAGGGTCTTCTTCCAAAGCGCGTTTGCGTTCAAGGATGGTGTCGCCGGAAGGAAATGCTGAACGCCGAGTTGGAGGTGCCGAGTCTGTCGCCTTCTCCGCGGCCGTCTTGGCCTGTTTGCCCCTAGCGCGAGAGCGCGGATTCGTCGTCCCGGGAGCCACCACGGGATCGTCCAGCGATTTAGCAGATGACAGGGAAGAGACACTACTGGCGCGACCTGTCGCGGGTTCTGTGTCTTCTTCCGCCTGAACTTCTTTCCAGGCGTCGCGCATCAGCAGTTGGAAAACCGCCTTCTCCCGGTGACCGGGAGAGTCCTGACAGATGTTATTGAGGATGGAGAGCGAGAATGAGTCACTTCCACAGCTCTCCCAAAGACGGAGGAGGCCGCGCACGACCGCACGGTTTTCAGACTCGGACGCCATGTGAATGGCGTTTCCCACGGCCGCTCGAATCTTCGCGACATCAACATCACCGTCGGGAGACGTGGGTAGCGGGAGAGTCATGAATGCACCGAGGTTGAAGTCGGATCCGGGCTTCGAGGGTGCGTCACTTTGACTGTGCTCGTCTGCCGGGGTCAAGGGGGTTGAAGGAGGTTTGTCGCTCTCCTTTTCTCCGTTCGGCACAGCGTGCGGCTCTTTCTTGGCAGGGATGGTCTGCAAACTGGGCTTGGTCGGGACCAGTCCAACCTTGCGCAGGTCGCCAGGCGTCGGCATGGTTCCTAGCGGGCGCATTGTAGAGAGCACTGGGTTGTGTTCACTGGACACCAGGGACCACGGGGTGTCCTCGTAGCTCGGCGCCGGAGTCCTCAAAGGAGGCTCGACCCATTCTCTGTTTCCTCCAAGCGCTTGCGAATCACTGGCAGCGTCATCATCCTTGCCGGAGCCGCGATCTCCCCGTTGCGATGCGTTGTGGGAGTTGGTGTCTTGCAGCGGATCCGTAGCTACGCGGCTGTGTCGGCCGGTCCGGCGCTGCTTCCGCGGTCTGGTAGATTCGGTAAATGAAGTCGAAGAATTTATCGTCGCAGTCGCATGCATCGGGGTCGCGGGGCCAGACTGGCTGGACCTGGCACGGGGTGTGGAGCGAAGATTCCGTGCCATCGTCGTCGTGGCAGGGCTTCTTCACAAGGCGACAACGCCTGCGGACCACGGAGTTAGCCCATGACGCGACAGGGACGCGCAGGGGAATTAATCACCGGAGAGGGAGCGACGATGTACTTACTAAATTAGAGATTCCACGGCAGACAGCAAACGTGCCCAGCGTTGCTGAAGGGAATCGTGGCCAGCCCGCGCGCTGTCTGCGGGTTGATGGGTAGAAAGAAAGTTGCGGAGTTCGCGGCGGGAGTTTTCGAGGGTCACACTCTAGGGGGTCGACCGCAGAGGGCTGCAGAACTCCAAAACCCGCACACTCGCGGAGAAAGAATCAAGGATTGAAATGAGAAGTTTGCTTCTCCGGTCAGAACATAGAACATATAATTTCTTTTGTTTCTCCGTCTAGGGTGACTTACGTGACGCGGTCCCTCGCCACTCTCGGAGACACCAGACTTGCTGACGCGAGATGCCCAAGAGAAGGAGCCTAGCGCTTCAAGGCCTAGAGGATGGCCCAAGCGCGAGATTTGGTGGATGCGAAATCCCGCAACCTCTGAGAGAATCAGGAGTTGGGCAGTTGGTTGTCTCTAGTCTTCGTTAGTATAGCTCTGGGTAGACCGGGAAGTATAGGAATAGTACCACTCACAACGGATAGATGGATGTCTTACGGAAGACTCGTGAGTCTAAATGAGATGAGGAATGTCAGCGAAGGTGATCTTGAGCTTCGTTGCGAAAGAGATGACAGGCGAGGGTGGTAGAGGGAGAACAGTGAGAACGTGGAAAGCGGAAGGCTGGGCCGTCGGAAGAACAGGAAGAACAGGAAACAGAGGGAGTAACAGACGCACGAGGCGAGATGTAACAGAAGAGAAGACAGGCTGCGAATGTGATAGAAGAGAACACCTGGTCGTGCATGACTTCCGGTGTCAACGTGATGAGGACAGGAGGGGTTCACTTCAGGGACGGGCATCAGACCTGTCCTACGAACCGCCAGGCGCAAGAGACTGACGGTCTGACTATCGCAAGCGTCTTACCTGACTGAGAAAACCCAGAATGCCGAAATCGGATGGGTTGAGCAGACGGCGATGGGGGAGCAGGTGGTGGACGAGAAGATGTCGGCGCAGAGGAAGAAATCGGCAGCAGGAAGTGGTTCGGCCACCAGACAAACCAGTTCGGCCACACACTGCGCCCAGTCAATCAGGCCCGCGACCAGATAGAGGGTCCTAGTGCGATGTAGCTGAGATGATGGTTCAATATTATTTCTTTGCTTGTTCGCAAGGTCTTTTTCTGATACCGAAAGAGGGTGTTGTTCTGAAAGATTCCTTTTCGGCTGACACGGGCACGGACGGAGGCAAAAGAACAACACCGTTGTTTCCAGCAGAAGAGGTGTTACTCCAGTTGTCTCCATCGGAGGGACACATGGGCCTCGCAGAATGTGTTTGTCAAACAGTTGCGGCGACGGTGGCGATTCCGAGACATCCACCGGCATTCAAGGCAACTACAACACCATCGGCCAGATTTGGGAACAATGAAAAGCATCATCAGAAGAAAGGTCAAGATAGAATAGATGCTTCAAGATAGAGACAGCTGAACAGCTGAAAGCAGCAACACACTTTGTCCTAAAACTCTTATATACCGGTTGTGACTATAGCAGCGAACTACCAGAGGCCGTACTAAACCCCTCCTAGGTATATCCAGGCACTCATTTCTTTTATATTCAGCTCATACATGATGTTTTCTTTGCCTGCAACTAAGTACGTGACAGGAGATCCATGAGTTCGGTGGGAGACCAACGCTCCCTCATTACGGGCCCATGCAATCCTCGATCCCACTCTCGAGCACACATCCCACTCAGAAAAAGCGCGATTGCAACGGCAGGTTCAGTCCACGCTCAAAGCCATCAGGCCCGGAGCCAAGGCGATGCAGCACATCGCCCCTCCGACTATCCAAGGACCACGAGATTCGACCAAGCGAGGTGGAATCGGTCCCTTTACTCCTTGTCGCCAGACTCCTTCTTGGCGGCCTTCTTCTTGTTGTTCTTGTTCTTCTTGTTGCCGGTCGACTTGGACAGAGGACGCTCCAGGATCTTGAGGATCTCCTCGTCCTCGATCTTCTTGTCCGACTTGACCTTGGTCATGTCGGGAGCAGCAGGAGCGGTGAGCTTCGTGATACCATTCTTGGTGATGGCTACGGGTTGTTAGTGAGACGCCCAACAGAGAATCTAGAACAACACATACCGATGGTGGTCAGCAGACGAGAAACGGGCGCGTTGTCGGCGTCACCGGCGGGCTCGTACTGTCTCAGGACACCGCCACGGACACACTCGACAACACCGACCTTGGCGGCCTTCTCGTCATCCAGCTGGCGCAAGCTGAAGGGGAACTGGCCGAACTTCTTGACAATTTCGGACAGGGTCTGACGGGAGCTGGGGCGCTTGAGGATGTAGGTGGTGGTGGTACGGCGGTGGAGGGTGGAACGAAGAGGCAGGTTCTTGACCTTGCCGGAGCCGAGGGACAGACCCATCTCGACACCCCAGACTTCACCAACGTCGGGAACACCCTCGCCACGGACACCGGCGCCAGGGGCAAGGATGATCTTCTTTTCAGCCTCGATCTCGTTGCGCTCAAACAGCCAGCTGGTGGTGTTCTCGACGACGTTGCAGTCGTAGGCCTTGGCGACCTTCTCGACAAGCTGGGAAATCTGAGCCTGGGTGGGGGCCTTCTGGGCGGCGGCCTTAGCCTTCTCCTCATCGGAGCCAGTGGCCAGAAGACCGGGAGGCACCATCAGACGCAGGAGAAGCTCATTGGCGTAGTGGGTAGCGAGGAGAAGGTCGGCCTCGCGGCCGGTCACCTCGTCCTGGCCGACGGTGACCATGTCACAGACGATCGTTCCGAAGCCATCGATCTGAGCACCGAGCTGGATCTTGACGATCTCGCCGGCCTTGAGGGCGGTCTCGGCCTCCTGCGCGTCGGAGACCAGAGGGGTGTAGGGGGTCACGAAAGAGCTGGGAGAGACCGTCGTGGGGTGAGAGATACCTTTCCGACGGGAGTTCTGTCAATATCGAAGCTTTATGAAGCATGCGCCGGAGCTTCCACATGGTCTGGAGCGGTCGACAGCAGCGGAGGGGAGAATTAACGCACCCTTGGCAATCTTCTTGCCCTTGTAGACCTTGGCGATCTCCTCATCGAGGAGCTGATCACCCTTCTGGCAGATCTCGACGATCTTGGCGCCCTCCACGCACAATGCTAGACGATGGTCAGCGGGCTGGTTCGGTTGGACAGCGTAGGAACGATGAGAAGGAAGCCGGGCTCACGCACCTGAGACGGCATCAAGAACCTTGTGGGAGATGGTGGCGGCAGTCTTGTACTTGGTCAAGGTGTCGGGGTTGTTGAGGGTGTAGTCTAGACGGATCCATGGACATGGTTAGTGCTCTGTTGCGAGACGAATGACGGTACTGGGGACTCCAACGATCGAAACCGACCGCCCTGAGAAGCTACTAGGGACAAACGCCCTAGATGAGGAGGTTTTATGTCTCCTGGTCGGAGTCTGAAAGCTCTGTCGCAACCCCCCGCCAGCGGGCCATGACGACGCAGCAAGCGGATCGGAAACCCACAAAACGAACGGAGCTTTTTCACAATGGGGAGAAGAGGGGTCAATACATACCAACCTCGGGGGTTGCCTGGGCCTGGGTCTCAGCCATTGTGAAGTAGATGGATGATTCTCACGGGGGGAGAATCAAGGGAAACAAGAAGACGGGCTTGGGGACAATCGTGGAGCACGAGAGAAAGAGAGGGGAAGAAGTGGGAAAATGATGCAGAATTCATGGCAGCTGGAGGAAGTGTGCCTTCATTACCGTATGTTTCAATACGGGAGGGTACAGAGCGGGGCGTTTGTCGTCATACTACCTGCCTCAGGAAGCATGCGAGTATGTAGGTACCTAGGTCCTTTGCTAGTTGTTCAGAAATAAGTCATTCTAATAGTCATAGCTAGACATGTCTCTGATTCTAGCTACCTCAGTGGGGGTGTTGAGAGCTATAGTCTTCTAGGTACTACTACGGTATAGAGCGCGTGACCGAGACTCTCTGGTGTTATGGATCAAACATTATGCCCAACAGACTCCAATTTCTTAAGGATATCATCTATCTAGGGACTATTCAGTGCCACTTTATGTCGAGGCCCTAGCGACAGAAGGGACACTCCTACCTGTTGTGCAGGCCTGATGTACCCATCTCCTAGACCAGGGTACGTGTAGGGCTTGCGGATTACGAATGGTTACCAGACGGCCTGCCTGTGTCGTATTTTATCTCAACACCGCCGCATGATGCCTCTACATGGAGATAGTCTGGAGAAACTACTCCTGATTGATAATTCTTTCCCTTGAACAGTCTGTAACTAGTCCTGATAACTTATGGAGCATGTCATTCAGCCATTGATTCACCCTACTGTGTCTCGTACTACAACAAGTGCACAGCCAAGTCATGTATGACATCACCGAGGAGCTTTCTCCTTTAGGTCAAGTACCTACCTCTACTGGGTACCTACCTAGGTGCTATAGGTAGGTAATTAGGTAGTTTCTGCGGGTTTAGGTAACTGGGACATGTCTGGTAAGGTGATGCGATGAATTGATCAGCATGTGAGCTATGGACAGTAGTCTACAGTACCGACCTACTGTAGGCACAGATATATATCCGATCAAGCCCCCTCCTGCACAGCCTTAAAAGCCCGCAGTAGATCATTCTTCAAATCTTCCCAATTCTCCAGTCCAACACTAATTCTCAATAGTCTCCGGTCCACCCTACTATCGGACAAAGCCCGCCACTCAATCAGTGACTCCACACCCCCCAGACTCGTTGCATGCTGGAACAACCCCAGCTTACTCGGCAACACGCAAGCAAACTCTTCGCGCTGCAAGACAATTGAGAACACCGGACCAAACCCATTCGGCATCTGCTTCTGCAGCCAAGGTTCCGCCTGGAGACTGGCATGGTAGATCTTCTGCAAGACCGACTGCACGACGGACTCCTCGCTACCCGCCCCAGGGTTGGGGGTATTCATCGCCTGATGCAGCCACGCCACCAGCCGACCGCAGCTCTGACTGGCACGCTGCACACGGAGCTCCAGTGTCCGCAGACTGCGCAGACACAACCAGCTCTCCAGGTTCCCCAGGACGTTCCCAAGCGCGAGCCGGTCCGCGAACAGCTGCTTCTCCCAGTCCTTGCGCTGGGTCGCCAGCACGCCACAAAGGAGGTCGCTATGGCCGCCGAAATACTTGGACCCGGAGTGCACGACGAGATCCGCACCCCACAGGAACGGGTCCTGCAGGCCTGGAGGAGCAAAGGTGCTGTCGACAATAAGGTAAGCGCCTCGGCTGTGGGCCTTCTGTGCGTAGGCCTCAATGCTAAAGGCCGTTCCCAGCGGGTTGACGGGTGTCTCGAGGAGGACGACGTCGCCGGCCTCCAGGCTCTCCGCGGGACAGTCGAGAGGAAGCTTCTGTAGTCCTGACAGACGGGAAATCACGGAAATGACTTCGTGAGAGCCATGGTAGCCTTCGCCGACGGCGATGCGGCGCGGGTTGAGCAGGATCAAGGCCGCTTGGAGAGCGGCTAAGCCGGTAGCGTAGCTAATTGCGCGACCGTTCAGGAGGGACGATAGGACAGCCTCCAGGCGGGATGCATTGGGCGCGAATTCCCGAGAGTACACATAGTTGTGGCCATCGAACTCTTCCTGTACGAGGGTTAGTCGGGAATGGTTGTGGAAGGACAGAAGATCGAGGACACGTACGACAGGGTCCTCGGACGGTAATAGATTCTCCGGCTCATGAGGATATCTGAATGTGGTGGAAAGATGAATGGGGGGAGCAACATCGGTCACTCGGTTTAGAGGATCGTCGGCGTGCAATGCTCGAGTGGAATCGTGATAATTGCCGGATGGTGCCATTTTGAACTATGGCGTGGCCACTGCAGATGATGGTGTGAGGGCAGTTTCTGAGTGACCCTTCGTCAGGTAGATTTCCGGCTGGTATTTATAGCTTCGCACTCGTCGACGATGGCAATATTCCGTAGTCAGTCGACGGACTTTGTAAGGCAATGGACGACCTCTCTAAAGCACTTCCTCATCGGGTTAGGGACGATCAGAGCCCCACTCCCGTCAAGTTCCTAATGCGGAAGCTAAAGAAAGTCTATGGGCTCCTATTGGACTAATTCTGTTAAAGCCCCACAGCGGTCAAAAAAAGCACCAAACGAGGGCCCCTGATTGGTCCAGACGGCAACCAGACTCTACGGAGTATCAAAAAAGCAGTCAGACTGGATCTGGGCCTCGGCGACGCACACCAATCAGGAAGACCTAATTGTGAGTCAGTTGAGTTCGTTGCCTGCTATCGGCCGATGTGATCATTATCGATCATTTATGATTGCCCAGTCTTATAAAGGGCGCGATGTAGCCTCCTCCAGCTCAGTTCTTCCACAGTCAACCTGACTAGGATCCACCTGCCGTCATGTATCTCCGTGCAATCCACGCCGAGGGCCAAATCACTGTGCTCCAGCAGCTGATTAAAGACAACCCGCTAGGCATCTTGACCACTGCGATCAAGTCCTCGTCATATCCATTGATCCAGTCGAGCCACATCCCGTTTGTCCTCGATGTTCCGGACACCAGCGACGGGAGCGTGTCGAACGGGGTCCTGCGCGGCCACATGGCCAAGCAGAATCCCCAGGCCAAGGTGCTGATGGAGGCTCTCGCCGCGCAGCACGAACAGGGAGGCAGTCAGAGCCTCGAACTCTCCGACGAAGTGCTGGTGCTCTTCAACGCACCGCATCACCACTATGTTACGCCGAAGTTCTACACCGAGACCAAGCCCGCCACCGCCAAGGTCGTTCCCACCTGGAACTACGCCGCGGCGCAGGCGTACGGCAAGATCCGCATCTACTGCGATTCCAAGTCTGAGCAGACCGGCGCGTTCTTGCAGAAGCAGATTGAGGATCTGTCGCGACAGTCGGAGACGTTGATTATGGGGTATACATCGCCCTGGTCGGTGTCCGACGCGCCGTCGAACTACATTGAGATCATGAAGAAGAATATCATTGGCATCGAAATCACGATTGATCGACTGGAGGGGAAGTTCAAGATGAGTCAGGAAATGGGCCAGGGAGATCGCGAGGGCGTGATCCGGGGATTTGAGGCGTTGGACACGGAGGTTGGGAAGGGGATTGCGCAGATGGTGAAAGAGCGAGGGGAGCTCAAGGATCGACCAAAAACTCAGTAGCTACTGAACGATTTGGAAGTGTATATACCTCAATACCCTGCAAATAGCACCGAGTAAACATACAGCAAAGACGGTTGACGATGGTTCGCTGTAAGGCGCTATGCCTGAATAGGAAACACTTTCGCCGTCAATGGAATTAATTAATCAGCACTTCCACACTGGCCCACTCACTTCCACTTCACTTACTCATATGTTCTTTACACAATTAATGCTATTTACTGAAAGTATTTCCATGCTGCGACAATGTCCGGTCTCTGAGTCCTAGCTATTTGATGATGAGTGGGGCCCTCACTGTTCAGATAAACTACTCTGCCATGCTGTGGAATCCACCAAATGGATAAGCGTTCAATGCTTGAGGCCTGCTATACCTGCCGTCGTCGGCGCATTCAATGTGACCGATCTCAGGTCCCTTGTCGAAAATGCAAGACCAGTGGGCTGGAATGCTACGAGAAGCGGCCAGTTCGGTGGGTAAAAGGCGTGGCCATCCGAGGTAAAATGCAGGGCATGTCGTTCCAAGATGCGTCAGATCCGACGGAGGCAGCAAAGATGGGGCTCGCCTCGAGCGCCATAGAGAGCCCATTGAGGCTGTCTGTCAAGAATTGTGTACCCAGTGCGTTGAGTATCCTTTCCGATTCTGACGTGCTTTGGTATCCAGGTCGGTTCTCTGAGCTAATCGTCTAGCCTAGAAGAGCATACAAGTTCCTCACAAGATATCCCATTAGCTCTGGAAGACCCGATGTTTTCCATGTTAGATTCAACTTCCAGACACTATCTAGACTACTGTAAGACTGATAACCTTTGAAGACTGATAACCTTTGGCTATACAGACAATACTAACTAACTCAGATAACCACCGCATTTGCAAGCTCTTCATTGTATACGACAGCGAGAAAAACCCGTTCAGAAGTCTGATATCTCTTGCATTAACCGACCAAACTCTCTGTAAGGCAGCTCTGGCGCTTGCAGCACGACACAAAGCCAACTCTGGCCGCTCATTCCACGAACCGGGCCCTGTGGTTCCCATTCAATCACGAGGCGCCCACTATGATGCATTGCTCTTCAAGCAGCAGGCTATGCAACGACTTGCCAGTGACCTATCTGATACTACATCATGTGCAAAGGACACCACCATGGCAAGTATCTTCCTCTTGATCTTTCTGGACCTTCTCGAATCTGGGAGTGATCGTTGGAATGTTCATCTGGAAGGAATCAAGCGTGTGATCGAAACGAATCCGCTCCTGTCTGGGCCAGACATGAACACTAGCCAGGATCCAGGTCGAACCGTCCTACAGATCCGGAACTTCATCACCCGACAAATCTACCTGTATGTGTGTCATAGCCTTCACATCTACCACAACTGACCACGAGACTAGAATCGAGACTCTCGGTGCAACGTTTGTTCGCCCAAAGCTCCTATCTCAGTTCAACTTCCTCGAGCAATCAGAAGCACTTCTCCAAGAGACGATCGAGCAATCGTTCCTCGGCTGTCCAGAATACCTCCTAACCGCGATCCAATCGTTGTCGATGTGCCGCGACGCACTCACCGTCCCGGAACCGCTAGATTCCGCAACCCTGACCGGACACGCCCAGAACATCAAGAAAATCATCGAATTCATCCAGGACTTTGACTGTACGATCTGGGCGTCCAGCCTACCGCATCCGGATGACTTGTCCACCCGCGACACGCACAACCTCCCCATGTTGGCGCAGTCGTACAAGCTCGGCGCGCTCATTTACGGCCAGCGGATTCTCGACACCGTCACAAAGCAAGACTCCGCCCAGGAAGACCTGGTGCAAGAGTTGATCCGCGTGATCGGGCTCCTGAAGGAGGACGACGCTCTCCTCAAGTGCATCCTCTGGCCAATCTTTGTCGCCGGTCTGGAGTGTCGGGAGCCCGCGCAACGGGACTTTCTGTCGAGCTCGTTGGAGCAATTCTGGGCCGTCACCAACTGCATGAATGGGATCAATGCGGGGCGCATCCTGCAGGGATATTGGCAGTGGCAGGAGCAAGAAGGTGGCCCAGGGTCGTTTGCATCGCGATGGGTGTTTACAATCGGCCGAACGGGACAGGACTGGCTTCTTATATGAACGTTAATATGGTAGGTGCATTGAATAGCTGGACTGCCCACTTAGGTGCTACCTAGAAGTATAGACGTGCTATATACATACTGAAATGGGTGGTCACGCTTATCCAATCACAAGACACGCCCGCATTCCATAGCTTCTCCTCACTTCCTCCCCAACCTCCAAGAAACATCAACAACCCAAGTCCACCCATAAGATAGATCATCGCCTCATACACAAAGCTCCACGCACAATGAAAGTCGCCGCCGAGCTTTCCATCCGCATCCTCACCCACAACATCCGCTATGCAACTACCGCCCCCTTCAAGGGCGAACGGCCCTGGGCCGAGCGTAAACAGCTCCTCATAAACGAGCTCCTCTTCAACACGCGCAACCAAAACTCTTTCATCTGTCTCCAGGAAGTGTTGCACAATCAGCTTGTCGACGTCCTGTCCGGCCTCAACAGCAGCCCCACCACCAGCTGGGACTACATCGGGGTCGGCCGCGACGACGGGTACCAAGCAGGCGAGTACTCCGCCATCATCTACCAGCCGCAACACTGGGAGATCAACCACTGGGAGACGGTGTGGCTCTCAGAGACGCCGGACGTCCCCAGTAAGAGCTGGGATGCGGCGTCGATCCGCATCGTGACGATCGGAGTGTTCACGCACCGCGCCAGTCGCCAGACCGTGCTGGCGATGAACACGCACCTAGACGACCAGGGCGCGCGGTCGCGGCTCGAGGCTGCGCGGATAATCCTGCGGAAGATCAGCCAGTACTCCGCTGGCGACTACGGCGACGACTTCATCGATGGGGTGTTCCTAGCGGGAGACTTCAACAGCCAGGATTTCGAAGAGGCGTATGTCGAGTTGACGGCGCCCGGGTCGCCGCTGGCTGATGCAGCCGTGTTAGTCCCGGCGGCTGAGCACTATGGGAATCAGCTTACCTGGACGGGATTTGGGTATGAGGGACAGGATCCGACGCGGATCGACTATGTCTTGCTTGGGAATGGGACGGCGGGTGGACAGGCCTGGACGGTGGACGGGTATGCTGTGCTGGCGAATCGGTTCGATGATGGGGTGTATAATTCCGACCATCGCGCTGTTGTGGTGGATGGAAGGTTACTCTTGGTTAGGGATATGGATTCGCGTTGATACCGATCTACAAAGAAGGGCTTTTGGCACCTTGGATCCAGGGTAGTGACGGAATATCTCGATGCTTAGTTTCCAAGCTCTGGGAGACTATGTCCAGCGAATAAGAGAAATTTAAATTGCTGAAAGTAGACAGCCATCATTGCTTGTGTAATATAGACCTGAACAGACCACGGGGCCTTATGTACTCCCTTTGCAGAACCGCATCCAAAGTCGGACGTAACCCCATAAGGTAGACCATCACAAAACGCGAACGGTCTGCGGATGCTGGGCAGGACAAAGTATGGTGACGCAAGCGCAGCTCATGCGCAACGGTCAGATCTTGCAGCAGCGTATCCACAGCTGAAAAGTTCCATGGTAAGATGCTTTGATAGGAGGGAGCACGTCGGGGAAGAGATGCTAGTAGATCAGCACGTCCCTTGCATCGACCTGGTGAGCTCTTTCCACTTCACTTGACATACTCCGGATAGCTCACATCACCAGGCCCACCGAGGCAAGAGCGACATACACCATGGTCTTGTGTCTTCGCTGGACACGAAAAGCTCATGTGGCCGTCAACCTCATCATATAAAAACACCACGCCGCATCCATAGAGCATATATCAAAGGATCATCGTGATCCCTCGGTTCTGAATCATCCACCGAAGTTGCGCTATGGCCCCTGTTGCTGTGCCCCATGTCCTTCTGCAGGGCGCCGACAAGCAGATACGCTCCCCGAATATCTTCTGGGGACGTCGACAGCACGTTTCTGCCCTTTCGGGCCTTTTGAGCCTGACTCTTGTGGTCGGCTCGATCTTCCTCACTCTGTTCCTCCACATCTGCCTGGAGCACTTTGGTGGTTCAATCTGGGCCGCCATAACAGAGCCACTGTTCGTCCAGTCGCCATTTCTCTTCATTTTACGTTACCTGCCGGCGGTCTTTGCAGGCCCAGTACTGGGGTATGCAGGCTGGGTGGTTGTACAGGCCATGCTGTACACCGTCGTTCCCGGAAAGGTGGTGCATGGCCCGCCGACACCTGGAGGCCACGCGCATCCGTACCTGATAAACGGATTGTCGTGCTGGTTTCTCACAGTTTGTGGCTTTGTTCTTTCAGGATATGCAGGTGGGATTGGTGTGATGGCGAGCGTCGCGCGGAACTGGGGGGCGCTCCTGGTAGTCGCCAACATTTACGGGCTGATCACTGCAGTGCTGGCGTATGTCAAGGCACGTGTGAGCCCAACCTTCGAGCGTGATCGCCGATTCAGCGGTGAGATAAAAGACTCCAGGATATACCAACACGAGGGTGGGATTCGCTGACCTGGGCTAGGTTCGATCTTACACGATTTCCTGGCCGGTATCGAGTTGAATCCACGTTTAGGCGCGCTCTGGGACGTGAAACTCTTTCAGATCGGCCGCGTTGGCATGAACTCATGGGTACTAATGTACTAGGCGAGACTTTGATGCTCTAGGCGCGCAGATGCTGATCTCTGACCAGTGACCTAGCCTTCATGGCTAAGCAATACGAAGCATTCGGGTCTATATCGAACTCCATGGTGGCCGTGACCCTGTTCCATGCTATTTACACCATCGACTTCTTCGTCAACGAGGACTGGTACTTACCCCTGACTAATGCAGCTTGTTTTTCAGGGCTGACGCCAATTGAATCCAGGTACCTGAGCACAATCGATATTGCACTGGACCACTTTGGATTCTGTCTCGGCTGGGGTCCAGCCGCCTGGCTTCCGATGATCTATACAATCCAGGCCCAGTATCTGGCGTTGTACCCCACACATCTTCCATGGAGCATCTTCTCTGTTCTTCTCATGGTCGGAGCCGCTGGGTATATCCTCTTTCGGCTGTCAAACTACGAGAAACAGATACTCCGCGGGAGTGGAAGTAACCGGTTTCTCGAGTCTAGACAGCGCATAATCCGCGCCCAGTACACAACCGGCAGCGGAGATGTCCACGAGTCCCGGTTGCTGTATTCCGGTACGTGAGAAGACTCTATCAGTCATTGATGTGTGAATGTCCGGCTAATGACGTTCTAGGATGCTGGGGCATTGTGCGCCATCCCAACTACGTCGGGGACATCATCTTCTCCTTCTGCACCTGCGTCACCTGCGGATGGAACCACATCCTGCCGTACATATATTTTATCTACATGACGTGTTTGCTGGTGCACCGGTGTCATCGGGATGAAAAGCGCTGCTCAACCAAGTACGGGGCTTACTGGGAACAGTATAGACGCCTGGTACCGTGGAGGATGGTGCCTGGGATCTTCTAGATCCCTTGGTTTCTTTTTGCGCTAGCGTTTATTATGAAAGGTCTGGTTTGCTTAAGAGAAGACCCTTGATGCTTTACGGTGATTTACTTATGGGACACATGAAGATCAAAGACACCTTGTCTACAAATGGATGTAGGCGTAACCACGTAGAATAGAGAGATTTTAATGGGATTCGTAGCCTCAGAGCCTATTAGTCACCCTTACAGTGATCCAGTATATTGTGTCTAACCTGAGACTGCAGCCATAGATTACACCTTACATACCACTACGAGTGCTATCCACATGGTCCACGCTGCCCTTCCTGCCTTGTAGCCTTAGGATTTAGGCAAGCCATTACTACCTCATCACCACCTCTTAATGCTTAGTACTAGTCATATAGTAGGAACTGGAAATATCTATGCGGGCTTGTTAAAGAATACTTAACATGCCTGGGCTGACCATAAACATCGTTATTAAATAACTAATGAGTGTATTCCCGCAGGCTATTCACCAATAAACCAGGAACTTCGTATCCCTGTTTTAACAAAGCAACACTACTCTCATACATGATACGGCTTTAGCACGCCAGCCATTCTCCATATTACTTTAGGGCTTTGTACAAGGCGTTCACGTTGCTGATCCTGCATTGTATCTCTGCTCTTCCTACCTACCGAAAATGGCCCAGCAGGCCGGTCTGGTATACATTCGGCAGTATAACGAGTAGATTGTGTTCCACTAGGGAATGGGCTCTGGCGCCCGGCTCGGCCGCAGAAGTCCAGTACGGGAGAGTCAATCATAATACAGCATCTTTCTAGGAGGAATCCGACGATATGCCCTGGTCTGAATCCCGGTAGAGCGTGTGAGGAAATTAGCTGGATAAATTTTGTGTATGGACGCTGGAAAAGATGCGTTGTACCGGGATGATGTCGTTTCTTGTAGAGGTTGGCGACGGAGCTGGGGTTAGACGTAAAACTATCGTTATCTAACTATACAGTGATTGATGTGTGTGGATCTTCGTTCCTTCCATTTCCAGGGCACTCTGGCCTCCCCTACTCCCCCACTCATGCTTCGTTCATCTTTCTCTTCCTTTCTTCCATCTTCCTCTCTCTCTCTCATCCATCTCATTCTCATCGTTCATCTCGGTCCAATTTTTCCATCTCTGTGTCCCATTGTCCACCATCTGTTGAATTTGCTGATCCTTGTCTTTGATAACTGTATGTGGTGTTGACTGTCTGTTGTTACTGTGTTTCCTCTCGACCTTTGTCCATATTATTCTCCATCATCTGTTGACTTCCGCCGGTTTTCGTCGTCATTTATTATCTTTGTGAGTCTTTCCCTGATCTTCCAGCTTCCTGTCTGTTCCTAAACAATGACCAGATTGTCTTTGTCGATCCCCTCAAAAACCACAACCATAATGCTGTCTGCGCCGTGAAACTACTCATCATTCATGCGCTGAGACGCGGGCTAGTAAATGCTACGAGTCTCTCTGACCTTCTCGCTATGACGCTCAGACACCCTAGCCGAACAGTGCAGTGGACATACCCTGTCAAACTACATCTACAGCCATATATTATGTTTGGCGCCCTCCCCGGTCGACCAATCAGAGGTCAGCTCTCACGTGACCCGTGAGTCGCCCACCACCGACTTCACCACCAAACCTCCCTCTTCCTCCTCTTTCTCCTCTCCAGTCGAATTCAAGCCATCCATCATATTACACCTTACATACCACTAAGTGGGTTGCCCATTTTTGGTAGTGTAATGGTCATTTTGGTTGACATATACAATGCTCGCGCGGAAAACCCACGGTCCGATCGCTTGGCGCCTCAGTTCATACCTCCGTCCCCGGAAGGACATTAATCGCCACCGCCATATGTTCCTCCCGCAGAGGGGGTTGGGAGAGTAAGAGTGCTCCCAGCTGACTTTTTCGCTTATGGGGATCGACTGCTGGAGCTATCAGAGGATTTATCCGGTCAGGCCGTGGACACAGAAAGTCTCCAAGCTGTGCTGAACATGGAAGTAGACCTTGAGGAGGTCGATGACAATGAGGATAACGACGAGAATGATGAGGACAGCGACCTCACGGCCCAGCCATTGGATTGTCTTCTCCATTCAGACCCTGACGAGTTTGTCAAGTTCTTCTCCACGATTAATGTGTCCCGTATTGTTGAGGCCACTGGTTCATTTGCTCCCGCTGTGTCTGAGGGCGGCAGCCGTAACGGTCCAACCAAGTTCACTGGAAGTGTGGGAAAGGCGCATGTGACTACAGTACTGCTCGCAAGTCTGTCATGCTCGAGCATCTGGCCCGATGCACCGGTGTGAGTCATGGTCCAGGCATGTGTGCCCTCATTGCGGGGGTTCCTTTTCCACTGAAAATGGTTTGAAGATCCATATCTCTGGATCTGTTAACCAAAATGACCGTTATACTACCAAAAATGGGCAACCCACTTAGTGGTATGTAAGGTGTAATATATGGCTGTAGATGTGGTTTGACAGGATCACATAACTACGAGGCCAAACACTGTGACTTGTGCCCGGCCGGGCCGTTCGCCACGAGACACGAATTGTACAACCATCGAAGGAAGCATAAGCAGACAGAGCTTCCATGTCCCTTGGTCCACCTGAAAAAAATGTGATGGCGAAAAGATATATCAGTCGCGCCCACTCTTGTACGACCATCTGGTTAAACAGCATCGCCTCTCTGCAATCAGAGCTCGCGAATTCCTCCCGAGCCCAGAGAAGCGGCCCATAAATAACTCAGAATGTGATGTCGGAGACTGTGATTGGAAAATCAAGAGTCGGCCGATGAATTATCGAATCCATCTTCGGAAAATCCACGGTCTGGCCGACGACCAGATTGTGCTCAAAGTCCCGAAGACGAGTCAAGAAACGCATAGCACTAGGTTCTGCAGCGTGTCCGGATGCTCATTTTTCAGATATCTCTCCAGTGATGTAAAACGCCACAAGCAACAAGTCCACGGTCTGACCGAATAAGAGGGGAGCATGCAACCAAATCACTCGAGGACCGGAATAGCAGTAGTATTAGACTTATAGATGTATAAATACATATCCAATATGACTTTCTTCCTGATAACGGTCCAACCAGCGGTGTATCTTGTACGAATCCATCTATGACACTCCTTGGAGAGCAACTGCCTTCCACGATCATGCTATAGTAACGACACTTGTTATGGTCTTACAGTCGCCCTGACCCATCCAAGGACCAGAGATTATTCATGGTAATATAACAACATGGACGCAAAGAACAGAACCCAAGCCCCTACAAAGGTCTTGTAGTAGAAACAAACACTGCTGAAACCCAAAACCAATCCATGAATCGCTCCAAATCATGTACAGCCAATCGACAGGAAAAGTCCCAGCTTTGCAATGGTTCCCACGGGAGGGATATGTTGTACTCTGTAAAAGGCAATAAAAGTATACATAATGGTAAGAAAGTTCGACTGCTCCACCGTTGCTCATAATCTATGGTCCATTACCGCCAGCGTGACCATTCCGGAGTCTCTCCTCCACACGCTCCTTATGTTGTCGGTTGCGGAGGTGGACCTCGAAATTTTCGACCGTCGTACCGGGTCCCGGAGTGTAAAGCTTCCCCGGACAGTCATGGCACCGGATGCGCGGGAGATATTGATATTTGAGCTTAGCACCCGGCGGGGAAGTCGAGCCAGCGACTGGCATCATGGTCTCGGTGTCAACAGCAGTGTATCGCATCACGCCCTCGAAGGAATCGTTGGGGTACGACTGCTTCAGCCGTGCGAGTCCGGCCTGGACCCAACTTGGGGGTTGCGGCTACAGAAAATATTAGTACCGAGTCACACAGAACAATCCTCCTAGACGGAGAGTCTATCCGTGGGGTATAATGACATAAGGGAAACTCACCGGAGGGACACCTGGCGTTGGGGGCTGTGGTGCATCGATGGCGCCAATCTGTGGTGTAGGAACTGGTTTCTGGGATGGAGCGCCGACACTGGGCACACGGACTTGCGGCTGGATATTGGAGGGGGGTGCCATGGGATTCTGAGTTGGGGTGCCAGTATGAGGCGTGCTCTGTTGCGAAGGAGGTTGATTTCCAGGCGTGGTTTTGGCGCCGATTGATACGGACTGAAGACCGTGGGCTAAGTACTGACGGAACTTCTGGGGGGAGATTCTGAGCTTCACGATTAACTTCTCCTGCTCCTCGACAGCGGTTCTTCGCGATAAGTTTGTCTCCGCGCAGAAATCCGAA